GCGAAAGCAAGTGTGTTTCATGGTCCTTCTGTGGGACGATGATTTCGACCGGAGTGCGATAACTCAACGTTGGTCGTTCAGATTGGATCCAGTGGTGATCACGTTGGACGAGGGCAGGGCCAGCATTCCCCTGTACGTTGCGGCGGCTCAAATGGATGAAGACTCGTTTTATGGTTGAGCTTCGCATCGATCCAAACCAAGCATGATTTCTACATGTAGTCGTCGTATTACGTAGTACAATAGTAATAGTGAACCGGGTCAAGCGGCAATTTCTTAAGAACATTTTTAATGCTAAATTTTTAAGAACATTTTTAATGCTACTAATACCGGGAGGCAGGGCTCCCGAGTACGTTGTACGTCGCTCATTGCCATCGATACTTGGAAAACGGCCTCAAGCTCACTGGGACGTGCTGAACGGTGGTCTTAACCCTATTGTGGTTGGTGGTCCTAAAAACCTTGCAATATGCTTGGTTTTACAAATTTAATCCAATCAAATCACCCCTCTATTGATTTTGACCTATTATATCACTATATCACTTGCGTAAAACCAAGCATATTGCGAGGTTTTACAACAATAATTGCAATAATTATTGGTAAACCCCTGCAAAATGATATATTATGCTGCGGGGTGCGGAGCAAAACCAAGCATTTATGCATGTTTTACACTTTACTATAGGGACTTCGGTATACAAAATCCAAGTATAATATTGATCACTAAAGGGTTAAGTGGCAAAAGACTGCCTCAAATTGCTCAAAACCGGTCGCACTCCGTGAAATCGTCTGGAATAACGTCTCGAACGCGTACATATCACAGCACGGTATCCCTGGGCTTCGTATTTCGCCTGTAGCGGAGCCTTCCATGAATACCATATATAAGCCTGTGCTGGAAGCTTTGCAAGTACTCCCAAAGGACAAGAACGAACGCGAGATTTCTTGGGCTTTGTTTTCGCTATTTTCGAGCATCACTTCGACGGAGCTGAAGCAATTCAAGATCCCGGGCGAACATTTTCTCGCAAGCCCCGAGGGGGGGGGGATGCCTATGGGAAAGCTGACTTTATTATTCGCAATGGCGATAATTTTGTCAGCATAGTGGAGGCCAAGAAACCTCAAACTGTAGTCACGTTGGTGGCCCTTTCAAGCAGCCTGGAATTCCGCAGGTAGTTGTGGGGATGGAACTCCTCAATACTCAAAGCAACGGTGTCCTCGCAAATGGTATTCTGACTGATTACTGTTCTTGGACATTTATGCGGACTATGTACCCTGATGACAATGATGGCTCGCCTACGATCCTGTACGACACCGAAAATCTTGTTAAGAGCGCCAGGGATACTCCACGAAAACATAATCTTGAGCGCATTGTTGGTAAGATCGTCTCCGTTCTTTCTACGTCTCTGCTTCCTCCATCGTGAGTTGATCCGCAGACGAAGGTTGCAAACGGGTTATGGAGACAAAAGATACAATTTTTCGACTCGCGTATTTCAATCAAAAGCTGCTATCCCGATAAGTCACGAAGTCGCAAGTCTTACTCATACCAAATTCACAAGCATTTTGTTCAGTGGCGGATGAAGCTTGGTGTTCTGTTTCCCATGCTCGTCGTCGAGTTTGAAGTGCTACGAGTTTATATAAGGGTGAGTCGCTCATTCGACTGCTTAACCCCTCATTCACCAGAAACTTGCGCGAAATTAAAATCATGGCGCACGTCAGATCTTTCGTCATGTTTTTAACTTAGTGTTTGTATTAGCTCATATTAAGTGCGAATAATAGTCCCGCTTATATGCATGTATCCCAAAGTTTTGGTTCCGCACCTCCGACATATCTCCGATATGCGAAATCGAAATCGCAACAGAATCACTAGAAATTCGTCTGTACTTGTCGGAGGTGGTGACAAAATGTGTTGTGTCGCAGAGCAGATGTGCATACATAGACAATGAAAAACGCTACTAACATACCGTACAGATATGCATAGGCGACAAGGTTACGACCAGCAATGCAAAACCTGGAAGGCGAGAACAAGGCGTACGTATCTAGTTCCGCAGACGGGTTTCACTATAACTTACAGAATTATTATCAACTCGCCAGAAGTTCTGCAAAAAATGTGAGCGGGAAGCCCGCGGAAGGTGTGTACTTGGCCAGCCGGAGGAAGTCGCACCGCCAAGTGAGATGCAGCAACCGCAATCGCTATGCAACACGAACTTGCACACGTTCGACCTACTAAGAATCTATGTTGCGTACTTGCAGGTAGTTTCCGCGCTGGCCGCGAGGAGGAATCCCGCGGAGAGTGTACTCGGCCGCCGGAGGGAGTCGCACCGGCAAGTGAGATGCAGCAACCGCAATCGATGTGCATCGCGAACGTGTTCACTTCCGGCCTCCTAGCGGTCCGTTGAGTGCTCCCAGGTGGGTCTCGCAATGACCAAGAGCCGCAGGCGACTTGGTGGCGAGTAGTTGATACGGACGTGTCGGCCGGACCGCGAAGTGAGCTTGCGGCAACCGCAATCGGCATGCATCGCGAACATGGTTACCGTACTCGTTGCGAACGCGTAGGTGCGGCTGTGTCACGGGTACCGATGATTTTTACGTAAAAATGACTTTTTACTTTTTACGTATTGGCGTCGCCTATCCGTCACATCATACATAGCCCAAGAGGGTTTAATTCATCGTCCCTCCTCGCCAGGAAACCCACGGGCACCGCCCCTTCCCATTTCCAGATTTTGCTGTCGAGCGAGATGCCGGCACGATACCGTTATCCATCGTCAGACGACGACGCAGAAGAAGAAACCAAGGGAGACCTCGGGCCTGTCGCTTGCGCCCACACACGGGACGCCCTGGAGATGCAGTCACCCAGTCGGGGGTTGGCGACGACGAAGGCATCGCGACGCAGCCCGACGACCCGGCCCTGACCCAGCTCAACGCGGACGGTTAGGCACGGTGTCGAAATGACAATCAGCTACGAGCCGAAGAAGTCAGGGCATCACAGGGCCACACGACGGGTCAGTCACAACCTCCGGAGCTTACACACCAAATTGATGCCCGCCGCAAACAACTTCTGCTGCGGATAAGCACCGCCAAGGTGACACCCCGGGGCAGGACGGTTCTGCAGAAGCTTCCAAGGCGTCTGGAGCCCCTAAGACACGACCATCTACTGAGACGGACACACCTTCCTCATCTGCTGCCAGCTCCTCAGACGAGTGTAGCGAGCCAGAGAGTGATGACGTGGGCGCTGCCGATATTATTGTTGGCGGACACTTCGGCCGGGATCGAATCAGTATGTTGTGCGCTGCCAACGCAACCGTTGGCGGAGCTGACATCTTCAAGAATATCCTGGCCCACACGCGCCTCCCCTGGCTTTCAATTCTCTTACGGTTGGAGTGTCAACAGGTATAGAGCTTTTTATATCAATCATACATTATTGTGAAAACCGCTTCATTTGCCTATTTTGCTCGTAAATCGATTGATTAGCACTATGATTTAGCTCGATCGATTTGTAAATCGATCGCGCCCTGCGATGCATATGCGAGTGGATGTGCAGATTAGGCGATCGTTAGCAAGAACACTGCAAACTTTAAACGCCCGGGCCATTCGTTTTCGGTTTTGGTCTCCCACCATCCCAGTGAAGTCTTGTATCTCAGTGGGTACACGATCGTTAGGACTTCTTTGTTGACGGAAGAGGGGAGGCAAAACATGCTCCGAGGATGACTACACATTACGCGCGTTACTATTTAGGTAAACCTGTCAAAAAAGACCATGGTACGTACCTCCGTGTCGACGCACATTTCTTCAGGTTTCACAAGTAAGAGCTGGGCATGCTGCGTTGTGAGAAACTCTCCATGCGTCATGCCACGCTTGTCGAGGCTAGCATAGTAGGTGCGATGGACGACAAAAGCGTTTACTAGAGCAACATCCAACAACCCCCCAAAAAAGTCTACTCCAATGTTAGTTCCTCAGCACCAACCATAACCGAATTCGATACGTATAACTTACGATTTGTACTACTTCTTGAAAGTCATCGGCTCCTGCAGCGAAAAACGTTGCAAACGAAGTTGGTCGTGGATGTCTACTCCGCCCATGTTGATGTGGTAGCCCTTGACTAACTTGGGACAAGGAATGGTGGATGACTCATTTCCAGAGTATGAATTTCTCACTACAAGCAATACCGGATAATGTTAGTAAATGCGCTTTGTACATCGGTGGATTCGTTACGTACCAATGGACAGCTCCTGTAGGCTTGCGTCCGTAGCAAGTAAATGCACGGGTTTGGAATCCCATCAGCAGCACGCAGAAACTTCAGGAACGGTCTTGAGGCGAGCTACCTGATAGGATCCCCGAGGGAGATCAGCAGGCCTCTTTTTCCTCTTGTCCTTGAGCGCGCTGGGAAATCCAATACGCCGGGTTTATATTGTGCCAACAGTGTAAACTTTGTTTGCAAGTAGCTCCAGCGCAAGCGCTACTGAAGTATAGAACCTGTCAATAACAACAAGATAGTGGTCACGGTGGTCCTTGGGGAGGACCAGGTCCAAATTCCGAAGAACCGCGGCTGGCCCTGACTTGTCGTCTATGGTTTGAGGACCCCCCAAGTGCGCTTTTTTAGCGCAGTACACCTCCAGCCTGCGTGAAAGGTTTGCAAGTTAGAATGTATCAATTCGTTGTTTCATTGTGAACTGACTTACCGTAAGCAGTATGCCGTACGTGGACAGCAAGTGAGAAACATCTTCGTTCCCCAGTTGTGCGGCTTGTCCCGCATAAACACAGGTGTTCCATTGTACTTGGAGTGCGAAGGCAAGATGCCCTCGTCATACGAAAAACAGGAACTGGAATAAACCCACTTTTGAAGATTTCCTGAAGCGTGTCGATTACCGGCCGGATCTTCCACGCACGATCAAGCTTTGCCTGAGGATCTTCGTTGTTGGAGAAGTGCAGGTGTTGCATAAGCTCGTCAAACCTGCAACTCAATCAATACATTATAAACGCTGTGATCGGGTCATTGCAACTCAAAAATATGCGCACCTGTTCCTCGGCATCCACGCGTTGAACGTTCCAGCTGGTAATGCTCCAACCGAGGTCGTACCCCAGTGGCTGGACAAACGCCGACGGTGTGGGCACAGCATTCGAGCAACGCGTAGGCCAATGAGATGGGCATATTCATGTGGTTCGAACGGCTTCATTGCTCGGAGCCGTTCCCGAATTGCTTTCAGCGATTCGACTTCTTTTACTCGGGTGCCTCGCCACTTGCTTGCTAGTTGCTTGTCTCGGATCCTTCTAGCACGGGAAAGCAATGTTTGCTTGGCGTAGAGATTACTCTCCTTGGCTATCATGTGGAGCAACGTCTTCGGGACGAAATACCAGAAAAGCTTTATGGGCGATTCGGCTAAGTCCAATACTTCACGCGTCGGTCCCCATTCACCTTGATACAGACCAGGATATTCTCTTTGATCTTGACTGCTGTGTTCAACTGAAAACATGATAGGTCAGTAGAAGTTAGTGCCATCAACATCTTTCGTTTTCACTGTTATATAATTTCCTTCTTCCCATCCGTTGGTTTCCCACGCCTTGATCTCGTTTCGCGTCCGAGCTAACTTGAGAAGCGCGTCGTCGTCGTTGATGTCAGCACCAAGCTCGGCCATATACTCAGCAATAGCGGCATCAGTCCAATTTGCCCCAGTATCTACAAAGCGAATATTTTCCTCGTGCGACTCCTCGCCTTCATCAGAGGGCCCATCTGAATCTAAGGCATCGAAGCCATTCCGATCACCGTCACCGCAGATATTAACGTCCATTGGTGTCTCCGGCCGACGCTGTTCGTCATCTGTTCGACTCTGCGAATCCCAGTCCCGGTCTGAATCGTTCACTGCGGAAGGTAGAATGTCTTGGTCGTCGTCTGCAATCTCACTGTCACTGCTACTGGAAGTCTCAGAGCAGGGCAATGTGGGCTCCCTCTGTTCTTCCCCACTGTTCACATAGCTGTTTACCGTCGTGGGAAATCCGCCAACCGCTCTGTAGGGCTGGGTAGTTGGACCGGGAAGAGCGCTTGATGTCGTCGTTGACCTTCGGGTCTTTTTGGTTGCTCTCTTTTTGTTTTCCACAGTTGTTGCAGTTACTTTAGGCGCTGAACTGGAGGTCGCGACAACTGGCGAAACATGCCGTTTCCCCTTCATAGCTACGCGTGGATTCCGCTTCTTTTTCTTCGTACTTCGCGTTGCTGAAGCTCGCTCGTGAATACTCCGCGTAGCCTTTGGGTTTGCCGCAGGACCCGGTTCCGTGTCTGCGCTTTGCCCTCTTGAACTGTGTTGCGGCAGTGTCGTCGCATTTGCCACTGTAGTCGAGAGGATAAATAGAATCTCCACCGGTACGTCTTTGCCGTTCACCGCGGGCGCACATGCGTTCGTTTTCTTCTTGCTTGATTTCCTGGCGGTTGACGTTCGAGTAGCGACATTTGAAGTCCCTTTTTGCCCCTTCGTTGACCGTGGCCGATCGGACACCATCGGTTCGCCTTCTATGGGTAGTGATGGACGCACCACAGCTTCTGTCGCCGCGCGAACCACTTGACTTTGCGTTGCTCGCATCTCAACCGACAAGCAACACGAATCAAACCGCTTCACGCCACTCACTCGATTTTGTTCCATCTAACTGGCGCATACTGCCCCACATCCTAGCGCCGGTACTCGCTGATAAAACTTATAGTATACAAACCGCTAATGTGTCCCTTGCAGATCACCACAGACAGGAAAGTAAGCCGAAAGGGAACACGTTCGCAACGCACGACCATTGCGGTTGCCGCAAGCTCACTTCACGGCCTGGCAGGTGTGTCCGTATCAACTACTCGTCTCCAGGTCGCTTTTGGCTCCTGGCCATTACGGCCCGCACCTGCGAGCACGCAACGGACAGGTTAGTAGGCCGAAACTACGGTAACCCTGTTCGCGATGCACGACGATGGCGGTTGCCGCAAGCTCACTTCCCGGCCTGGCAGGTGTGTCCGTATCAACTACTCGTCTCCAGGTCGCTTTTGGCTCCTGGCCATTACGGCCCGCACCTGCGAGCACGCAACGGACAGGTTAGTAGGCCGAAACTACGGTAACCCTGTTCGCGATGCACGACGATGGCGGTTGCCGCAAGCTCACTTCCCGGCCTGGCAGGTGTGTCCGTATCAACTACTCGTCTCCAGGTCGCTTTTGGCTCCTGGCCATTACGGCCCGCACCTGCGAGCACGCAACGGACAGGTTAGTAGGCCGAAACTACGGTAACCCTGTTCGCGATGCACGACGATGGCGGTTGCCGCAAGCTCACTTCCCGGCCTGGCAGGTGTGTCCGTATCAACTACTCGTCTCCAGGTCGCTTTTGGCTCCTGGCCATTACGGCCCGCACCTGCGAGCACGCAACGGACAGGTTAGTAGGCCGAAACTACGGTAACCCTGTTCGCGATGCACGACGATGGCGGTTGCCGCAAGCTCACTGCACGGCCTGGCAGGCGTGTCCGTATCAACTACTCGTCTCGTCTCCAGGTCGCTTTTGGCTCCTGGCCATTACGGCCCGCACCTGCGAGCACGCAACGGACAGGTTAGTAGGCCGAAACTACGGTAACCCTGTTCGCGATGCACGACGATGGCGGTTGCCGCAAGCTCACTTCACGGCCTGGCAGGCGTGTCCGTATCAACTACTCGTCTCCAGGTCGCTTTTGGCTCCTGGCCATTACGGCCCGCACCTGCGAGCACGCAACGGACAGGTTAGTAGGCCGAAACTACGGTAACCCTGTTCGCGATGCACGACGATGGCGGTTGCCGCAAGCTCACTTCCCGGCCTGGCAGGTGTGTCCGTATCAACTACTCGTCTCGTCTCCAGGTCGCTTTTGGCTCCTGGCCATTACGGCCCGCACCTGCGAGCACGCAACGGACAGGTTAGTAGGCCGAAACTACGGTAACCCTGTTCGCGATGCACGACGATGGCGGTTGCCGCAAGCTCACTTCACGGCCTGGCAGGCGTGTCCGTATCAACTACTCGTCTCCAGGTCGCTTTTGGCTCCTGGCCATTACGGCCCGCACCTGCGAGCACGCAACGGACAGGTTAGTAGGCCGAAACTACGGTAACCCTGTTCGCGATGCACGACGATGGCGGTTGCCGCAAGCTCACTTCACGGCCTGGCAGGCGTGTCCGTATCAACTACTCGTCTCCAGGTCGCTTTTGGCTCCTGGCCATTACGGCCCGCACCTGCGAGCACGCAACGGACAGGTTAGTAGGCCGAAACTACGGTAACCCTGTTCGCGATGCACGACGATGGCGGTTGCCGCAAGCTCACTTCCCGGCCTGGCAGGTGTGTCCGTATCAACTACTCGTCTCGTCTCCAGGTCGCTTTTGGCTCCTGGCCATTACGGCCCGCACCTGCGAGCACGCAACGGACAGGTTAGTAGGCCGAAACTACGGTAACCCTGTTCGCGATGCACGACGATGGCGGTTGCCGCAAGCTCACTTCCCGGCCTGGCAGGTGTGTCCGTATCAACTACTCGTCTCCAGGTCGCTTTTGGCTCCTGGCCATTACGGCCCGCACCTGCGAGCACGCAACGGACAGGTTAGTAGGCCGAAACTACGGTAACCCTGTTCGCGATGCACGACGATGGCGGTTGCCGCAAGCTCACTTCACGGCCTGGCAGGCGTGTCCGTATCAACTACTCGTCTCCAGGTCGCTTTTGGCTCCTGGCCATTACGGCCCGCACCTGCGAGCACGCAACGGACAGGTTAGTAGGCCGAAACTACGGTAACCCTGTTCGCGATGCACGACGATGGCGGTTGCCGCAAGCTCACTTCACGGCCTGGCAGGCGTGTCCGTATCAACTACTCGTCTCCAGGTCGCTTTTGGCTCCTGGCCATTACGGCCCGCACCTGCGAGCACGCAACGGACAGGTTAGTAGGCCGAAACTACGGTAACCCTGTTCGCGATGCACGACGATGGCGGTTGCCGCAAGCTCACTTCCCGGCCTGGCAGGTGTGTCCGTATCAACTACTCGTCTCCAGGTCGCTTTTGGCTCCTGGCCATTACGGCCCGCACCTGCGAGCACGCAACGGACAGGTTAGTAGGCCGAAACTACGGTAACCCTGTTCGCGATGCACGACGATGGCGGTTGCCGCAAGCTCACTTCCCGGCCTGGCAGGTGTGTCCGTATCAACTACTCGTCTCCAGGTCGCTTTTGGCTCCTGGCCATTACGGCCCGCACCTGCGAGCACGCAACGGACAGGTTAGTAGGCCGAAACTACGGTAACCCTGTTCGCGATGCACGACGATGGCGGTTGCCGCAAGCTCACTTCACGGCCTGGCAGGCGTGTCCGTATCAACTACTCGTCTCCAGGTCGCTTTTGGCTCCTGGCCATTACGGCCCGCACCTGCGAGCACGCAACGGACAGGTTAGTAGGCCGAAACTACGGTAACCCTGTTCGCGATGCACGACGATGGCGGTTGCCGCAAGCTCACTTCCCGGCCTGGCAGGTGTGTCCGTATCAACTACTCGTCTCCAGGTCGCTTTTGGCTCCTGGCCATTACGGCCCGCACCTGCGAGCACGCAACGGACAGGTTAGTAGGCCGAAACTACGGTAACCCTGTTCGCGATGCACGACGATGGCGGTTGCCGCAAGCTCACTTCACGGCCTGGCAGGCGTGTCCGTATCAACTACTCGTCTCCAGGTCGCTTTTGGCTCCTGGCCATTACGGCCCGCACCTGCGAGCACGCAACGGACAGGTTAGTAGGCCGAAACTACGGTAACCCTGTTCGCGATGCACGACGATGGCGGTTGCCGCAAGCTCACTTCACGGCCTGGCAGGCGTGTCCGTATCAACTACTCGTCTCCAGGTCGCTTTTGGCTCCTGGCCATTACGGCCCGCACCTGCGAGCACGCAACGGACAGGTTAGTAGGCCGAAACTACGGTAACCCTGTTCGCGATGCACGACGATGGCGGTTGCCGCAAGCTCACTTCCCGGCCTGGCAGGTGTGTCCGTATCAACTACTCGTCTCCAGGTCGCTTTTGGCTCCTGGCCATTACGGCCCGCACCTGCGAGCACGCAACGGACAGGTTAGTAGGCCGAAACTACGGTAACCCTGTTCGCGATGCACGACGATGGCGGTTGCCGCAAGCTCACTTCCCGGCCTGGCAGGTGTGTCCGTATCAACTACTCGTCTCCAGGTCGCTTTTGGCTCCTGGCCATTACGGCCCGCACCTGCGAGCACGCAACGGACAGGTTAGTAGGCCGAAACTACGGTAACCCTGTTCGCGATGCACGACGATGGCGGTTGCCGCAAGCTCACTTCCCGGCCTGGCAGGTGTGTCCGTATCAACTACTCGTCTCCAGGTCGCTTTTGGCTCCTGGCCATTACGGCCCGCACCTGCGAGCACGCAACGGACAGGTTAGTAGGCCGAAACTACGGTAACCCTGTTCGCGATGCACGACGATGGCGGTTGCCGCAAGCTCACTTCCCGGCCTGGCAGGTGTGTCCGTATCAACTACTCGTCTCCAGGTCGCTTTTGGCTCCTGGCCATTACGGCCCGCACCTGCGAGCAGGTAAGTAGGCCGAAACTACGGTAACCCTGTTCGCGATGCACGACGATGGCGGTTGCCGCAAGCTCACTTCCCGGCCTGGCAGGTGTGTCCGTATCAACTACTCGTCTCCAGGTCGCTTTTGGCTCCTGGCCATTACGGCCCGCACCTGCGAGCACGCAACGGACAGGTTAGTAGGCCGAAACTACGGTAACCCTGTTCGCGATGCACGACGATGGCGGTTGCCGCAAGCTCACTTCCCGACCTGGCAGGTGTGTCCGTATCAACTACTCGTCTCCAGGTCGCTTTTGGCTCCTGGCCATTACGGCCCGCACCTGCGAGCACGCAACGGACAGGTTAGTAGGCCGAAACTACGGTAACCCTGTTCGCGATGCACGACGATGGCGGTTGCCGCAAGCTCACTTCCCGGCCTGGCAGGCGTGTCCGTATCAACTACTCGTCTCCAGGTCGCTTTTGGCTCCTGGCCATTACGGCCCGCACCTGCGAGCACGCAACGGACAGGTTAGTAGGCCGAAACTACGGTAACCCTGTTCGCGATGCACGACGATGGCGGTTGCCGCAAGCTCACTTCACGGCCTGGCAGGCGTGTCCGTATTAACTACTCGTCTCCAGGTCGCTTTTGGCTCCTGGCCATTACGGCCCGCACCTGCGAGCACGCAACGGACAGGTTAGTAGGCCGAAACTACGGTAACCCTGTTCGCGATGCACGACGATGGCGGTTGCCGCAAGCTCACTTCACGGCCTGGCAGGCGTGTCCGTATCAACTACTCGTCTCCAGGTCGCTTTTGGCTCCTGGCCATTACGGCCCGCACCTGCGATCACGCAACGGACAGGTTAGTAGGCCGAAACTACGGTAACCCTGTTCGCGATGCACGACGATGGCGGTTGCCGCAAGCTCACTTCACGGCCTGGCAGGCGTGTCCGTATTAACTACTCGTCTCCAGTTCGCTTTTGGCTCCTGGCCATTACGGCCCGCACCTGCGAGCACGCAACGGACAGGTTAGTAGGCCGAAACTACGGTAACCCTGTTCGCGATGCACGACGATGGCGGTTGCCGCAAGCTCACTTCACGGCCTGGCAGGCGTGTCCGTATCAACTACTCGTCTCCAGGTCGCTTTTGGCTCCTGGCCATTACGGCCCGCACCTGCGAGCACGCAACGGACAGGTTAGTAGGCCGAAACTACGGTAACCCTGTTCGCGATGCACGACGATGGCGGTTGCCGCAAGCTCACTTCCCGGCCTGGCAGGCGTGTCCGTATTAACTACTCGTCTCCAGGTCGCTTTTGGCTCCTGGCCATTACGGCCCGCACCTGCGAGCACGCAACGGACAGGTTAGTAGGCCGAAACTACGGTAACCCTGTTCGCGATGCACGACGATGGCGGTTGCCGCAAGCTCACTTCACGGCCTGGCAGGCGTGTCCGTATCAACTACTCGTCTCCAGGTCGCTTTTGGCTCCTGGCCATTACGGCCCGCACCTGCGATCACGCAACGGACAGGTTAGTAGGCCGAAACTACGGTAACCCTGTTCGCGATGCACGACGATGGCGGTTGCCGCAAGCTCACTTCACGGCCTGGCAGGCGTGTCCGTATTAACTACTCGTCTCCAGGTCGCTTTTGGCTCCTGGCCATTACGGCCCGCACCTGCGAGCACGCAACGGACAGGTTACTAGGCCGAAACTACGGTAACCCTGTTCGCGATGCACGACGATGGCGGTTGCCGCAAGCTCACTTCCCGGCCTGGCAGGCGTGTCCGTATCAACTACTCGTCTCCAGGTCGCTTTTGGCTCCTGGCCATTACGGCCCGCACCTGCGAGCACGCAACGGACAGGTTAGTAGGCCGAAACTACGGTAACCCTGTTCGCGATGCACGACGATGGCGGTTGCCGCAAGCTCACTTCACGGCCTGGCAGGCGTGTCCGTATTAACTACTCGTCTCCAGGTCGCTTTTGGCTCCTGGCCATTACGGCCCGCACCTGCGAGCACGCAACGGACAGGTTAGTAGGCCGAAACTACGGTAACCCTGTTCGCGATGCACGACGATGGCGGTTGCCGCAAGCTCACTTCACGGCCTGGCAGGCGTGTCCGTATCAACTACTCGTCTCCAGGTCGCTTTTGGCTCCTGGCCATTACGGCCCGCACCTGCGAGCACGCAACGGACAGGTTAGTAGGCCGAAACTACGGTAACCCTGTTCGCGATGCACGACGATGGCGGTTGCCGCAAGCTCACTTCACGGCCTGGCAGGCGTGTCCGTATCAACTACTCGTCTCCAGGTCGCTTTTGGCTCCTGGCCATTACGGCCCGCACCTGCGATCACGCAACGGACAGGTTAGTAGGCCGAAACTACGGTAACCCTGTTCGCGATGCACGACGATGGCGGTTGCCGCAAGCTCACTTCCCGGCCTGGCAGGCGTGTCCGTATCAACTACTCGTCTCCAGGTCGCTTTTGGCTCCTGGCCATTACGGCCCGCACCTGCGAGCACGCAACGGACAGGTTACTAGGCCGAAACTACGGTAACCCTGTTCGCGATGCACGACGATGGCGGTTGCCGCAAGCTCACTTCACGGCCTGGCAGGCGTGTCCGTATCAACTACTCGTCTCCAGGTCGCTTTTGGCTCCTGGCCATTACGGCCCGCACCTGCGAGCACGCAACGGACAGGTTAGTAGGCCGAAACTACGGTAACCCTGTTCGCGATGCACGACGATGGCGGTTGCCGCAAGCTCACTTCCCGGCCTGGCAGGCGTGTCCGTATCAACTACTCGTCTCCAGGTCGCTTTTGGCTCCTGGCCATTACGGCCCGCACCTGCGAGCACGCAACGGACAGGTTAGTAGGCCGAAACTACGGTAACCCTGTTCGCGATGCACGACGATGGCGGTTGCCGCAAGCTCACTTCACGGCCTGGCAGGCGTGTCCGTATCAACTACTCGTCTCCAGGTCGCTTTTGGCTCCTGGCCATTACGGCCCGCACCTGCGAGCACGCAACGGACAGGTTACTAGGCCGAAACTACGGTAACCCTGTTCGCGATGCACGACGATGGCGGTTGCCGCAAGCTCACTTCACGGCCTGGCAGGCGTGTCCGTATCAACTACTCGTCTCCAGGTCGCTTTTGGCTCCTGGCCATTACGGCCCGCACCTGCGAGCACGCAACGGACAGGTTAGTAGGCCGAAACTACGGTAACCCTGTTCGCGATGCACGACGATGGCGGTTGCCGCAAGCTCACTTCCCGGCCTGGCAGGTGTGTCCGTATCAACTACTCGTCTCCAGGTCGCTTTTGGCTCCTGGCCATTACGGCCCGCACCTGCGAGCACGCAACGGACAGGTTAGTAGGCCGAAACTACGGTAACCCTGTTCGCGATGCACGACGATGGCGGTTGCCGCAAGCTCACTTCACGGCCTGGCAGGCGTGTCCGTATTAACTACTCGTCTCCAGGTCGCTTTTGGCTCCTGGCCATTACGGCCCGCACCTGCGAGCACGCAACGGACAGGTTAGTAGGCCGAAACTACGGTAACCCTGTTCGCGATGCACGACGATGGCGGTTGCCGCAAGCTCACTTCCCGGCCTGGCAGGTGTGTCCGTATCAACTACTCGTCTCCAGGTCGCTTTTGGCTCCTGGCCATTACGGCCCGCACCTGCGAGCACGCAACGGACAGGTTAGTAGGCCGAAACTACGGTAACCCTGTTCGCGATGCACGACGATGGCGGTTGCCGCAAGCTCACTTCACGGCCTGGCAGGTGTGTCCGTATCAACTACTCGTCTCCAGGTCGCTTTTGGCTCCTGGCCATTACGGCCCGCACCTGCGAGCACGCAACGGACAGGTTAGTAGGCCGAAACTACGGTAACCCTGTTCGCGATGCACGACGATGGCGGTTGCCGCAAGCTCACTTCACGGCCTGGCAGGCGTGTCCGTATCAACTACTCGTCTCCAGGTCGCTTTTGGCTCCTGGCCATTACGGCCCGCACCTGCGATCACGCAACGGACAGGTTAGTAGGCCGAAACTACGGTAACCCTGTTCGCGATGCACGACGATGGCGGTTGCCGCAAGCTCACTTCCCGGCCTGGCAGGCGTGTCCGTATCAACTACTCGTCTCCAGGTCGCTTTTGGCTCCTGGCCATTACGGCCCGCACCTGCGAGCACGCAACGGACAGGTTAGTAGGCCGAAACTACGGTAACCCTGTTCGCGATGCACGACGATGGCGGTTGCCGCAAGCTCACTTCCCGGCCTGGCAGGTGTGTCCGTATCAACTACTCGTCTCCAGGTCGCTTTTGGCTCCTGGCCATTACGGCCCGCACCTGCGAGCACGCAACGGACAGGTTAGTAGGCCGAAACTACGGTAACCCTGTTCGCGATGCACGACGATGGCGGTTGCCGCAAGCTCACTTCCCGGCCTGGCAGGCGTGTCCGTATCAACTACTCGTCTCCAGGTCGCTTTTGGCTCCTGGCCATTACGGCCCGCACCTGCGAGCACGCAACGGACAGGTTAGTAGGCCGAAACTACGGTAACCCTGTTCGCGATGCACGACGATGGCGGTTGCCGCAAGCTCACTTCCCGGCCTGGCAGGCGTGTCCGTATCAACTACTCGTCTCCAGGTCGCTTTTGGCTCCTGGCCATTACGGCCCGCACCTGCGAGCACGCAACGGACAGGTTAGTAGGCCGAAACTACGGTAACCCTGTTCGCGATGCACGACGATGGCGGTTGCCGCAAGCTCACTTCCCGGCCTGGCAGGTGTGTCCGTATCAACGACTCGTCTCCAGGTCGGTTTTGGCTCCTGGCCATTACGGCCTGCACCTGCGAGCACGCAACGGACAGGTTAGTAGGCCGAAACTACGGTAACCCTGTTCGCGATGCACGACGATGGCGGTTGCCGCAAGCTCACTTCACGGCCTGGCAGGCGTGTCCGTATCAACTACTCGTCTCCAGGTCGCTTTTGGCTCCTGGCCATTACGGCCCGCACCTGCGAGCACGCAACGGACAGGTTAGTAGGCCGAAACTACGGTAACCCTGTTCGCGATGCACGACGATGGCGGTTGCCGCAAGCTCACTTCCCGGCCTGGCAGGTGTGTCCGTATCAACTACTCGTCTCCAGGTCGCTTTTGGCTCCTGGCCATTACGGCCCGCACCTGCGAGCACGCAACGGACAGGTTAGTAGGCCGAAACTACGGTAACCCTGTTCGCGATGCACGACGATGGCGGTTGCCGCAAGCTCACTTCCCGGCCTGGCAGGTGTGTCCGTATCAACTACTCGTCTCCAGGTCGCTTTTGGCTCCTGGCCATTACGGCCCGCACCTGCGAGCACGCAACGGACAGGTTAGTAGGCCGAAACTACGGTAACCCTGTTCGCGATGCACGACGATGGCGGTTGCCGCAAGCTCACTTCCCGGCCTGGCAGGTGTGTCCGTATCAACTACTCGTCTCCAGGTCGCTTTTGGCTCCTGGCCATTACGGCCCGCACCTGCGAGCACGCAACGGACAGGTTAGTAGGCCGAAACTACGGTAACCCTGTTCGCGATGCACGACGATGGCGGTTGCCGCAAGCTCACTTCCCGGCCTGGCAGGCGTGTCCGTATCAACTACTCGTCGCCAGGTCGCTTTTGGCTCCTGGCCATTACGGCCCGCACCTGCGAGCACGCAACGGACAGGTTAGTAGGCCGAAACTACGGTAACCCTGTTCGCGATGCACGACGATGGCGGTTGCCGCAAGCTCACTTCCCGGCCTGGCAGGCGTGTCCGTATCAACTACTCGTCTCCAGGTCGCTTTTGGCTCCTGGCCATTACGGCCCGCACCTGCGAGCACGCAACGGACAGGTTAGTAGGCCGAAACTACGGTAACCCTGTTCGCGATGCACGACGATGGCGGTTGCCGCAAGCTCACTTCACGGCCTGGCAGGCGTGTCCGTATCAACTACTCGTCTCCAGGTCGCTTTTGGCTCCTGGCCATTACGGCCCGCACCTGCGAGCACGCAACGGACAGGTTAGTAGGCCGAAACTACGGTAACCCTGTTCGCGATGCACGACGATGGCGGTTGCCGCAAGCTCACTTCCCGGCCTGGCAGGTGTGTCCGTATCAACTACTCGTCTCCAGGTCGCTTTTGGCTCCTGGCCATTACGGCCCGCACCTGCGAGCACGCAACGGACAGGTTAGTAGGCCGAAACTACGGTAACCCTGTTCGCGATGCACGACGATGGCGGTTGCCGCAAGCTCACTTCCCGGCCTGGCAGGCGTGTCCGTATCAACTACTCGTCGCCAGGTCGCTTTTGGCTCCTGGCCATTACGGCCCGCACCTGCGAGCACGCAACGGACAGGTTAGTAGGCCGAAACTACGGTAACCCTGTTCGCGATGCACGACGATGGCGGTTGCCGCAAGCTCACTTCCCGGCCTGGCAGGCGTGTCCGTATCAACTACTCGTCTCCAGGTCGCTTTTGGCTCCTGGCCATTACGGCCCGCACCTGCGAGCACGCAACGGACAGGTTAGTAGGCCGAAACTACGGTAACCCTGTTCGCGATGCACGACGATGGCGGTTGCCGCAAGCTCACTTCCCGGCCTGGCAGGTGTGTCCGTATCAACTACTCGTCTCCAGGTCGCTTTTGGCTCCTGGCCATTACGGCCCGCACCTGCGAGCACGCAACGGACAGGTTAGTAGGCCGAAACTACGGTAACCCTGTTCGCGATGCACGACGATGGCGGTTGCCGCAAGCTCACTTCCCGGCCTGGCAGGTGTGTCCGTATCAACTACTCGTCTCCAGGTCGCTTTTGGCTCCTGGCCATTACGGCCCGCACCTGCGAGCACGCAACGGACAGGTTAGTAGGCCGAAACTACGGTAACCCTGTTCGCGATGCACGACGATGGCGGTTGCCGCAAGCTCACTTCACGGCCTGGCAGGCGTGTCCGTATCAACTACTCGTCTCCAGGTCGCTTTTGGCTCCTGGCCATTACGGCCCGCACCTGCGAGCACGCAACGGACAGGTTAGTAGGCCGAAACTACGGTAACCCTGTTCGCGATGCACGACGATGGCGGTTGCCGCAAGCTCACTTCCCGGCCTGGCAGGTGTGTCCGTATCAACTACTCGTCTCCAGGTCGCTTTTGGCTCCTGGCCATTACGGCCCGCACCTGCGAGCACGCAACGGACAGGTTAGTAGGCCGAAACTACGGTAACCCTGTTCGCGATGCACGACGATGGCGGTTGCCGCAAGCTCACTTCCCGGCCTGGCAGGTGTGTCCGTATCAACTACTCGTCTCCAGGTCGCTTTTGGCTCCTGGCCATTACGGCCCGCACCTGCGAGCACGCAACGGACAGGTTAGTAGGCCGAAACTACGGTAACCCTGTTCGCGATGCACGACGATGGCGGTTGCCGCAAGCTCACTTCCCGGCCTGGCAGGCGTGTCCGTATCAACTACTCGTCTCCAGGTCGCTTTTGGCTCCTGGCCATTACGGCCCGCACCTGCGAGCACGCAACGGACAGGTTAGTAGGCCGAAACTACGGTAACCCTGTTCGCGATGCACGACGATGGCGGTTGCCGCAAGCTCACTTCCCGGCCTGGCAGGTGTGTCCGTATCAACTACTCGTCTCCAGGTCGCTTTTGGCTCCTGGCCATTACGGCCCGCACCTGCGAGCACGCAACGGACAGGTTAGTAGGCCGAAACTACGGTAACCCTGTTCGCGATGCACGACGATGGCGGTTGCCGCAAGCTCACTTCCCGGCCTGGCAGGCGTGTCCGTATCAACTACTCGTCTCCAGGTCGCTTTTGGCTCCTGGCCATTACGGCCCGCACCTGCGAGCACGCAACGGACAGGTTAGTAGGCCGAAACTACGGTAACCCTGTTCGCGATGCACGACGATGGCGGTTGCCGCAAGCTCACTTCACGGCCTGGCAGGCGTGTCCGTATCAACTACTCGTCTCCAGGTCGCTTTTGGCTCCTGGCCATTACGGCCCGCACCTGCGAGCACGCAACGGACAGGTTAGTAGGCCGAAACTACGGTAACCCTGTTCGCGATGCACGACGATGGCGGTTGCCGCAAGCTCACTTCACGGCCTGGCAGGCGTGTCCGTATCAACTACTCGTCTCCAGGTCGCTTTTGGCTCCTGGCCATTACGGCCCGCACCTGCGAGCACGCAACGGACAGGTTAGTAGGCCGAAACTACGGTAACCCTGTTCGCGATGCACGACGATGGCGGTTGCCGCAAGCTCACTTCCCGGCCTGGCAGGTGTGTCCGTATCAACTACTCGTCTCCAGGTCGCTTTTGGCTCCTGGCCATTACGGCCCGCACCTGCGAGCACGCAACGGACAGGTTAGTAGGCCGAAACTACGGTAACCCTGTTCGCGATGCACGACGATGGCGGTTGCCGCAAGCTCACTTCCCGGCCTGGCAGGTGTGTCCGTATCAACTACTCGTCTCCAGGTCGCTTTTGGCTCCTGGCCATTACGGCCCGCACCTGCGAGCACGCAACGGACAGGTTAGTAGGCCGAAACTACGGTAACCCTGTTCGCGATGCACGACGATGGCGGTTGCCGCAAGCTCACTGCACGGCCTGGCAGGCGTGTCCGTATCAACTACTCGTCTCGTCTCCAGGTCGCTTTTGGCTCCTGGCCATTACGGCCCGCACCTGCGAGCACGCAACGGACAGGTTAGTAGGCCGAAACTACGGTAACCCTGTTCGCGATGCACGACGATGGCGGTTGCCGCAAGCTCACTTCACGGCCTGGCAGGCGTGTCCGTATCAACTACTCGTCTCCAGGTCGCTTTTGGCTCCTGGCCATTACGGCCCGCACCTGCGAGCACGCAACGGACAGGTTAGTAGGCCGAAACTACGGTAACCCTGTTCGCGATGCACGACGATGGCGGTTGCCGCAAGCTCACTTCCCGGCCTGGCAGACACGTCCGTATCAACTACTCGTCTCCAGGTCGCTTTTGGCTCCTGGCCATTACGGCCCGCACCTGCGAGCACGCAACGGACAGGTTAGTAGGCCGAAACTACGGTAACCCTGTTCGCGATGCACGACGATGGCGGTTGCCGCAAGCTCACTTCCCGGCCTGGCAGGCGTGACCGTATCAACTACTCGTCTCCAGGTCGCTTTTGGCTCCTGGCCATTACGGCCTGCACCTGCGAGCACGCAACGGACAGGTTAGTAGGCCGAAACTACGGTAACCCTGTTCGCGATGCACGACGATGGCGGTTGCCGCAAGCTCACTTCACGGCCTGGCAGGCGTGTCCGTATCAACTACTCGTCTCGTCTCCAGGTCGCTTTTGGCTCCTGGCCATTACGGCCCGCACCTGCGAGCACGCAACGGACAGGTTAGTAGGCCGAAACTACGGTAACCCTGTTCGCGATGCACGACGATGGCGGTTGCCGCAAGCTCACTTCACGGCCTGGCAGGCGTGTCCGTATCAACTACTCGTCTCGTCTCCAGGTCGCTTTTGGCTCCTGGCCATTACGGCCCGCACCTGCGAGCACGCAACGGACAGGTTAGTAGGCCGAAACTACGGTAACCCTGTTCGCGATGCACGACGATGGCGGTTGCCGCAAGCTCACTTCACGGCCTGGCAGGCGTGTCCGTATCAACTACTCGTCTCCAGGTCGCTTTTGGCTCCTGGCCATTACGGCCCGCACCTGCGAGCACGCAACGGACAGGTTAGTAGGCCGAAACTACGGTAACCCTGTTCGCGATGCACGACGATGGCGGTTGCCGCAAGCTCACTTCACGGCCTGGCAGGCGTGTCCGTATCAACTACTCGTCTCCAGGTCGCTTTTGGCTCCTGGCCATTACGGCCCGCACCTGCGAGCACGCAACGGACAGGTTAGTAGGCCGAAACTACGGTAACCCTGTTCGCGATGCACGACGATGGCGGTTGCCGCAAGCTCACTTCACGGCCTGGCAGGCGTGTCCGTATCAACTACTCGTCTCCAGGTCGCTTTTGGCTCCTGGCCATTACGGCCCGCACCTGCGAGCACGCAACGGACAGGTTAGTAGGCCGAAACTACGGTAACCCTGTTCGCGATGCACGACGATGGCGGTTGCCGCAAGCTCACTTCACGGCCTGGCAGGCGTGTCCGTATCAACTACTCGTCTCGTCTCCAGGTCGCTTTTGGCTCCTGGCCATTACGGCCCGCACCTGCGAGCACGCAACGGACAGGTTAGTAGGCCGAAACTACGGTAACCCTGTTCGCGATGCACGACGATGGCGGTTGCCGCAAGCTCACTTCCCGGCCTGGCAGGCGTGTCCGTATCAACTACTCGTCTCCAGGTCGCTTTTGGCTCCTGGCCATTACGGCCCGCACCTGCGAGCACGCAACGGACAGGTTAGTAGGCCGAAACTACGGTAACCCTGTTCGCGATGCACGACGATGGCGGTTGCCGCAAGCTCACTTCACGGCCTGGCAGGCGTGTCCGTATCAACTACTCGTCTCCAGGTCGCTTTTGGCTCCTGGCCATTACGGCCCGCACCTGCGAGCACGCAACGGACAGGTTAGTAGGCCGAAACTACGGTAACCCTGTTCGCGATGCACGACGATGGCGGTTGCCGCAAGCTCACTTCACGGCCTGGCAGGCGTGTCCGTATCAACTACTCGTCTCCAGGTCGCTTTTGGCTCCTGGCCATTACGGCCCGCACCTGCGAGCACGCAACGGACAGGTTAGTAGGCCGAAACTACGGTAACCCTGTTCGCGATGCACGACGATGGCGGTTGCCGCAAGCTCACTTCACGGCCTGGCAGGCGTGTCCGTATCAACTACTCGTCTCCAGGTCGCTTTTGGCTCCTGGCCATTACGGCCCGCACCTGCGAGCACGCAACGGACAGGTTAGTAGGCCGAAACTACGGTAACCCTGTTCGCGATGCACGACGATGGCGGTTGCCGCAAGCTCACTTCACGGCCTGGCAGGCGTGTCCGTATCAACTACTCGTCTCCAGGTCGCTTTTGGCTCCTGGCCATTACGGCCCGCACCTGCGAGCACGCAACGGACAGGTTAGTAGGCCGAAACTACGGTAACCCTGTTCGCGATGCACGACGATGGCGGTTGCCGCAAGCTCACTTCACGGCCTGGCAGGCGTGTCCGTATCAACTACTCGTCTCCAGGTCGCTTTTGGCTCCTGGCCATTACGGCCCGCACCTGCGATCACGCAACGGACAGGTTAGTAGGCCGAAACTACGGTAACCCTGTTCGCGATGCACGACGATGGCGGTTGCCGCAAGCTCACTTCACGGCCTGGCAGGCGTGTCCGTATCAACTACTCGTCTCCAGGTCGCTTTTGGCTCCTGGCCATTACGGCCCGCACCTGCGAGCACGCAACGGACAGGTTAGTAGGCCGAAACTACGGTAACCCTGTTCGCGATGCACGACGATGGCGGTTGCCGCAAGCTCACTTCACGGCCTGGCAGGCGTGTCCGTATCAACTACTCGTCTCGTCTCCAGGTCGCTTTTGGCTCCTGGCCATTACGGCCCGCACCTGCGAGCACGCAACGGACAGGTTAGTAGGCCGAAACTACGGTAACCCTGTTCGCGATGCACGACGATGGCGGTTGCCGCAAGCTCACTTCCCGGCCTGGCAGGCGTGTCCGTATCAACTACTCGTCTCCAGGTCGCTTTTGGCTCCTGGCCATTACGGCCCGCACCTGCGAGCACGCAACGGACAGGTTAGTAGGCCGAAACTACGGTAACCCTGTTCGCGATGCACGACGATGGCGGTTGCCGCAAGCTCACTTCACGGCCTGGCAGGCGTGTCCGTATCAACTACTCGTCTCCAGGTCGCTTTTGGCTCCTGGCCATTACGGCCCGCACCTGCGAGCACGCAACGGACAGGTTAGTAGGCCGAAACTACGGTAACCCTGTTCGCGATGCACGACGATGGCGGTTGCCGCAAGCTCACTTCACGGCCTGGCAGGCGTGTCCGTATCAACTACTCGTCTCCAGGTCGCTTTTGGCTCCTGGCCATTACGGCCTGCACCTGCGAGCACGCAACGGACAGGTTAGTAGGCCGAAACTACGGTAACCCTGTTCGCGATGCACGACGATGGCGGTTGCCGCAAGCTCACTTCACGGCCTGGCAGGCGTGTCCGTATCAACTACTCGTCTCGTCTCCAGGTCGCTTTTGGCTCCTGGCCATTACGGCCCGCACCTGCGAGCACGCAACGGACAGGTTAGTAGGCCGAAACTACGGTAACCCTGTTCGCGATGCACGACGATGGCGGTTGCCGCAAGCTCACTTCCCGGCCTGGCAGGTGTGTCCGTATCAACTACTCGTCTCCAGGTCGCTTTTGGCTCCTGGCCATTACGGCCCGCACCTGCGAGCACGCAACGGACAGGTTAGTAGGCCGAAACTACGGTAACCCTGTTCGCGATGCACGACGATGGCGGTTGCCGCAAGCTCACTTCACGGCCTGGCAGGTGTGTCCGTATCAACTACTCGTCTCCAGGTCGCTTTTGGCTCCTGGCCATTACGGCCCGCACCTGCGAGCACGCAACGGACAGGTTAGTAGGCCGAAACTACGGTAACCCTGTTCGCGATGCACGACGATGGCGGTTGCCGCAAGCTCACTTCCCGGCCTGGCAGGTGTGTCCGTATCAACTACTCGTCTCCAGGTCGCTTTTGGCTCCTGGCCATTACGGCCCGCACCTGCGAGCACGCAACGGACAGGTTAGTAGGCCGAAACTACGGTAACCCTGTTCGCGATGCACGACGATGGCGGTTGCCGCAAGCTCACTTCACGGCCTGGCAGGCGTGTCCGTATCAACTACTCGTCTCCAGGTCGCTTTTGGCTCCTGGCCATTACGGCCCGCACCTGCGAGCACGCAACGGACAGGTTAGTAGGCCGAAACTACGGTAACCCTGTTCGCGATGCACGACGATGGCGGTTGCCGCAAGCTCACTTCCCGGCCTGGCAGGCGTGTCCGTATCAACTACTCGTCTCCAGGTCGCTTTTGGCTCCTGGCCATTACGGCCCGCACCTGCGAGCACGCAACGGACAGGTTAGTAGGCCGAAACTACGGTAACCCTGTTCGCGATGCACGACGATGGCGGTTGCCGCAAGCTCACTTCACGGCCTGGCAGGCGTGTCCGTATCAACTACTCGTCTCCAGGTCGCTTTTGGCTCCTGGCCATTACGGCCCGCACCTGCGAGCACGCAACGGACAGGTTAGTAGGCCGAAACTACGGTAACCCTGTTCGCGATGCACGACGATGGCGGTTGCCGCAAGCTCACTTCACGGCCTGGCAGGCGTGTCCGTATCAACTACTCGTCTCCAGGTCGCTTTTGGCTCCTGGCCATTACGGCCTGCACCTGCGAGCACGCAACGGACAGGTTAGTAGGCCGAAACTACGGTAACCCTGTTCGCGATGCACGACGATGGCGGTTGCCGCAAGCTCACTTCACGGCCTGGCAGGCGTGTCCGTATCAACTACTCGTCTCGTCTCCAGGTCGCTTTTGGCTCCTGGCCATTACGGCCCGCACCTGCGAGCACGCAACGGACAGGTTAGTAGGCCGAAACTACGGTAACCCTGTTCGCGATGCACGACGATGGCGGTTGCCGCAAGCTCACTTCCCGGCCTGGCAGACACGTCCGTATCAACTACTCGTCTCCAGGTCGCTTTTGGCTCCTGGCCATTACGGCCCGCACCTGCGAGCACGCAACGGACAGGTTAGTAGGCCGAAACTACGGTAACCCTGTTCGCGATGCACGACGATGGCGGTTGCCGCAAGCTCACTTCACGGCCTGGCAGGCGTGTCCGTATTAACTACTCGTCTCCAGGTCGCTTTTGGCTCCTGGCCATTACGGCCCGCACCTGCGAGCACGCAACGGACAGGTTAGTAGGCCGAAACTACGGTAACCCTGTTCGCGATGCACGACGATGGCGGTTGCCGCAAGCTCACTTCACGGCCTGGCAGGCGTGTCCGTATTAACTACTCGTCTCCAGGTCGCTTTTGGCTCCTGGCCATTACGGCCCGCACCTGCGAGCACGCAACGGACAGGTTAGTAGGCCGAAACTACGGTAACCCTGTTCGCGATGCACGACGATGGCGGTTGCCGCAAGCTCACTTCACGGCCTGGCAGGCGTGTCCGTATCAACTACTCGTCTCGTCTCCAGGTCGCTTTTGGCTCCTGGCCATTACGGCCCGCACCTGCGAGCACGCAACGGACAGGTTAGTAGGCCGAAACTACGGTAACCCTGTTCGCGATGCACGACGATGGCGGTTGCCGCAAGCTCACTTCCCGGCCTGGCAGGTGTGTCCGTATCAACTACTCGTCTCCAGGTCGCTTTTGGCTCCTGGCCATTACGGCCCGCACCTGCGAGCACGCAACGGACAGGTTAGTAGGCCGAAACTACGGTAACCCTGTTCGCGATGCACGACGATGGCGGTTGCCGCAAGCTCACTTCCCGGCCTGGCAGGTGTGTCCGTATCAACTACTCGTCTCCAGGTCGCTTTTGGCTCCTGGCCATTACGGCCCGCACCTGCGAGCACGCAACGGACAGGTTAGTAGGCCGAAACTACGGTAACCCTGTTCGCGATGCACGACGATGGCGGTTGCCGCAAGCTCACTTCCCGGCCTGGCAGGTGTGTCCGTATCAACTACTCGTCTCCAGGTCGCTTTTGGCTCCTGGCCATTACGGCCCGCACCTGCGAGCACGCAACGGACAGGTTAGTAGGCCGAAACTACGGTAACCCTGTTCGCGATGCACGACGATGGCGGTTGCCGCAAGCTCACTTCCCGGCCTGGCAGGTGTGTCCGTATCAACTACTCGTCTCCAGGTCGCTTTTGGTTCCTGGCCATTACGGCCCGCACCTGCGAGCACGCAACGGACAGGTTAGTAGGCCGAAACTACGGTAACCCTGTTCGCGATGCACGACGATGGCGGTTGCCGCAAGCTCACTTCCCGACCTGGCAGGTGTGTCCGTATCAACTACTCGTCTCCAGGTCGCTTTTGGCTCCTGGCCATTACGGCCCGCACCTGCGAGCACGCAACGGACAGGTTAGTAGGCCGAAACTACGGTAACCCTGTTCGCGATGCACGACGATGGCGGTTGCCGCAAGCTCACTTCCCGGCCTGGCAGGTGTGTCCGTATCAACTACTCGTCTCCAGGTCGCTTTTGGCTCCTGGCCATTACGGCCCGCACCTGCGAGCACGCAACGGACAGGTTAGTAGGCCGAAACTACGGTAACCCTGTTCGCGATGCACGACGATGGCGGTTGCCGCAAGCTCACTTCCCGGCCTGGCAGGTGTGTCCGTATCAACTACTCGTCTCCAGGTCGCTTTTGGCTCCTGGCCATTACGGCCCGCACCTGCGAGCACGCAACGGACAGGTTAGTAGGCCGAAACTACGGTAACCCTGTTCGCGATGCACGACGATGGCGGTTGCCGCAAGCTCACTTCACGGCCTGGCAGGCGTGTCCGTATCAACTACTCGTCTCCAGGTCGCTTTTGGCTCCTGGCCATTACGGCCCGCACCTGCGAGCACGCAACGGACAGGTTAGTAGGCCGAAACTACGGTAACCCTGTTCGCGATGCACGACGATGGCGGTTGCCGCAAGCTCACTTCACGGCCTGGCAGGCGTGTCCGTATCAACTACTCGTCTCCAGGTCGCTTTTGGCTCCTGGCCATTACGGCCCGCACCTGCGAGCACGCAACGGACAGGTTACTAGGCCGAAACTACGGTAACCCTGTTCGCGATGCACGACGATGGCGGTTGCCGCAAGCTCACTTCACGGCCTGGCAGGTGTGTCCGTATCAACTACTCGTCTCCAGGTCGCTTTTGGCTCCTGGCCATTACGGCCCGCACCTGCGAGCACGCAACGGACAGGTTAGTAGGCCGAAACTACGGTAACCCTGTTCGCGATGCACGACGATGGCGGTTGCCGCAAGCTCACTTCCCGACCTGGCAGGTGTGTCCGTATCAACTACTCGTCTCCAGGTCGCTTTTGGCTCCTGGCCATTACGGCCCGCACCTGCGAGCACGCAACGGACAGGTTAGTAGGCCGAAACTACGGTAACCCTGTTCGCGATGCACGACGATGGCGGTTGCCGCAAGCTCACTTCACGGCCTGGCAGGCGTGTCCGTATCAACTACTCGTCTCCAGGTCGCTTTTGGCTCCTGGCCATTACGGCCCGCACCTGCGAGCACGCAACGGACAGGTTAGTAGGCCGAAACTACGGTAACCCTGTTCGCGATGCACGACGATGGCGGTTGCCGCAAGCTCACTTCACGGCCTGGCAGGCGTGTCCGTATCAACTACTCGTCTCCAGGTCGCTTTTGGCTCCTGGCCATTACGGCCCGCACCTGCGAGCACGCAACGGACAGGTTAGTAGGCCGAAACTACGGTAACCCTGTTCGCGATGCACGACGATGGCGGTTGCCGCAAGCTCACTTCCCGGCCTGGCAGGTGTGTCCGTATCAACTACTCGTCTCCAGGTCGCTTTTGGCTCCTGGCCATTACGGCCCGCACCTGCGAGCACGCAACGGACAGGTTAGTAGGCCGAAACTACGGTAACCCTGTTCGCGATGCACGACGATGGCGGTTGCCGCAAGCTCACTTCCCGGCCTGGCAGGTGTGTCCGTATCAACTACTCGTCTCCAGGTCGCTTTTGGCTCCTGGCCATTACGGCCCGCACCTGCGAGCACGCAACGGACAGGTTAGTAGGCCGAAACTACGGTAACCCTGTTCGCGATGCACGACGATGGCGGTTGCCGCAAGCTCACTTCCCGGCCTGGCAGGTGTGTCCGTATCAACTACTCGTCTCCAGGTCGCTTTTGGCTCCTGGCCATTACGGCCCGCACCTGCGAGCACGCAACGGACAGGTTAGTAGGCCGAAACTACGGTAACCCTGTTCGCGATGCACGACGATGGCGGTTGCCGCAAGCTCACTTCCCGGCCTGGCAGGTGTGTCCGTATCAACTACTCGTCTCCAGGTCGCTTTTGGCTCCTGGCCATTACGGCCCGCACCTGCGAGCACGCAACGGACAGGTTAGTAGGCCGAAACTACGGTAACCCTGTTCGCGATGCACGACGATGGCGGTTGCCGCAAGCTCACTTCCCGGCCTGGCAGGTGTGTCCGTATCAACTACTCGTCTCCAGGTCGCTTTTGGCTCCTGGCCATTACGGCCCGCACCTGCGAGCACGCAACGGACAGGTTAGTAGGCCGAAACTACGGTAACCCTGTTCGCGATGCACGACGATGGCGGTTGCCGCAAGCTCACTTCCCGGCCTGGCAGGTGTGTCCGTATCAACTACTCGTCTCCAGGTCGCTTTTGGCTCCTGGCCATTACGGCCCGCACCTGCGAGCACGCAACGGACAGGTTAGTAGGCCGAAACTACGGTAACCCTGTTCGCGATGCACGACGATGGCGGTTGCCGCAAGCTCACTTCACGGCCTGGCAGGCGTGTCCGTATCAACTACTCGTCTCCAGGTCGCTTTTGGCTCCTGGCCATTACGGCCCGCACCTGCGATCACGCAACGGACAGGTTAGTAGGCCGAAACTACGGTAACCCTGTTCGCGATGCACGACGATGGCGGTTGCCGCAAGCTCACTTCACGGCCTGGCAGGCGTGTCCGTATTAACTACTCGTCTCCAGGTCGCTTTTGGCTCCTGGCCATTACGGCCCGCACCTGCGAGCACGCAACGGACAGGTTACTAGGCCGAAACTACGGTAACCCTGTTCGCGATGCACGACGATGGCGGTTGCCGCAAGCTCACTTCCCGGCCTGGCAGGCGTGTCCGTATCAACTACTCGTCTCCAGGTCGCTTTTGGCTCCTGGCCATTACGGCCCGCACCTGCGAGCACGCAACGGACAGGTTAGTAGGCCGAAACTACGGTAACCCTGTTCGCGATGCACGACGATGGCGGTTGCCGCAAGCTCACTTCACGGCCTGGCAGGCGTGTCCGTATTAACTACTCGTCTCCAGGTCGCTTTTGGCTCCTGGCCATTACGGCCCGCACCTGCGAGCACGCAACGGACAGGTTAGTAGGCCGAAACTACGGTAACCCTGTTCGCGATGCACGACGATGGCGGTTGCCGCAAGCTCACTTCACGGCCTGGCAGGCGTGTCCGTATCAACTACTCGTCTCCAGGTCGCTTTTGGCTCCTGGCCATTACGGCCCGCACCTGCGAGCACGCAACGGACAGGTTAGTAGGCCGAAACTACGGTAACCCTGTTCGCGATGCACGACGATGGCGGTTGCCGCAAGCTCACTTCCCGGCCTGGCAGGTGTGTCCGTATCAACTACTCGTCTCCAGGTCGCTTTTGGCTCCTGGCCATTACGGCCCGCACCTGCGAGCACGCAACGGACAGGTTAGTAGGCCGAAACTACGGTAACCCTGTTCGCGATGCACGACGATGGCGGTTGCCGCAAGCTCACTTCCCGGCCTGGCAGGTGTGTCCGTATCAACTACTCGTCTCCAGGTCGCTTTTGGCTCCTGGCCATTACGGCCCGCACCTGCGAGCACGCAACGGACAGGTTAGTAGGCCGAAACTACGGTAACCCTGTTCGCGATGCACGACGATGGCGGTTGCCGCAAGCTCACTTCCCGGCCTGGCAGGCGTGTCCGTATCAACTACTCGTCTCCAGGTCGCTTTTGGCTCCTGGCCATTACGGCCCGCACCTGCGATCACGCAACGGACAGGTTAGTAGGCCGAAACTACGGTAACCCTGTTCGCGATGCACGACGATGGCGGTTGCCGCAAGCTCACTTCACGGCCTGGCAGGCGTGTCCGTATCAACTACTCGTCTCCAGGTCGCTTTTGGCTCCTGGCCATTACGGCCCGCACCTGCGAGCACGCAACGGACAGGTTAGTAGGCCGAAACTACGGTAACCCTGTTCGCGATGCACGACGATGGCGGTTGCCGCAAGCTCACTTCACGGCCTGGCAGGCGTGTCCGTATCAACTACTCGTCTCCAGGTCGCTTTTGGCTCCTGGCCATTACGGCCCGCACCTGCGAGCACGCAACGGACAGGTTAGTAGGCCGAAACTACGGTAACCCTGTTCGCGATGCACGACGATGGCGGTTGCCGCAAGCTCACTTCACGGCCTGGCAGGCGTGTCCGTATCAACTACTCGTCTCCAGGTCGCTTTTGGCTCCTGGCCATTACGGCCCGCACCTGCGATCACGCAACGGACAGGTTAGTAGGCCGAAACTACGGTAACCCTGTTCGCGATGCACGACGATGGCGGTTGCCGCAAGCTCACTTCCCGGCCTGGCAGGCGTGTCCGTATCAACTACTCGTCTCCAGGTCGCTTTTGGCTCCTGGCCATTACGGCCCGCACCTGCGAGCACGCAACGGACAGGTTACTAGGCCGAAACTACGGTAACCCTGTTCGCGATGCACGACGATGGCGGTTGCCGCAAGCTCACTTCACGGCCTGGCAGGCGTGTCCGTATCAACTACTCGTCTCCAGGTCGCTTTTGGCTCCTGGCCATTACGGCCCGCACCTGCGAGCACGCAACGGACAGGTTAGTAGGCCGAAACTACGGTAACCCTGTTCGCGATGCACGACGATGGCGGTTGCCGCAAGCTCACTTCCCGGCCTGGCAGGCGTGTCCGTATCAACTACTCGTCTCCAGGTCGCTTTTGGCTCCTGGCCATTACGGCCCGCACCTGCGAGCACGCAACGGACAGGTTAGTAGGCCGAAACTACGGTAACCCTGTTCGCGATGCACGACGATGGCGGTTGCCGCAAGCTCACTTCCCGGCCTGGCAGGTGTGTCCGTATCAACTACTCGTCTCCAGGTCGCTTTTGGCTCCTGGCCATTACGGCCCGCACCTGCGAGCACGCAACGGACAGGTTAGTAGGCCGAAACTACGGTAACCCTGTTCGCGATGCACGACGATGGCGGTTGCCGCAAGCTCACTTCCCGGCCTGGCAGGTGTGTCCGTATCAACTACTCGTCTCCAGGTCGCTTTTGGCTCCTGGCCATTACGGCCCGCACCTGCGAGCACGCAACGGACAGGTTAGTAGGCCGAAACTACGGTAACCCTGTTCGCGATGCACGACGATGGCGGTTGCCGCAAGCTCACTTCCCGGCCTGGCAGGTGTGTCCGTATCAACTACTCGTCTCCAGGTCGCTTTTGGCTCCTGGCCATTACGGCCCGCACCTGCGAGCACGCAACGGACAGGTTAGTAGGCCGAAACTACGGTAACCCTGTTCGCGATGCACGACGATGGCGGTTGCCGCAAGCTCACTTCCCGGCCTGGCAGGTGTGTCCGTATCAACTACTCGTCTCCAGGTCGCTTTTGGCTCCTGGCCATTACGGCCCGCACCTGCGAGCACGCAACGGACAGGTTAGTAGGCCGAAACTACGGTAACCCTGTTCGCGATGCACGACGATGGCGGTTGCTGCAAGCGCACGAGAGGGTTGGGATGTGATGAGTAAGATTCGTGCTATAAATATTGATTCGGTTGATGTAGTTAAAGGGGAATTAGGAAACATGATGCTTTTTACGCTTGCCTTGCCCGCCTCGGTGGCGTTTCTTTCTAGCTTTCTTGTAGTTGAGTTGAGGCGACGGTTGCTTGTCGTTGAGTTGGGGCGACGGTGTTACGTGAACGGGTACTGCGATGGTTGGAGGTCGACCTTTGAACTGCTGAATCACACGATTGTGATCCGTCTCTAGAAGCTTGACAGGTATGTCCAGGGCCTTGTATTGCTCTTTGCGCCTGAAGTTTTCCTCGCACAGACGCGCCAACGTCTTTTACTGCGTGATCGTTCTGTCCAGCGCCGTTACTCCGATTTTGGCCGATAATCTCTGGTCGTCGGCGGTGATACCGAAGCTCTCCATGTAGCACTCCGATGTCAACACGCGCTGAATTTCCTCGTCCCGAACAGCCTTGCCTGGAGCGCGCTTCATGTCGAGCGCCAGAATGCCGGACGTGCATGGGCACCTGGATGTTGCCGAAGCGATCACCGGCCGCTAGCCTGGGGGACTCGTTGTAGCACATCGGACAGGCTTGACCGGGCATGACACCGCACGCTAGCTTCTCCTGCATACACAGCTCGTGTGCCTTCATCTTGGCTCCGTCCAGTCGGTGTTTGTAGTAGTCCTCTTTCTTTTTGACAACCGTCACAATGACGTCCGTGATCGAGTAGCTCACATCCTCGACGAACTGGTTCCAGGGCTCCAACAGCGCGCCTGGACTGGGTCGTTTGTTTTCGTCATCATCCTGGTGTCTGGACACGAAAAACCGTTTTTGAAAAAATAGATCAATGAACAAAAAGAGCTCGAAAAGCGAGGTCGTTACCGCCTCACCGCTGCTACTATGCTACACGTTGTGTGTTCTAGTTGTTGTAAGTAGTGTTTACCTACATATTTAGAGGCAGCAGCACTCGAAATACATAGGTGCGGATATAGTTGGTCACAATCGTTCAGATGTGGCGTCGCCTTTCAACGCGAGAATCAGTGTTAAAATCTCCATGTCTGATTGGTCGAATTGCCTTGCCACAACACTTCTGATTGGACAAAACGCCAACATCAAAGATCTGTATGGGAAAACCCTTAAATTTTATTGGCTATTAACGCTGCAAATACAAACTCGACACCTGCAAAATCCGATCAATTAAACAGGCCAATATCGCCCAATGCCGGCCGGGCATTGCCGTGACCACGCATTTGAAAAAATAGTGTGCGATACAGCAAATCAAGAGCTTCAAGTCAGGGCAACTCTGTTACATGTACTAAAACATGAGGTATGACCGGCTATATGAGCTGTTTTCTTTTCCTTACAGGATTGAGGATGTAGTAGCTACTACTGTGTGATAGCACAAGACTTATGGCTTGTCTACGTTGTAGGATATTCAGGGATGTCCACAAAGTGATTGGTAGACTGAACGCCCCTAAACCTTGTACCACATGAAAGTTTGGCTCGTATACGTTGTAGGGTGAAGTTATGGGTAGCCCCCACAGCGATTGGTAGGCCGAAAGCTCTGCTAGACATTGTATTTAGTTCGATAGCGTGTGGGTCAGTAGTTAATAGGGTGAAATTGGTGTCGCTAAGAATACCGTATCAAAGCGGCAATGCTTGATCGAGTGTCCCTCTGCAAATAGTCACAGTTGTGTGTGCGTGGGTAGGCCGTTATATTGGTGTATGTCACTAATTGTTCAGCGGTATGGTAACAGATGGCTCCCATTCATACAGAAATCAAAATAAAGATCTGCAAACCAAGTGGGCCAGCTATTTATTGAAAAAAATGCTTCTAACTGCTACAAGAGTGTAAGGTGCACACTATATGGAAGGTTATGGTGTTGCTACCCTAATTAGCGTTGTAGAAGCCAACAATTGGCTCAGATAACCAGGCAGTGCCCGATGGTTTTCTTCCATATTGGAAATCGGGCTTATCATGGAGAGCCCAATGCAAAACCAAGATAAAACAGGGTGGCCATTTGGATTGATGTCCAAGTGTTTTTTTATCGAAAAGTGTAATTTCATACCAAACCAAGATAAAGCGACAATTCTGTGCGGCCAAACGACACAGAAAAGCCATTTGGCTTGATACTTGTATGTATACTAACCGGCTAAATTACCTTACATGGTGTCCTCAATTACCGAGCCCGCTGTAACGCGTTGATACAACTAAATCATGACTCATGTATACTCGCCAACCGAACACTCATGGTTTTGTAATAGATTAAAAAAATCAGTGTCACTACATCTTGTTAATAATGCAGTTCTTAGTGTTGCACACACATCTGAAATAGGTTTCGAAGTACTCCTTGCTGTCAGAATACTTGAAAGTCAGCTCCTCTCCAGCCTTGATCTTCTTACGCGTCATTATAGCAATCCGGCGTGCTGTACCATCGTTCACGAGCATGGCTGTGCAGTTGGGAGCACAACTGTGGTTGATGAACTTCGCGATATTTCCGAACTTGTCTGGGTAGATGTAGACGGAGTCATCTGGGTTATCCGCGTTGACCACCAACTCGATCAGGTATCTCCCGTCAGGAACGCAGAGTTTATCGTACTCACTTATCAGCTCACCCACATATTCAGTGACAAAATGAGTCCGGGGTATATCTTCCAAGGTCCTCACTCCTAAGCGAGGGCAATCTGCAACCTCAAACTCCCAATCTGATGGGAGATCTGGAAAGCGAAATTTGTCCACGTGCTTATTCTTGGTGATGGACGTGTACGAAGCCAAAACTCGGGCGATCACTGGATCCTCTTGGTTTTCTTCCGTTTCCTCGGTGTCGTCAGTGTCATCTTCTTGCTTCCCTTCTGCTTCTTGGTTCCGCCGCCAGATGCAACAAAATCTCCCGTTTCGTCAGGTTTATCTTCCACAGCGACCGTTTCCACGTCTGATGTACCATCAATAACTCCAGTTGCCGTCGTTCCTGCTGCTGCTGCTGCGCTTTCAAGTGGAGGGTCAGCTGCTGCTGTAGGCTTGCCTCGAAGACGGTGATATCGTTCCAGCATTTCCTTCCTGTGGCGGTCTCTGTATGCGCGCGCCTTCTCTCTCTTACGCCTGGCGTAGTCACGTAGCACCTCCAATTGCTCCTCTCTGCTCAACTTGGCTGTCTTGATCACGCCACTGCTTTTCGTGTGTGTGCCTTGTCCGCTAGAAGGCACGAAGCGGCCATCAGGGCCGTGGCAGCGCCGGTAACGTTTCTTCTTCGGTCCCATTTCTTGTAATGACAACTTGACCTCAGGCTGTTGAAGACTATTGACTCAAAATTGTTGCATTTAGCAGGGTTAGCTTTAGCAGTGCAGTCACAATAACTTTGTTACCTTTGCTATGGCTGGGAGGCATTCTCTCGCCTCGGTCGCTCGCCTCGGTAAGGAGGGCTTTCGGGGCGATTAGCTTGGGTTCCTTGTGATTCAAGTTGAAAATGCATCTTGATCAATTGCAGTTGGCAGAACACGTCGGTGTTCTGCAGATACTTGGACTTGCACAGTACCAGAGGCGCCTTTCGGGCTCCAAGTTGTCCTTGGGCGCTCGACACCGGTGAACAGGTCGTTGATGAGATGAAGGAAGATCAAAGGGTCGTGATGCAGGTTGTTGAAGTCACGTAGGGCATCTTGTACCTTCGACGTCGGCTCGCTTTACCAGCGACTACTTGACGGCTCGGTGCCCCCAGTCGTAGCGGAACTTCCTGGCCACTCAGTGCGTACAGCGTTACGAACTTAATGGCCGGCATGCGCGCCTCCTGAAGACTTCGGGCATGAGCATGTTATGCCAAATGCACTTCAGGTCCAGTCGGATCATATATAGCATAGCGCACGAGCGCAAAAGCAACTTGAGGTTCTCATGCAGCTGCGTGCACCCAGCGTCACCAAGAGCCATTGTGATGAAGAAGCCACAAGTCGGAATGAGCGTGACGCGGTCGGACGGCCCATGAACTCGAACTCGTCCACAACAACGAGCAGAGCTCGTGCTGGTAGCAACTGGTACTTGGCCTTTCGGTTCGCATGCACAGCAGCTAGCCTATGGCGATCTTGGTCTGCCGCTCGAGCTGGTTGCTCTCGAGCACCTCCACCACTTCCTCGGACGGTTTCATGACGAATGTGCCCGAGTACTTGTGAGGGACGCCACAGCTTCTCGATCATCTTGAGCTTCTTCTCGATTCACGCAGTCCACGTGCATGTAGAGGTTCAGCTTCAGCAGATTGGCCAGGCAAAACTTGGGGTCCTTCGGCTCGATGGGGCAGATGGTAGACAGCCCCCCTCCCCCCAGTGTCGTTTCTGCATGCCCTCCGAATGGAGATCGTTGATCAGAGGCAGCACCGTCGGCATGTTCTTCACGAGCGGCTCCGTGTCCTTGTAGACCTTCCAGGCCTTGATGATCTGGTAGTCGGTCGCCCCCGCCTTCCGCTGCTTCATGACGTGCGCGTGTATCGCTCGGACGTGCTCTTCTGGAAGCTCACCCACAGCGTACTCTTCCGGTAGGTAGCCGTAGCCGTCGTATTTTCCCTCGAAGGCGGCCAGCATGACCTCGTTCTCCTCCTCGTACTCGCTGACCGCGGCCAGCACGATAGGGATCGTCATAATCGAGTACATGTCCTTCAAGGACGAGCCGTCCCCATCCGAGTCCAAACGCTTGACGGCAGTGGCCAAAGAACTAGTTGATTCATATCTGAGTGGTGTCGCTCAGCCCCTTGCCGTGGTTTTCACCAATGGTCAAGTTGAACTGCACGTGGTTCGCGATCGATCAGGTCGAGCTTGATCTCCAGCATGGGCAGGCGGTTTTGGTCTTTCGCCGACTTCGAGCCTCCTTCTCGATGATGACCGTGTTGGACTGATTCAGTCGGCGATGGACTTCCGTTGCGCCCTCGCGGATATGAGCATTCGCTGCACGATGTAGCTCTTGTGCTGGCGCTCGTGCTTGCTCACGGCCACAGGCTTGGCCTGGTGCTCCAGCAGAGGCACGTTCGAGGCACTGAGTGTGTCTTGGATCGTGTTGAGGTTGTCCTTGAGGTTCGTCACGATCTCATTTCGGTTTCCACAGCCTTGCGACACTCGTCAATTAACGAGTTAATGTCTTCGCTCTTTCTCAATGCCTCGCCTAACACACGCGTTGCTGTTCTGGATGTACCGACGCACCAACGGCTCCTCCAGCGGGTGAACGCCCTCGATCATGGCGTTGTTCGGCTCCACGGTGTACATGATCTCCCCTCGGCACTTGTGGAACATCTCCTCTTTGGCGGAGGTCTGCAGCGTCGACTGAGGCACCTCAACGTTGAGCAGCCGCAGGTACTTGATTTCGCGAGCACTGGGTCGAAGTTGACGCAAAGGAGCGCGTCTGCGGGTGACGCAGCAGTAGTGGGTACTTGAGCTTAGATTGCGCCTGCATCGACGCCATGATGGTGCTGTAGACCTTGTAGACCTCCTTGGCCTCTTCGCGCTCCATCAGCTTACGCAGCTTCTTCATCGGGTGCTCGATACGCTCCACCAGGCCACGACACCACGTGAGAGCGCCGGCCACTGACGGCAGGTTCCAGCTGATGGGGGGCTTAGACAACTGCCTGGCCGTCTTCGGGCGCCTTACACTGCTCGGGCTCGTTCGAAGGACTGCTCAACCGCTCCATTATCCAGGTCGAGCTCAAGAAGAAGAACGTGGCGCTCGTGCAGAGCTATGGACATGAAGAAGACTGGTTTGTATACGATGCTAAGGGGAAATAAAATACAGAAGGGATCCATTATTTGGTTTTTATAAGCAGAAGAAAAACGTTTTTGGTATCAAGTTTTGGAGTTATTAGGTTTAGGGTTGTTTATTTATTGACATTACTGTACTAGTAAACTTAATCAAGTACATACGGTTGGGTGATCGCTATTTTGTATCATCATTCCAACCGCTCAATATGCGTCAAGATTATATCTACTGTAATGTGTTTGTTAGGATACTAAATGTATGAATTTAATGAACTTACAAGCGTGGTCCCCAACGACGACCTCCTCAGGCAGGGGCTGCACCCGACACCCGACACCGAGATCGAGTTCTGAAGCTCAGGGAGGCCAACCTCAACTCCATCTTCGACCAGCTCCAGTCCAAGAATGAGCGCAAGATCCTCACGGCGCTCGACAGGCCCAAGAGCACCTACTGCCCCACGTTCGCTCGCCAGGTCTTCACGACGCGCTTCGAAGCCAATGACAACATGAAGTACCTGCGCACGCTCGAAGAATGGTTTACCAGTCTCAACAACAACGAGGACTTCCCGGCGCCCACGGAGCACTTCTTCCAGGTGAGCTGAATGATGTGGAACATGGGCTTGAATACTAAGCACTTGCGGCGCGTCGTGCTCTTGGGCGAGATCTGCAACTCACCCACCAACCAGGCGCGCAAGTATCTGGGCGGCGAGATCATCTTCGCGCTCATTGACCAGGACAAGGCGTGGAACAGCTCAAGAGCACCTACTTCGATTTCAAGGCTACGACCAACGCCAAGTGCCCGTCCAACCCGTGGCGCATCCAGGGCAACGCGCTTTTCGTACGGCTCGACATCTTCCTGAAGCGCTGCCACGATATCCTCGATCTCACACAGACGATCGTGCGGTTACGCAAGCTGTCCAAGATTGAGGTACGCGGCACCAGGGGCAAGAAGCTGGCGCTGCAGGGCAGGGATCCAACCGGTTGCCACTTTCCCAATCGGCACCTCGCACGCACATCAAACCGTGCGCCAACACCAGCAGCCTCGAGTACTACGACGCGTGGGGGCGCCAGGTCCGTGACCACTGTAAGCTCGTGCCGTGCGTATAGCTGTTGAAGTTGATACCTCCTCCCTCCTGCTCCTGCTCCAGCCGATTCGCTGACCGTACAGACCTGGAGGCTACCGCGACGGAGACTACCGTCCCAAGGTCGACACCAAGCTTTGGATGTGCGAGCACGGCTGCTGCTCCTTCCGCTCGAAGCTCGACTATGCAGGTACCTCAATGACAGGATGGGGGACTATTTGGTGGCTGTTGCTGACGCTGTGGCTGCAGAGCTCCAGAACTACTTCAGGTACATCGAAGTGTCGCCGTACGTGGTGCTGCAGGACAAGACCCAGCAGAGCGACTACGTCATGTGCCGCGGCATAGTCGAGGCCTCGCCCCCGCAGAGGCGGTGGAAGGATCCGCTCGCGCTCAAGCGAGCGAGCAACTTTTCCACGGACGGGTCATCCGTGAGACGTGACCCAGCATTGCCATCTCGACCACAGAACATCACGAGACCTGTGTTCACTACGCTCATTACTTACTAGCTTGTACTTTTCTGGCGCCTTCAATAAACGCAACGCGAGTTGCACGGACTTATCCATTCACCTGCTCTGCGCGCTTCAAAACTCGTTCCCAAAGTTCGTGTGTCGTGTCATTCCAGGTTCAAAAGAGGAGATTCGCGGCGAATCTAATGGCGGTGGTGGTGCGGGGGATGAATGGCGAGGGACGTCGCGGTTATTAGCGCCGTTGCAGCCAGCCTTGAACGCGCACGAACCACACCGAAAACTAAACGTCCGATCTTGCTCATGAAGGGGCATCTGAAGTTGCATCCCACGCCGTCGAGTCGACGGCCGACGTGGGCTCGGCGGGGCTTGACACGTTCAGCTTTTGCTCGGTGGGTATCCGTAATCGAATCGGTTGGCTTGATGCCGACAGCGTCGCTATCCACCCAGAGGCCTCTCAAGCATGGACACACAGATCATCGCTAAGACTCGAAACCGGGGTATCCGATGACAATGCCTGCACAGCACCTCCAACGTCCAACGCACCAAACAAGACAGCCAACGATCTAGGCGGCAATAAATATTTTGACGCGCCGCTACTCGGCCTCCGCACGGCCCGCCAATTGAGACGAGCTCGGTTCGTGACTTCTGACGTCAGTCTCCACTTGCTTCCCCTTCACCCTCCCCCCCCCACTTTCTGCCATCGAAAATGTCCTCGGAAGGCCGACCTTCCATGCTCTCTGTCTGGAAAAGGTTGTTCGGGATATCCTCCTTCTCCGTCTCCAGCATCAGCAGCTTCTCCTGGGCGTCTTCCCAGCCCGAGCTCATTCTCAGCGTCGGCACCGGCCGCTGCTCTCGCTGCCGCTCACGTCACATGTCTCGTCCAAGCAGTTAAGTCCCGTGACGCTCCTGCAGAAGACGCTGTTCCCCGTGTTGGCGAAGCTGCTGCTGAAGTTGTTGGCGCCAACAGCATGGAGTCCATGCAAGTTGCTGACGTTCACCACGACCATGCCGTTGCGCGAGATCGTGATCAGCCTTTGGAGCTCCTCGTCCACGAGCACGGACTCGCTGAGCTTCTCGCAGAGCTACGTAGGTGCGCAGCTTAGCCATCTTGTCGGCCTTGTTGATGATGAACACGCGGCGGAAGCCGCTGCGCTCCTTTTCCATCTTCTCCTGCGCGTGGATCATCTGGGCCGAGCTCTTCTTGGCCTGGCGCAGCTTGCTCTTGACCTGGTTGGCGCTCACAACGTCGCCCGCGGCCGAGTACTGCTGCTCCATCTGCGACGCGCGCACGATGCGCTCGATCTCCTGGTTCACCTGCTCGTACTTGTGCAGCAGCCGCCGGTCCAGCACCACGTCGCTCGTGTTCAGCGTCGGGGGCAGCGACGACCGCATGTGGTTATCTGTCTCGGCGCGGCAGTGGCCACCAAGTCGCGACGACGCGCTGGCTACGCGCCGGCGCTCACGGAGGACGAGGACGCGTGCAGGTTGCACTCGCTCTAGGGCCGCCGGTGCGACGTCGTGGCGTCCGTCTGCGGCTTGCTGTTGCTGCCGGGGCGCTGCAGGTGCACGGACACAGCGCTGTTGGTCGTCGCGGCGGCCGCAGCGGGCTTGGTAGTCCGCCCGCGTTGGCGCCGGAGCTACCCGTCGGCAGGGAGGCCGAGGCCTTGCTGGTGGTGGCCCTACGCCGACACCGACGCCCACGCCACCTCCGCCGCTGCCGTCTTCGCTCACGGGGACGTAGAGTGCTGCTGCGGAGATGTCTTGAGTGCCACTGGCTTGACACTTGCGGAGAAACCTACAGAGAGCGCGCGCGACTGCACCGAGCCGAGCTGGCGTGCCTACGCAGCGCGTCGACATCAAAACTAGGTTGAAATTGCAGAAGGCAGATGTGTCGATCTTCTCGTGGAAGAAGCTGCTGACCTAGAGTCGAGTCGATGTAGTGCCGCCGCCTGGTGCGCACGGCTCTACGTTCTTTTTAGTGTCACTGAGGCCTTGCTGGGCCGTGGTGTCGCTGTCCTCGATGCTGAGCATGAAGGACCCGTCGCCGCAGAACTTGTCGTTGAGCCACGCGCCGTCGTAGCACGAGCCGTCGGTGAAGGTGTAGCGGCCGTTGCCGTGGCGGACGTCGTCCAGCCAGTCGCCGTCGTACGAGCACCCGTTGGTGTACTTGCACAGCCCGCGGCCGCAGCGCACACCACCGACCCACTTGCCGTCGTAATGGGCGCGAGTCCGAGCATCGTCAAACATGCCGAAGCCGTTGCGTCGACCGTTGCGCCACTCACCGCGGTACACCGATCCGTCGCGCAGCGTAGCGACTCCGTGCCCAGAACGACGACCGGTGACCCAACTGCCCTCGTACACCTCGCCTGAAGCGTGGTGGTGACTTTCGCCTTGGCCGTGAGGGACCCCATCGCTCACTTCACCAACATATCGACACGAGCCGTTCTGACCGTCGTCGTACCCTTCAAGGCAGCTCTTTTCACGCGTGTCGAGAACGTCGTTGGCCCAAGAACCGACGAGCTGCGTGCCGTCGGAATATGTGAGTGTTCCTGCGCCGTGCTTTCGGTCGTGCACCCACTGGCCTTCGTACTTCATGGGCAGGCGACCACCGCCATGCTGAGTCTCCGGCAGGTGATACTCGTAGATCCCGAAGCCGTGGCGCTGGTCGCTTTCCCACTGACCAGCGTACACGTCTTGGCTGCTGGCATATCGCATGACACCTTGACCGCAGCGTTGGTCGTCGCACCAGTCGCCGTCGTACTCGTCTCCATTGACGTACAAACACTTCCCTTTGCCGTGACGCTGCGTCTGGTCCGTGTTCATCTCTCCGACGTACACGTCCCCATTGCTTAGGGTCTTGGTCTTGATCGGCTTTGCGGCCACTTGTCGCTGGTCTTCCTCTTCTGCCTCGCTGGGGAAGCCTGCCGGCGTTTCCCAAAAGTCCAGCGCAGTCGTCGAGTCAAGATGCTGCTGCCACGGGCCATTGTCGACGTATTCTGGCATCGGGATGCCACCGAAGAGGAAGAACCCTCTCTTGTCAGGACGCACAGCCGAAGCATGACCCATGTAGCTCTTGATCCCAGCTGTGGAAACCTGAACTTCGCGGATATGACCACGGAGAGGCTCCAGAATGACCATCGACGATGAACTCAGCGCTGGGTCGTACTCAGAGAACCCCCCAAAGATCAGGATGCCCTCCTGAGGGTCACAAGGCTTCACGTCGGCGTCGCCGTCTTTGATTCGGCGAATGATTCCTGTCTCCTCGTCAATAGGGAGCTGCAACGCTAGAGCGGTGGCGCAGCATCGGGCTGTAAGAACTCGCAATGTCGGAGAGTTATCCGGACTACCGCCTTCCGTCGTTATTGATGCCCACGTGTTGGATGCTAGATCCAGGACGTGGATGCCCGTATTCATTGCTGCGCTGAGAGGGTCCGAGTGCTGTCTGCCCCCGAAAACTACGACTTTGTCACTATCTCCAATCGCTACAGCGTTGTGGAACGCCAAAGGCAGCGGACTATTGCCAGTGGGCTGCAGTAATGCAAAGGCAAACAACAGTCAGCTAGCCGAGTGCAGTGAGCGGATGGAGAGAAGCATGTTCACAAACCGAAAGCTGTATCCAGCGAGGCTTCTGTCCTGCAGTATTCACAGTGAGTAGCCAGATATCCGACAAGACTGCACCTTGATAGTTCTTCCCTCCGAGAACGAGTACGCATTGGGTATGCGGGCTTTCGGGATCGTTCGGGGTCTCCCGATAGCGCACTGGGGCACTCGCATGCCATGCTCGACCGCAAGGAGCGGGGACTGGAGGGACATTGGGATCGATACCATCGCCGTTGATGGGAGAGATATTCGTGCAGTAGAGAACGCTGTTCTCATAGCTGATCTCGAATATATCTCCGATCAACTGTTGCTGCGAAGACTCGAAGCTGTCAATCGGCTCACCACCAAAGGTGTAAGCCTTCTCGCCAAGTGTCACCACGGTGTGGCCGATACGGTGAGTAAGCTCACCGTGGACATCATAGCTAGTCAGCCATTTCGTGGTGTTCAGGTCAAATAGATCGAGGCGTGACACAGTCGTGAAGCTCTCGCTCGGCACCTCTTCCTTGCCTCCGACTATCACCGCGCTGGAAGCAAGTTCAAGGGAGGAGAAGTTAAGTGTCGAAGAACTTTGAGCTACCAGAGAGCACTAGATCTACGCACATGTGGCCGTTTAGAGTCCCCGCACGAGCGCCAGACAAGCTGTAAATCTCGTGGGGCTCTGGATCCTTCCTCTCTAGCGACCGGGACACATGAGTTCCCCACGGGCAGTAGTCATGGGACTGGCAATTAGGCAAACATGATAACATTCGACGTCAGCGCTAAGCCACGTGAACCATTGCATTAACGGTCGTTCAACAGCTCTCCTCACCTCAAGCCACCTCAGATCTTGTCCGTCCAGCTCCATCCTGTGGCGACTTGCGCGGGTAACTTAGATTTAGGCGGCTGAAGAGCCGCTGTGAGCGAGCTCTCAGAAGGTCGGCAACTAAATCAAGCTGTGCAACAACAAATTATCGATGGAGGAATCTTCTAACACCACATAAAACTTCTACTTCGAAGTAGGTCAATTCAAGACCTCAGGGTAGCTGACAACCCTGGTCGAAGCTGGACAGCAAGCTCGACCACCACACTATTCTTGGCGTCTGCATCACCAGCATTTTGAAAAAGTTCGACAGGATTGTGTTGAGACTTGAGACTTGACCACCATGATGGTCAGCGCTCTTGTCGCGAAGCTGGGGGCCACCTCCAAAGCTCCTCGCGAGTCTGAACCCGCAGCAGCAGCACCTACGCCAAAGCCCGTGAACAGACCGCGTCCCAATGAAGCCATCTTCAACAAGCAGTTCGCGACGGCCGGGAAGCGGTTCCTCACCAAGATCAAGAAGAACCGCGCCATGCAAGTCGATCGGCGAACGCGCGGGTTTCAGCAAGGTCTGGACCAACGGACAGTCGTGACCGACCCATTCACGGGCGATCACTACCGCGTCATGCTCGTGGACTCGGATATGATGCGGCGCGAGAACCTCGCGGACGAACTGGAGCAGCGCTTCGAGATCTTCGTAGCCCCCAGCAACGAGCGAGCGTTCGCGCTGCTCGGTCTCTTCCAAGTGAACTTTGTGCTATTGCACCTGGACATTGGCAACGACCAAACTGCAGCGACCAGCCCAGCGCTCGCGTTCCTGCGTGAGATGAAGCGGAGCTGCTTTCGGGCGCCTGTGGCTGCGCTTGTTGCCCCCGATTTCAACTCTGATCACGAGGCGCAGAAGCTGTTAGCGCGCGCACTACAGACCGGTGGAGTGTGCGGATACTTTAAAGAAGGCCTTGCAACCGAAGTACTGACCGAAAGGATCACCAAACTCTTACTCTCGCTCTCTGTAGCGCAGAACGAAGTCGCGAAGTGTCGAGGACCTCAACCTCAACTCAACTCTCAGCCCGACAAGAGCAACAAGTCACAGACGTCACCTCCGAGAACACAGCAACAGCAACTGCAACAGGACAATCAAGCTGCTAGCCAGGCTCGAGTGACTCCACCAAGTTCTGCCGCTGGACCAAGACGACTGCCAACGGCAGAAGTTCCGAGCACTCGACCCAGCTCAGTCCACTTTGATCGCCCCGGAATGTTGCTCGAGCTCAGTCTCAACCAACGCAAGCAGTGCCTCCATCAGCGTGAAAGCATCGAGGTGACACTAGCGATTGCTCCACACTCCGTGCTTGGACTCGATATCGACTCGAGCCCGGAATCCCCCATAGTCCCCGCCACACCCTCAGTCACGTGTATCTCTCCACTGTCTCCGTCGTTCAACCCCGCCCGGCGCCAATCTAGTGTGAAGAAGAAGATTCCCCCGCTGCCATCACCGAAGCAGGTAAGTCAGCTCATTTACACGCGGCCGCAGGAGCTACAGACACGAATCGGCCGACATCTATACGAACGCTTGCATATCGCTGGACCACCCGGCGTGGTGCCCCAAGATCCGCTACTGAACCACTGCGTAGTGATCGATCCACGCGCTCAGGGACGAGATCTTATCGTTGGCAAGGCCTATATGCTCTACTGCGAACAGCGACTCGATGAAGCACTACTACACTGTGATCGTGCACTGCGTACCCCAAATGCAACACTTGAAAAGCTGGCGCGGCTTCTGCGAGGCGCAGTGTACGATGCTCGAGGTGAGCATTCCCGAGCTGAAACCGAGTTCATCGCTTGTATCCAGCTTGATCCAGCCATGCACGAGGCCCATTTCAACCTCAGCGTTGCTCGACTCAAGCTTGGGAAAGATTCTTTGGCACTTCAAGCGCTCACGGAGGCGCTGGCGCTTGACCCACAGAATGAAAAGTATCTGCAGAACCGCGGGCTCATGTATCGACGCATGGGCCACTTCTCGCAAGCGCAGAGTGAATACTACAAGCGCGACATCGTGGTCGGAATGGCCTCCGCTTCCCCGAATCCTCGAAACACTCACACAGCCAGTAGTCGAGGCAAGCGGGGAGCGAACTCTGCAGCTACATCATCAACCTTCTCCTCAGTTCCTCGGAGTGCTCAGCTGCCAACTCGAGGCAAATTCAGCAAGTGCGAGCTGGAGGACGGATTCTTCGCTCATCTGTTTGGCAAGCCCACGCCCGACAAATTGGCTCTGGCTTGTCCTGCGAGCGAACGCTCGGCCGAAATGCTCCACGCCATCGTCGCTCGACTGCAAACGCTGCTGTTCTTCCAGGACTTCCCACGCGAAGTGCTGACCCAAGTGGCTCAAGCTCTGGACTATGATGTCGTGGCATGCGGAAAGAGCTTCGTGCTTGGAGAGAGCCACCCTCACAACTTTTACGTACTGCTAGGAGGCAAGCTCAGTGTCCGCAGACGTGTGGGCACGACGGACTTCGCGTCGGTAGTGACAACGCACCACCTCGGACCCGGTACGGTGTTCGGCTGCGCGGGGTTCACGATATCCGCCCACGCCACACTCATCGCTGACGAATGCGCCGAGATCGGCCTCCTTTGGCCTGGGGACTACGCCGCCACAATCCGCTCCGTGACATCGCAGACCAACCAGGACGTGTTCGCCTTCCTGCAGCAACTGCGTGGATTTCGTCTCCTCACCACAGGCGACCTCGGCCACGTCGTGGGCATATCGGAGCGGAAGCGATTCCGTAAGGGCGACGTCTTGCTCGAGCAGAACGAACAGCCTCGCCACCTTATCGTCCTCTGGAAGGGGAGCTGCTCAGTCTACCAGGACTTCGACAGCCTCCCACTTAGTCGTCGAAAGCTCCGACGCACGGCCAATTTCGACGGATGGAACGAACACGACGACGGAGAAGAAGAAGAAGAGGATTTCAACTCGGAAGGAGAAGAGGACGACGACAGTGGCGAAGACGGAGAAGCAGCAGGGAAAAGGAGGTCACGTCGAAGAGCCGATCACGGCGACAACAGCGACGAAGCAGCGCAGCCGCCATTCCACCGCCTCATCGCCAAAGCCGACTGGCCGTTGGGTTTCCAGGCTCGAACTCGGGCGCGGAAATACCGTCGAGGACGTCGCGACGGGCTGCTGCTGTCTCAAACTCCGCCGGTTGTCGGCTCTCTAGGCGTGAGGTCGTCCCCCGCGATGATGTCGCTGCCCATGCGGCGTCTGAAGGACAAGCTCGCGTCGCACGAGAAGAACGCGCTGGTCCAGAAGTGCGTGGCCCCCGCCGTGTTCGGCGAGTCACGCTTCCTGGACCCGACCCACGCGCCGTCCAAGTGCTGCGTGGTGGCCGAGTCGCTCGTGGAAGTGCTGCTGTTCGACCACATGCGGCTGCAGGAGATGGATCTCAAGCCCGAGGTCGTCAGCGAGCTCGTCGACGCCGCGCCCAAGTACCTGAGCGAGAAGGAGGTCGCCCAGAAGCAGGCGGACGTGGTAGGCGTGGCTTGGCACTGCGTAGCAAGTGTGCATTGACCCCTATTAACCATATACGTTGCTCTGCTGCAGGCTACGTGGGACGAGTACAGGAACCTGCGCGTGCTGGAGCTGTCCAAGAAGCGCTGGCCCAAGGCCAAGGCAAGTTGTGCTGCTGCATTTGACCGGGTGATGGACGGACTGATCTAACGCTTTGCTGCTTGATCACCAGAGACACTTGCGGGCCTTGTCCAACGGCTGCAGCATCATGTTGGCGGACACCAGCAGCGCCAACCTCGAGGCAAAACCATCAGCATAACATGTAGCCATGTCCACCCCGTCCCGGCTCAAAGATATGCAATGTTTAAAAGTGTCACCCCTCCTGGTCATTTGGCGTGTCAATACACTTTACTGCGTTGCCAGGTGGGATGTCATGGAACATAAACGCTGATTTTGCTCCTTCCGGTCCGATTTGAGTCGACGCGACAATTATGCTGTTCGGCAGGGCGACCTGCGCTGCGGCATGGCAGCCCGCCCGACTATGGAAGAATGCAGAGCCGAATGGAGGAACCGCCGGCGTCTTCGCGCGGGCGCTGGCTGGCGCGACGCCGCGCGTCCCGGCTGGGCAGCGGGGACAGCCGGGGCGAGGCCAGTCCGCCGCTGTCCGCGCTGGCGGCGCTGCTGCTCAGTTCCCAGCCGCGCGCGAGCATGACGGACGCCGCCATCATCTCCCGCGGGACGTCCCTGGGCGACGACGACGAGCGCGCGGGGGAGCAGGAGCAGGAGCAGGCGTCGCCCAACGTGTACAAGTTCGACGTGGCGCAGTACAAGGACGGCTCCTTCCGCTTCGTGCCGGCCTGCGCGCGCGACCTCATCAAGTACACGGGCCGCCTGCTGCACCACGGCGCGCAGGCGGCGCGCAAGACCAAGATCAACACGGTGCAGTTCGACTGGCCGGCCGTGGCCTTCCAGATCCGCGTGCGCGGCACCAGCAGCGTCGCGATCCGACTCAAGGGCGACGGTGCGTGCGTCTGATTGCCAGCGTTGGATGTTGACGGCGACGGATTGATTGGTCTGGGGCGGGAGAGAGCGAGAACTTGGGTTGCTTGGTCTTGGCGTGGCTTGGCTTGGCGTGGCTTGAGTTGACGAGAAAGATCTCTTCTTGAGCTAGTCGAGCCTGCACTTGAGTCAAGTGGCCGGTTCGCGATGCCACGTTCTGAACTCATTTCGGTCCGACGCCGCGACCGGAGCCTGCTGTTTTTGGTTCCTGTAAGAGTTAACTCAAGTTTTTGTTGGCGTGGTGCAGGCAACTACTTCAACGTGTTCGTAAACGACGAGCTGCGCTGCATTCTCCGCGCGTCGCTCAATGCAACTTGTTGCGACGGTTAGTGGGTTTGTTTGGATTTGCGTAAGATTTTGTTGCGTTTTGTGACGAGAGTTTTCGTGTGGCTTGGTGCGTGCAGTGGCGACGGATCTGGACATGGAGCAGGAGTACTTGATCCGCATCTGCAAGCGGACGGAGCCGCAGATGCGAGGAGCGATGTCGACGTTCAAGGTGCGACTGACTGCGTGCTGTTGTGTCTGAATTAATCTACGCTGCGATAACTCACTCGTGACTGCTTCGCTGACCAACCAGGTTTGCACGTTCTACGGGTTCATCGTCGAAGAGAACGCCGAGATTTTACCCGTGGACCAGCCAGAGCCGCAGCCCGTGCGCAAAATGGAGTTTATTGGCGACTCGGACACTTGCGGTTTCGGCAACGAAGGCAAGGCCAGCAGCGCGAAGAACCTGTTCGGTATGAAAGGACGGATGGAGAACGTCTACAATGGCTACGCGTGTATCGCCGCGCGCATGTTTGATGCTGAAGAGCACGTGCTTGCGTGGAGCGGGTAAGTGCGTGCAATTTCGAGCTGCTTGTCTTCATAGTTTTTCGCTAATGTGTGTTCTCTTTTTTACCTGTGCAGTAAGGGCGTACATAGCAATTCTGCAGATTGGGGCCCCAACATGCCGGCTCTGTGGAAGAACACGCTGGCATCTCGGCCCGGTGACTGGGATATGTCCAGCTGGATACCTGATGTCGTGGTAATCAACCTCGGCATCAACGATCTATCGCCGCCTGCATCTGCGGAGACGGACATTATCACAGGCTACGCTTCGTTTCTGCTGGAAGTACGCTCTTGTAAGTGCTGAGCGGCCAACGACAATCTCGATCGAGAGCTGGACTAATCTCTATTATTTGCTTCAGATCGGCCGGACGCACATATATTCTGCGTCGTGTACGACGACGGCTGCATCAGCTCGGAGGACTCGGAGACCAACCGCAAGTTCGTGTCCCTGCAGCTGCAGGAGATTATTAAGGTGGCCATCTCCAAGGTCAGCAAGCACGACGACAAGATGCACTACACCTTCATCAAGGTACGTCCGTGTGGATCGATCGGTAGCACCTTGACTGCAACGCTCTGACATGCTGTGGTGGCCATTCGAACAGGTGGACGAAGGTCTCGACAAGGAAGACTACGCGTCCATGATGCACTACGCCGTGAGCGGCCACGTCAAGATCGCCAAGGTGCTCGCCGAAGAGATCGCGCTGCGCACAGGATGGAGCGTAGAGCACGAGCCAGAGACGATGCCGTACCCGCAGGCCAAGGACCAGATCCTCACGCCTCGAGACCACTCCAAGACGTCCTGTACGGTGTCCTAGTTTAGGACTCAAGTTGAAGTTGTTTGCAGTTAAGAAATAAGGCAAGACCTATTTATTGTCCGCACCAAAGTCTCGCCACTTTTGGTCCGGCAGTCACAATTGTATCCGAATCACACAGAAGAGATCAATCATGCTGGCCGCCGACAAGCTGCGCGAGCTGCGCGCGCTCATGAGCCGCACCAACGTGCGCCTGCTGCCGCTGCGCCACCACCTGGGCAAGACGGAGAAGGGAGAGGCGGCAGAGCTCTCGGGCCGCGCGCTGCAGGCCTTCCTGGTGGACACGGCGGACGCGCATCAGAGCGAGTACGTGGGGGCCGCAGACGCGCGACGCGAGTTCCTCACGGGCTTCACGGGCTCCAGCGGCACGGCGCTGGTGACGTCCGACCAGGCGCTCATGTGGACGGACGGCCGCTACTTCCTGCAGGCGGAGCAGGAGCTGAGCGAGGACTGGACGCTCATGAAGAGCGAGGAGCCCGGTGTGCCCACTATTGAGGTGGGCGGGTGTATCTTGGGACTAAAATTTGGTATCATCTTTTTCTGGTTTACTTATTTTATGGTGGTCTGCCTACACAGCAATGGGCGAAGAAGAACCTGCCGGGGGAGAGTTGTCTGGCTATTGATCCGTACCTGACGTCGGTGTTCGCGGCTCGGTACGTGGGAAGTTGAGGATTTGGTTGTTGACAACTGAGGGACTAAATTTTGGGTGGTATTAATTTTGCAGCAACTTTGCTAAGGCTCTGAAGGAGACCAAGATCGAGTTGGTGGCGCTGCATGAAACCGAGAACCTCGTGGACCTCATCTGGAAAGACCGACCGGCGGTGGCCCCCTCGCAGGTGACGTTTCTGTCGGAAGCGTACACAGGCCGCTCAGTGGTCGACAAGTTGAAGACGCTGCGTGAGGCTGTGAAGGAGAAGGGCGCCGATGCCGTTGTGCTCACTGCTCTCGACGACATCGCGTGGCTGTTCAACATTCGCGGCAACGACGTCGAGTTCAACCCTGTCGTGTGAGTTGACATTTGCAGCAGCATGAAATTCTGTGACTTTCTGACTCCAACTTCGTGTTCGTGGTTTGATGATTTACAGTACGTCGTACGCCATTGTGACGTCCGACTCAGCGACTCTGTTCCTCAACGCAGCCAACCAAGATGAGGTGGACCAGCATCTGGGCCCGAGTGGGGTCGTCTGCAAGCCGTACTCGGGAATGTTGAAGGAAGTGTCGGCTTTCGTTGCTGCGAACAAGGACCAGAAGATCCTCGTGGACCCCGCACAGTGCAATGTCGCGGTGTTCTTGGCGATCCCTGCCGCGAACCGCAAAGAGGACACCTCGGTAGTCATGGCCCAGAAGGCGATCAAGAGCTCGGTGGAGATTGAGGGCATGCGCCAGGCGCACCTTCGTGACGGAGCTGCTCTTGTCAAGTACTTCAGCTGGCTTGAGAAGGAGATGGATGCCGGCCACGAGGACCAATGGGACGAAGTGCTGGTGGCTGACAAGCAAGAGCAGTTCCGTCAGCAAGTGAAAGATTACGTGTCGCTGAGCTTCGATACCATCTCTTCCGTTGGTGCTAACGGGTCGGTTATCCACTATTCGCCAAAGCGTGGAGACTGCGCCAAGATGTCGACGTCGGCTATGTACCTGAACGACTCTGGTGCTCAGTATCTTGACGGCACAACAGATGTGACGCGTACGCTCCACTTCGGCCAGCCTACTGACTACGAGAAGGCGTGCTTCACTTACGTGCTGAAGGGCCACATCGCCCTCGCTAGCACTGTCTTCCCTGACAAGATCGAAGGTACCAAGCTCGATGCTATCACTCGTGCTCCGCTGTGGAAGGCCGGCCTGGACTATCGCCACGGAACCGGCCACGGTGTCGGCGCATTCCTCAACGTGCACGAAAAGGGTGTGGTGAGTGGTTTGCCTTGGTTACTCCAGGACTTTTATCAACACCGTGGTCGTGCTAACGCAATGATGCTTCCTATATGCAGCTGATGTCTTTCCGCTTGAACCCGAACGGATTGAAGATTCAAGACGGCATGGTTCTTAGTAACGAGCCGGGCTACTATGAAGACGGCAAGTTTGGTATTCGTATCGAGAGCGTCATGGTCGCCAAGAAGGTTTGTTAGCTCTTCTTTTTGCATTGTTGTAGAAGTAATTGTGGAAGTTCCTAATCTTCTCTGTGGATCAGGCTCCTCACATCAAGAGCCCACTCAACCGCGAGTTCTGTGAGTTTGAGACGCTCACGATGGCTCCGATCCAGCAGAAGCTCATCAACGTGAGCTTGCTCACGCCTGAGGAGATCAAGTGGCTGAACGCGTACCACAAGGAAGTGCACGACAAGTTGCAGCCGCTACTGAAGGATGACAAGGAAACGTATGCGTACCTCGTCCGTGAAACGAAGCCATTGCTGCTTCCTTGAGCCGTGTTGGTTTGTTACAATGGCCGATATCGACACACTCAAGCCAACTAAATGTACGTTCCGCGCTGCTTTACAGCAATTGTCCCTTACTCTGCTTCCTCCTGGCCGTGCCCAACATCCTCTGCTTGCCCGCCTTCGTCCACACGACTGCTTGGGGACGAACTTCGACTTGCCCGATGGTGTCGAGCTTGAATCCGAGCTCGTCGCTCTTCTCTCTCCTCCAGTCGCTCAATCTGGTGCTGCAGACGCGTCTCCATGGCCTCGTGCCGCTTCTCCTGGCGTTCCAGTCGTTCCTCCTCTCGCTTCCTACGCTCTTCAATCTGGTGTGGTGTCTCCCCCGCCAGAGCTTGTGCAACACGATCGAACCGCTCTTGGTAGACTTTCATCTCGCGCTCAATCTTCTGTCGTCGTCTCTGTAGCTCCTCCGTCGACATAAACTCATCGTCTTGATACATCTGAGCAGGCGGCGGTGGCTCATACTGAAGCACATGTTCCGCCTCCATCGTCTTGCTTGTATCATATTGCTGAGCAGTCCTAGACGGCACCATCTCCGGTACAGCAGGAGCTGGAGTCTTATCATCAAACGTCGGGTACAACGCCGTCTTGTTCTGGAATTCCTGGACGTTGGGACGCCTCGGTTGTCCTGGATTATGACGCGTAGGCAGCGGTGCAGGGGCCGGACGCTTGCTAGGCGTCAGCACTTGAGGCTCCGGGGCATCGAATGCGTCAATTAATTCGTCTTCGTACTCGTCCTCCAGCAGCTCCATCCTCACTGAAGTATAGTGCTCAACGCTTGATTCTCGCGCTTCTTTCTTCAATGAGCCACAATCCAAATCTGAGGGGCCCTCCCTGCGCATAGCCAGTCAGTCGATTCCTGTCTGGGATGAGCGTCGAAGCGTACCGAGTGGTGGTGGTCGGCGCCGGGATGGCGGGCGTAGCGACTGCCAACGCGCTGTTAGCATCGGGTCACTTCAGTGCTGAGGACGTGTGCGTGCTGGAGGCTCGGGATCGAATCGGAGGGCGAGTCTACACTCGTCCCTTCAGTGCCGAGCTGCGCGTGAAGGTGGAGGCTGGTGCGGCGTGGATCCATGGCACGGAGGGGAACCCCGTCGCTGAGTTGGCTCGGGAGTTCGGCGTCGAGCTCAAGGAGATCAGCGCGCGCAACCCGTGGCTGCATCCGAGTTCCTGTCCGGGGTTTGAGATCTACGACGGCAGTCGGAGACTGAGTGAAGAGGAAGTCGGCGAGACGTGGCAGTGGCAGGAGCTGCTGCTGAGGAAGCTGCAGAAGCTGGCACTGTCAGGCGAAGCGGAAGGCAAAGCGTTGGATGTGACGGTGAAGCAGCTGATAGATGAGGACGCGGAGCTACGGGAGATCATTACGTCCAGTGCCAATGCCTGGGAGAGGTTGAATCTGTGTCTGCATCTTGTTGAGACTTGGATGGGCAGTACGAGTGAGGAGATGCAGGTCGACGCATTCGGGGAGATCGACCTCATGGGGTAAGGCTCACTACCTTACGTAGGTAGTGTGCTCTACTGACATTCTGGCGTGTTATTCTACGTAGGGATGACCCTGGTCCCCACTGCATCGTTCCTGACGGAATGCACAGCCTCATCAAGCACTTGTCAGCTCCAGTGAAAAGTGTTATTCGCACTGGTGCATGCGTCGCCTCTATCAACTACGAAGGCTCGGAAGGTGTGGTTATTGAGTGTACTTATGGGAGAAAATTGACGTCCTATCATGTGGTGGTGACGTGCTCTTTGGGGTTGCTCAAGTCCGGAAAGCTACACTTCCACCCTGAGCTGCCGCATGCGAAGGCTGACGCCATTTCTAGGTCGCAAATGGGTCAGTGTATGAAAATTATGGTGCAGTTTCCCGAGGCTTTTTGGCCCAAGAACGCCTCCTTCATCACGCAGACCAAGAACACGTCTGGATCGAGCAAGACGGAGACGCGGCGCATTTATTTCCCTGTGATTTTCAGCTATTACGCGGCTAAAGGAGTGCCTATTCTCGAGGGAGATCTCATTGGAGACACTGCTCAACAAGTCTCAGCTGAGCTTTCCGATGATGAAATCGCACACGCGTTGTTCTTGCAGTTGCAGGAAACGTTCGGGGCTGGGATTCCAGCACCAGTGGGCCACTTTATCACGAGGTAAGGTAGACGGTTGAGTTCATGAATACTCGGGTAGTTACTTATTTTCTGAGGCTGCTGCGGTAGGTGGGACCAAGACGAGTGGGCACGAGGAGCTTACAGCAGCGTTACAGTGGACAGCACATACGAAGACCCCGACCTGTTGCGCCATCCTGTGGCTGATCGCTTGTTTTTTGCTGGCGAGGCTACAAACTACGAGTACCAGGGCGCGCTTCAAGCTGCGTATCTTTCAGGTACGCGTGCACATGGTGAAGAAGGGAAACGCACACGGGGAAGCTAACAAACTCGTAACATTTCGTAGGTCGTCAAGCTGCCGATGACATTATTTCCGAGTTATGCTGATCATCACAAAAGTTGGTTCTGATTTACCTCCACATGTATGTAGGCAAGTCAAATCGAACCCAGCAGCCATTCATGCGGCTAAACCCATTACCCAAGGCCCCGTTTCCATTACAATTGTCAACTTCCCCCGGTTCCTTCGATCTGGCTGGAAGGCCCACTCGACGTAGCCGCTTTGGCAATCGATTTTGACGTAGCCAATCATCGGATATTTCCACCTCCGACCGATGCTCACCAGCCGCACACAAAACACTAGCGCCAGCATCCACTTTCCTTCCACGCGGATTCCAGACCATTTACAACCCCGCTCATCATGCCGAAGGTCATACTCTTTGACCAATGTTTGCACTCACAGATCAAAAGTGGTGGACCGGAGGTGCTCTCCATGTCCTGGATGTACACGTCATGCCTGTCCTTGTCGGTAGCACGAGAAAGATGACCAAAACTGCACCCGTGAGCCCGAGTATCTCGAATAAAGTGGGGCCATGTAGCGTTGGGCGGAGCGAGAAAAGGTATTGTCGCGGCTAATAACTTCGCGAGACCAGCGTACCCGTCCAGTAAACCGGTAACAGTGATCCGTTCATGTGAATTCCCAAGCGTCATCGCCACGTTATTAAACTTGCCCTGAAACTCGCCGAGGAACCCAGCGAAAAACTCGTCGAATGCAACTCCTTGCACACCATTCCTTCGAGACGCGCAGAGGATCGCGCGAGCCACCATGTTCTCAAACGTGTTAATTTCGGGCTTCTCAGCGGTCGAGCGTTCCTCAGCATTAAAGCCTCTTCTTTTCAAGAAGGTTGCGGAAATATCCTTTGTCGAGTGCAATGAACCACATTGGAAGTCATAATTACCCGAATACGCTCTCCCACCCAGTACTGCGAGGTAGAGCAGCATGTCCTCTTCGATGGTGGGGAAAATACATAATGGTTTCCAGTGTGCATGGAATCTTCCCAGATCAATGACAGTCAGCATAGTTCCTCCTGATACGAACACATCAGTAAGCCGGCAACCTGTACTCTCACTATCCACCAGGTTTGCGTAGTGCACACGCATCCACTGGGTGTTGTTTACTTCTTCATTTTTCTGCTTTTTCCGCGGTGGCTCGAAGAAGTTGCCGGTTTTGGCGATTGGTTGAAACTGGACCGAAGTATTGATCGCTGCCAGCTGTGCATCTCTTCCAACCTGCTCCACCATGAATTTGTTGCTCTCCTGCGTCTTTCGGCTGACATAAGCAAAAGCTTCGTCCAGCAATTCGAACAGTTTGAAACTTCCGTGTGTACCTGCGTACTCCACCACACTGTCGATAAAGTATCGAGCAAATTTCCCACGAGAGCTCAATGCAATGTCTTGGACGAAAGGAAACTGCGCCACAACTTCATTCCAAACACGTTGGTTTTCCTCTTCAAACGGGGTAAACTGGTAGGGAGGGAAACGGGATACAAGAGTCATCCACAGGTAGTGTGCACTGCAGCTGCTGCCAGGATAATGTGGTGCGTCCACCAGGTCGATGACGTTAGCGTCAGAGCCCATAACCACCACTATTAAGCCACACACGCGGAACACATTCCGTTGAAAACCCGCAAGGTTCTTGCCTCCAGCGAGCGACATTTCGTCCAGGATGAAGAAGGGGAGACGCTGATTCGCCTTTACCATTTTATCACGAGCAGCTCGGACAGTCCATACGTCGCGCTTGTCCACATTAAGCTCTTTTGGCTCAGCGAAGCGGACCATTCCAGTGCGACTCTGATGTTCTTCCGAGCTGCAATACTCCAGCAAAGCGAGGATAAATCCATAGCTCCACAAAGACCCCTTCTGGTAACGGTCAGATGAGGGGTTTAACACGTCGCGCTCACTTCTCTTCTTTGGTTCATCTTTGTTCGTGATGTTGATAAATGTCCTCGAGATGGATGCGAAGTTCTTGTAGATCGGTTGCGAGCTGTGATCAATGGAGTGGCAGGCCAATAAAAGTACGGCCGCCGTCCTTCCGAGCAAACGCGAGCTGCGATTTCCCCATTCCAGACGAACCTTGCACGCAAATGAATGGGAGGGGCGGGCCGTTATGTTTGTAGTAGCTGTCGATCTTGTCGAGTATTGTGGAGAAATACTACAAACCGTTATGTTTGTAGTAGCTGTCGATCTTGTCGAGTATTGTGGAGAAATACTCGACAAGATCGACAGCTACTACAAACATAACGGCCCGCCCCTCCCATTCATTTGCGGTTGTCTTTGATCGTCTCGCCAACTTGTTGATAATATTCCAGTTCGGTCTGCCAGTCGCCCTTATCTTCCTCAAGTACAATGTCAATCCCCGATAACACCCGCACAATCACATGCACTGGGTCGTCTCCAGTGGCTTGAGGGTCTTTATCAGCCACAAGGTCTTCCTCGGACAATCCGACGCTCGATAGAAATGCTTGCGACTCCAAAAGCTTCAGCCCGCTGATACTTGCCCTATTCTTCTCGACATCGTGCTCCACGAGTAGCCATGTGTCGTCCTTCTTGGCCAGGAAGAGCTGCAGCTCGCTAGAATCACACGTGATCAAGCTCGATAGTATGCTCTTGATCTCAACTTTTAAGGCGTCTACGCCCTTATCCTGGTCAATTCGGACAGTGAACACGAAGCGTTCACCAACGAGTGCGCACCACAGCCTCATCTCCCGCAAGATTCTGGAATGAAGCCTTTTGTCGTGGCGGTGTCAAGAATCACATCACATCACATCACAAAGTTTTCCATCTATCCCACGCATGAAGTACCCATGATCGTGGTTTGTTGTTATCCATTTCGCTTTCTTCTTTTTTTCAAAAACACGGATAATATTTTACCGATGATGCGCTTCAGGTCCTCGTCCGTCGGAGTACAAGTCAGCCCCACGAGGCAGTCCTCGTCAATCAGAACTCTCGGTTGTCTGTCACCCATTTGATACTCCAGTCGGACGAATGTCCACGAGCCGTCGTTGGTCACAATGCCATTCACCACCCGGTCCTCCCCGCACGCATGGAGTAGCTCCATCGCCATGACCGTCTGTGCCAACCCCGTTTCCATTTCCTCTTCTTGCTCGCACGAGGATTCCGACGAGTTCGACGAGTGGTCCGATAGCGCCAACGAGCGCTCTGAATTGGACGAGCTCGATGGCCGCTCCTCGGAGTCACCATTATCGATCGAGAACGCTTCCTCGTGCTTCTCCTCTTCGGTACTATCAGCATCCGAGCGTCTTGTCTGGTCCACTCTCTCTTCTGAATCATCGTCACTGTCGTGCTCAAGCGCGCTCTGGTACGCTCTCCGAGCCCCCATTAAGCAGACAAAATGGGTCTTGCTGGCGAAGAGAAAATCGAGGTCGCCGCCCATTCTGAGCCTCCCATCGGGGTTTTCAATGTGGTGCTTCCCATAGATAGTCACGCCGGTGTCCACTGTCGAGGTAATGCCCACAAACAAGGCGAACAACACACAGTCCATCTCCGCGTTCGTCGTCAGCTCTCGTACTGCCTTGGACGCCTCCTCCAACTTCACTTTGACGCGCTCGAAGCACGCATCCGGAACGCTGTGATACTTTCCAACCGCGTACAGGCTGTCGACGTTGCTCCAGCGAATCCGCTTGAGCGCGACACAGTCATCCCGAGTAGGCTTCAACTCGCGAATCAAACTGTCCCAGTGAGTGTGGACTCGCTTGAGGCGCAACTTTTCCGGTAGTGCGTCTCGAGGTCTGACCCCGGGCACCACAACCAGAGCGTGGATGCTGTCTCGGCGCGGGTCAATACCGAAGACTTGCCCCACCGTCTTGCTCGAGTCAATCTCGGTGGCCTGCAGTAGCGACTTCACACTGGGCGTCACGTCTCCGAGCTCGAGCGGTCAACACATCGTCGCTGCCCTGCGATAACCAGGAACCGTTTGATTTGGCCAGAAACAACTTGACCGAGTCTTGGTCCTGCAGACGCGGCTCCTGGCTTCGAAGCAGCACCTTCAGCTGGCTCACTGTGGCGCTGTAGTCGACCTCGACTTGAATAGCACTACCCGGAAATCCCACGACCATGAACGCGATCACTGGGGGAGTCACCACCAGCAACGGGACGGTATGTCTCGGGCGACACAACGGGAACAGCTCCTTTATAGGCTTGTGAGGGTCGATCTCCTGTGTGACGAAGCTCTCGACCAGTGAAGCATCTCGGTTGCCCAGCGATAGCATTTCCCGCGACATTTTGGTCATCCACCCGTCGCCGTCCTTAGCTGGGAAGAGCTTCAGGCGCTGAGCATCCAATTCGTCCATGCAAGGCGACATTTCCGCCTTGAGCACATTCTTCACGTCAGCAGCAACCGCATCTGGGTCGACCTTCGCAGCGTCGATGGTGTAGGGAGGGAAGGCCAGCGCAATGCCAAGATTCATCTTTGTTGGCTCAAAAGAAAATAAGTGTTTTTGCGACGAGAAAGTTTTGATTGATGCCTTCGCATTTTACCGCTAATCATCACGCAGCACCAGACAAAAGTTTGCCCACAACGCGTTTTAAGTCGGTGTCAGTCGGGATATCCGTTGAACTTTTGACTAGGAAGTCCGTCTCGAGACTCACGACGGTTTGGCTAGCGCTGTTAGCTGGGTATTCCAGCTCGACGAAGGTCCACGAGTAGTAGTCTGTCAGAATCCCTTTCACGAATTTCCCAGTGCTCTGCGTGTTCATGATCTCAATCGCCACCAACGTCTGCGCCAGTTCCGTCTTGCGAAGAGTATCGCTTGAGACTGCTTGATCCATCCCCACCATCATCACGCACAATACGTTCTTTGCTTCATCGTAAACCAGGAAATCAGCAGAGCCACACGCATTCACTCTGCCATCATTTCCGGTTAGACAATAATCTCCACACACTTTCAAGTTTGTCGCCTCCGTTCTGATCATACTGAACAGCAATGAAGACAGCAGCCATTTCGTTTCTGAGCCATTCTTCTTCGCTGGGAGCGCACGGACAGCCTCAACCAGAGAGTCTTTCATCAACGCCAGCGAACTAGCGGAGATAGTGCGAATCGGGAGGCTACGTTTACCATTCTGCAGCACATACGAACTTGCGATATCTGCCCAGGTCACATCACGCAAAGAGATCGGCGAGTTATAGCTGCAGCTCTTCTTCTTCTGGCGCTTGTTCAGACCAGCATTGAGCTTGTCCCAACCTTCTTGGACTTTGCGCTTAGCTATGGCCGGCGGCAGCACATCACGAATACGAACACCCGGTAAGACGATGAGCACGTGAGCCACGCCGCAGCGCGGCACCGAGTGGAAAATTTCCCGAATGGGGCGGCATTGGTAGGTTCTAGGACAGAAAGAGTCAAGTAGCCCCCGGACATGCTTCGTTGCTTCTCCGAGTACTAGCGCCTTCACGTCCTCACCTTCAAGATCCAGCCATATACCACGGAAATGAGCCACAACCACCTCGAAATTATCCTTGCCTTCCAGACGCGCGTGTTGCTTTAAGGCGACCTCCAGGCCGTTCATGTGGGCTTCATTCTCAACGAATACGCGGAACGGGTCTCCAGGTGTGCCAGCAATCATACACATCAGCTCTGTCACGGGCAAAAAAACAGAACTTGAAGCGAGTCACGTGGAGAAATCACAGGAAAACGTTCGTCAACCCAATCCATACTATCCAGCTCCGAATCGTACGTCATCATTTCCTGCACTAGTGCAGCATCACCCCTTGTCAATGCTGCAACTTCTGGAGATGCATTCGCTAGCCACGTGTTGTCCTTCCTGGCCAAGTACAAGTGCAGCTGATCCGCCTAATTAACTACTGCGAAATCGTCTTGGTTTTCAAGCTTCATGCGGGCTTTCAAGTCCCAAATCGAGGCAAAGGCGTCGATATCCACGTGCAAGACGAAGCTGGGCACACAACGCCCGAGGACTACGTAGCTGATGCGTCTTGTGCGAAGAACCGCTAGCACATGGACCGACTCTGCTGGTGGATCAATAGGAAAGCTGGTCCGGATTATACAAGTTGCTGCGTCCATTTCACAGTCCACTTCGCGATAAACCAGCTCCGGGCTTGCGTCCTCAACTGATGCCGCACATAACGACTCAGGTTTCAGGCGATATAGGTGCATCTTTGATTCCATCGTTGGCTCAAGACCTAGCGTCTGCGCAATGCTGCACTTCAAGTCCATCAGCATCTTGCCTTCACCCAAATCCACAGCCATAGTCATCAGACGCGGGTTGCCGCAGTTGTCTATTATCACGCAGTTTAGCTTCATCACTTTCCCGAGTTTTGCTGAGTAATGACACGCCTTAAAACAAAAAACCAAATGTGACGGTTCTTGACATGAACCAAACTCCAGCATAGTTTAGCCTGGTCAGTTCCGCCGTCTATGGCGATCGTGGCTGCGACTTCGACTACGACTGTAGCTGCGACTGCGGCGTCTCCGACTTCGACTGCTCCTCGATCGATCCGCCGATCGACTCCGACTACGTCGTCGATAGCCCCGCGATCGCTCTCTTTCTCTACGAGAAGTGTCGCGTCTTCTGTGATCCCTCTCTCTTGAGAGACAGCGAGAGAGCGCCTCCGGGCTGCGACTTCGCGCTCGTTGAGTCTTGGTCTTCGCGTCGTCCCAGCGACTTCTTCGTTCAGAGCCTTCCACTGCTGCCGATGACGTAGAGGCTTCCTTAACCTCCTGAGAAGTACCGGTATTCTCCGCAGCAGGCGTCGAAGCTGCAGCCTCTGCCTCTGCACTCGCAAAAGACGACGGTTCCTGGGGCGAGACCTCCATCTCGGCCTCTCCCTTCGTGTCCACAGCCTTGGGCTCCCCCTCCTGCTCCTCCTCGAGCGGATGGTCGTCCACCGCGAACGGATTCGTCTCCGTCAGCGGCTCGAGCCACTCGATCTTGGGCTGCTTGTAGAGCTCCATGATGGCTACACTGACCGCGTAGAGCTGCGCCTGGTCCACGTCGAAGAGCTGGTACCAGGGCGGGCGCTCGGGCAGCGCGACGCGCTGGAACCTGCTGGCCAGGAAGATGGCGGCGCACGCGATGACCTGCGCGCTGTAGCGCACGCACAGGTCCGCGCGCAGGCTGTCGTTGATGTAGCCCCAGGCCTGCTGCGCCAGCTGTGGGCTGCCGTCCAGCACCTTGACGTAGTAGAGCACGAACTTGTGCGGGTGCTGCGCCACGTTGTAGACGCTGAAGCCCAGGTCGATGAGCACCTGGCGCTCCACCATGATGAGCCACATGCGCCACTGCGCGAACGTGGCGCCCTCCAGGTCCACGAGCTGCTGCGCGACGGTGGTGCGCCGCCACTTGCGGCGCCGCAGCATGGCGTAGAACACGGACAGCACGTCGCGGATGCGCTTGGGCTTCTCCTCCACCTTGGCGGCCAGGAAGAGGCAGCTCACGGCCACGCGGAAGGCGTCAAACTGGCGCAGCGACTTGCGGTAGTAGAAGCGCTGCAGCAGCGTCTGCGCCGTGGCCAGCGCCACCTGCGGCAGCCGCAGCAGCACGCCCGCCTCCTGGATCAGCTCGCAGCCGAACGCGCGGTGCAGGCGCTCGGTCTCGGCGCTCACGCCGTCCGCGCGCGAGGGCGAGCGCGCCAGCACGGACGCCGGCAGCACCACGCGCACGGGCACAGCTCGCGTCATGAGGATGATACAATTGTGACGGTAGGACGGGGTTATTGTGGTATTGTGGGGAAATGTTACGTTAGATTTGAAGTTTTTGGTAGTTTTTGATGGTGGCGTGGCTGGTGCAGCCCCGAAGGAATGAGGTGGAGGTGACGTTCGATGTGGGGGACGACCCGGCGTGGAGGGACTTCCAGGCCAAGGCGTACGGTGTTGCGGCGTTAAGGAAGTCGGTGGTGGGCGGAATTGGGTCGGAAGAAGAGAGGTTGGTGCAGTCGGGTGGGGGTTCTACTTCTGCATTGGAGACCAAGAGGAGGAGATATCTGTCGCTGGTAGAAGCGTACTACGCCGCGGCAATTGACGGAGTGTTGCCGATGGATGAACCGTTGAGAGACTTGTGGGGGCGATTCGAGAGGTAAGATATTGCAATTGGGTATTGGGACCGAGACCTGGTCTGCTAATGAAGGAGAATTTCAACTTTCAGTTGCAGTGCGACGTTCACGAGGCATTTCGTGGTGTATCAACACTTTCGACGACAAGGATGGACACCCAAGCCCGGACTCAATTACGGGGCGCCGTTCGTGCTCTATCGTGGCTCGGCTGCGGAATTCCACTCGGAGTACGTCGTGTACGTGCAAGACAGCGACGAAGCCTCGTCGTGGAACACCATCCAGTCGCTCACGAGGATCGCAGCGGACGTCAAGAAGACCGTGCTGCTGTGTACTGTGACTATCGAGCAAGCTACATCGACCATAGCAGCCGACCAGCCGGTTACTGACCTTACCTTCGGCTCCTACAGCTTCCACGACGTCCAGTACACGGTGGAAGCCGTGGCGATCCGCTTTTGGGACGCGGCAGTCGCCGACAGCCCGGAGTCTTACGCCTTCCAGCCCCAACCAGTACTACCGAAGAGAGCCAAGGCAGCCAGGAAGAAGAACAGGACCAAACGACCTAAACGCCAGCTTGAAGGCACCGGAAATTCCACGTAACGGGGCTCAAGTCTGTTAAAAAATTCTTTGTTTGCATCTCCGAGTGTTAGTCGAACTCGTGTGTCATCTATTACCCCAGCACCACCTTCTCCAACACAAGCCCAACCGTGGAGCCCAGCACGAGCCCAGAGTTCAGGAAGAAGCTCGTGAAGGGGCCAATGAGGTGCTGCTCGTCCGAGTGCACGCTCTCGCTCACGAAGATGATGGTCAGCGTGCCCAAGTACCCATTCCCGAAGCCGAGCACCAGCACGCTGAGCACGGACCAAATGTCGCTCTGCAGCCACCAGCCCTTGACGATGCCGATAATGACCGGCACCAACACGAAACGCGCCATGATCGGGATCCACACGTTGCCGGGCGTGAGGCCGAAGCGGTGGTTCACGACGAATCGGCCGACGCAGTCGCTGACCGAGAAGAGCGTGAGCAGGATGAGCGACCACCAGCCGCTCTCCTGCAGCGACGGGAAGTTGTAGGTCTTGATCTCCGTCACGAGCGGCGGCCAGACCGAGAGACTGGCGAGGAAGACGGCCAAGATGAGCGCCTCCAGGTGCCACACCTTCCTCAGCACGCTCCACTTGGTGGGGGCGGGTCCAACGATGCTACATGGATCGCTACCAGACTGCCGCTTCTCCGTCGTCAGCAGCGGGGAACGCTCCGTCAGCTCCACGCTGCTGTCGGCCTTGCGCAGCAGATACTTCCTGGTGATCCAGAGCGCCATGACCTTGTAGAAGGCGCCGATGCAAAGCCCGATGGTGAGCGCGCCCGTGTAGAAGTAGATGAGCGACGAGGCCAGCAGCTGATCAGCCGGGAACACGAGCTTGGTCAGGTCTCTGTAGAGGCTGCCGATGAGTGTGCTGAGCCCCACGCCGAGCTGGAAGCTCTCCTGCACGCGCTGCGGGTACTGCGAGACCAGCGCGATGGTGGAGCTGTCGATGAAGGCGGTAGCGATGGAGGCCACGGCGGTGCCGCCCAGCACCGCGACAGCATTAGCGTGCTCGGACGTGAGCAGGAAGTAGGACGTGGGCACGAAGGCCAGCACCAGCAGCTGCCCCAGGAAGCCGCCCACGATGCGCCCCGTGTACCAGGGCTTGCCCCCGAAGAGCAGCACGATGACGCCGAGGAAGGCCAGGTTCGTGTACATGAAGGTGGACGTGAGCGCGAACTCGATGTTGAAGTCCGGGAAGAGCAGGTGCCAGTAGTCCACGGGCTGCGTGAGCGCCGAGAAGGGGAAGAGGTAGCCCACGCCCACGAGCGCGAATAGCCAGCAGGCCAGCGTCTCCTCGCGCGCCTCCTGCGCGGCGCTCTGCCTGCCGCCCTCGCGCTGGTCCTCGAGCGGCACCTCGGCGTCGTACGACAGCGACGCGCGGCGGATGCCCGGCGTGCGCGGCAGCGGCGACAGCATCTCAGCGGTCTTGGCGGGTGCGGCGTATCTGGCGGGATGGCGAATGGAGATGAGATGGACGTCACTCACTGAGACCTCAGTCTGCACACGTCGCAGATCTCTCGCTTAAGTTACAGTGTTGGAACCATTTCTCCCCGTTTAAGTTGTCAAGCGATCAGCAGACATGCTGCGCGAGCGCAACACCTTCGTGCTCAAGGCGCGCAGCGGCCGCGACGAGCGCCAACACGCGCTGACGCTGAACGTGAACGCGCGCTCGCAGGATCTGGGCCACTTCAACGGCAAGAATGGGGCGGGAGGGGCCAAAGCGGTGCAGGTGGGACCCATATTGGCCCTGGAAGCTCAATGTAGAGACTTAAAGATGTGTTGCCATTCATTGCCCATTGCTAGCGACTTCTGGAGGTGCTGGACGACGACGTGGCCTTCCAGGCGCTGGTGAGGGACATGGACGACCTGCGTCAGCTGGACGCGCTCGTGAAGACCAAGGCCAAGGAAGGCTCGCACACGCTCGAGCTGCCAGACATGACGGTGCAGTGGCAGGTGGTCGAGGAGCCAGGCCTACCCAGCGTGCTGCAGCGTGTCAAGACTGAAGCTGCGGCTACCAAACAAGGAGGTCCGGCGCAGATCGAGGGCGGGAGGTATCGCCCTCTGCCCGTGCGGAAACTCGTGGTGGCCGTGTGGTTGTACCCGCCGCATGTCGAGATCCCTCCGACCGGGAAGCGGATCCCCATCGGCGACACGGACAAGCAGGACTTCTTCGTAGGCGCAGACGAAGACGATAGTGTCGAGGAGGTCGACGAGTAGAGTAGGTAAGAACTGCATGTAATGTTGTGCTGAAAGCCAGCCGACTGATGACAGCGCGGGCTCACTTGCTGCGTCGTGAACGCGCATTTCTTGTCGTCGGCCTACTCCCGAACTGGACCCTCGAACTGAATGTTGAAGACGAATGAATGGGGTGCAGGTGAGAGGCTTGCACAGCAACTGGGTGCGCCGTGAACTGTACCGGGAGTGTTAAACATGCATATCAGGACGAGGCAGCGAGTCCTTGAAGCGACTGGGCTGACCAGCATCCAGCCGCTCTTCATCATTCTTTCTTCCGCCTGATCACAGTCAACCATGGGGTGCGCTTCGAGTGCCGAACGTCAGGGCGCGTGGCGCGATACCACGTTCCAGTCCTTGAGTACGAGACCCATTTTGGCATGCATCGTGCGTTGACTATTAGTATCGGTGCTGACTGCTATCCGTTTGACAACTTTAGGAGAATTGCAGGGCGTGCTGAGGTTAGTTGAGGCTGCTATCACTGTTGTAGAGACTCATGCACTGTACTAAGTCGGCTCGTCGCTGTTGTTCTGATAGATGGAGCGGACTTCGATCGACGAACCTCATCATTGGCGTAAGTAAAGATACATGCTTCAATATTTTCTGATCATGGTGATGGTTCTAAGCTCTTGCGGTGATCATTGCAGGTTGACTTCACTCACTCGAATATGGTACTTATGGTTGTTGTAGCTAAGTAAGAGGGCGGACCGACAGCTAAACGCCTGGTCGTTGTTTAGTGGAATGGCAAGCAGTCATTCGGCCAGCGCTGTCTCCATTTTATCGACCCAGAAGGCCTGATCCTCAATCCGTACCAGGCAGGAGTTTGCCAATTCACTCTTGCAATTGGTCAGCCGAGCTAACTTGTGGTTTCTGTGCAGGTTGTTATCAACATCATTGGTCGAACTTTACTATCTCGCAAGAGTAAGAGGGCCATCCACGTATTTGGCTTCGGAGACGCTCGCACGGCCGATCGCTGCGTCTTCACGTTCCTACCCGACGGAAGTCCTTGCCGAGGAGTGGGTCACGTCTTGAAGCAGTACAAAGAGATTGCTCCAGGGCTTGTGCTCGGGGGGCCAACGAACTTTGCTCCCGTCATCTACCAAGCAATTCGTCAAGTCAAAGCGACCGGAACTTGCAGCATCCTCGTTATCATTGCAGGTGGGACAATTGAGTGAGAATTGCTGCTGCTCATTGGTTTAACCAATCTTGCTGCCATGTACGCCGTAGACGGGCAAGTCACAGACGAGAAGGAAACGTCTCAAGCCATTGCCGAAGCCTCCAAATACGCTCTATGTAAGTGCCATTCACCTCATAATTATCCACTGTGCACGGACTTATATCTACGGTTTGCTAGCTATCATAGTGGCGTTGGTGACGGGCCGTAGGAAGAGATGGAGCCTTACCCTACTACGTTGCCAAAGCGGAGGTTTGACAACTTCCGTTTTGTGAACCTCAACAACCTGATGAGTGCGAATCCGGAACAACCAGCTCTGGGGTTTGCGACTGCGGCGTTGGCGCACATTCCAGGTACTACTTCGAAGTACTTTGTGTGTTTTGTGATGTTTGCTGCTGCACAATGCTAATGAGATGTCTATTGAACAGACCAACTGGCAGAAATACGTCGACTGGGTCTTCTCCAGCCCACTGTCTCGTAAAGTCCCGGCGATTCCGGCGGTCATCAGTAACACGAAGATTATTACGAAGTGCGAAACTAGTTGTCGAAAAAATGCGCAGCTAACTATAACTATTGTTCGGCCACAAGGCCAGTAACTCAATACACCTCAACGTTATTAAAAAAAAAAGATAACTATATACTCTAACACGTTTATGCCTTGACACCTTCACTGGCAGGTTGGTAGAGAAAATACGGCAGCATTCGGCTCCACCTACGGCTCAATTCGATATCTCGCGACGTAGAGAGGAAAATGGCACAACACTCCTTGTTTCGTGGTCACCGCGGGTTTGAATCCGCAATCCAGTAGTACCCTATCCTTCCTTCTCGATGGCAGTAGTGTGATGTAGCACACATGTCTACAAATGGTTGAATGAGCCTCCACAGATTGTCGGTATCACATTTTTGCGTCTACAAATGGTTGAATGAGCCTCCACAGATTGTCGGTATCACATTTTTGCGTCTGGTCATTCAGGAAGCAAATTCGCTCACTCTCGTCTGGGAACTTTCACCTGGCAACAGCGCCACTGATATCACACAGACTGTCCGCCGGTATCCAGTAGTTTTTTTACGGGTCTCGAGCCCATTCCTCCATTTTCCTCACGCACGCTTCGACGCTATCGCCTGCGCACGTGACCTTCCTCACTCACGCGCCACCAATCGAAACAGTCCCACGACTCGCATCCTCCTCGCAGTTTGCACTCTTGCACCCGTAGTACTCAATGCTAATCGATCGCTTACACCGCACCATCGTGTGAAAATACCCCTCCAGAGCAGCATCTTCGAGGAGATCGTCCTTCATCTCTCGCGCAATGCTGGCGAGGTCATCGAAGAATTCTGGTTTCATCACAATGACTAGGTGCCGAAGCGCAAGGACCGAAGTCACCCCAGCTCTCCAGCGAAAAGGATCGACGTAGCAAGTAACATCCGCAGTGTCCGTCACACCCCGCATTCGGAGGCATTTAACCTGCTGGTTTGAAATGCAACCAAAAGGAGTTATAAGCGCTCTCGCATGCTCAGATGCTTGGACCTCTACCAAGGCTGACGGTACCCGCAACCTTGCATCAACGCGCAAGAACTCACGAAGGCTCCCGCCTGAAACAAAATACCGAGACCTAATTTCCTCCTCCGTCAGCTTCTCAAGTTTACAGGCCAGATCTTCCAGGTCAGCTCTCTTCCAGTATGGCAGTAGGCAGAGCGTAATGCAATCAGCAGACTCGCCGTTCACATCAATTTGCCCCGACGTTGCCAGCAACGTGAAGCGATTCCCCCAATCGAAACGATCGAAGCCATGAACACGAGAAGCTTCATCTTGATTCACACCATCCAAGCAGGGCCAAAATACGCCCTTGGTACGCGAGCCCAGTTCATCGTAGAAGAAGTTGTACAGCTCTCCGTTGTCATCATTCCATTCGTAGTACTCACCCTCATAGAACAAGCGCGTGATGGCCTCCGCATCGTCAGCAGCTCGAAACCACAGAACAGGTTGGTTGGTCGTAACAGCGACGTAAATGCAGAGCAAGGCTAACATACAGCTCTTGCCAACGCCTGCGCTCCCCATTAACACGAACTGGTTCCTCACTTTACCTGAGTCAAAGTTCGCTTTGAAAATCTTGAAATTCTCCAGTACACATAAAATCTCCCTCCGCACGAAAAATTTGTCCCAGTAAAGCCAACGACGTCATTGATTTCTTTGATGTCCTTCACTTGTCCACAGTCGCGATCATTCCACTCCAACAGCCGCAAGAAGTCTTATATTCTCGGTAAGGACCCGCGCTTCGAGCATTGCTTCAGAAGCTTATCGAAAGTGCTCAGCTTGGTGGGTTGTGTCTGCTCCTCATCACTATCAGCGTCTCTCTTTCTCTTCGTGGGCTCGGGAACATTTACGAGTACGTGTATCTGCTTCGACAGGGGGTCTGGCAAATTACTTGTCTTCATCAGCTCTGCAATCGTGCGAGTTACCTTCAATGGGTCCTGGCTGATCAAGGTCTGGATACGTGGATGGATCTCTCCTTTATTCAGCTCCTCAGCAGCTTCATCGCCGTTTGGTAGCCAAAGAGTCTTCCCTGTGACGTCGGCTTTCATGGCCCACCACAGCCTCAGTTCTGCTGCATCGCACTGAATTGTCTGCGGATTCTCCGAGTGAATCACATCCTTCAGTTCACTCACCTGCCCGACAGCTTCACCATAGCTATGTTGTTGGGGGCAGGGAAAGAAAGGTTAAACATCAAGACCTATCCATCATACTGAGGGCATCAAGAATCTGACAACATGAGCAAAACAAAACTATAGCACGTCGATTTCTGCCATTTGATGGATGCACCGGAGCACGGCGATACCGTTCCAGAACTTGAATACCACGCCAAATTCCTCGAAGCCAAAGACCTGTCATGCCTTACAGGCGACTACGCGTGGCCTCCATCTTCTCGTTCTCCCTCATCTGTAACACGCGTCGTAGAATCTTGCCCGACAAACTCTTCGGAATGTTGTCAACAAACTCCACCTCGCGCACCCGCTTGTATCCCGTCACCTTCGTCGCTACGAACTCCATGAGCTCCTCCGCACTTAGAGAGCTGCCTTCTTCCAGCACCACGTAGACCTTCGGGATGTCTTCGCCTGTTGCGGGGTCGTGGCCGCGCACACACCCGGAGTCAGCCACCTGAGGGTGCGAGTTCACAACATCCTCCACCTCAGCTGAGGCCACCTGGTGGCCCTTGTACTTGATAAGCTCTTTGAGTCGGTCCACGATGAACACGAACCCGTCGTCGTCAATGTACCCGATGTCGCCCGTGCGGAGAAAACTGTCCTCAGTGAAAGTCTCGCGAGTCGCCTCCGGGTTGTTGAAGTATCCTTTCATCAGCGTTGGCCCGCGGAACAGCAGCTCACCATGCTGGTTCGGTCCCAAATCGACGCCCGTGTCCAGGCACTGGATCTTGAGCTCCACATTGGGGTACAGCGTTCCTGAAGAACCTTCACGATGGCAATTGATGGAAGAGTGCGTCCCGACACCGGCAAACTCCGTCATTCCGTAGCTTTGAAGAACCTGCACGTTCAGTCGCTTCAGCACAGCTTGCTCCAGCTCCTTGCCCAGTGGCGCTCCTCCAGAACTGGCTTGGGTAGTCGAAGAGAGGTCGTACTTGTCGACCAGTGGGTGCTTGGCGAGGAACTTGATCAGCGGCGGGGCGAGGTGCAGCCGTTTGAACTTGTACTTCTCGGCTGTCTGCAACAACGTAGTCGGCTGGAATCCGGGCAGCACCACCATCGACATGCCCATGTACAGGCTGATGTGGAAGATCAGCGTGGCCATGATGTGGAAGAACGGCAGCATCCCCAGGAGATAGTCCATCTTCTCCACTGTGTACGCGGGGATCATCCCGGCTGCAAACATCGCTCGTGCCGTCAACTCCACCCCCTTCGGACGGCCCGTCGTGCCACTTGAAAACGGTAGCGTCACCACTTGATCGGGGTCGATAGGAGGGATATCCGGGAACGGCAGGTCCTTCGCAATTAGATTCCTGGATAAAAAAATTAGGTCTTCCGTTAGACTGCAGTCATCAGGCTATGCTAGAGCAATAAAATGCACTCGTACTCAATCGTTCGCAGTGAAGACGAAGAGTCCTCACCCCCGAGGGTGTAAATCTGCTGGCTCGAGATCCCGTGCATTGTCGCGGCTTTTGTGGCCACCGCGGCGAATTTCTTGTGCGAGATCACTGCAACAGCCTGCAATAATCATGAAAAGGTCAGCGATCTACAGTAGACGACCACACTACAAGTCATAAGTCACCTGTGCTGCTTCAATCTGATCTGCCAATTATTGGGCCGTGAACTGCGGCGAGGACGGCGAGCAAATGGCCCCGAGTCGGTTCAGCGCCAGGAAGACCACGGGGTACTCGATGCAGTTCATCGAGTGCACCACCACAACCTGCACCAAACATAAAACCCACAAAAACACAAGCAATTTGAGCACTTTTGCAGCTGGCAATTGGGTCCTTTTAGAGTAGACGCACGTCTCCCTTCCTGACGCCGTCGGCCGCGAGACCGGCGCACAGCTTCTTGGCCAGCTGCAGCAGCTGCGCGTACGAGATCGTGCGCTCCGTGACGCCGCAGACGAAGGCCGGCTTGTCCCAATAGTGCGCGCGTGCTGCTCCACGACGCTCCAGATCGCGGCGTCGGCCGGGATCGGCAGCGTCGGGTGGCGAGACGTGAAGATCATGGGGCTCTTGGGTCTTCTTGGTCAGGTTCCAGCCAGCTGATTGGCTGAAACCGGGGTCAGCCACTTCAACTTGGTATCAAACAACGTCGACTCAACATGGCACGCAGTAAACGATCTTGGTTTACATTCGCATCTCCAGCACTGAAGTAAGTCCCTGAGCACAGCCACTGCTCCTGCAATGGTACATGTACTTCCAGCTTGCTAGCATGGCAATGTTTTGTCAATTGCCAACTCATTTTCTGTTTGCTGTTGCTACTGCACTATGCCCACTACCAATTTCTACGCTGGTGTGTTGCTTCTTCATCTCCTTGAGGGCCTTGCCAACAGCACTCATCAGAGCGTAGTCTCCCGGAGCTGTGTAGAATCGGAGCTGGAGCTGCGCCACCTCCTTCTCCATCGTCCTCTGCTCGCACTCGGCCTTCGCTTGACTCAACTCACGGGCGAGGTCCTTTGCTTCGATTGTCATGGCCTCCACTCGGCGCCGCAAATGATCGTTCGTACGCCTCGTAGCGAAACAATCCTGCTGCAGCTTGGCGCAATCCTCTTCCAGACCACGCTTCTCCTTCTCTATCTGCGCGACCCACAGGTTCTTCTTCTGCAGGTCCTTGGACAGCGCGTCGAACGGCCGAGAGCTGAGCGCCGCGACGGTATCATTCAGCTTCAGGTTCTCACTCCGCAGGAGATCCATCTCCTGCTGTAGATCCTCCATTTGCGCGCTCTGGTCACTGTACACATGGAGCTTCTCCGCTTGAACGGCCAACTGTTGCTGCGCCTCGAACAACTGCGCACTCATTTCTTCTAGACGGGAGGTGCTCTCGCGATACAGTGCGGCTTTAGCGCGGGCTTTCTCCTCAAGGTGCTGGTAGCGCGCCTCCAACACCTTCACCTGCTGCTGCAAAGCATCAACGAACATCCGCAGCGACGCTTGGTCCGTTTCGCCCGCTCCGTTGTTGCCATCCTCTTCGCGCGCAGGCTCCTGTGCTTGAGGTGGCTTGCTGTTAGCCTGACACTCGTCGAGCTCAGTCCGAAGCAGCTCGTTCTCCTTCTGCAGCCGCTCCAAATCAACCTCCAGATCCCGCAAGTGCGTCTTGAGCGCCTGCACCAATGGATGTCGAGCTAGATCGGCTGAGTTGGTTCGTGGCAGGTTCTCGGCTTGAGATTGTGTATCATCCTTTCCAACCTCAGCTCTGTCGTGCGTGGTCTGGTTTGGCGCCGCTGCGGGTACTGCCTTCACAGCCTTTTGCTTTGCAGGCTGCTTCTGCCGCGCTCGCTGCGCCTCACTCGATAACCTGCGGGTTCTCTTGGAGCCGGGACCCTCAAACTTCACATTACCAAGAAGGACACGTCAGTGCAATTGGGACGATGACCAACTGTGTCGGCTACAGTACTCGTCGGACCTGCATGAGTCGGCGCTGAAGAGCCCTCGTCTCCCGGCGCAGCGCGTGGTTCTCGTCGACGAGCTGCTTGGTGAACACGTGATTGTTGGGCAGCGTCGGCACGTTCTTGACCACGGTGCGCGATCTACGAACGCGCAAAGCAACAACAGCAAGCGCTCAGCATTCACGGGATTCAGCAGTCGAACAGCGAGCGAAGACGAACCTGCGGAGCGTCTCCTCCACCTCCGCGACGCGCTCCCGGAGCCGCGCGTTGTCCCGCTCGAGCCGCTCGGCGCGCTGCTGCCATCCCAGCGCGGCGGTGGCCAGCGCCTCCTGCGCCACGACCACGACGGCGTCGTTGCCGTCCACGCGCGGCGCCGGTCGCGGAGACAGCACGCGTCTGCTGCTGCTGCCGCCGGGCATCGCGCACGCGCACGTCAGCTCCAGCTCGCAGGCACGGCGCAAATCGGCGCGCTCCAGCCTCCGCCTCGATCTCGAAACGACGCACGGGTGGAAAACATCTTAGTCGGCAGGCAACGAGGGGGCAACAAAGGGCAACTGCAACCGATGTGAGGTGCCGGCGTGGTTGAAGTTGCGATCTTTTTCTCAGGAGAGCGGGTTCAATATGGAAGTTTGTATGTGGCGGTTTCAGCCTCGATCGGACGATTTTCGGTCTCGATGGGGCTTGTTAAAGCGCAGGCCGGCCTTGAGTCAAGCGTGACAGCTTGGCTCCGCTCGCTGCAGTGCAGTCTGCACTGGGCGGCACCCGACGCTGCATATCTCCAGGCCGTAGGCGGCAGTGCTCGGGGGCTCTCGCTGCGGGCCGGCCATTGCGAACGCCAAGAGAATGAGGCGCCGGCCGGAAGTCGCCAGTGCCGCTGCAACCCACACACTCCTCACTTGAAGTGACCTGGCCCACAAAACACCCGCACCGCCGATGATGCTAGCACGTGCGCGATCAGACCACAGCTATGATTTGGCCCAGCGTCGACGTCGGAGTGTACACACCAGCTAAGGCAAAGGCAAAGCAACCTCGCATTTTGATGGTGCTGGCCCTGGGCCGGCCGGCCAAGCCAGCGATGACTTGGTGGTGACGGCCGTGTTCGAGTGCTCCGGCCCAGCTGCAGGCGTTTCTTGAAGAATGCCATGTCACGCCTCTCCTCTCCTCCTCGTGTCGGAAAAGGCCCTCGTAGCGGGCCACTCAATTGCCTTCGCCGCCGAGGCCATGTAGCGGCGGCCTTCCCACGCTGATCGACCGATGGCCAAACAGCTGAGCGAGGCCGGGAGCGGAGAAAGCACACATCTCCTGCCGCATCTGCGGACTGGGCCATCTCCAAACCCATTTCGACCTGCGAAGGCGACCAGCGGAAGCGTACTCGCCAGAGGATACTATAGCAAGAAAGCCACAAACCAAGGCAACAAGGATGTGGAGCTGCCAAGTCCGATGCCGGCAGTTAGCACCAAAAGTTTAAAAAATGTGTATTCTCTCTCGCGGGGAAAACAATCGCCACCAGAACCGATGCACAATAACGCAGGACACCGTGCTCTTGCGGACGAAGAGAATAATATCCGTCGCAGTCGTGCCTACTTGCAGGCTGCAAGTTGCTCTGCCGAGGAAAGCCAAAGCGGGCTCTGGACATCACTTCATTTAGCGCCCATTTTCCGCTGGCGTGCTCATTTGCGAAAAATTGCGACAAATTCGCCCATAACTCGCATACAAAGACCAAGAGGCTGCCGCAGTTACCTCTCTTTTTGGGTGCTTGCCCAATTCAGCCCCACCCCTTGTGTGAATTTTAACCAGTGGGGGGCCGGCCCGGGCCAGTGGCCCTCTACATAATTATGCAAGGAAAAGCCAGGCCCGCCGCCCGCTCTCTGGAAGCCAAGTCAAGAAAAGCGAGCCGGCGGCGGCTTTGAGCCGCGCACTATCGATTTGTCCCAGAGCGTCGCTATCGGTTTCCTGCTGTGCCTGTGTGTGTGATTCTGTCGAGGCACCCGCAGCAACCCACCGCATTCGCCCGCTCGTACCGCCGCAGAGCCACCCGCAGTCGCCAACTCGCGCCGTTCCCCTCACCGCTCCAGTCCCCGCCATGATGAACTCGCAGAGCCACTCGAACATGCACGTCGCGGCGCTGCAGCCGTCGCTGTCCCCGCAGTCCGTGACGCGCCGCGCCACCGTCGCCAACGACGGCGAGCTGTACCGCCACCGCGCGTCGGGCGCCACCATCGAGCGCGCGCCCAGCGCCGGCAGCGGCAAGGTGGACGTGCAGATCCTCAAGAAGCTCTCGGCCTCGGTCTCGCACTTCGAGGGCCCGCGCAAGAACCTGTCCTTCGTCGTGTCCGTGGAGACGCTGATCCCGGGCCGCCGCGCCTTCTCGGACGAGCGCGAGTCGTGCCAGCTGGTAGCGCGCTCCTTCGACGACTTCCGCCGCTTCCGGCGCTCGCTGCTCGCGCGCGTGGGCAGCCTGCACGACCCGTCGCTGCTGCTCTCGGGCCGCAGCGGCAAGTGCCGGTGCGAGGGCGACAACGGCTGCCCCTTCGACGTCACGCGCAGCTTCCTGGAGCGGCTCAAGTTCACGCGCATGCCGTTCCTGAGCCTCGGCGAGAGCGAGGCCGACCTGACCAAGCGCCAGCAGGAGATGGACAACTTCCTCCACATCATCTTCGCCATCCTGCACCGCATGCAGCCCGGCTCGTGGCACCCGGAGTGCCGCTTCCTGCAGGACGTCATGGCCTTCCTCGAGGTCGAGGAGTCCTTCTCGCAGCAGATGGAGCTGCTGCTGCGCGCCAAGAACCGCCACATGAACCTGGACGGCTGGAAGGCGCACACCCTGGAGACGTTTGGCTCGGGTATCGGCGTCTAAAGCGCCTGCGCCCCCAGCCAGCCGAGCCGGTCGCTCCTGTGGCTTCTGGATCCGCGGATCACGAACGAAGGGGTTCGCCGCCTTCAGACCCACAGAGGAGGGGACGCCCATATTGAGCCCCCCCCCCCGCCGCTTTATTTATTCGACGACGTGAAGTATTAGTGTTTGGGCCCTGCACGGCCGAGACAAAACAACTTGGGCCTCGATGATCGAGTGCTACATTTATTAACACGAAAGCCCCCATTTCCCCACATCAACTCCGTCTAATACCTTGGTTTACTTGGCAGGAGTCGGCGGGAACGTGACTTGGCGCAGCAGCTCCATGGGTCCGCCGTGCGACTCGAAGAAGACGCGCTGCTCCTCGGTGCGCACGAAGAAGGAGCCGATGAAGCCGATTGAGTTGACCTCGATGCCGTTGAAGCTCTGCGCCTTCCTCGGGATCAGGAAGAGGAACGACGACGTGAGCAGCAGGTTGTAGGCCACGGGCAATGCGGGTGTCGCTGGCGCAGTGCGGCTCGGATACTCCGTCGTGTTCATCTGCTCGAGCACCTTGTCGTAGATGGCGACGACATGCGCCGCAGCCTTCTCACTGTCAGCATCGGCAGCGATGTCGATGCGGTGCAGGAAGTGGCAGAACGGGAGCTCCGGCAGCTGGACGGTCTCGGTGGTCGGGTAGTCGCGCAGCTTCTGGTCGATGAAGTGCAGCAGCGGCGGCTGGCCAACGTTCAAACACAGTCACACACACGCAGGATGAGTTACCTGCACAGTTGCCAGCGTGAGAACAATGAGTGATCGTCCGATCTTACCATGTCCAGGCCCGTGATCACCTTCATGCTGGGGTAAGTCATGAGCTGCATGTGCTTGTGCGGCTGGCTGACAAGAGGATGCACAGCGGAACAACAAGCCCATCAACATCTCACCACGACCATCTCCACCACATCTTCTCATTGCTAATCAAACCTGGCGCCGCTCTCGAAGCCGCAGTTGAAGAAGGCGAAGGCCTCGAGGCCCTGCATGGCCGTCCACATGGCGCGGAAGTCGGCGGCGTCCAGCGGCTGCTCCTGCGGTGCGAACTCGATCGTGGGCAGCACGATGTGCTCGTCCACCACGTTGAACTTGTTGAGCACGAGGTTGTGCGTGCCGTGCAGCTGCGTGACGAATAGCTCCTGCTCCAGGTGCTCCTTGGCGAACGGGTCGCGGAAGGCCTTGGGCTGCTGCTGCTCGTCCTTGGGCTCCTTCGCCGGCCGCGGCTTGGCGTGCGCGGCGTCCGCGGCCCACAGGATGTAGCGGACGCCGTGCTTCGACGCCGGCAGCAGCTCGTAGCCCGCCGTGATCTTCTTGAGCGCCTGCGACTGCGTCGCGCGCTGGGTCACGTCCAGCATGCTCTTGCGCAGCATCTTGATGTCTTCAATCCGGAACTCACGGTACTGCGATCCGTGTCAAAAACTGAGATATGCGTGCACCACACAAAGTATCCATTTTTCAAACCAGCCAATCACACGTCGCAGCATGATTTCGTCCAATGACCGTCGTTATTGCCGCTGACTGGCCTGGAACAGCACCATTTCCAGCCCAAGTCAAGTGACTGACTGACAATGGCGGCGACGGGAGTGCCCAAGCGCAAGCGGCAGCAGCAGAAGGCGGAGCAGGATGAGGCGGCCACCAAGAAGCAGCGCGTGATGGAGGCCACCATTACCGCCATCGACGTCATGAACCAGCTGCTGGCGCCGGGCGGAGACGTGGGCTACGACGTCTCGGACGCCGAGTGGGAGAAGCTGGTGCAGCTCACGCAGCAGAGCGCGCAGTTCGACAAGCTCTACTCGTTCCCGGGGGACGAGCCGGGCTGGGTCACCACCAAGAGCAAGAAGAAGAAGACGCACCTCAAGATCGTGGCCGTGGATTGCGAGATGTGCGTCACGCAGCAGGCGGACTCGGGCGAGCGCAAGACCAACGCGCTGTGCCGCGTCTCCGCCGTGGACGGCGAGAACATGCTGCGCAACATCCTGTCGGACTTCATCGTGCACCAGCCCGAGGACGGCTTCCACATGGTGGACCCCAAGACGGACATTCACGGCATCACGCCGCAGCAGATCGCCAGCTGCCAGATCACCATGGCGCAGGCCCAGAAGAAGATGCTCAAGTACATCAACCGCGACACGATCGTCGTGGGCCACTCGGTGAACGGCGATCTGGCCAGCATGCGCATCAACCACCGGCGCGTGATCGACACGGCGCTCATCTTCCGGCGCAAGGACGGGAGCCCCAACCGCGCCACGCCCGGACTCAAGGACCTCACCAAGTTCCTGCTGGGCTTCGACATGCCCCAGGGACACGACAGTACCGTCGACGCCCAGGCGTCCATGATGGCGGCCAAGTACGCCGCAAGACACGACACGGGCAGGATCATCCCTTCGGCGCTAGAGCTCCACGGACCCCGTGAGGACAGCCGCGCCGAGAGGATAAAGGTGCTGGACGAGTACACAGGCCCAGTGCAGCTCGTTGCCACGGCTTTCAAGGCTGAAGAACCGTCCAAACCGTCTAAGAAGCCCGCACCTGTGAAGATCCCCGTGAACGAAGCGTCCTACATCGATGTGGCCGCTATCAAGGAGAGCGCCAGCACCGAAGCGGGCAAGAAGAAGGGCATGTCGGAGGCGATGATCGCGCGATCCTGCCGCTTGCGCGTGCATCGCATCCCGAAGGGCACTTCAAGCAAGGACATCGAAAACTTCTTCATCAAGAACACCTGTATCGTGCCCGCCGCCGTGGAGAAGATCGCGTGGCTGCCGAACCAGAACCGCGGCTCATGTAACGTTACCTTCTCGACGAATGCCCACGCAGCTTTAGCATTCGAGAGCGCTCCTACGTCGAAGAATACCAAGGTCTCGACGGACTCCATCGGCCGCGCCCAGAAAACGATCACCGTCGTGAGCTACCTGGGAAAGACATACAAGAACGTGGCTCTCGGCGTACTTTAGACTTAGCCTCAAGCAAGCAACGACAACTCACGGCTCGAGCCTCTCTTTGCCGAGGCCCGAGCTAAGCTTATTTACGCTGCTATCTTTGCGTGATAAATAGAGATGCATGTCTTCACGTTTCCGCTGTTGCTGGCTTGCTGCTAATGGGGGAATCTAACGCTTCAGACGCAGAAGCTGCTGTCGCTAGAAGCAGCTTCTTCTTGGTTGCTGCCGCCCGCTTAAAGAACTTGGCGTCCTTCTCGGCCGCATATCGGCGCTGCTCGTCGATGAACTGCTGCTCTTGGTGCAGTTTGAGGATTTCTCTCCGCTCCTTTTCAATCAGCCAGTTCTGAAGCTTTGTTTGCTTCTCGATAGCTTTTCGTGACATCTCCAGCTCCTTCTCGACGGTCATCGCAGGTGCCGCTTGCACGTCGTTTTTCCAGCACTCCCCATTCCCATTGGTGTCGATACTTGATGATCGGCCTCGAACACGGTACGTCATATCCATGGGAGCGACAGGTTTTGTTGCTACTGGCCCGGGTGACGTGAACGAGCCGAAGGATCGAAGCTTCAGCGCTGCAAGTTCCCAAAGTTGTTAGTTAGATTCGTGAAATGTTGCAGAGAAGTTGCTGTTACGTACGAGGTCGAGGCTTCATCATGTTGCCTCCTCCAAACGCCCTCCCACCTGTTGGTAGTGGGGAGCGAGAGGCTGACAACGGTGGATGGGTAGGGCCACCCTGGAATCCTTGAAAGAGCCGCGCATGGATGACTTTGAGCTCTTCCTCTTCGATCTCAAAGCGGAAAAAGCGATCCGAGGCGTCTTTCAGTTGTCGCACTGTGTTCTCTAAATGCTGCACGGCGACTTTGTTAGACCGATAGGTTGCCAACATTCATGAAAAGAAGACACAAAGTACCTGTTTTGCCTGTAGAATCTGCGGGTCGACAGCAGCACTTGAAACCATTGCACTCGCACCAGGAGATTGTTGCAGTCGCAGCTTCTCTAATTCTTTTTGCAGTTTCTCATTTTGGTGTTTGAGCTCGGTATTTTCATGAACCAGTCGAACAACTCTCGCTTTCAGTCCGGCTGACGCCTGGTTACCGTCTTCTTCATGGGTTTCGTTGTTGTTGTCACCCTCGGCGTCACCATCATCTCCATTCGCGCCGTTCGGAAGTCTGAGTAGACGAACAACTTCACGCAACTGCTCGAGTTCCTCCTGAAGCTTTTCAACGTATGCAGGGTCGATCTCACGCTGCTCATTGACGCGCACCATTACCATGACCTTCTTGGCTCGATCCGCGAATTTAAGAGTGGAGATCGATTCTTCAACGCAGTCAATCGATGGCGAGAGCGTAGCGATGATTTTGGTCTTGGTGTTGCCGCCCAGACTGTCTTGGAGCAGCCTTGTCAGCTTCGAGTCACGATACGGCACGTGGGTTGGGCCACCCGTTGACTTGCTCGATAGAGCAGCTATGCAACGCCCAAGTGTATGCAAACTCAGGTTAATATTTGTCATCTCCGAGATGTGGTGGTCTTGCATTTCGGTCCCCATATTCCACTTCTCAGAGCCTGCCAGGTCCACAAGATTGAACTTGGATTTGAGAACTGTGCCATCCTTCCGCCTTTGCTCCAGCAGCAGCTGGAAGACGCTGTGACTGCGACTACTCACTTGGTTCATGTGAGTAGATCTCACAGCTCGATTCTGTTCGCCACACTGCAGCAACTGCAGGCAGTCGCTTACGCTCCTCACCGCGTACTCTGACAATCCTTCGACGAAGATGTCGTTCTTCCGGTCTTCGTGGATCTCTAGTGGCGCGTTCATCTGCGTATCTCGCAGCAGGTCGAAAATCTGCTCGTTGTAAATCTGGACGAAGGAGCAGAACACTGTTGCTTGGGCGTCTGCCTCCATCTGCACCGTGGCAGCAAAAATCTCCTTGATAGCACGCGGAATAATACCCGCCTGGCTGTTCTGGAGTCCTGGGCGGTATCGTGAGAGATCGGTCTCGGCACCGAACATTGTAAACGACTTGCCACTTCCTGTCTGGCCGTACGCGAAGAGTGTAGAGTTGAATCCCTGGAGGAAAGACTGGGTGCACTCGCGTACGCGGTCGTACACTTGCTCCTGCGAGAAGGTGTGGTCGAAGACTGCATCGTATGTGCACTTGATCGTGGATTCGGACGTACGCACTTCAATACTCTGTCAGTAAAAAAAAAACTCACATTGTTAGTCGTTCTAGACCGGATCGATACTTTACATGAAGTATAGGACAAACCTGGTGGTCGGTCGCGCGGATGGAGTGCGTCCCAGCACACCGCTCTTGCGAATTCTCGCGCTCAATCAGCGGACGAATACGGATGAACACCTGGATGTTCTCCGACGTCCCGCCTCGTCGAGCTGCAGGAGGCGCAGTAACCTCAGGCTTGGACTCGGGTGACGTTGTCTCCGGCATCGGATTCTTCTCTACCGCTGCAGTCACCACTTTAAGTTCTGCCCCCGCTTTCGGTCCTACAGGCATGACACGCTTCTTGGAAGCTGATCGGCCTAGTGTAGCCGATCCTCCTCTTGCAGGCACGGGCACGGACTCGCCGCTGATGAGTTGACAGAAGTGCGGCACGCGCGGGTCGGACCACGACTGGCCGCAGCGGCACGAGGTCGGCAGAAGCGTCTGAATGGTTCCTGCGTCTCAATCCTTCCCGCCCACGCTAGCGATGCAATGAAATAAAGGGCAAGGTCTGCTAATTATACTCGACGGGCCAGCCATCAACAGCTCGCACACATATATTGATAAAAGTGTAGCTCTGGTTGAAGCTTGTTTTGGGTTAGTTGCCTTTATGTAGTCCACACTGTCTCGTATTTTGGGTCTCCTCGATCCCGCCATGGCTTGACTGGTCCACACCTGAAGTGACCTTGGGACGGACCATGGACGCCGAGGGCTTCTCCCTGGACGCCGCGCTGTCGCTCGTGCGGTGGCAGCGCTCGCGCCGCGGCTACGACGGCGACGCGGAGCTGCTGCGCGCCGGCCTGGCGCTGCTGGCGCCGCCACCGCCGGGCGCGCAGTCGGCGCTGCAGCGCGCCGAGCGCGCCTTCAACCTGCCGTGGCAGCGCATCGCGGCCGAGGTGCTGCAGTTCGCCGTGTTCGTCGTGACGAAGGCCAAGCGCGACGCGGAGCTGCGCCCGGAGCAGCCGCGCCAGGCGCTGCGCCTGCTGCAGCTGGCGCTCAACGCGCTGGCCGTGGAGGGCGACGCGCAGCTCACGACGCTGCCGCTGAGCTCGTGCAACCTGCTGCTGGGCGCGCTGGTCGAGGCGCTGGAGACGCGCCAGCAGGACGACGCGCTGCAGACGCTGCGCGACGTCAAGGCCGTCTTCCTGTACCTGTTTGGGCTGCCCAGTGAGCGCGCCGCGGCCGCGACGCCCAGCTTCCAGATGTACCGCCCGCCCACGAACGTGTACGCGGACTTCTTGAAGCGCGCGCTGACGGCGGCCTTCCGCGCGCTGCAGCAGCTGCAGGAGAGGGATGTGGACGAAGAGGAGGAGGAGATTAAGCAGCAGCAGGAGCTGTACGTGGACGTGGTGCACGCGGCGCTGTCCGTGTTCCAGGAGCTGCAGAAGACGCAGACGAACAAGAAGAAAGTCTTCCTGGCCATTGCCAAGACGTCATTGAGGGACATTGTGGCCTATCGCCACGCGCTCGTGAAGCTGCAGACACAGGGGGTTCCGGGCGTGGAAGCGGCCACGCAGCTACTGGATCGCGTCGTGGAGGACGCGCTCTTTGATGCCGAGCACATCCGCCAGTATGATGGCGCCATGGTGCACGCGGCGATGTGGAAGAAGGACGGTGATGACGCTAATGCAGTTCAGGAGGAGGAGGACGACAAGAAGTCCAAGAAGCGACGCAAGGCTGGAGGAGCCAAGGCCGCGTCGGGCCTCGTATCCTACCAGAAGAACCTGTTCGACGAGCTGCAGAGTTTGCTGTCGGACAAGGAGGTGGACGCAGATCTTAAGGCGTCGGTCGGTGGCTTCTTTGAGGTTCTGGTGCGAGGCTTCGCAGTGCGCATCCGCGCTGCTGCGAACACCAAGATCGAGGATACCAAGACGGACCTGAAGACGAGCAGGAAGCGCGCAGCTATCGTGATTGCGACGACGTCCACGACGTACTCGCCGTTCAAGTTCTGGTCCGAGCTGTGCGCCGTGGCCTTCTCAGCTTTCCAGCAGGAGGCGGACAAGAACGATTTCCTGCCAGTGCTGGTGACGCTGTACAACGCGCTGTTCCGAGCTCTGTGTGAGTGCGATGTGTACCGTGTGACGGAGGATACCGAGGATCGTGGGCAGTTTTTGACTATGGAGAAGGTTCTGTCGGCTTTTCTCGAGGTGCTTGACGTCGAGCATGGTGATGAGGTATCTAGCGACGCTGATCGAGCATCGGAGGAGTGTGAGGTGGTGACCAGCGCTGTGCGATGCTCTCCTAATCTTGTTAACTGCTGTATTGTACCCATTCTCGAGCTGCTGGGACTCCAGGCTGTTCGAAACTACCCAATGAAGGGTGAGGACGGGAGCAAGGGTGGTGCTCTTGCAGCTGCAAGTTCTGCAGTTGTGGAGCTTATTCATGCGTACGATTCTATGCGTTTGTTGGACGCTTTCCTGAAGGCTTCATTTACGATTGAGCGAGCTCATGAAGGACTGTACAAGTTGTTTGCGCTGCCTTCGTGCGAGACCACTCTACGTAAGGCGTTTATGGCTCTGCCTCCCGGTCAAATGGATGTCTTGTGGAAACTTCTTGTGGAGCAGGTCGCCTCCTTCTCTTCAAGCGAGGATACTGTCGACAATGCGCGTGGAGTGGCAGTTGCGCGCTTGCTGTTCCAGACTTTCGTCCAGGAAATTCACGTGGTACCTCAGAACCGCTCGAAGGTTTTGGGGCTCGTATCTTACACGCACGAGAAGCTACTGTCGTCGTTTGCAGATGAACTGGACCAAGTCACTGGCTCATTCACGTCCTACCAGCGCGAGCTGTTCTGCATTTTTGGAGAGTTGCTGATGTTTGATTCAGTGTTGAGCTCCACCATTCGGGAGCAAACGTTTGATCAGTTGTTTAAGAAGCTCGAAGGGGATCGATTCGGTACTGTGATGAAGCAGTTATTAGCAACTTCCAGCCCGAAGAAGAAAAAGAAGAACGGCAAGGCCAAGTCTACCGATAGCGTTGCGAACAATTTGAGCACGAGCCATGGTCTGGGCGCTGCTGGAATCGTTAAACTTTGCGTGTACTGGCTGCGTAACATGGGGGCTTCGAGCCCCGAGGCAGATGACGCTATCAAGGTTTCTCGCGAAGGAAGGGAACAGGCGACTCGTTTGGTTATCGAGTACGTGATCAACTGGAAATGCTGGGAGGCTGTTAGCTTCCACCTTCCCGAACTGATGGCAAACGCAAGTGACGAGGAGTGCGACCGCTTCCTCCGCGAGATTCTGAGCGCTTTCCTGTGTGAAACCGTTTCTGGGGAGCTGGATGGTTCGGCTAGGAGAATTATTTGCGATGCAGAATTTTATGAGATTCCAAGTCTTCGCAAGGTTGCGCCCACCTCGTTCAATACCCTGGGACAACAGTTTGTTGATGAAGCACAGCGTGACTCGCTGACGAACCCGACGACGCCCATGCAGTTCTTCAGCTTTTTGTCTGAGATTCCTCGCAGTTATCTCAAACCGGAAGAGAGCGGAGACTTGCTGTCCACGGCGTTGTCTCTGTATAAGGCAATCACTGAGAGTAAGACAGAAATTCGCCGGACTGTGTTGGCCTGGATTCAACAACATTTCAAGGCCATCGGTGTTGAAGTCAACAAGTCGGGCGATGCTCGGTTGAAGGAGCAGATGCTCAATGGAGCGCGCTTTATCACATCTCAAATTGCGGTTGACAACGCTCTCAGCGTCTCACTGGTGTCTGAAGTGCTGGGCTACTATTTGGAAATTGGTGACGGCGCGTTTGCCGGCGAATTACTCAGCAGCGTTCTCGGCACTAAGAGTGCAAAGAAAAACTCGTCGTCCAAAAAGCTTCAGCGGGCTGTGATTGTGGTGGAAGCTTTGGCTATGTGTCGTGGTGCTTCATCTGAAGTCTCGAAGGAGGAGAAGGAATTCGTTGAGAGTGTTGTGGATGTTACCACGCGTGACAACGTCTGCGAGAATTCGGATGGACCGTTGCCGTTTGAAGTGCTTACTGCTCTCCTCAAGTACCAGTCTATTCTGCAGAAGCAGGCGTACCAGCAGAAGAAGACCATCACTGAGGGTCGCGTGCTGGAATTGCTCGTGAAGCACGTTGGAGCTGCTTTGGCGAAGTCTATGAAACTGGTTTCTGCTACCAGCGAGTCCACTAATGATTCCAAGCTGCAGGACGCTGCCTGGTCCTTCTACGCGAATTTCTGTTTGGAGTACGCTTCTTTCCGTTCGTTTGTGAATCCTCTGGAGACGTTTGGATGCTTGCTGGCTGTGGCAATTTCGCTTGTTTCGCGCGACCAAAGCAAGGCGGAGCAGGCCTTACAAGCAGTGATCGGCAACGCAAACAAGGACGAGTTCCGTCTTCTGCTTACAACGATTGTGCAGGAGCTTGTAGCAAATGAATGCCAACGAAAGCAGGGCGCGCTGCGTGCTCTGTGCTTGCTGTTGGGCGGAGACCGTAAGCTCAACGCAGCTCGTCGGCAACTTCTAAATGAACGCAAGGAGTCGATCGTCGAAGCGCTGCTCCAGAACTTCGCTGTTCAATCTCCGCAGGTCGGGGTGGTGTCATCGGATTCCAACGACGACGCTGTTGCCTTGCGCGTATGGAACTTGAAGGCATTCACGTTGGTGTTCTGCAAGGCCGAGCTTTTCACGTGGAAAACTCACGAGCTCCAGCACGTTTTTACGGGTTTCCAACCGATCGTCGCTGCGGTATCGTGCTGGCAGGCTGGCACGAACCCGTTCAACGCCCAAGACCTGCACGAAGTGTGGACTCTTTCGTACACGCTGCTGTTGCGTATCGTGCGGAATCACTTCGCGTCGCTGGTGAACGGAATCCCGCATCTCGTCCAAGCAGCCAACGCGCTTCTGCAGCTTCTGGTGCTGACCTCTGCTAGCTCCGAGTACTCGCAGTACTGCTCCGAGTGGAGCTCTAACCTGGCGCGTCTGTACGGGTACATGAAGGAGCACGATGTCCAGCTCCGCAAGCACGTCGTGTACATGCTGATGGCATTCCTCGTCGGTGTCACGCGCGACAAGTTGGCGGTTCGTTTCCAGCAAAAGCTGCGGCCCGGTGTGTTCGCGCTGCTGGACGTGTGCTCGCCTTATGAGAAGGAACAACTCTTCGGAGCGCTGGACTCAACCGGCAAATCGCTGCTTAAGACTTTAGACACGAACTACAAGCTCACGCATCGCTACGTGGGCAAGGTCTAGACTACCTGACTGGTAAGCGCGTAGTAGCTGGGGAGATATTTGTAAGACTAAACGATGCTGCTTTCTTTGACTGAGCTACACCAGGTCCCAGCGACTTTCCCCCGTTTCTTGATTGTAGTAGTACGTGCTGCCGCTGGCTGGGTCGACGCAGGGAATCCACGGCGACTCGGACGGCGTATGCCTTCTTGGGTCTGCGAATTGCGTGATTGACGGGGAGTTTCTGCGAGACATTGGGTCCATGGTCATGCTGGAGTTGTTGGCAGCGTTGACACGGCGGCGTAAGCCGTGTAAGGAGACTGTGGAGGTGGATGAAGCCGTCGACGGGCGATCGCTGTAGTAGTCGCGTGCAGACAGTCGATCCATGGTGTCTTCGTAGTCGCTCCAGGCAGACTCGCTGGTATTGCTGCCAGCCCGATACAACATCGCGCGTGACCTGGCTATGGGGGACGTCGATAGCGTGGATCCGATTGAAGATGTAGGTGATGCTGGAGGACTAGAAGTATACCCAGAGTGCACCGACCGTCGAGGACTTCCAGCTCGACCTCCAGCTGCAGCAGCCGCCGCTGCCACCGTTTTGAACACTGGCTGCAACACCTCGTCGTCGCTCTCGCTGTCGCTGCTGATTAGCGAAGACACGTCGCCGTCGTTATTGTTCGAGTGTTCCGTTCGATCTGGGGATCCGGGGCTCTGCAGTTGAAGCTCGCGGCGCTGGCCACCACGAGCTGCCATGGCGTCTGCCAGCGCTGTTGCTGCAGATGAAGTCGTGGGTTTTCGAGTTTGGTTGGCCTTCTTCTCTAGAGACGCGTACATCGGCGGGAGCTGCTAGTGAACACCACGCCGAAATAAGGTGAGCCAGCGATGACAAGCGATAGAGGACTGGGCATTGAACGAACCTTCTTGGGTGCTTGTGGGGGCCGCGTGAGGTCTTCGACTGTCGTTGGGGGTACACGATCAAGCAAGAACTCGGCCCTGGGTGAGGTTGCTGGTGTCTTGTCCGCCTGTGGAGACAAACGGAGATTATTATCCAGCCACCTACACTGCAAACAGATCAAGGGGTTACGTACGTGTTGCAGGAACAGCTTGAGTGTCACGAAGAGCAGACTGCCGATGTGTGCTATGGCCAAGAAGAATGGAGCTCGTAGCATTGTCCAATGCACAGTGCCTCCTTCCGGGTTGATGGCCGACTCGCGCAGTCGGGCATTGAGTCTCGCCCCCATCGCCCCCGACAGCGCGACGAAGCTGGTGGTGTACAACGACATGTTGGCGCGTATTCTCGCAGCGAAGCAGTGGCCGTGCGTCACACTCGCAGCCCCCACGAGACAGCAGCACTGGCACGAACAGAGCGACAGCTGCACCAGCGCAGCGAACGACACTCCCAGAGCCGCCATAATGGGCAGGTACACGTACGACGTCGTGAGGGAACTCGACAGGTAGGAGCCGTAGAGCGCGAGCGTGAGCTGTTCGTCGGTCAAATGGTGGTCCACGATGCCCCCGATGATGAAGAAGGTGCTGAAGGCGCAGAGGATGAAGGCCAACTGGTACACGGCGCAGATCTGCCGTCGAGTGAGCTCAAGCAGCAGCGCGAAGCCCAAAGCTGCGAGTACCAGCACCGCTCCCAGCAGGTCATCGATGATGTGCACTCGCCGATGGCCCTCGGGCGAGTCGAACGCGCTCATGCCAGTTGATCGATCACGTTAAAGCGCCTTTTCTATTGGTTCCAGCGTTCGACTTGCTCAACTTGGTTGTCTAAGCATCTACGTTGCTAGACCCGTGACCTCCTTCCTCCTGCACTCGTCCAGCGTGGTGGCACATCTATTAAAATAGTATGAAGGGCGATAAGATCGAGCCGCCCAGCATCGAGGATGTGAATATTGAGCGGAGTTTGACCAAAGATAGCCACGGCCGTCAGCATTCTGTCGTGGATGACGAAGAGAATGAACGCAACAAGGTGTTCGATCGATCGAGCAATGGGAATTGATGTCCGAGTTGAGGTGCAAAGTTGAAGTGGACAATGGCGTCGAAAGGTCGATGTGCGACCCTCGGTCGATAGCGGATTCATTGGAATCCAGATCCAAATCTTGAGCTAGCGAGTCTGCAATGAAGGTGAAAACGCTGGTGGCCGCGCTGTTAGCGGCGCTAACGGCGCTGGGTGACGAAGTCACGGCTGTGGCGGGGAGCGATTTGGTCACCCCGATCATCTGCGCCAGCTCCGCGGCGACGGAATTCCTCGGATTTCAGTGCGCTTCAAGCTCAAGGTCAAGCACCAGCTCGAGTTCTAACAAGACCTCGACGACGACTTCGGCAACTGTATCGCGCACTGCGACGTATGACCTGCACGCGTTGGCTATTGGCGACTGGGGAGTCGACCTCGGTCTCGGATCGTGCTGCAACGTCTACCGCAAGACCGGAACGGGTAACAACGAGTACTACAAGGATCAGCAGGCGCAGGCGAACGTGGCCTATCTACTGTCGCTTTCGGCCAAGAAACTGCAGCCGAAAGCAATCCTCAGCCACGGGTACAGACATCGATCGACATTGTGTATGAGTTCTTGTGTGTCGAATACTGACATTTTCTTTTTGTTGTTGTTGCAGCGACAACTTTTACTGGAATGGTTTGGGATCCGACGACGTGAACTACCGCTTCCTAAACTCCTTTGAGGCCATGTACTCGGACCCCGCGCTGCTGGACATTAAATGGCTCAACGTTGCTGGCAACCACGACCTGGGCGGGTCCATGTTCATCTGCGGCAAGCGCGACAACGAGTTCGTCGAGTGCTCGGGGACCACCGACATGCTCAAACAGCTGGACGAGAAGTTCACGAGGCAGAGCAAGTACGTGAGCCCCAACAGCGACCGCTGGCAGATGCCCGATCGCTACTACGTGGAGCGGTTGGAAGACCCCGACTCGGGGGTGACGGTCGACGTCTTCAACATCGACACGAACGCTGCTGCGGTCCACGGCGGACAGCAGATCTGCTGCCAGTGCTACGGCTACAAGATGAAGTACGGCTACTCCGGGAGCTGCTCGGACGTGGCGCGTGGCGACAAGCTGTGTGCTGGAGCGGATACGGAAATGTTTGATGCGTGTATGGCGCAGATCGAGGCGTGGCAAGCCGACTCACTGAAGCAATTGGCGAGAGATGCTGCTGCCTCTACTGCGACCTGGAAGATGGTGAATACTCACTACTCACCGCACTTCCACATGACCCCGACTGTGATGGAGGAGATAAATGATATTCTGGAGAAGGGGGGCATCCACTTGTTCATCAACGGCCACACCCACGCCGAAAGCCACGAGTTTGGGTCGTTCAACACTCACTTCGTGACGAACGGCGCTGGAGGCGGTATCCAGAGCGAAAGCATTGGCGAGCCCCCTCCGTACGCTTCGGATATCAAACCAATCTGGCGTGGACACAATGCGCCGTACGGGATTTTCGAGCTTTCGTTCGCGGCGGACCAGATGAAGATCCAATTTGTGACTTTTGACGACAACTGGGTCTTTGCATCTAACAAAGCCGACACGGTCAAGGGTGGGTCGAAGCTCGATCACTGCTGGCTCATTCCCAAGGACGGATCGCTGGGCCAGAAGTGCTAAGGATGTAGGGACTCGCAAGAGTTTGAACCTTATCGAATACATGATGTATTTTTTTGTTGGTAAGTACAAATCTGTACTAGTACAAAATCTAGGTACTCAAAATTAGGTTTTCGTGTACATATACATTTTTGTGACAACTAAAATTTGCATTTTATTCCTATTCAGAGTACTTTCCGCGAGCTAAGGATGGAATTCCAGGAGTGCTTCTCGCTGCTGGCTACGCGACCTGCGCACGCCCACGAGCACTGTGAGGATGAGCAGCACGCTGAGCACGAGCCACACGACGTGAGTGTCTCCGAGGAGGATGGAAAACCCGACTCAGAGGAGGCCAAGGAGCCGGAGGACCTGGCGCTGCTGAGTGCCCGAGAGCTGGTGCAGACCTTCCACCGCCTGCAGGAGACGCGCGTCCAGATCTACACCGAGTTCCGACAGTGCGTTGCTGTCGATAGAATTATATTCTAACTAAGAGGGAAACTTACTGTAAACTAAACATGGGCAAAATGCAGGGGGTTCCAAGTGCACCAGAAGACGGAGCAGTTCACGAGCTTCTGTGAGTACAACAAGAGCTCCTGTTTTTTTATTTTTTTTCAAGTAATGATGCAAGTTTAGAACTGCATCTAACTTTTTTTTAATGATGTAGGTTCTGGAATCACCGAGCGCTTCTCGGCTGTGAGTGAGAAGATCAACCGCGTGGAGAAGTTGCTGCGTGACGAGAAGCAGCAAGTGGCGATCGCGCAGCTTCTGCGCAAGGTGCAGCTGGAAGAGAAGGAGAAACTGCTACTGGTATATGAACTTTCATTAGTTAGAACTAGAGGTATTCTCGTTAACGCACCTGACCTGTTGTTGGGACTGTTGTGATTTTAGACGTCGGCGGTGCTGATTGAGAAGATGCGTCTGAGCGACGCGACCAAGCAGCCAGAACCCGACGAGTCCACGATTGCGTTCTTGGAGCGATCGGTACAGACGCTGACGGCCAAACACACCGACTGTGTGGTCCGTATCAACGAGATTCTGGAGGATCTGCGTGCTGAGGGCGCTGACCTCGAGGACGTCTAAACGACCAACAATTTGCAGAGTTTTTGAAATGGAGTGGGTTGTTCAGTGTTTAGTGCTGCAAAGGTCTGCTTCTTGTGGCTAAATTGTGTGCTTTCGAGGTCGCGTGATGGTGCTGAGTCGTCCGCGCAGCTCTGCCTCGTTCTGCTGCAGCGCTCGGTACGCTTCCTGTTCGTCGACGTATTCAGGAGGAGGCTCGCGGATGAGACAGCGCTCTTCACTTTCGTAGGCGGCGAACGCGGCTGGATCTTGTCGGCGCATGAACTCTAGGCGCGTCTTCTTGGCGTCGAGGTGAAGTTGCATCGTGGAGTTCTGACGGCGGTTGGCGCGGTGGAACTCTTCCGCTTGCGCTTCCTGGTGTTTCTGGCGCAGAATCTGCTCGAAGAAGGCGTCTTCCTGCTCGGTGTTTTGCTGCCGCGAGCGCGTGAACACTTCTTGCTGGGCGAGCTTGGTACACACGGAGATGTTGTAGGCGTGCTCGATGTTCTGGCGGATGTAGAGCGCGTCCGCGTAGATCGGGCGCACACCTTCAGCATGCAGCGCGCGCTCGACGTTTTGCCACATCTCGCCGAGCTTGAAGGTCGGGTACTCCTTGGCAATCTCCAGCATGACCTGGTCTTGCGGCGTGAGGCTTTCAGTCTCGCAGGCGAACGACACATTGGCAAGGACGGAGTAGATTTTGGCCTTGAGGTTCACTTCTGGATGGAGCTGATGGTTCTCCAACTGCAGGATGGAACGCGTCGCCTGCTTCTCCGACGCCAGTCCCTGTCCAGCCTTCAGAGCGTCTTTCAGTCGTGCGAACGCTGGTGATTCAGGTCTGGTAGGAGGCGACGGTGATGCCTCTGGCGTGACGATGAAGGGGCTCGTGCAGGTCGTGACAGACTGGAAGGCGCTGTGCCGCACATTGGTCGATGCCACCAGGCCGTTAGTCGACTGTGCAGATGAATTGGCCTTGTTATCGTCAACCTCCTGGTTAGCGCGCTTCTCAGCAGCCTCTTCGTCCGCGTAGATGCGGAGCAGCACTTCGTTCGCGCTGGCATTGTTGTTCTCTCCAGGCTGATCACAGCGCCACATTTGGTAGGACGGGATCGCTGCAGGATTCACGCATATTTCAGCTAGTGCTGCAAGCGTCTGGTGCTTCAACGCTTTAGGTGCTGAGCCCAGGATCGAAAGCAGTTTCGGTACGCCATCTTCGTTGATAAAGGCCGTCTCACTTTCCAGGTCTCCAATGACACACGAACGGACAGCGTCGATGATACCGACGAGGATGTTTTCCTCCAGGACCGAGTGAGACGGATCGAATTCGAGGTGCTGGACGAGTGCATGGACGCCATTGGCAAGACGGAAGCGCTTGCGATTCGATCCGTCATCGTTGCGGCACATACTGGCGCACGACAAGATGGCATTCCGACGAATTGCAAACGTGTGACGCGATGGGGGAGCCTCGAATACGTCCATCGCAGTCTCGATAGCACCGAGGTTACCCAATTCAGCTTGGAAGAACGGTTGTAGTGGGGCAATCTGGAGCATCAAAAGCCAGGCGGAGGCTAGTACGTCCTCACTTCCGATGTTGAGCTGGAGAAACTCCAGCAGCTTGACGTGGCCATTGATCTCGTAGAAGTGATCGACCACGAAAGGCGCCACGTGGTTGAGCACACTGAGCGCCGTCCATTGCAGTAGTTGCAGTTGCGGAGTGGAATACTTGTGAGCCGACGCGCGTGATGGCGCATTCTGATCTTGCTGCGGGTTGACACCGCCGTTATTGGCAGTCGCGTACGAGAGCCACACCTCCATGAATCTGAACTGCACCAGCTCGCTGAGATCCGCTTGATGGTCGCAGGAGATCTCCGCAAGCAAGAACCACAGCATCTGCTTGAACTCGAAGTCTTCGTCGCTGTTCGTAGCGTAATACTGGTTGCTGGCCGTGATAGCTGAAGCTGTTCCGGACGATTTATCCTGCTGCGTACGCCCCGGAGAGAGTCCTGAGGCCTTGGCATGAGAGAGCTCCGCTGACGTGGCATACGAGAACAGACACGCGGTCAAGCCTGTCGAGGAGAAGAAGTCCAAGGAACGTCGTCGTTTGGCCAGTAACTGCAAGATCATCAGGCACTCGTTACGCATCTCCTTGTCTTGCTGCCGATACCCGTGAGCGAGGAGAAGTTCCAACACATGCAGAAGCGCTTGGAATGTGAACTCGTTGCCCAGGAAGAAGGTGGCATTTCTCAGTCGGAAAACCTCCAGCAACTCCTTCCTCGACGCACACTTCGTGACGGAAGATATTTTCTCGTGACTGAGCTCCAATACGTTCCACAAGATCTCGAGACACAGCGGCAAGAGCTCGTCCTGCGGGTTCGTGATGTTGTCGAGGATAAAGACGACGTAGTGGAGCGCGCCACTCACGACGAGCACCTCTGCGCAACGCTGGTATCCCGACAGCTCGTATTGTAAATCGATGAGCGGGAATAGCAACACCGACAGCCTCATCTGAATCGGTAGAGCAGTCCCAATCACTTGTACCAGCTCCTCCTCCACGCTGCGTCCAGTCTCGTTTGGTTGTTGGTCTTCTTGATCAAGCATGGAGGCGGACCCAGGTCTGCTGGAAGCGTCTTCGGGGGTATCATCTCGGTTCTGCTGACTGGAGGAATCCATGCTAGCGTTCCCCATGCTATTGGACCCTCGGTGAACTGCGCTTGGGGCTGAGGCTGGCTTGGAAGATCGAGCTGATACTTGACCGTTGGAGATCTCCTCGTTCACACCTTCGTTCGGCTCAAGACTGGCATCTCCATCACGTTTGTGGCCGTACGGAGGAGCTGATGCAGGCTTTTTCGCGTGATGCGGAACGTCAATATCTTGTGGAGTTACTTCAACACCCGTGCCTTCGACTTGTACAGCCTCATTCGTTGCCAGTTCCCCCTCCTCTTCTTGATTTGGCGTCGCAGCTTGCTCCTCTGTATTTTCAAGTTCTTCTGCCGCGTCCGGCTCATTCTCTGTTGGCTGCATCTCTTGCTCTTCATCGTCAGGAAACAGATCATGCATGACCGCCACGATCGCGTCCACTGTCCCTGTCTCCTCCATGAGGTTCTGGCTAAAGATCCGAGGCGTCACTCGCAAGTCATCCGATTTCCCTTCGGCATTATTGTTCCTTGTTTTCGGCGCAACTCGCGGCAAACCTGGTTTCATTCAGCAAAACCAAATCCAACTAAGTACCCACTATCAAAGCCAGCCACCGATTTGAGAGCCATGGTCTTACATGCTCCAGTTGCAAACACCCGCAACGCCTCAGCAGCCGCAACTTGGACCTCGATGTCGTGAAAGGACAGGAGCTCTCCGAGTGTAGGGAGGATCTCGTGGAGTAAACTGGGGTTCGTGATCTCCTCGTTCGACTTTTGCCGAATGAAAGGCTGCCGACAGTGAAGCATATCAGCACGGCACCACTAGCTCCTATTTAGTGCAGAAGTATCTTACCTTGCAGCATCTCATGACCGCCAGCACAAGTTGCTCGGCGAACTGTGGAACTCCGTCCAGCACTTTGTTGGCCAGCAACTTGAGCATTTCACTCACAAGCGGCAACTCCGCCACCTTCCACCTGATCCAACAAAGCCACAGCGTCAACGTGTTACACCACATTGGTTCAGCCAGCACTAAGCGTCGTCCTGCGCACCCGAGCTCGTTCTCGTAGAGGATGTTTTTCGTGAGAGCCAAGTGCCGTGCATGGTTACTTTGTGTCTGCGGGTCTGCTGCTGAGGCGAAGAGCTTCTGGAAGCTCTCCCATGATGAATCCCCCGAGGACGTCGCTGTGCGCTGCGATGCAGACGCCGGGGTCAAGTAGCGACGCGACATCAATTGGGATATTCGGGATATGCGTCGCTTCAAGATCCACAAAAATTAGTGACCCGGTTCCTGAAATGTCTGCTTCAAAAAGGTAAAATAAAGCGAAATGGCATACACCTACTGTAGTAGACAACATTCAAGCGAACAAGATGCCGCTCTTTCTGGAGTTGCCGCCCAAGCGCGCTCCAGAGACCCCGGGGGAGTACCGCCTCCGGCTTCTGGCCAAACATTTGACCACTGTAGAGCAATTCCGAGAAGAGCTGCTCGACCGTCGAAACAATCCTGCGCCCAATACGCTACCCAGGGAAATCCCAGAGCCTTTGTATCCTGGAGAAAAATTGCAGAGCTACACACAGAAGTTTGAGCAGTGGCTCGCACAGCGGGGGCGGCGTTTGTCTGCGATGGACGGAGATCCAAGCCAAGAACGGGGCTTCTGGTTCTCATTTGCCTACTTAAGAGTGGGAGAATGTGGAGCGCAGCCGATGGTGTACGACAGGAAGAGGCAAAGTCCAAGTGAAAGTACGTTCCAAGAGAGCAAACGACCGCGGCGTGACGTGTCCGGTGATGGCGTGGCAATTCCACGAACTCGAGATGAATTGTTGGCGCGACGCGTTCTCACTCCAGAGGAATATCTACACGAAGTGATGGATCGTGGTCGGACCCGCACAGCCACGAGCCGCAGCAGAAGCTACGGGAAATTCCTGTGCTACTATGTCCAGGTGAAACGATGCATACCGATGAAGAAGAATTTCGTGTTTGGCTTTCCCAGCGTCGCGAAACGATGGCGTCACTTCGCGCGCACCCGAGTACAGAACGCGCTTATCGATTTCAGTTCGCTTTGAGCAAAGCGACAAGGAACTCGGGTACGGGGAAGACCAGAGCTGGAGGTATTGCTGATGCCAAGGATGAAAATGGTAGACAGACTGCCGAGCCCAAGACTTTGGATGAAGCATCTCCATTCCCACCTAGCTATACTGTCGGAGTCAAAAGCAGCTTTCTTTCTCAGAGGGGAGGTACTGCAATGCTTCCAGACGATGAAGGGGAGCACCGTGGCACTGACACAACAGTTAGTACTTCAGCGTCCCCGACGGAGTGCGAAGCCGAATTACGGGAAATGGTGGTAGAAAGTGGTGAGCAAGTATCGAGAGCTACTTCATCACCAGAAACCCTTCCGAGCTGGGCAGCATCACTTATCGATGAAACTTGAAGCCCACGAGAAGCTCAAGTGTACCGCAACGCTGCTCCCACTTCAAACGCCGTGAAGCGTGGGTTATCGCATGATGATAAGAAAGATCGTCCTTTGGAGTTAAGTGCGAAGGCTAGCGATGATGCGAAGGTACTTCCGATTTCGTTGGGGCCGATTGACACGGAGGTGGATCCGTTCGGGAGGAAGCGGAGCTATGCGTTTACTCCAAGCTACCTGGATTATCTACCTGAGAGCAAGCGACCGCGGCATGATGTCAACGGTGAAGTCGTGGCTATCCAACAAGCGAGCGTTGTGAGGCGAGAAACTCCAACCAGCAAGTCGTTAGGTCCCTTCAAGAGCATGGAGACACTAGCTGTTGAGGTGAACACGGGCTCAACGACCAAGACGAGTGAACTACGTGCTACTACGTATTCTGGGGGAGACGTGGCACGAAACTTTCTGTCGTCGCTGTCTAGCCCTGAACTGATTCAATCTACAGCAGTTCCAAGAGTTAGGCGTGAACAGCGTGTTTTCACTCCAAGTGGAGGCCAACATAATGCTCTGAACGGTAACCAGAGTAGCAAGACGCGTGGATCCCAGCAGCAGTTGAAGGAAATACCAGTGCCGCTTCATCCTGGGAAGATATCGGCCGCTGCCTCCGAACAGAAATATCGTGGCTGTCGATCCAAGCCCAATGAATCCATGACGCCACCGCGCCCTCATCTTACTAAACAGCATGGGTTCCGTGGTCAAGACTGTCAGGAAAAGGCTACGTTAAGCTGGGGTAATGTCGAATTGAGGTCAACGCTAGTGAATAGCGATCCCCTGCCTCGTGGAAGTCATACTCAAGCTACAGAACCGAAAGGATCATCGCCAGTACCCCCACCTTTGGCTAGCACAAGAAGGGGCACCGTTGCAGTCGGAGCGCGTCAGCTATCACAGAGTGGAGATCAAATGAAGCGTGCGCGAGACGCTGAAAGACAATCTAAGCAAGCTGAAACTGGCACCTGTACGCCACTGAGCGAGACGAAGTGCTCGACGAAGATACGACCAAGCGCGAAAAACTCAATACGAGCATTCCAGTCTGCAGCAGTACAAACAGAGGATTTTCCTGCGTCTGGGGGTCAGACTACACCTCTATCGAGAGCTGCGATGGACCATTATCCAACACCTACCAAGGCTGACACACCGCCGCAGCCCATAACAGACAATGGCGAGGGAACTGCGAAAGCTGCACCCTCACCGGAAGCTATTCCAAGCTGGGCAGTATCGCTTATCGATCGTGTACAGGAACTTGAAACTCAAGTGACGAAGCTCCAAAGAGAAGTTGAACTTTGCCGCAGCGCTGCTTGTACTCCACGCGGTGTGAATCGTGAGTTGTCGCGCGATGGGAAAGGAAATCGCCCATTGGATTCGTGTCCGACGGCTGGCGATGATGTGGATTCACCGTCACCATTAGCAGTGCCGTCTCGAATTCTTGATTCTGCGCCCACTGCTCCATCCGAAAGTGACGACATCACACTGATCAATGGCGAAAGCCGGAGCAAGTTCAAGTCTGAAACGAAATCTTCGCGTCCTACTGCCCCTGATTCTGGTTTTGAGAAGCGGCAGCTGATCGAAGACTACATCCACTTGAACGACTTGATCGTGACAAATGAGACGGCAATCAACGATGCTCGTGAATACGTGAAGATGATCAAGGAGGTTGACGAAATGCAGACCGCGGAAAACCAAAGGCAGATCATGGAGCTTGTCGTCGAGATCAACAAGAAAAAGGAGCAACGTTCCGCTGCGTTGGCTGCCTTGATTACCCGCAGCTGGACTGGTGAAGAGGAATCACAGATGTTACTCTTGGTAATAGATTCAGCAGCACTAGGATCAAAGAGCAGAGTGACACACCAAGAATTGACGGCAGTATTAACGAAGATGATGAAGAAGAGCAAGGAGATGGACGACTTGGAGAAGCAGTTGCGTGACCAAGCTCAGCTGGTGAAGACTCTACCTCCTTCTGTGACGGAGGCTGGCAAAGCTCTACGAAGCAAGAAGATCCGAGAACTGTCATGCAGACTGTCCGAGGAGGAAAACGCGAAAGAAGAACTTGAGAACGACTGCCAACAAATGTTGAGGTGCTTCTTGCAGAACGATGCGGACGTCCGAGCGCTAGTGAAAAGACCAATGGTGTGAAGCACGAGAAATCAGTGGTCTTCTCTCTTTTTTCCTCGTTTTTCGAAGCAGTAAAGAAAAATGCATTGTTGTTGTTGAAGTGAATCAAAACTCGAGTGTTGCACGAATGTCGTCAGACGCCTGAGAAAAGATACCGTTAGAAATCTTCATGAAGCATGAGCGGTCGACCAGCGTTTGACTACGCTTCACCCCGCGGAGATCACCCCGATCTGTTAGCGAAGCGCGTGACGACGGTGCAAGACTTGCGGCGAGAAGTGCTGGATCGATGGAACAACAAGTCGCCCACTGCAGCCCCAGCAGCTTTCCGAGAGATCCCGGTGCCATTGCGATTCGGTGAGACTGTGCAGGAATACACGAAGGAGTTCGAGATGTGGCTACTGCGGAGGAACGAGACGTTCGAGACGCTGCGGTTCGACCCGAGTCGAGAGCGAGGATTCTGGTTCTCGTTTGCGTACAAACGGGCTGGCACGTGCACCACCGTGGCACTGGGGGACAAGGTGGTTCCGAGGACGAGCGACATGGACGAGTTGATATCGCACTATGGTCCTCAACCTGAAAATGCCGACAAGCGGGTGCGGCGCTCGAACTCTGATAGTGAACCAGATCGAGGACACCATGCGACAGAGGCTACGAGCACCATCGATCTTTCTGTCGACGAGGAGGCAGAGCAGCATAATTCGCCTGGCTCAGAGGCGCGAGCGCGTGACCAAGGCTCGGCGTATGCATCTTCACAGTATGGTGGGAACGTGGCGGTTTTGCGGGCCCACCGCGATGGCACAGTGACCTCAGACCGGTCTGAGAGCAGTACAAGCTCACCTCCCGATCCTGTGCCAACAATTTCATTACCGCAGAATGCAAAAGAGGATGCAGCTCAAGCCTGCGCTATAATTCCTGACGAAGACGTTCAACACGTACAACGCCCAGATCCTGAATCTCAATCGCCACTTGCAAGACCCAGAAAGCGTTCGTTGGAGAGCGCAAAAGAGTGCGTTTTTGTAGCTGACGCCGCAGTTCATCGCGATCTGGAGCTTGCTCTTCATTCCCAGGTAAGCGACGACGACAAACTGCAGCTGGCGCTGATTTACGATAAATTGGATCAACAGATTGCGTCGACAGGCAAGATTGATGAGCTGCAAGCTGGAGGAGATCACATTTCGGAGACCGCCAGATCATCCACACAGCTTCGAAGCAAGCGCACTGCTGTCCTTGCTGCTTTGATCGTCTCCGACTGGGCCAGACGCCAAGAAAGCCTAGTCGCGGTCTTGGAGGACAAGTATGCCAGCGCGGAAAGCGCGAAGCCCGCGAACTTGGCAGCTCTTTTGTCGGAAATTGGAGAAATAGCCAAGCAGTTGAAAACGCTCGAGGACCAGCGAGACACCCAGGTCCAGTTAGTGAGCTCATTGCCACCTGCAGCCACGGCGGCAGGGCGAGCTCTGCGGCTCAAGAAGTTGCGGAAGCTGTCAGCTGTGGTGTCCGAGAAGCGAGTAGCTCAAGAGCGTTTGCAATGTGAGTTTGAGGACGCGCTGAAACGCTTGATGCAGTCGGATGGCAAAGCGCGGAAGTTGGTCAAGGACGCGTTGGGAACGTGCTCAGCAGCGTAAGAAGGAGGTAATGAGTGCATGGTACAGTACATGTGGTGTGCAGTTCGTGTTCGTGATTGTCTATCGCTATATGTATTCATACGTGGTATCCGATAGTGGAAACAAGTCTCATTTTTGTGAACAGCTTGTACAACTTTATTTTAGATCTGTACATTTTAGACCGGTGTTTTTAGAGTGACTAAAATATAATGCTAGCTTTTGTAAGATGTAACCGGTACAGAACCTACAAATATATTTCAAGATACAGTTTCAAAATGCAGCTATTCAGAAATGCAGATGTAAGGCGACTGAGCGGTATCTCTTTTCTTTTATCTCCTCCCTTTCTTTTTCTCGTATCGACTATCCAGATAGCAGCCCCCGCGGCGACTGAGCGGTATCTCTTTTCTTTTATCCCCTTCCCCGTCTTCTTTCCCTTTTTCTTATCGGCTCTCACCCAAACCAGGCCCACTTCTCTCCCCTATCTCCTATGAGCACACTAGCCAATCTTCCCATCATCTGTTTGTACCACTAGTAAAAGCGCAATCTGTCACAAAGCCGTTTGCATGGCCAAAACGGCCATGCGCGATACCTCAGCTCCAAGAAGCCCATGGTGTCGCTCTCCACCGCGATCACCGGAGCATCGGGACCTGCTGGCCAAGCGCCTGACGACGGTCGAGAAACTACGGCGAGAAATGCTGGACAAGTGGGACAACAAGGCGCCGGCGCGGACTTCGAAGGAGATCCCGATTCCACTGCATCCAGGCGAAACCTACGCGCACTACAAGCACGAGTTCGACCTGTGGCTGCGCAAGAAGAAGAACGAAAGCCTCGAATCCATCCGGCGGAAGGATCCGAACTACGAACGCACATTGTGGTTCTGCTACGCCCTCCAGCGAGCAGGGACCACCAACCGCGAGACGGCAGCGATCCAGTCGGGATCGGCGAAGCGGCCTCAGTCTGAAGCGCACTCGTACTATGGGCCGCCACCTTCTGACAGCAAAAGGCAGCGGACCGAACGACCGGATTCGGCTTCACAACAGCCAACGACCAGGAGCTCGGAAAATGCACCGAGTGGCAGAGCGGAATTCGACATGTTGGCGCCTAAGGACAAATCGGCGGAAGCCAAGACGCCGGAGGTCAAGGCGCCGCAAGCTGTGAAGCCAAGTGGTTCGGTGGAGAATGACAACGCGCCAAAGGATGAGACGCTAGGGAACAAGCTGCTGGAGGACAAGTCGCCGACAGCTGTGAAGCTGAGTGCAGAGTCGTCTTCGAATCAAAACGAGGGCCCCCCCAAAGGTGAGACCGACTGATGCAACACCTTCTGCTCCGGCCCCAAGACCGTTGAGTCTTGTAGGCTACCTTCCGGCACCCCGCGAAGAATACCTGGCTCAACGAATTCTCACCCCCGAGGAGTATTTGGTTGAAATTGCAGCGCTCGAGCACAAGCGCACACCTGGAGTGCTAGACGACCGCTTGACCAAGATACCAGTCCCTCTGCTGCCGGGGAAAACTGTCGCTGGATATGAGCAAGCTTTTTGCAGCTGGCTGGCCAAGCGCAGTGAATCACTGGAATTGCTGCGCTCGAGCCCCATTAAAGAGCGTGGGCTGCGCTGCCAATTCGCTCTGGAGAGAGCGTTTAAGGCAACTTCCACGTCGCGATCCAGATAGAAGTATCGTGTATCCGAGCCGAAGAAGTTTTGTGGCACCTCGAGGGTTGTGAGAAGTATGCACGGTGATGTTGACGGAGAGAAAATGGATACTAGCGGTGGGTTATCGGGAAATACGAGCAATGGTCATCAGGAAGCGGGTAAGCCCAACACAGGAGCTAATTCCTGTGGAAGTCAACCAAATTCAGACCTGTCAACTTTGCCAGAAACGCTTCCAGCGTGGGCGGTACAGCTGGTTCAGCGTGTGCAGACACTCGAGGCAGAAATGAGCGAGCTGCGGCAAGAAGTGAAGTCCTATCGTGCTGCTGCTGACGCTCAAAGTGCCTCTTCGAGTGGTAACCAGTCACTTACCAACTCGAGTACGAGCGCTGGAGAACCGGTCGCAAAAAGCATTACATCTGGAGTGATGACAGCTTCCAATGGAATTTCTTCTCAAGCGTCTACTACCCTAAGCAAAGATATTGCCGAAGACTCGATTATTTGCAGCAGTACTAGTGCCCCAGCGAATGGCGTCAAATATCCAGCTGAAACATCAAGCAACGCCTGTACACCGAAAGCTACGAAGCTACCTGCGATCAGCTTCAAGCTGAACAAGTTCACAACCACCCAGAGAGATGCGAAAGCTGGGCTAATGAACATGTTGCACACTTCAAGTGCGGATATCCATCGCGTTGGTTCCCTAAAGTCGGGTACTTCGACAGAAGGATGCAGTGAAGATTCGAAAGCTGAAGAAAGCGTACGACCAGCTCAACGACCAGATTATGCTGAATAAGACGGCTATCAACGACGCTGTTGCCTACGTGAAGACCATCAAAGACGCGGATGAGGCTATGGCGATGGAGCATCAGGACCAGATCATGGAGCTCGTTGTTTCGGTGAACGAAGAGAAAGAGAAACGTCCTGCTGCGCTGGCTGACTTGATTGTCCATGAATGGGCTGGGCGCAACGAGAATCTTCGCTCTCTCCTCCAACAAGGCGCATCAGCAGCCCAGACGAGTGAGGCAAAGCACGAGAGGTTGTCGGCTCTCTCCTCCCGGTTCGTCGAAGCAACGGCAAAGCTGGACGAATTGGAGACTGACCTGAGCTACCATCTCCAAGCTGTCTGCACGATACCACCCACGGTCATCGGGATTTCCAGAGCTCTCCAATTCAGCGGGCTGCAGAAGTTGACAGCGAAGTTGGAGAAGCAGCAGGCCGTGGTGAAAAAGCTCGAGGACGAACGTGAAAAACTGCTGACGTGCTTCGTGCAAGGCGATGACGAGGTTCGACGGGTGGTGACGGACTTGCTGGATCAAAAGCGTGAAGGACGACCACAGTGGTTGCAGTAGATTGCAGCAGTACTACAGTAACTAAAATATACTTTATTTAACATTTTAACTCAAATATTGTGAAAGAAAGAGAACTTTTCGTCTTCACATCACTTTGCGCGACTCGCCTAAAATGGCGTCACCTGCTCCTCCCCTGGACGCCGCGCTGCCCTCGCGGCGGCCCCAGCGCTCGCAGACACCGACGTCATCTCCTCCAGTCACTACGATGCCCAGCGCTGCCCATACACCAAACGCCTGGGCTCGAGGCTTGCTCTCCACGCGCGTGCTGACGGTGGAGGACTTCCGCCACGAGCGACTCATTCGCTCCAGGCTCAACCCGCCCCCACCGCCGCCTTCCAGAGCCATCCCCGTGCCTCTGTACCCTGGAGAGTCTGTGGAGCAATACAACCACAGGTTCGAGCAGTGGCTGGCTCAGCGGAATGAAAGTTTGGACGTATTGCGCGACCAGCCGAAGCGAGAGCGGCAGTTCCGACTCGCGTTCGCCTTCCTCCGAGATAACCGAAGGCCTTTAGCAGTGGAGACCAAGAGGCCACACGCGCCAAAGAGGAAGAGTATTGATGAGGAGTACGACGAGTTCTACAGGCGTTCCGCCTCGCAAGAGATTAAGCGTTCACGGCGCGACAGAAGTGAGTCTCGTGGAAGGTCTCCTCCGGCTTGTCACGCTGACGAGAGAAGCTCGCACAGAGACACAAGACCTGCAAGCCGTGGCCGTCAGGAAGCGAGATCATATTCACGCTCGAGCTCTAGGCCTCGAGACAGAGACAGATACGATGACCCCCTGGGCTCCTGTCAGATGCCGCCACGCTCATCTTCCCACCGATCAGCCTCCCCGGCATCGCATGCTTCCAACGAAGTGTTCCGAGAAAGGCACCCAGGCGAGATATTGGCGTATCGAATTATCTCTGTGGACAGTTATCTGCGCGAGATGAAGCTGCCGAAGAACGTTCGCCATCAGCGCGGGCCAGACGGAAGGTTAGCCAAGATTCCGGTGCCTTTGTTCCCAGGAGAAACAATTGTCGAGTTCGACCGCGAGTTCGACCGGTGGCTGCAGCAGCACCGGTCATCGCTGCTGATGCTACGCTTCAAGCCGATGAAAGAACGGATATATCGCTTCCAGTTTGCCCAGCAAAGAGTCATGCGGAGAAGCTCTTCGTACAGTGCAGAGCGATCTCAATCACCGACACGCTCCAAGTCTCTACCGAAACGCAAGGAGAACATTCGTGAGGCGCACGAGCAGTCTTGCGAATTACACTGTGATAGTGGTCAACCTTCGTTGCAGCGTCGTGGAGACCCAAACACTTCCTCCCCTACAAACCTACCACAACAAACCACAGAAAATGGTGCGAGTACGACTGACGTTGTCACCACTTCAAATTCCGCTTCACTTACCCTCACCAGCACAAGAAATAATGACGACCAAGACGAGACCATGGAAAGTGAGAGCAAGCACCCTGGCACCGCAATTGACACCTCAAGCCTGAGCTCCAGAACTCAAGTGGACAAGCGTGAAGATGAACTAACATCTCCAGTACACGAGATCGTGCGAACTGATACCGCTGCTGGCACAAACTCAAGAGCTCAAGCGAGCAAAGATCAAGACGAATCGATGCCTCCCGCAAGTGATAGTGAGCATACTAATACCGCTTTCGACTGCTACCCAAGCCTTCAGGTGATAATGCATCAAGCCGAACCTTCGTCTCTAGCAAGTGCAAGTGATAATACTACCACTAACGACGCTCACTCAAGACATCAAGTAAACCGGAATGAAGACGAGTTTACGTCTTTAGCGAACTCTCCAGAGTTGACTCACCAAGAACCGACACACCCACCGCCACCACTATCCCGGGAACGGGATATCGCTGCTGAAAACTCAAATTTACGCATATCTGGCCATGAGTCAGATATGCCGATATATCCGGACGAAATACCGCGATGGATATCGCATCTACTGAGCCGCGTGAAGGAACTCGAGACCCAAGTGACTTACCTCCAACAAAAGTCTGACTCTACCAAGTGTTGTCAAAGCTGCAAGTCGGCCAATCCAGCCATCAAGACTGAGCGCCCCGACTCATCTCCGCAAAATGCTAAAAGCAGTGCCATGGAACGTTCGCAAGAAGATATGCTGGCTGATAGCGTCTTTGGAGAAATGCAAGGAAAAGGTTCTCAAGTCAAGAACGCCAATGGTCAAGAGATGAGCGACAATGTGAAGGAGAAAAATTCCTCCAGCAACGTACCACCGCTCGACCCAATCTCTAACCGCGAAGTTTGTGCTGACGGAGAAAAAACCCACATCGCGAAAGCACCCCAAACTACCGAGGACATTCATCGCAATGCCACCCAGATACTTTCTCGCGTTGCTGAATCACGAACAATGCAAGACTCAAAGAAGCGCCGTCTGACGGAAACGTACGACCACCTCAACAGTCAGATCACGATGAACGAGACTGCAATCGAGGATGCCCTTGACTATATCAAGGCCATTAAAGATGTTGATGAAGCTACAGCGACGGAGCAGCACAACCAAATTATGGAGCTCGTCGTCTCAATCAACAAGGAGAAAGAGAAGCGTGCATCTGCACTTGCGGACTTGATCTGCTACGGCTGGAAAGGAAGAGAAGACGCGTTGCTTTCTACTATACAAGAGGAACCGTCTGAAGCGCATGCAAGGGGAGCTGGCCACGAAAAGTTATCAACCATTTCGTCGCAGATTGAAGAGAAAGACAGCGTGCTGAAGAATTTGGAGACGCATCTGAAAGAGCAGCTTCAGTGGGTGGCTGAGATGCCGCCAGATCTCTCTGAAGCAGACAAATTTATGCGGTTCAAAGCACTACGGAAACTATCCAAGAGGTTGGCGAAGGAGCAGACGACGAAAGAGCAACTCGAGGAGGAGCGCGAAAAAGTTATGAACAGTTTCTTGCAGAGTGACGCCGAGATCCGAAAGTTGATCAAGGAAGGGTTGCTGAAAGGCAGGAAACCCCAATTTTGAATATGATTGCTATGATTATTCCTGACTCCCGCAATCCATCCCGTCGGAGAATAGCAAATCTCAATAATTGTTCTGGTGCTCGAGTCGGAACCAGTCGCGATGGCGCCTCCTCCTGCGTACGCGTCGGCTGCGCCTCGACGTCGGCCTTCTCCTCGGGTGCCTGTGCCCTCGATGGACACCGCCTCCTTCCGGCGCTACCTGTTGACGAAGCGCGTGCTGTCGCTCGAGGAATTCCGCCAAGAAATGCGCAATAAATGGAGCAGCAGCTCTCCCGCAGCGCCGGCGTCCAAGGCGATCCCTGTGCCTCTTTACCCCGGGGAGACACTCCAGCAGTACACGTTCAAGTTCAAGAAATGGCTGACGGACAAGGGCGAGGATTTGGCGGTAATGCGCAACGATCCGAATCGAGAACGCTCGTTCTGGCACTCGTTCGCCCACCATCGAGTGGGGATGCTGTCGACGCTGACGCCGCCGCCAGGAACGCACCCGAAAGGCCAGAAGCGCAGCGTTGAGGACGATTATGATGATTCATATCATCGATCGGCTTCGATCGAGCGGAAACGAGTCCGGCGGGAGAAGGCTGTCGAGAGTGAGAGGGGGTACAACTCGAGGTGCTCCGTGGAAGTTGCGACTGAGAGACCGGTGTACTTTGTTTCTAGCAGAGGCGGTGGCGTCGTTGATGATGCGGAAACGTTGCTACTGCCTCGGCGTCAATCTGTGGCAAGACACACCGATAGTTCTACTGAATTCCGGAGCTCTTCACGGGAGCGAGACTCTCCATACGAGACGATGTCGGATCACCATCGACCGCCGTCCTTGTCGTCGCAGTCGTCTCGTGAAGAAGTCCCGCGCTCATCTCGCACAAGAAGGCGGACGGAGATATTGGCGCGGCGTGTTCTATCCGCGAGGGATTACCTTCGTGAAATCCAGGAGCGAAAGCAAACTCCGCGTCCTGGGCCTCGCCGCCCCGAAGAGAGGCTGACCAAGGTACCAGTGCCTCTATTTCCTGGTGAAACGATGCACGATTACGACCAGGCGTTCAAGCTTTGGCTCGCTCAACGCCACACCTCCCTGGCATCGCTGCGTACTCAGCCTCTGAAAGAGCGCGTGTACCGTCACCAATATGCGCGGCAAAAAGTTATGTGGCAAAGTACGAAGCTCGCCCGTCCTCCTCCAGGGACGTCCTTATCACACGCTCTATCGCAAGAAAGAGGCGTCCCTGATGCAACAAGAGCAAATAGTGCTAACTCATTGGACGCCGATGGACCTCCGCCGGCTGGGGCTTCACCGCCGATGCCAACATCACTTGAGAAACCCGCTGCATCGAGCCTCAATGGCAAACACATTGCGCACCATCCGTCGTGTAGTCTCTCTCAAATTGGCACGCATGGCATTTCATCGAACGAAAGTGGTGAGCCTATGCAGGCATTGAATACCCAGACCAGAAAACCAGCAAGTGTCTCTAAGTCTATTGCAAGTGGAGCAAAGCAACTTGCCGGTGTCGATGAAGAGAAGCGTTGTGTAAACGTTACGGGTACTGAAGGCGATATCGAGCGTCCAAAACACGGGCCCACCAGTGCACTTTACCCTAAATCTCTTCCACCCTGGGCTCAAGTGTTAATTGACCGCGTACAAGAGCTTGAGAATAAAGTTACCCGGTTACAAGAAGAAGTGGACCGGTGTCACGCACGAAACGGAGATTGTAGCAGTCAGCGAGGTGCAGATCAAAAGCACAAGAATGAATGCTGCGAAGAAGACGCGCTATCTCCCCAGTATACTGCGGTTGATGCGGACGAGAAAATTAAAGACACTGGTGGCCTAGCGAAAGATGTCGACACTAAAGATACCACGAGCAACGCAGCATTTGCGGCGCCACCCCAGTCCGGTGGTGATGTATGGGACAACACAAAGCAAGAATCTGCTGGAGTCCAACAACGCACTCGATCCAATGCAGATATTTACCGAGAGGCGACCGTAAAACTTGCTCGCGCCGTTCAATCCCGCGTAGCTGAGGACGCGGAGCAGCGGCGTCTGACTGAGGAGTACGATCGCTTGAACGAACTGATCATGATGAACGAGACTGCCATTGACGATGCGCTCGCCTACGTGAAGGCTATTAAAGAGGTCGACGAAGCCGGTGCCCAGGAGCATCAGAGTCAAATTATGGAGCTTGTTGTCTCGATCAACCAGGAGAAAGAGAGGCGTTCGTTTGCCTTAGCTGCGATGATCACCTACAGTTGGTCGGGGAGGGAAGACGAATTGGTCTCGTTGCTGGATGTTGAGATATCGCAAGCTCATTCAGACGAGGCGAAGCACGAAAAGTGCGCTGCGATTTCTTCTCAGATTGAAGAAAAAGACAGCGAACTTGAGACTCTGGAGATGCAGATGAATGACCAACTGCAATCGGTGAATGCTCTGGCAGCTTCTGCGCCTGAAACAAGCAAGAATTCGCAATTCAAAGCTCTGGAAGAGTTATCCGGAAAGCTGTCGGAGCTTCAAACAGCAAAAGAGTTGCTGGAAGGAGAACGACGAGAAACGCTGATGTGTTTCTTGCGTGGCGATGACGAGATACGAAAGCTGGCGAAGACCTCAGTGAGGGGAACTAGGCGTATAAACGCCTAATGAAGGCGTTTGAAGTGTAGGTCTACAGTAGAATTCGTCAAGTACATGTAGCCAGCAAAGGTTAGAATCAAAGAAGGTGTACTGTATGTATCGATTGCAACTAAAGGAGAATTTCTTTCGTACTCCATCGTCAGTGTGATGCATTCGTTACTTCATCGACCGTCAGAGCGAGAGACGCTACTTTCGAGGTCAGCACATCAGAACACAGCATTTGATTTGGAACTTGAGGACTGCAATCTACTGTATCGGGGCGCTTACGCACCGAGGTGAGTCCGCCTCTCTTGACCATAATTCCCGTTCGACGCGGCTTTCCACACTAGACAGCATTGCCGACGTGAAAGCGTTGAATCTTGTATCTTGCTGTTCGTATGTATGCATCGATTTCACATCGCACATGTTTCCGTGGGCCCAATCCAAAGATTTCCCAACCGCGTCATGCGCTTGGTTTTCTAATCCATGAGCCCGGTGGTCCAGTTAGCCAGACCACGCAAGTCTCCATCGATTCGCTCCAGGTCGGCGACTACTACCGACCGTCAAGCGACGAAGTCACGGCATACGCCTACTCGACCTCACCCGTGCCGTACCGTCGGTCGCCGTGCCCCGGACTCAACGCGCTCGCCAACCACGGCCACATCCCGCGCAGTGGCAAGAACATCACCCACAAAACTCTGGGCGCGGCGCTCATGTCCGTCTTCAACTTCGACAGTAACCTGACCCAGACGCTGCTGAACCAGGTGCCGACCACGTTCTCGCTCGACATCATCTCACGCCACAACGTGCTGGAGCACGATGCGTCTCTAGTGCACAGCGATGAGTATTTTGGTGGTGACCCGATCAACATCTGCTCGAGGATTTGATGAACCGCTCGCTTGACGGCAAGACCCTCGGTGTGACGGAGGTGGGTGAGACCCGTAAGGACCGACTGTCTGAGTGCCGGGCCAACAACCCGGAGTGCGTCTTCGGCACCAACCAGACCACGTTCTCGTACCTCGAGGCTGCTGTGTTTATCGTCGGGTGCGGCGGTAACGTGAACGAGACCGTGACGCTGGACGCGGCGCACTCGTTCCTCGTGGACGAGCGTATTCCTGATGACTACAGCAAGTCGGTTGAGCCTATTAGTCTGACCTTCATGCGGTCTGTCATGGCCAAACTTCTAGCGTTTGCTTAAACCCCCGAGAATACAGCAATTGAGAACATGAGTTGAAATGCATCTTCTCGAAAGAGGGAGGGGAGAATATCCAATCGGCGAAGTTAATGGATGAGCAGCTAACCTCGGTTTAAACAGGAGCCAGCGATGAAAGCGTGCTGTCGAATGTAGACTACTACCCAGGGAAGAGATGAGGAGGCTCCAGCTTGCAAGAAAAGAGGTTGATACAATTACCGTACGCTGCATTCTTGTTTTCAAACTCTTCGTGTAAAGTAGTTTTTCGTTGCTTCGAGGTCATCCAGTATTGCTTTATCATCCGCTGCAGAATGGTATTTGTCTGGGGGAAAACTTCCACAGAAATAAGAGTTGGTAGACTTCCAGTGGAAGATCATCTTGTACTCTTCCGTTGTCTCTTTACTTCAGGGGCCACCTCTTCACCGCACCCGCGCCTTGACGGATATGATAGACTTTCCCATTTCCTCAAACTTCAATCCATACAATTTCGAACCGCGTCACCGCAGGTCTTCTAATCCGTCAGCCCGGTGGTTCAGGCAAACCATTTCCCAATTTCTTTCGCGTCGAACAGATCTGCTCCACCCCACTCCAATTCCCAGTCGTCTCCATGGAGTTGATCGCCTTCCTTGCAATGGTCGTCGCCTCCGTTGCTGCCACGTCCGTTGACATCGACCAGAGCTCGCGTCCTCTCCAGGTGGGCGACTACTTTCGCCCTCCCAGCGACAATGTCACGGCATTCGCCGACTCGACCTCACCCGTGACGTTCCGCCGCTCTCCATGCCCTGGCCTCAACGCGCTCGCCAACCACGGCCACATCCCTCGCAGCGGCAAGAACATCACCCACGAGAACTTGGGCGCGGCCCTCATGTCCGTCTTCAACACCGACACTAACTTCACCCAGACGCTGCTGAACCAGGTGCCGAATACGTTCTCGCTCGACCTCCTCTCGCGTCACAATGTGGTGGAGCACGACGCGTCTCTGATGCACGACGACGCGTTCTTCGGCGTCGACCCCATGAACGTCAACAAGACCCTGGTTAATGACCTGTTCAACCGCTCGCTCGACGGCAAAACCCTCGGCGTGACGGAGCTGGGTGAGACTCGTAGTGATCGACTGGCTGCATGCAGAGCTAACAACCCGCAGTGCGTCTTCGGCGCCAACCAGACCGCGATCGCGTACCTCGAAGCCGCTGTGTTCATCATCGGCTTCGGTGGCAACGTGAACGAGTCCGTGACGCTGGAAGCTGCGCGCTCCTTCGTCTGGCACGAACGCATCCCCGAGAACTACACCAAGTCGGCTGTGCCGGTCAGCCTGGACTTCATGCGGACTATTGTGGCCAAGCTCATGGCGCACGCGTAAACCTCTAAAAGACTCCAAATTCAGGCACAGTAGCCCAACCAACACAACCAAACACGAAATCAAATGAAGTTTTCTCCATTATCAACCACCAATTCCCTTCTTATCTCGTAGCCTCCACTAGTTTTTCCTTGGTCAGCAAATAAATACGGGGGCTGGATCTCAGCAGACACATGAACACGTCGTCGCGTTGGCGCTCGAGGAAACTCTTCGTAGTTTTCTCCACTGCGTACTTTGGAATTCCAATCCCACTACTGGATAGCTTGCCAGCGTTCAGCCCGGCCACCCCGATCAGCCCTCCCAGCTTCGCCAGCACTTTGTTCTTCTCTTCCAGTAGACTCGCGATCTCCGCGCACTCTTCGTGGAAAGCTTTCTCAGCGTAAGGCTTGCTCTTGACCGCCATATTCTCCAACAAGAGTCGGAACTCGTTGCGCTTAGCGCTCCACCGCTGGGCGATAATCGACGCGACCACTTCATCCCGCTTCCCCTTCTCGACGTCGATGTAGATACGTAACTCGTCGAGTTGAGAGCGTAACTCCGTAGTACTGGCTTCGTCGACTCCCGAGATTTCCTTCAGGTAGGCGGCAGAATCCTCGAGAGCTCTCTCGTTTGTGATGATCTGGTCGTTCAGGTGGTTGTACTTCTCAGTCAGACTGAGCTTCACTGGGTCCTTCGGCAATATCGAACAGGAAGTAGGCCCACTAGTTGAAGCCTCCACTTTAGTTTTGCTAACAATCGTGGAGGCACCTTTCGTCGCAGATTCTTTCTTCACCTTCGGACTGGATACAGTTCCAACATGGTTCAAAGCAGAAGTAGGGGACTTTGCTTTAGCCACTTCTGAGTTCAAGCCAGTAGAATTATCACGCAGCTTCACCTGCTTTCGCAGGTTCGTCACTTCATCATTCATGTGACTCATACGATTCATCATCTTCCGGGTCCATTTGCGAACGCACTCGCGACAGCAGCATCCATCCGTCAGTATGTTACCTCCGTGTTTGATACTCTGCTCATCACTTGCTCCAGTTTGAGTCGACGAATCCGTCTTGGCTATCCGAGCTGCCAACTCAGCGAATGACTTAGGGTCAGTACAGACGCGCTTATTAGCCTCGCCCAGTGGAGACATGTCCTCCCTCCCCCCTTCAGGATTCCGTTTCCGTTTAGATATGCCATTATTTGTGGCAACTTCTTCGCTATGGTGGCTCTCGTGGTGACGATCTGCCGATGAAGCGCGAATTGCCAAAGGCGCTTCCTTAGCTTGATGCTTGTCTTTCTTGGATTGAGCTGGCGCTTCTGACTCTTTACTCCTATGAGAAGAAGCCTTCTGCAAGTATTCATCAAGTGATGCCTTGGCCGGCGTAGCTTTGTTTGGTCTTGAGAGATCGAGCGTCTTGCTCGCCTTTTTGATCCTGTGGGACTGCGAAGACGATGACTTTCCGTCACACTCCCGCTGGTTTAGGTGAATATTGAGGCTGCGCTCGCTGGCGAACTTCTTGTGGCACTTGTGGCAGATTTCCCAATCCATTTTCGCTCCTGAAGGCTGCTCTGCATCGCAAGGAATAAGTCGAGTCAGATGAAGTCGAAGGCTTTGAGCGCTGGTAAACGTCGTGTTGCACTTGGGGCACGTCTTGTTGCCGGGGTCGTGTTGCTTGGGCTCCGAGTTGTCGCACGGATTCAGTCGACTCAGATGCAGTCGGAGGTTCTGCGAGCTTGAGAACGTTGCCTGGCACTTGGGACACTTGAGGAATTGCCTCGGGGACTTGGCCTTCTTCTTGGCGGTGACCTTCTTCTGCAGCTTTGGCGAGTCACAGGGGGTGACTTTTGCCCAGTGATAGCGGAGACCCGCAGCAGTGGTAAAGTTCTTGCCGCACTTCTTGCAGTGGTTCGCGCCGTTCAGCTGCCGCATTTCTTCCTTGTATCTGCGCTCGCCCTTGCGGTCGCACAAGAAAACTTTGTTGAGATGTTTGTGGAGCGCAACTCGAGTGGTCAGCACTTTGCCACACCTGGGGCAGGTTCGGTCTTTCTCCTTCTCCTGCTCAAAAGGCGAAGTGCCCTTGATCGTCGCCGCAGGAAGTAATAGCGCCTCCTCCATCGCGGGCGGTTATGAAGTGAGACCGTGCGTGCGAACCAGTCGAAGGCGGTTGGTGCGGATAAAATTTGGACTGGGCCAAATGTGTGGTCTGTTTTTTTCTCGCTCACAAATCGTACCACCCGAATCCCGTGAGAAGCTCAACACAGTTGGCAGGATAAATCCAGTCACCATCTGCTGTTACACATACAGTACTTTGACTATGGACAAGTTCCTTCGGCGCCAGCAGCGAAGGTGCTCCTGCAATAGTTAGACCCGCCGGGTCCCAACTCTTATTAGTCCGTTACAAAAGGATACGTTTACATGTAGTAGCTTGAAGTAAGCCCCTGGCGCGTTTTTTAGGAAATGCGCCATCTCTCTCTTCGACCGTACTCTCCGTACGTGCAGTGCCCACATCGACTGCCTCGAAGGCTATGGGCAAGCAATGGACCCTAGTGTTGTGCAGTACAGTATTTTGTGGTGTTCCTCTGACGATCAGAACCAAATGGGTCTTATCTTTGAAGTAGTATTATACCATCTTTGAAGTGTACGCAAATAGCACATGGGAAAATGGACCCTACTTCACGAACGTTTCCTTCGCCAGCAAATAGATTCGCCGACTCGATCGCAGCAAGCGCATGAAGAGCTCGTCACGCTCGCGCTCTAGAAGCGCCTTTGCAGCCAGCTCGGCATATATCTTGGAATTGTCCCGCACTTTCAACTCGGAAATCGCTTGATCTTTCTCTGCCGATTGATCCGCGATTATCGCGCACTCCTCGTGAAACACTTTCTCGGCATCAGGTTTACTTTTCACCGTCATCTTCTCCAGCAAAAGACGGAATTCGATCCGTCGAGCGCTCCATCGATGGGCTATGATGGCTGCCACTGCCTTGTCGCGCTTACCTTTTGCAACGTTAAGATACTTGCGGAGTTCATCAATCTGGTCGCGAATCTCCAAGTTGCTCAATTCATCGCCATCACAAGTCTTGTCGAGGTATGCCATCGAGTCTTCCAGCGCTCTTTCATTGATGATAATTTGGCCGTTCACGTGATTGTAGTTCTCCAACAGGGATATTTTTCCAGGATCTTGATCGGAAGTAGTATCCACAGAAATGTCCATAACGTTAGATGTTTCTTGCTTGGTCTTGGCATCTCCTATTGCAAGCTGAATCATGCTGGCACCGGTGGTGGTAGCATCAAGACTACCCTCAACAAGATTAGGCCTCGTGTCAGACGCACCAGTCTTAGCGATACCCCGTAGATTTTCCACTTCATCTGCCAGGTTTTCTAAGCGCAAAGCCATCTTACGAGCCCACTTTCGGACGCACGGGCGACAACAGCATCCATCAGTTAAGATATCGCCTCCATGGTTGCAGTTTGTTTCGCGTAACAACTCCGTCGCCTTTGATGCAGCAGCTTTGTTAGCTATAGGATCGTCGATCAACTTTTCATTTCCAGCCGTAGAGGGGCCGTTTTCCGCGAGCCGTGCCACCAACTTGGCAAAGGTTCCAGCATCGGTGCAAACCCGCTTCCTCGACTTCTCCACAGGAGACAACCCCTCACCGCCGTGGTCCACATTCCTCTTTCGGTTTCCAGCCTCTGAGGTACTCGTAACACCAACTGCAGTGGAGCTCAGAGGTACATCCTTCTTGCCACATTCCGCACCATTCGCTTCAGTAGAGGGCGACGAGCATGAAGACGAATCCGTCACGCTGGTGGCGTCGCCATGGCTGACGTTGCTGGAATAGCTGAATGGCTCCACGGACGCAACATGGATTGCCACGTTCATTCGGGTGGCGTTGCTGCGTTCCTCGCCCTGCTTCGCGATCCTGAACTCCACAGCTCCGGCTGACTGTGCCTTGGTGAGTTGACTTGCTACAGGACACCGGCTCATGTGGACGTGAAGACCGTGCTTGGTGGCGAAACGTCTCTGGCATCCCGGACAGCCGTGCAGCTTCTCCCCCGCCGGGTGAGTCTGCGCCTTCTTCTCACCCCCCGCTGTCCCCGGCGAGGGCTTCTCGGCGTCGCATGGAGCCACTCGGTTGAGATGCAGACGCAGAGACTGTTTGCTGCAGAAGGTTTTGTTGCACTTGGGGCACGTCTTGCCGCCCTGCCACGTCCTTGTGCCGTCACACGCGTACACTCGGCTCCGATGTGCGAGAAGACTCCGCGCCGACGTAAATGCCTCGTTGCACTTGCCGCACTTGAACGCTCGCTCTTCGCTGCGCGTCGCGGCGGGCGCTTCCGGAGCGTCGCACGGAGTGGCCTTCAGCAGGTGCAGGCTGAGACCGGCGGGCGTGGCGAACTTCCAGCCGCACTTGTGGCAGGTCTTGGTGCTGTCCACGTTCTCCTGATCGCACGGATACACGCGGTTCAGGTGGACGCGGAGCGCCAGGCGGCTCTGCAGCACTTTGCCGCACTTGGGGCACGTCTTGTCCTCCGCGTGGACCTTGAACGGCCTCTTCTTGTGCGTCGCAGGCGGCGGTGCATGCGTCATGGAGGTGACGGGCGGATCTTTCGGGGCTGATGGCGCTTGCGGCGGTGGAGATGGCGTTTCCTCCATTGTTGCGCGCTGGCGGTTAAAGTCGAAGTGAGACGCCAGTGGTCGTTGGGAAAAACTGGAAAAAGGGGCCTTTTCTGTACGATCACTCCTCGCGTCATGCAAGAGAGCGCAGGTAAGTGCAACTCAACTTGAGTTTAGGTTACTTGCACCGTGTGTACGTGTAGTGCCGTATCGCTTGGAAGGTGCGTGCGTGCATGCATGTAAGAGGATTGAAGGAGGCAGTATGCATGGCAGTTTCGACGCCTGCTCAGACCCAGCAGACCAAAGCTTTTACGTATCCAACGCCGTACATGTTTAGTTCAATTTAGCTTGTTGCATTTGTTCAATTTGTTCAGTTTGTTCAAAAAAGTTTCTGGTCCCCGCCTCCTGCTCGTGCCGCTTTCACTCCGCAGTACAGGACATCATGGCGAGCGTCGAGCAACAGTATCGCCACTTGATCCCACGTTACTGCTACGCCTTGCTCGACAGCTCCTTCGCCACGAACTCTTGGATCTGGCAACTCGTCCTCAGCAGTCGCGTGAAAATCTTCTGACGCTCAGTCTCCAGTGCCACCTTCGAAGCTCGTTCCAGCCCGATCTTGCTTGACAGATCCTGTGCCTCTCGCTGTCCGAGGTCGCTGTAGCTCTCCTCCAACGATCTGACGGACTCGAGCTGTTTCTGCAGCCTCGATAGCTCTTTCTCCTTGTCGGCCAGTTGAGCGGCAATGCCTGCGCATTTTGCGTGCAAGTCCTCTTGTTCATTGGACGCATCTGACGCTCCCATGCTCTCCACCTCACGAGCGAACTCCTCCTTCTTCTGAGCGTACCCACAAACAATTACCGCAGCAACTGCGGCGTCCCTCTTCTCCTTCTCCAACTTAATCGACTCACGCAGTTTGTGAAGTCGACTTTGCAGCTCCGTATCAGTTGTTTTTTCCTCCATGTCAGCAGTCGACTCCATCTCAGTTTCCACCTTCTTTTCATCCTTCTGCTTCGACAAAACTTGGTCGTTAACTTGATTATACGCATCGATCAACAGGGCCAACCCAGGTGGCATCTTCAATTCATACTCCTGCACAGGCTCCGCGCTCGGCTCATCCAAATCCCCCACCGTTGACGGGTCCTCTTGGTTGGTATCACTATCGGTGGGGGTGATTTCAACACTTCGCGACTCAATATCCGTCATCGTTATGTCAGCAGCCGAATTGCGACCCATTCCGGAACGACCTTCTCCTTCGGTATCATCTTCGACGTCGTCCGTCAGATCAATGAAATTGGACTTACGTGACGACTCGTCTCTGGGCCGCTCCGTACCGGCATCAATCTCGTAAGGTGAAGAACTTTTGGCATCAAATACGCTCGCTGTTGGCAGATCAAGACGCGCAATGATACCTTCCAGCTGCGTCACCCGCCTGTTGAGATCGGCCCAGTCGCGACCACAGTGCTTGCAGTGCTCGTGCGGAGTCGCACTCTTCTCGTCTTCATAGCGTCGGACTTGGCGGACATCATAGAATCTCGAAGGTCTGGGCGTTGAAGCCGAGCGCTGGGAACTTCCCTGGGGTGTGAAGCTTCTGGCTGAACTGCGCGACAACTGGTCGTTCTCCGGTTGATATCTCGAACGAATCGAGGACTTCGAGCGCAGGCATCGTTGCTTATTTGCTTCAGTCTCTCTCCCAGCTTACGCCACGGTTTGTCCGAAGCCCGTTTGCACGCGCCAATTGGCGTACCCGCAGCGACAGCTGCGCTCTCGGCAGACATCTTCTCGGAGTGACGCCAGCGTCACGTTCCTCTGAGCCAACCAGAACTCGAACTTCTGCTGGTAGTCGCCCACATTTTCGTTGCGCTCTAGAGGAACCGGAATGGGCATCTTCGTGCCCTTCGTTTTATTAGCCTTGGACCACGACGAGTGAGGGTCCTGCAGCAGTCGGTGGTAAGTCTCAATGGACATGACCTTCTCTGTCAACAGTCTGCGGCGACGCTGCTCCGGCGTTTCAATCGTGTAGTTGGCCCGGGGCGACCGAGACCGAGAACGGCTGCGACGTGAAGCCATTTCTCGTCGTGGCGGCGGCGATGGAGATCTGCTGGATCGGTAACGGGACCAAGGCGGAGGCGACTGGGAGCGCGCGGGGTATCGGGATGAAGAGCGGCGATAGCGGTTGGGGGACGAGGAAGTCCATCGCGCAGGCGGGTCCGGTCTCCAGTCGCGGCCTCTCGAGTTGAACTCGTCTCGCCGGGCGTCGTAACTGCGATGAGGATCGGCCATCGGAATCCGACGGACGTATCTTCGAGCTCTGTGGTGCCGACAATTTGTTTTGTGTTTTGGCATTTGAGACCTTGACTAAGTGCGATCTGTAAAATGGTCAACGCTGGCGATTGATTGATGAGCGTACTTTTGACTTAAGCACAGCGACAACTAAATTGGCACTACGGGCTTCCTACAGTGGCGGTCTGTCCACTGCCGGTCTGGTTGACTTCGCGTTTGAGGCCCATGACGTTCTCTTCCAGCTGGTCCATGCGCTCCGTCAGCGTCTTGGCCCAGTTGCGCATGCACTTGGTGCAGCAGCAGCCATCCGGGTTCATGACGTCCCCGTCGTGCTCGTCCGAGTCATCCGCTGGGTTCGAATCGGAGAGCTCTTGCTGGGTCAAGTCGGCTGGCGTCGTGTCAGGCTCAGATACTGCGGCGTCGGTGGCGGAAGAGTCGACTTCTACAACATTGGGGTTTGGCTTGGACTCGGTGGTTCGCTTGGGGGCCTCACTTGTGCTGCTTGAAGAAGCCTGAGCCGGCACCGCTGTTGCTGGTGGTTGCGGTACTGTCGATGGCGGGGTGGACGAAGACACTGGCTTTGCAGCCGTAACTGGTGCTGTAGATTCAGGTACCTGCACATTTGACGAACTCGATCGCGGCAATGCGCGCGCCGGTAGTCCCGCCCTTCCAAATGAATACAGGGTTTCCATCCTTTGCAGTGGTGCTGGCGCTTTCTCAGGGGCCTCTCCACTTGGTCTGCGCAGTAGAGCTGCTGGACGCTGTGGTTGCGTTGCCGAACCTGAACGGTCCATCATTTCCCCAGTCTTCGCAGTATTTTGTGAAGCCGGCTTGATCACCTTCGGCGCTGGCGTTGTCAAAGAACGTGAAGCTGCAACATTCGTCACAGTCGCCCCCGCCTTCGGTAGTGCAGCAGGGCTCGGTTTCGATTGGGGCGTCGAAGCTGCAACCGTTCGTAGTGTTGTTGTTGCTGCTGCTGACGATGCTGACGACTGCACTGGCTTTGGCTGGAGGGCGGACGCCTTTGATCCTGGAGTTGTCGCCGAGGATGTCGTCGACGGTTTTGACTGGAGTGTAGGGGCCGAAGAAGCAGCGGCCGTCGCCGTCGACCGCTTTGATTGTTTCCACTGGAGTGTAGGGGTTGGAGACGTCCGGGATGTTGCTGGCGTTGTCGACGATGCCACCACTGGTTTTGACTGGAGGGTGGGGCCCGCAATTGTCCGTGATGTTGCTGTCGTCGCTGAGGTCGCCGCCGCAGATTTCGCCACGAGTGTCTGCTTCGTCTGGAGTGGAGTACTCAAGTTCTGGGACCCTCGTGGTTGCGATGGTGCAGCAGCCACTGGCGCTGCTTGCGGCGGATTCGAACGTCGCAGAGACCCAGTAGAAGCAGGTACTCCCGCTGTTGCTTTTGAGGTTGAAACTTGCGTTGTTGGAGCCTCAGTCGACTGTGAGGCAGTTTGGTGTGAAGACGCTGGAAGAGGCGTATTCCTTCCCTGTGACGTGTTGGGCATGGAGCGATTGAACGGTAACTCTGGGGCTGCTTGAGTCCGGGTCCCGCCTTCCACATCCACCCGTGCTCGCTTGTTGTCACGAACTTCGTGCGATGCCTGAAGCAGCTCATTGCGACTGGTATCTTCCGCGTGCCTCTTCGCGTTCAGTAGCAATCTCTCTCGTGCCGGCTTCAAGACACACAACGAAATCTTCGCTCGAGTTTCAAAACTTTGTCGGGGGTACTGAGCACCTTGAGCTCGGGCGGCTTGGTTCTGCGTAGTTGCTGGGTCTGGAGACCTGTTGGCCCTAAGATAAGCAAACGCCATCCGAAATCTGCGCTCTCTGGCCGGATTGTTGCGCAGCGAATCCTTTGTTTCGTTGTAGTCCTTTAGCCACGTCCAGAAGCGATGGTCGTACAAACCCATCGATTCTCCCGGATGGAGAGGGACCGGAATTGCTGGAAGGCCGTTTCCTTCAGCAACGTTGGGCGCAGGGGGATTCCTCGCAACTTCCTTCTGGAAGACATCCAACGAGAGAATTCGCCTCTCCAGCAGTTGCCTGCGAGTCTTGTTGTCCAAGAATCGAGGGCTCTCTGGTGGAGCGAGCGATGGTGGTGGTGACATCGATCTACCCCGCTGCTCGGGTGAGTACGACCGCCGTCCTGGATAGGATCGATCAGTTGACACTGAACTCCGCGCATATTCTCGTTGCTGCGGCTTCGCTTCAGTATACGAAGCTGTCATTGGCGGTCGACTCCTCTCCGAGCTCCTTCGAATGATTCGAGACGGTGACCTTGACCTTGACCTAGAACGAGATCGAGAACGCGAACGCATATGCGCAGGAGATCGGGATCTGGGCCTTGAGCGAGGTGGCTCTCCCACATCCGACGTCCCCGCCCGCGTGTACGCAAACGAGTGCCACAACGATCGCTCTCGTGCCGGATTATCACGCAGCGATGCCAGCGACACGTTGCGCATTTCGAGCCACCGCTCGAACTTTTGGGTGTACTGCGCCATCGACTCTCCGGGCCATAGAATAACCGGAATCCGGACCATCGTCTCATGCGGACGCTTGAGATCGTCTTCGCGGATGAATCCGTGTCGAAGCTTGTACATCTCGTCTCGGAATGCATCCACTGAGATCACGCGTCTGGCGAGCAGCTCTCTGCGGAGATTGTCTGTGTTCGACCCCCGGCGTAAAGTGAACGACTGTTGAGGCGAGGGTGACCGGCGCACTTGGGGTGGCGACCTGTCAACTGGTGGAGGCGATGCAGCCCTGTACCGGGGCGACCTGGATGGCGAGCTTCTCCAGCGCTGCACATCACCGGCAGGTTGCTGCTGCACTCCACGAGGCGACGGGTCCCGAGTGTATTGACGCTGAGTGGGTGCAGCGCTCTGCGGGGGTTGATGCCAATTGCCATGTGCTTGGGGTCGTTCCCGGGAGTAGCTTCGATCACGATACTGCCTCTCCCCTACTTGTCTGGCCACATAAGGGCGTCCGTTGTCCGTCGGTGCACGATTGTCGTAGCTCGAGTGTACTCTGGGGTCCTCGCGATACACCCGCTGCTGCTGCTGCGGAGGCACCACACCAATGCGTCTCGGCAGTTGCAAGGACGGAGATCGGGATCGAGAGCGTGACCGAGAGCGCGAGGGAGCACGGGGCCCCCGCTGTTGTAGTTGCTGCTGTTGCTGTTGTGGCTGCCTTGACTCGCCTGGCCTCGCCACCCGCGTCTGCGCGAACTGCATGCGGCAGTTGCGCTCGGCCACGGGGTCCTCGCGCATGGACGCCAGCGACAGTCGGCGCGACGCCAGCCAGCGGCCGAACTCGCGCTCGTACTGCGCCAGACTCTCGCCCGGCCAGAGCGGCACGGGGATCTCCCGCGGCTGGCGGCTCCTCGACTCGCGCAGCTCCTGCCAGTACGCGTCCACGGACAGCACGCGCGTGGCCAGCAGCTCTCGGTGCGTCATGGGCACGTCCCTCGGCGACACCCGCCGGCCGTCCATACTTGGTTTACGCTATGTATTGAGCTCCTGCTCCTGGATTCTCTTTGATTTGTCTGAGACCAGTTTTTTTCTAGGTTTTCAGGGTATAGAAAAGAGAAGAGAAAAAAGTGTACGGCGAACGATTTTGTCCATCAAATAATTGTCCTTGATTGATTGCAGCATTTTCCTTATACCTTTTACAACGTTTTTGTAAGTGAAGAAAGCTTAATTTGATGCAATCATTCCAAGGTATTAGGAGTCATCAAAAATTATTCGTTTCAGCGTGTGCATTCGCTGATACGCAAATCGTCCGAGTCTCCCGAAAGTGCATGGCGACCGAGGAGGCGGTCTCGAATCCGAGCGCCGCGGCGGCGCCCAAGCCCATGCAGGAGCTCTTCCCCGTGCGCCACGTGCTGGGCATGCTGCAGCGCAACGAGCGCCTGGGCGACAAGCCCCCGCCGCCGCCCATCGCGCCGGCCCAGCAGCCCAAAGAACTCCAGGAGAACGTGGATTCCAACAAGACCCCCGACACCCGCGAGGAGGTTGTGGCCGGGTCCCCTCCCTCGCAGCAGGACGAGGCCAGCCAGGAGTCCTCCGACCCCGGCAAGGGGGAGGCGCCTGGCACGCTGCTGCTCTGCTTCAAGTGCGGCAAGGGCTTCGTGTCCGCCACGAGTCTCCGAACGCACCTGGCCACCGAGTACCCCTGCAACCAAGGACTCACCATCTCGCTGCCCCAGGGGGAGGGCAAAATGGAGTCCAAGACGTGCTTCAAGTGCGGCAAGACCTTCGCGAGCTGGCAGGGGCTAAGGGGCCACCTCAACCGGATCAAGCCCTGCGACCAGGAGAAATCGGCACCCACGACGATTCGGCGACGCCCTGCTGCGTCCAGGACGTGCACCAAGTGCGGCAAGACGTTCTCGAGTGCACAGAGCCTGAGGATCCATATGAACAGAGTCAAGCCGTGCGACCAAGACAAACTCAGCGTGTCGACCCCGACGACGCCACCGGCCAGTACGCCACCGAGTACACCGCTCATGATTAACGAGGAGGAGCTCAAAAAGGAAGCGGAAAGAAAGGCGAGGGCGAGGTACCAGGCGCGTAAAGCCTATCTGAAGAAACGTGGACGACTTGGTGAACTGGGCGATCCCCCCACCCTGTTTTACATATCGAGAAGAAACGGACACGGAGCGGGGAATGAAAATGGTTCGAAACCTGATCTGAAGAGAACTGCCCCGGAGGAATCCTCACAAGAGAGTGACAAGGTGGAGGGCTCAAGTGATGAAAACAAACGGCCACGTGTGGAGGAGACAGAGTCCCAGGAGAATGTTTCCACCGACTCACCTTCTGACGTATCTGGATTGATTCAGCCCAATATCTCCACTCCTTCACAGTCAGAGCCCGGAAAGACAACCCAGCCTGGTGTTCCAATGCTTGCACAGCCAGTGATTCATCCGGCACCGCTGCCTAATCCTCCTCGGCCAGCGCATTCAGTGTTCGGTAAGACGTCGCAGCCCACTACCCCTACGTCTGCCAAGTCAGTGATCCGCAAGACGGCACCCCCTAGTGATGGAAGTTTCGTGCATCGTTCAAGCAAAGGGCACGGTGGTGATCTCCTTGCGGGAGGATGCAGTTGCCCCCCGTGTGTTCGAAGGTGGGCAAGGAAGCTAATGAACCGCATGCAGCAGCTTGAGGACGAAGTGCTGACGTTGCGTCAAAGAAAAGCTGTCGGGGTTGAGAATGGATCTGGTCACGAGACCAGTGCTGACATACCCACGGCTGGATTACGGACTAACGAATCGACGCAACGTCAATCTGCGGCAATACTCCTCTCTTCGCCTGCGAATACTGGTGCTTCCTCAAACAGCAATATTGGTGTCGCCGGTGTGCCCCAGGCGAAACCAGCAGAAATTTTCAGAGCACTTGCCAACTCGAGCAGCGCGTCAACGTATTCGCAGCGAACAGAGAGTGTGGCGAGGCAGGACTCGAATGTGTTAGCTGAGGCAGCTCAATCCTTACAAAATGGTGGTCGTGCCGAGCAATCGCAGCAGCACGCAAACCCGGCTGCATCTTTCCTGTTGGGACTGGGCTCTGACAAGAGAAGTCTCGTGGATGCCTACAGCCACATGAACGACCAGATCTTGCTGAACGAAAGAACGGTCGAAGACTCCACCGGACACGTCCAGATCCTAATGAGTATTGATCAAGGCGCTGCGATGGATTTCCGTAAGCAGATCGCTGAGCTTCGCATGTCTATTAGTGCTGAGAAGAGCAAACGTGACATCACGGTTGCGACTCTGATTGCCCACGAATGGAAGCCTCGAGTCGACGAGTTCAAAGAGCTGCTGGAACGCTCCGAAGCGCAAGATTCACCTACTGAAGAGCAATCGCTTCACGCCAAATGGTCCGACATCGCGAATCAAGTGTCCTTGAAAGACAAAGCTATCTCTGACTTGGAGAAGCGAGTGGACTCTCTCGGAGAATCTGGCGGAAGCAGTCGCTCCCGATACGCGGAGATGGGCGAGCTGTCCAGCAAAATGGCGGCCGAGTACGCTGCCAAGATGTCCCTCGAGAGTGAGCGTGAAAGCGTATATCTTGGTCTCGTGAATTCCAGCACTCGCATTCGCGCACTAGTGAGGAAGGCGTTGGTGTGATACCCGAAATGCATTTTTCGTCCAGAAGTTGAGTAAGGACTTTTCCGTCCGTAGTACTACTACTACTAACATTTCATCCATGGTAACGAAGCCACAGCGTACTATTCGAAAGCAAACCCTGCCGTAGTTTATTGGTGGTAACGTGATTCCAGTGCAAGTCAAACAATGATGTTGGTGTCCACCATACTTCAAGTACATGTAGTAGTAATTAAAGATTGATGTACCTAACCTTCTGCACTGATAAAGCTCGCGTTTGATGCCGAAGAGAGGACAAGACATTATTGTTGCGAACCCAGGGTCGTTTATAGCTAAACAATGACTTTTACATCCCCTTATCGCTTTTGATGGTAACGTATCATTCCCACAGTAATTGCTCCGTTCTGATGAGCTTAGGATCCACGCAACAGGTTCTTGCTCGCTTTGCCCCAATAAATAAATAAATGACGCTAGTGGTGGTGTGCGGCAAGAAGATAGTGCGCATGCCGAGAGTTTCTGACCTTCCTGTCGCGCGCGTGGCCTGAATGGCCGAGTCGCTCCTTCCTCCGAGCGGCGTTGTGCTGGATTTGCAGCAGGTTTCTGCTGGTTGTCTTGATAATATGTCGCCACACACTCTACGAGAAGTACTTCTGCTTGATGTACGGATAGTAGACAATGATAGCCACGAGAAACACAGACATTCGATCAAGAATGCCACACGTCCGACTCCCCTCTGGAAAATAAAACGCCGACGTAGTCACCTTGGCCATCTGCCGAACGTGAGCCATCCACAGTCGACACCATTGCCCCAACGCGATGGCACAAAACAGCACGATCACTTCTGCAGCATTAAAATCCGATCCTCCCGAGCCCAGGCGCACAGCCATAATCATAATTGCACCACATGCCAGCGAGATGGCCAGCGCTTCCACGTCCTTTGTGGTGGCTTCCGATTTCAAAAGAGGATGTCGACACCACTTGAAAACCTGTGGCCAGTTGAGCTGCAACTCCTTGGCGAGACTGTCCCCCACGTCAGCTGACAACACCACGAGCACGAAAAGCGCGAGCTGGTTCCTAAACGACTGGTTCATCGTCTGGTCGATCAAGTCCGCGAAGGCGATGAGCGGCGACACGATACACACGAGGCCGAGGACGTCACACAGGACGAGCAACAGGCTCTGCATGACGACCTTGCTCGTCACGACCCGGAACACGATGATGATGATAGCGCCGGCCAAGATGATAAACAGCGGGTCCACCTGCGCGTCCGAGGCGATGACGTCCACCTGGAGCTTCAAGTACGCGTTCATGCTGGCCACCAGCACGCACGCCTGGTACACGATGAGCACGACGGCGTCCGCTCCGGAGGGGGCGAGCGAGCTGCAGAAAATAGACACGAAGGCGGCCTCCACGGACGCCCCAACCATCATGCGCCAGCCCGAGGCCGGGTTGCTGCCGTCGAACACGGAGCTCTCTACTGCGTAGGCCAGCGCCACGCTCACGACGGCGCCCAGTGTGGCCAGCAAGAAGGCGGCGACGTACCATCGCCCGCAGCATATCCTGTCGGCCAGCGGCGCGATGGCGAAGCTCTTGGCGCGCATGGCCTCGTTCAGCAGGCTCTCCCTGGGGTCCTCTCTCCGGAGGGGCTGGTCCTCCAGCGCGCGCAGTCTGCGCGCGTCCTCCTCCGCCTGCTGCGCCTGTGTCTGTACTGTCTGAGTCTGTGTCTGTAGTCCTGCGTCCTGTTGTCTGCTGACGGTCGGAACCGTTGTTGTCGCTGTCGCTGTCGTTGTGGTCGTAGGGTTCGTGGACGCGTCCTCGTGCAGATTCACGGCCAGCAGCAGCCGCTGGCGGATGCGGAAGGCCAGCCAGCTCCACTCGACGGCGCCCACGGCCAGCAGGAGCTGGCCCAGGAAGAGCAGCAGGTAGGCGTCCCCCACCTCCACGAGCGCCACGACGGACCCGGGCAGCAGCACGAACGTCAGCACCGAGAAGAGCGTCGGGAGCGCGTGCGCCGAGCACGCGGCGTGGCACGGCGGCGGCCGCTCCGACAGCTCCGACATGAATAATTACTGGGGGAATAACGACTGGGGCTCAGTATGGGGGACTTTTGTTTTATGCGTGCATAGGGCTGGGGAGCAGCCGATTTTGGACCACTCAGCAGGCGCGATACATGGACGTTCACGCTCATTGGACGAAAACAAGGATGGGCGAGTGGACGCCTGACTGGCTTGTTCCCATCTGGCCGGCTCTGGCCCCTTAATCTCGCTGCCCTTGCAATCAAGTGCGAACAAGAGCGGTGAAGCGCCTGGAAGCGGAGCGTTAACGGTGCAACCACCTGCTGCTGCTGCTGCTAGCCGAGCGAGCGCTATGTCGATGCTCGGCGCCCTCCAGCAATGTTCCGAGTGTCGCTCGCTGCAACTCCGTCCGACTCGCGCTCGTCGTGCGAAAAAAGCGGCGGGTCTGTCGGCATTGCTGCACTCGACCTCAAGCTATCGACAGTTTGTACCCCCGCGCGCCTTGAAGCCAGGCTTGATGGCTGGGGAAGTCGCACCGCAATGCGGTCGTTGAAGCAGACGGGTGTGGTGCTGGCTGTGCTGGCGTCGAACTTGACAGCAGACAGCGAGCCGAGCTCGCCGGGGTTCACCGCGTTTACGAGCTGCATGCGAAACTCTGTACCACTCCAGCTCGATTTGCGACCCATTTTTGCAGAGTGCCCATTTTTTCTCGTCGACGCATTGCCTTTTGAAGGACTGAGCTTCGAGCTTTGAACCCTTGCCGATGCACCATGGTTTTTGCGTACATTTACAGTAGTAAAGATGGATTATAGGAATCCACGCGAGGAAGGTCGCTAATGGCAGAGATATTTCGGTATGCGAAGACTCACAACCACGTTGTTGTTTGTGTAAGCTAACCGCATTCACCCGTGCGATTATGGTTCGCAACGCATAAGCTCAACAGAATTCTGCCCGAATAAGGAACGGGTGTACAACTAATAGCCTCACATATTTAATATTTTCCAGTCGATGTGGCGATAGGGGGATGTGCAAGGTACTGCAAGGTACTGAGGTACTAAGGTGAAAAATCCAGTGCCAATCATCAGCTCTCCACCCTCGTTTGAAAAATGGTGCGCATTTAGCGATCTTACTAGACTTCAAACTACATGTACCGTAGTGGTAGACTCGCACTTTTGCTTTTGCACCTCACCCCGCAAGCCCACCTCCTCCCCCACTCCACCCATGAAGTCCACACCGTCCAAGCGTCTCCGCCTCACTTGGTCTGAGAAAGTGGGCATCCTCGACAAGGCAGCCCGCACACCTGCTCTCTCCTACAGGGGCCTGGCTGAGTGGGCTGTGACGGAGTTCAGCCTCCCGGCCGCACCAGGCAAGATAACGATATGCCGCATAATCAAGTCAAGTGCAGTCCTGCTGGGGCGGCCGCTGGAGAAGGACCAAGGAATCATTCGTTGTACTAAGCGACACATTCTATCCCGCATCATCTCTAGACCGGCTTGGTGAAGGGCTAGATAATCCTTACGAGGTCGACCAGTTGACAGCGCTGTTGTGGTGCGAGGATGCCTGGTCAAAGATTTGTGCTTCGACCATACGCCACTGTTGGAATCCTTCCGGACTTGTAGGTAAAGCTGCTCTTCAGTTCATTTTGAAATAACTAAATCAGTACATTGGAAAAGTATACTCAACTTAACATCAATTTATATATTCTGCGTCTTTATATATATCAGGCGTTCCTTACTCGGGCAGATTACTGTACTAGAGTACTGTACTACAGAATGAATCTTCGAGCGGAGGACATCTGGGCAAGCGAATCACGAGGACAGGGCGGACAGGGTTACGGAAAGCATGGGATTGGATGGACACGCTGTCTGTTGCCTGCACCGTGCAGGCTGCACGCATGGCTTCTCCAGACTTGGGAGTGAAGAAAGCTCGAGTGTTAAAGCCAAAAACATGGTCCATGATGGCGAAGGCTAGCGAAGATGGTCAAGGTCCCCTGTAGAAGTCGGCGAGGGTCGATTCAGAAGGTTCCCATTTCGTTAAAATGGGCTCCTTCTGTCTGGTCGATTGGTGGGATTCGTAATCCGAAGTGCTGAAATTGGGTAGGTGTCGTGTGCACTTGGAATCTGTATGGTGTCTTTTGCATCATTTTTAATCGAGGAGGGTGCAGAGACCGGGCAGAGATTAAAACGACAACTGTGCCCAGTCCACTGCCAGTCTTGTGCCTGCCGCGCGCCGCGTTCATCATACAGGCAATTGTCAAAGGCTCCCCCTCCCTCGCAACGTGAGGGCGGCTAGCTCGATACGAAGCTCGCCGCCCAGTCCGAGCGGCGGCGCATGGATCCGTCGGTCACAAGCTACAGCTCGCACTCGCTCCGCGCGCAGCCCCAGGAGCCGCTGCCGTCCAAGACCATAATCTCGGCCAAGGGGAGATTCTTCGTGCTCCTCGTCACCCTCGCAGCGTCGGCGCTGCTCCTCTCCTTCATCTTCTACTCCATCCTCGTGGGCCACTCGCGCTGGTCCGTGTACCTACTGCAGGTCTGCCAGGGCGTCGCTCTGCTGGAGAAAAGCTGGTGGCACTACCGCATCCGAGAGCGCTTCCTGGCCCCGTTAGAGACCGCGGTCGCAGCCGCTTTTGGCGCTGGGGACCTGGAGCGACCCCGTCCTGACCGAGCCCAGTATGAGCGCGAACTTCTCGAGAGAATGGAGCCCAAGTCGTACGCGATATCGAGACTCACAGACAGGTGGATGAAGGACGTCCGCGGCGCTGAGACCACCGTGGCCTTGGTCGCGGCATCGGCGGCGGCCGGCGTGAGCTCCATCGTCGCCGTGTACGTGGAGAGCGCAGTGGTCGTGTGTGCCGCTGTGGGAACGTTTGTCGCGGTGGCCGCCGCCTGCTTCGCTCCGACACTAAGCGACGGCTTTGCCATCTTCATCCACGAGGGAACTTTAACAGTCACGGCCATGAGCGCTATGATCGCGCATTACACGGAAACGAACACGGGCATGGCGATCCTGGACTACCTGTTTGTGGCGCTGTCCGGCTGGGTCATCATCGTGATCTCCCGCATCATAGCGACCAAGAAGGTGCTCGATTGTTTCCTTATGGCCACACTCGACACGGTCGCGATGCTCCACGTCACGGTCATCATAGTGGAAGTTGTGGACTTTGTGGAGCACCCTCTGGCTAGCAACCTCCCTCGCGAGTTCGCCGCCTTCTTCGTTACAGTGGCGTCGGCCGAACTGGGCCACTTCCTCTTCGATGCGGTGACGACCCAGCGGAGAGTCCGGTGTCTCCGGCGCTGGAGATTCCTAGGAGTAGCCGACTTCCTTACGTCGGTTCTGTTCGGCGCCGCTGGCATGCTGGCCTGGATGCTGTGGATCGCGCCCACCAGTATGAACACATGGAACATCATCACGCTTGTCGGCGCGGCGGCGCTGTCGCAGTTGGGGCGCTCGTTCATGACGCTGATCCACGAGACGGCCATGGCGCCGCCGTGGAACCGCACCACCTTCACGATCTGGAACAACGGCATCATGGAGCTGATGAACCCGTTCCTCGTCGGGTGGATCGTGTTCCACCCGTACGCCAAGACGATATTGGAGAATGCAGGTGGCTATTAAGTTAGGAGAATAGGGGGCTGGGGCTACGCTGCGCGCAAGCAGCGGGTCAAGCGGTGGAGTATTTATTGAGGGCGAAGACTGCGGGGAAGATTATTAAGCTAAGCGCCGAGCGGCGAACGATATGAATATAATGGTCTCGAAGACGGTTCAACAGGTTTGACTGTGCTATTGCTTGTTGGCATTTAAGGCAAGATCATCACTTCATCGACTCCGCCACGGTGGTCCAGCCTCCTGCGCTGCTGTTGTTGTCCTGTGTCTCTACTGGTGAATCTGCGTTGTTCTTGGGCTCAGCAGACTTATCGCCGCTGCTGCTCGCCTGCTGTTTCTCCGCTTGCTCCTTCGCTCGCAACTTCTCCGCCGCATTGAAAACGCCTGCAGCACGTAGCCACAACGTTTCGTTATTCTCTTTGCCACGATACCATCGATAGTATCACAGTGGTCCCAGTTTACCGCACGAACACGTACCGTTGGTCTGCTTCTTGCAGTTAAAGCACCGCGACGTTTTCTTGAAGTGCTTTAGCGCGCACGCTTCACAGAAGAAGTGGCCGCAGCTGTATGAAGCGCACACAATTGGTAAATGACAGCGTTAGGTCGTTAGTCGGCGATGTGCCTATCAACTCTCGTTATACAGCAGTACACGTACATCGTCTCCACTGCGTTGTGGAAGGGAGAACGGCAGATTGTGCACGCAAACTGCTCTTCCTTGTCGCTCTTAGCGGCCTTCTTGTCTTCGTCGTCGCTCTCCTCGTCGGGGTCTGCCCAAAAGCGACATACACGTATACAAAGTTTTTGTCAAACCTAACGGTCGTAATGGCAAACACAGCAAAATGTTGTACGCACCACGGCCCTCTAGAAGGCGCTTCTGCCGCTTCTTCTCCTTCTCCGCGTATTCCTTCTCAATCTGCCACCCACTCTTGTAGTCGCCGCGGTCGTGGAGAAACTTGCAACTGTCGCCATAGCCGCAGAACCCTGTCTCCTTGTAATCTTTGCAAACGTCGGGCTGGTAGTCGAAGCGGCAGATAGCGCGCGCCCACGTTTGCGCTCGGATAGGACCCTGCGTGCTGTAGAGATCGGATCAACAGTATTAGCTTAGTAAAGGAGGCACCATAAAGGAGAGCCGCACAGAGTGTATCCGTCAGAAAAGCGTACCCTGTGTACTTGTTCATGCCAATCTGCGACTCCTTCTTGGTGATGTAGCTCTTGTAGGCGGCCTGACCACGGTACACCTTGCCGCTATCCGCATCGGCAGTGCCATCCTGATTCGCCTTGATGCTGCGTTCCATCACAGCACGCGCATCACTGCAATTCACAATAAAGAAGCAGCAAATGCGTAAGCCCCCATCGACATTCACCTCCAGTTCTCTCGCTCTAGCTCACCGGTCCTTCTCCGTGTCGATCTGCGTCTCGTAAGTGGCGTCGCCTGCATACTGCTGCGGGACGATCTCGCGCTCCGACTCGATCTGCCGCGTCTGGACCACGTTCTTGATTCGCTTCACTCCTCCAGTCTAATCAGCAGCATTGCAGCAATGAGAGGGTGGAGGCGATAGTAACCGAGTCTTTACTGCACTGTACCGAGAACGTGTTGATGGCGCGACGGTCAGAGGCCACGGGGACAACGGGCACGTCCTCTTCCGCATTGGACCCGCTCGGACGCTGCTCGTCTTCGTCTTCGGCGACGCGGCGGCGCTTGTTCTTCTTGGGCTTGGCGCTGCGGAACATGGTCTCTGGTCGTGTAGTGGCTGTGGCAATTAGACCGATCGCTTTAGACGGGATTTGGGTAGGCGTACGTAAGCAGTATTGCGTACGTAAGATTGGAAGGGATGCATGCAACCAAGGGGAGAAGAAGAAGGCACAAAGAGAATAAAGCTCTGTCGTTTATTAGGCTGCAACGACTACGCTAATGCACTGAGGTCGAGACGGCGCTCGATCTGCTCGGTCATCATCTACATCCTGGCGGTTCACAGGGCATGGTTCTGCTCGAGCAGGGGCTCGAGGTTGCCGGCCTTGTGCAGCTTCTGCACGTCCGAGTTGCCGCCGATGGACTTGCCGCCCACGAACACGTTGGGCACGGTGCTCTGGCCCGTGATCTGCTCGAGCGCGTCCTGCTGCTCGCTGCCGCCGGCGATCTGGTCCAGCTCCACGACGTCGAACTTGGCGCCCAGCTGCGTCAGCAGCGTCTTGGTCTTGGTGCAGTACGGACAGTAGCTCTTGCTGTACACCACCACGGGGGAGGCGGCGATCTTGGCCTCAACGGTCTCCTTGGCGCTCACCATTCTGCTCTTGTAGTTGTTGTCTGTCGGACTTGTGGGCTTGGAAGCTAATCTGAAAGTGAGCTTTTGGGAGGCGATGGCTGCCGTCCTGCCCGACCAATCATAGCGTCCCATATTCGTGACACGTCATTGGAGGGAAATGGATTGCATCAGCCTCGCCAAGGTCGGACTTGGGCATCGCCGCCCAGGACGACAAATGCGTCCGCTTCATAGCGAGAAGCATCGAGGACGTTCTGGAATGCGCCAGCGTGAGATGCAGCGACGCGTGCTGGTTGCTTGTGTACTGTATCGCGGTGGCGAGGCACATGGTGGCAAAAAGAGTGAATTTGAGTTTGTTTTGCTTGCTGTCGACTAGCGATTCGCAGGTGGTTCAGTCGGTTGACACGTGAGCTCGCGTCACTCACTGCGTGTGCGGGTGGGTCAGATTGAAGTTCGCCGTGGACGGCGCCATGCCGAAGCCGTCGGGCACTCTCCGCTCGGGGAAGTGGTGGCGCAGCAGCACCTTCGACAGCGCGTTGTGGTGGATGCAGTGGTGCACGGCGAAGGCCAGCTCGCGGCTGAAGGTGGACTCAAAGTCGAACTCGCGCCCGTCCGCCGACAGCATGAACGCGGCGTGCACCGGACGCGCCAGGTCGCTCTGTGGCACGGCGCGCAGCGTCTTCTCCAGCTGCTCGATCAGCGCGATGGCGGCGTGGCGGTCCTTCTCCACGGGCGTGTGACGGTCGCGGATGTCGTAGCGCACCATGTTCTCGGCGCTGCCGCCTTGCTGCTCGGCGGCCAAGAGCTCGAGCGGCTTGCGCAGGTGGTCGAGCGAGTGGCGCGTGTGCTGCCCGACGGAGCCCTCGACCAGCGGGCTGTGGAATGTGTACACGTCGTCGTCCAGGCTGCGTAGGAAGGCCTTGTGCTGCTCCAGGATGGCCAGCACGCACACGGGCGCGCCCGAGCTGCCTGCAGCCATGGAGCTCATGCGAGCTAGCCCCTGGCGCTGCGCCCGCAGCGCGGAGGCGAAGCGGCAGCGCAGCATTGGCTCAACGGGATGAAATGGAGATCTGATGATTTTGATCAACGGAAAAGAGACCTTTGGCCGCGTCTATGTGTTGGGTCCCAAATGCAACATACTGAAAGCAATATATATTTAACCTGGTTTTTTGCATGACAAATTGTGAGTTGAAGTGCTAGGATTATCTGCGCTACAGGAACCATACCAGCGGTACATTCTCGAGCGGAGCTGAAAGGATGGGAGTCCACGATAAAACACACGAGGTAGAGCCAACAGCAATTGATAAGGAGGGCGATTCAAGGCCACGGAGTCGATATCAGCAACAATACACTGCATTCACGACCACAGGGAACAGGATCCTGTGGATACGGCGACTTCTACAAGAATCTCCACGACCGCGGCGATTACAAGAGTGGGTGGCAGATTGAGAAGGAATACGCGGAGAAGGAGAAGAAGCGGCAGAAGCGCCTTCTAGAGGGCCGTGGTGCGTACAACATTTTGCTGTGTTTGCCATTACGACCGTTAGGTTTGACAAAAACTTTGTATACGTGTATGTCGCTTTTGGGCAGACCCCGACGAGGAGAGCGACGACGAAGACAAGAAGGCCGCTAAGAGCGACAAGGAAGAGCAGTTTGCGTGCACAATCTGCCGTTCTCCCTTCCACAACGCAGTGGAGACGATGTACGTGTACTGCTGTATAACGAGAGTTGATAGGCACATCGCCGACTAACGACCTAACGCTGTCATTTACCAATTGTGTGCGCTTCATACAGCTGCGGCCACTTCTTCTGTGAAGCGTGCGCGCTAAAGCACTTCAAGAAAACGTCGCGGTGCTTTAACTGCAAGAAGCAGACCAACGGTACGTGTTCGTGCGGTAAACTGGGACCACTGTGATACTATCGATGGTATCGTGGCAAAGAGAATAACGAAACGTTGTGGCTACGTGCTGCAGGCGTTTTCAATGCGGCGGAGAAGTTGCGAGCGAAGGAGCAAGCGGAGAAACAGCAGGCGAGCAGCAGCGGCGATAAGTCTGCTGAGCCCAAGAACAACGCAGATTCACCAGTAGAGACACAGGACAACAACAGCAGCGCAGGAGGCTGGACCACCGTGGCGGAGTCGATGAAGTGATGATCTTGCCTTAAATGCCAACAAGCAATAGCACAGTCAAACCTGTTGAACCGTCTTCGAGACCATTATATTCATATCGTTCGCCGCTCGGCGCTTAGCTTAATAATCTTCCCGCAGTCTTCGCCCTCAATAAATACTCCACCGCTTGACCCGCTGCTTGCGCGCAGCGTAGCCCCAGCCCCCTATTCTCCTAACTTAATAGCCACCTGCATTCTCCAATATCGTCTTGGCGTACGGGTGGAACACGATCCACCCGACGAGGAACGGGTTCATCAGCTCCATGATGCCGTTGTTCCAGATCGTGAAGGTGGTGCGGTTCCACGGCGGCGCCATGGCCGTCTCGTGGATCAGCGTCATGAACGAGCGCCCCAACTGCGACAGCGCCGCCGCGCCGACAAGCGTGATGATCAGGGTTTGGTAGTAGTCTCCAGAATAGTAGCGTTAGTAGGCATATTATGACTACTACTATTACTACTACTATAGCTTTGGGATTGGAGCCATTAGTAGTACTTTTTATTTAGTAGCCAAACGAAACATGGATAGTAGTGCTATTATCACTACTAATGTACCCATTCCTCAACCGACGGCAGATCGCAGGAGTGAGTGGCCACGCACCTGTCAGGATCCCTCATTAGGCTTCCAACTTCACGCAAACGTGCCATGAAGTGCGCGAAGAGTGATTTCCACCAAAAGTGCCATTTCCGTGCTGTGTATGCGGCCGACAGGTGCATCATTTGTGTGTGTGACAAATGCAAGCTAACGTTATCTCAAAGGTAACGCTGCTGTTCGTGGTCGCCTTTGTAGCTTCAATTGTACTAAGCAGATCGCCATACTGATTTTGCGGCCGCACTCGTGTTACCAGGGACTTTAATGCGGAGATGCCGACTCCCAGGAGCCTACACTCAACTGTACATCTGAGAATCGTCCTTACTCTCAAGTATTCTCCTGACTTCTGAGTAAGAGTAACATGCTTCAACTTTCGAGTACACTATTTCTTTTGAAGTTAGTTTGCTGTATAAACTAGAAGCTAGATACATCAACGTAAGGTGCTGGTTGTTGCACTGTCACAAGCGAAGTGAATAGCATATTAGTGGGTCTCAGTTCTGGCAGCAGCAAGATAGCGCTCGCCGAAAACCCTCCAAATTTCTCCCAATCAGAGACGGAACGAACTGAGACCCCCTTTGCAGTTCGGCAGCAGCAAGATGCCTCATGCGTGGTCTTCTTGCTCATTTAGCCTATTGCTCAACTACATAGTGCTCTCATACATATATACATGTTATAGGTGCCCAGCAGCGTGCTGCGGCAAGTTGTCACATGCTTTCGATGCGAGGACTCACTGCTACGGGGTCGGTGGAGGTCAGATTGAGCCCGCGGCGGTCGATTCGCTCAACCCCAGCAGCCCCATGCTATCTGATCTAACGAAAACACATGTGGAGGACTCATATACGTCGGGGGAACGTCGGCTCCCGCTGCCGTAGCTCCTGGGGCGGTCCGGCAATAGGTGGGATCCATCTTGCTGCTGCCGGCGCTATACTGCACCAAAATCGTGGCAGTATGGAAAGGGGTCGGCACTGCCGACTCGGCAGCAAGATAGCAACCGAGTTTTAACCAATCACAGCTCATATCCTTCAAGATTTGTAAGAGCGCAACTTAAGTATCTTGCTGCTGCCAGAACTGAGACCCACTACCACTAGCGCATTACGGTAAGCACCCCACATGTGCGACTAACGTTATACATGTATTACAAGCAGTCTGGGGTGGTGTTTGTACAGTCTTTGGCTTGACGACGCTTAACTTTCCTATTAACCTCTTCTCGTCAGTACATGTATGCCGATGATCTCCTCCTCATGTATACTTGCGCTGTGCCTTCCTCCTCTTTTTTCTAGGCTGCCATACTGGGCATGGCATCTTTCCAAAGAAACCAGAAGCCATTTGCGAAGTTACTCAGAAGTCATCACTTTACTCTAAATCAAGTACCTCACTCTATCGCTTGTGATCGAGCAATGCGCCGACCGCAATATTCAGTCAAGGTAGAGTGCAATAACGAAGATCGTGTGAAATAGAAGACGCAATATAAAGGTTTGGAGGGTTGAGCAGCTTTGAGGAAGCATTTACGTGTGCTGTTGGTTCGCGGAGGATCGCGAAAACTTACTCGTGCTTGAATGCTGCTCGTCGCCAAGCGCGTCTAAACCGGGTCTTTCGTGAGGGATCCTCTTAGGATGACAACAGACAGCGCGCACCTACAGTTGTAGTTCATACTTCGCATATGGAGGCCAGTAAGCACCATTGCGGTCGGAATTCGGAATGATGGTCAAATGGTCATAATTAGTAGTCATATTAGTAGTCATATTAGTACCACCGATGCCTCACTACTAATAGATATATTATTCTACAATTGCCAGAATTTGGATAGTAGTACTACCAAACCCTGGTGATGATGTTCCACGTGTTCATACTAGCATCCAGGCCAGCATGCCAGCGGCGCCGAACAGAACCGACGTGAGGAAGTCGGCTACTCCTAGGAATCTCCAGCGCCGGAAACGCCGAACTGGTCGTCACCACGTCGAAGAGGACCGAAATGAGGCGCGAGGTTGGTTGCAGGCCAGCACGCACGAGTGCTCCATGAAGACCGTCACGTGTGTCCGCTCTCAGGATACCACAGGAAGCGAATGTGTACAGTAAAATAGGTACAGTGCCACACATTTTTTTTGCAGATTACTCAGCCGAGGAATTACCATGATCCAGTAGAAAAGTACTGGATCGCCCCCCAGGCCGACAGCCATTTTCTTCATACAGTAAAAAAATCCTAAGTACGCCCGGCACGCCACTTGCGAACCTATCAACCATTTATGGGCTAACTTCGAGCTCTCGGTTTATTTGCGGGACACCTGAAATAGATACGTGGGAGGTAAGATTTCGAAGGCTAGTGCTAAATAAAAACCAAGTAGACTTGAATAATAAATAATTCTCTAAAGGGTGATTCACAGCTATATTCTGCTGCATTGTGCAAATGTCCAAGTCAAGAGCAAGAAACCCCCCAAACTATGGCTCTGCTCGCTTTTCACTCGACGTGTCTGATCTCGAAGCTGCCAAGGAGTTGGGACTACTCAGGGACGATGTTGCAGTCGAGTCGACGAACCCGACAAGCTCAACGTATGGCTTGACCTACCAGCTCCGAGAGAATATTGCCAATTCAGTCTTTTCTTCAAAAAAAGCAGTCCACAGCAAGCGCAAAGATTTGGCTGTGAGGTGCGGCTTCCAGATTTTTGTGAAGCAGACCAGTGTGAAGGCCGACAACTCCGGAAATGCGAAATTTGCGTGCAAGGCGCTCCATGGAACGCAATATTTCGACCGGACTACACCAGCTGCCCAACTCACGTGTCCGTTTTTCGTGAATGTTCACGGGAAATCGGGGAAGTGGAAGATAACCCAGGCAAATTTTGCGCACAATCACCTCAAGTTCGTTGGTAGTGCCAAGGCCCCTTGTGTTGAAGGGTCCATCCCGTTGCCGTCCAAGCCCATGCGGAATACCACGCAGCAGATAAGCAAGCTGACAGCGATTGTCGAGACCGAGATGCTTCCCGCCCACGATGGATCTACGGCTTCTATGTCAGGCGCCGCTATCAGGAATTTTCTGAAATCGAAAGGAGCGGACGTAAGCGCTACATCGGTGTCCAGAATGAAGCAGAAAATTGACGACAAAATTCACGGCGACTTGGTAGAAAGTTACCAAAAACTGCCGGCGTACTTCGAGTTGATGGCGCACAAGAACCCCGGATCGGTTTGGAGAGTGGAAACTGCCGCGGACGGATCGTCGTTTGGTCGAGCGTGCTTCATCCCTAACGCTGGTATTCACATTGCCCAGAACTGCAAAAAGATGGTCGGCTTTGACGGGGTCCACCTTAAAGAGGAAATGCACGAACAGGGCATTTATCTGGTAGCTACCGTGAAAGACTACAACAACCACATCGTTCCAGTTGGACTCGCGCTGGTTTCACAAGAGGACAAGGCCAATTGGATTTGGTTCCTGGGAGCATTCAAGGAGGCAGTTGACTGGGAAAGTTCACGATATTGTCGGATAGACAAAAAGGTCTGCTTCCAGCTGTCGCGACAATTTTCCCAAACGCTGGCCATCGATACTGCCTGCGGCATATCATGGACAACATTAACCGGAAATGTTCCAGGTTGTCCCAGGAAGACCGTGCGTGGGTATGCCGAATGGCACGCAGCGACTGTGAAAATGACTATAAGCTGTATCGAAGTGAACTCGCCGTGAACAACCCTGCCGCTGCGAATTTTCTGGACGAAATCGAACGTGCTCACTGGGTGAAGTACAGTTTCCAAGAAAAGTTTAATCTCCCGACTTTCGACGAAATAACATCAAATTTGTCAGAGCAAGCGAACAACTGGATGGGTAAAGAGCTTCGGACCGCCAAACCCTTGGACGGATTCCACTTGTACTTCTTGAAGCTGAGTCAACTGATGTCCAAAAGGCGACAATTGATTGTAACGTGGACAAAATCTGGCGCACTCTCGGATTTAGTCCCCAAGTTGTTAGAGCGACGTACAGATCGCCAAGCTACAGCTGATATGTGCGAGTTTACACCCCTTCTCGAGGGTGCGTACAGCGTCTTGTTCAAGGGCCCTGTTGCCATACCAGGATATGTGCACCCTGACCGGGTAGTGGATTTGCCAGCGCTGGAGTGCACGTGCGGCAATTGGCAAGACCAAATGTTCCCTTGTGTCCACGCAATTTGCGCTGCTTCAAAGGATGGCCGACGAATCGAAGACTTGCATGACGCCAAGCGTATGTCGATCGAGCACTTCCGCGACACGTACACATTCAAATTTCTCCCTTGGCCGACAACAGCAACCTTACAGCGGGACGACACAATTCTTCCTCCACAACTTGATTCCACTCCTGAACGGATTGGTAAAAGAGGGTTGAAGCCGGGGAAGAGGCCACAACACAAGCGAAAGATTGTGAAAAACGCGCTGTAGGGACAAGAATAAGCTTCGTCGGGCAAAGCCAATTTATACTTTATCGATCTGTATTTTTGACAAACAACACTTCATAATTAATAGATATTGTGCTTTCCGACAATTCTAACCAAATATGCAAGTGTTGCTGAGTCATATTTGGGTAAGGTATATTAAAAATCTAAACCGATAGATCTCTAGTGTTGTGCCCTAAGAACACGCGAGTAAAATATTTCGTGAAAATCTCTTAAACTCTAGAAGGAGTAGGAACTCTACGAATGTACCACTCCATGGTACACCCTTTTTGTATAATTTAAGCCGCAATGGTGCAATATGCTACGTTGATCTGCAATCTGAATTTTGCAATTTAACTACGTTAAATTTAGCCAAATCACAACCTGACCTCCAGGCTGAAGTCTACTGTATTTATTTTAAGGCAACACTTAGAATAGAAATAGGCTGCGAACTACATTTTCAGCGCTTCGGCAAGCCCCATTCTGCTTTGTGCTCAATGCCACGCCTTAACCCACGACAGCGCCACGCCCGGAACATCCAGCGCCGCCTGGACGGCTCGTTTTACCGTCTCCGACTGAATCCCGGTATTTCCGCTCATGACGTCAGCGACTAAGACACCGACGAGCAGGAAGAGGAAGAATCATCAGTCGGGGGTGATCTCCGAGAAGAACGACGTAGGGGTGGTGGCCTCTTCGCAAGCAATCGAAGGGCCCAGAGAGGCGTGGATGGGCAGCTATATGAGGTAGAGCGAATATACGCGAAAAGGTGGAATCGAACGTGCTCACTGGGTGAAGTACAGTTTCCAAGAAAAGTTTAATCTCCCGACTTTCGACGAAATAACATCAAATTTGTCAGAGCAAGCGAACAACTGGATGGGTAAAGAGCTTCGGACCGCCAAACCCTTGGACGGATTCCACTTGTACTTCTTGAAGCTGAGTCAACTGATGTCCAAAAGGCGACAATTGATTGTAACGTGGACAAAATCTGGCGCACTCTCGGATTTAGTCCCCAAGTTGTTAGAGCGACGTACAGATCGCCAAGCTACAGCTGATATGTGCGAGTTTACACCCCTTCTCGAGGGTGCGTACAGCGTCTTGTTCAAGGGCCCTGTTGCCATACCAGGATATGTGCACCCTGACCGGGTAGTGGATTTGCCAGCGCTGGAGTGCACGTGCGGCAATTGGCAAGACCAAATGTTCCCTTGTGTCCACGCAATTTGCGCTGCTTCAAAGGATGGCCGACGAATCGAAGACTTGCATGACGCCAAGCGTATGTCGATCGAGCACTTCCGCGACACGTACACATTCAAATTTCTCCCTTGGCCGACAACAGCAACCTTACAGCGGGACGACACAATTCTTCCTCCACAACTTGATCCCACTCCTGAACGGATTGGTAAAAGAGGGTTGAAGCCGGGGAAGAGGCCACAACACAAGCGAAAGATTGTGAAAAACGCGCTGTAGGGACAAGAATAAGCTTCGTCGGGCAAAGCCAATTTATACTTTATCGATCTGTATTTTTGACAAACAACACTTCATAATTAATAGATATTGTGCTTTCCGACAATTCTAACCAAATATGCAAGTGTTGCTGAGTCATATTTGGGTAAGGTATATTAAAAATCTAAACCGATAGATCTCTAGTGTTGTGCCCTAAGAACACGCGAGTAAAATATTTCGTGAAAATCTCTTAAACTCTAGAAGGAGTAGGAACTCTACGAATGTACCACTCCATGGTACACCCTTTTTGTATAATTTAAGCCGCAATGGTGCAATATGCTACGTTGATCTGCAATCTGAATTTTGCAATTTAACTACGTTAAATTTAGCCAAATCACAACCTGACCTCCAGGCTGAAGTCTACTGTATTTATTTTAAGGCAACACTTAGAATAGAAATAGGCTGCGAACTACATTTTCAGCGCTTCGGCAAGCCCCATTCTGCTTTGTGCTCAATGCCACGCCTTAACCCACGACAGCGCCACGCCCGGAACATCCAGCGCCGCCTGGACGGCTCGTTTTACCGTCTCCGACTGAATCCCGGTATTTCCGCTCATGACGTCAGCGACTAAGACACCGACGAGCAGGAAGAGGAAGAATCATCAGTCGGGGGTGATCTCCGAGAAGAACGACGTAGGGGTGGTGGCCTCTTCGCAAGCAATCGAAGGGCCCAGAGAGGCGTGGATGGGCAGCTATATGAGGTAGAGCGAATATACGCGAAAAGGTGGATCAACGTAAGAGTATATTATCTCATTCAATGGGTTGGGTACCGGGAGCTTACATGGGAACCGGGAAGCCACGTTCCGATGCGCCTGAAGCTACGGCTCGAACGCGAATCGATCGACCTCATCTGGGTCTACCAATCGACAAGAGGGAGACGTCGGACTCGCCATCGACGACCGACACGACGCAGCGCAAGGATCCAGTCTCGCAGAAGTAGGTAGATACGTCTTGATAAATACGCATCACGAACTTAGCAAATACTGTGACAGTAGTTTGTTTTTCGGTCGGCCTCGGGGGCGATCCAGTACTTTTCTACTGGATCATGGTAATTCCTCTTACTCAGCCTGTTGGTCGACTCAGATTTTTAGTCAGGACTAAATTTGAGCACGCCTCCCTGTCGCTCCCTATCCTTCGACGGATGACGATCGCCGGCGAGCGGCCCCGTTCTCAGCCAGAGTTGGAGCACGGGAAATGGGCGACCGCGATGCTGTCAAGCAGAGCCAAGCTAATACTCGGTGCAGTGTATAGCGACAGCACCACGACTGCGTTACTATATTAGTATACGCGCGGCTAACGCGGTGGATGCAAAAGACGGCACATGACGATCTTCAACTCCTGAGAGCATACAAAACTGTAAGTGTGCAGAACCTAAAGCTCTGGTGGATGGGCTCGGTGTACCAAATATTATTTCCAGAGGCGACAAAAAAGCGCGCGCAGCGAAAGATTGTGCAGGCGTGATTCGCACAACACCTCTCCGATACTACAGTATTTATTGATGCAGATTATAGTCGTTTGGTCGGGGCGGCCGCAAACCTCACTGCGGGCACCGCGTCGCTGGCGATGGCTGTGCTCGTGACAAAAGTGCGGCGTGCTTACGCTGTGGCTTACGAACGCTGACGAGCATTACTTTCTCGCCACCTGGGCGAGGCTCTCGTCGAAACTGAAATTGTTGTGGCAGTCCAGTAAATAAAGCGCCAGTGCGCAAATCAACAGAAAACAGCGGGTTCGGAGACCTATTTTTAGTCCCGCCACCATCCCACCTGCGGCACGGGACGGTGTCTTTGCCCGGCTGGCCAAACATAGGGACGAATTCGCAGTCTCTCTCTTCAGAAGGCACACTCTGCACGGGTATTGTTGGCGCTGGTTTCTGCTGACGTTGCTGGGGAGAAGCTTACGCTCAGGCACTGGCGGGATTGCGTCGAGTTCCCTAACCCGGAACCAAAACACGTATACCAAAGTCAAAAATTAGTCAGATCAACAGATCCCCGCCGCCAACCCATACAAATCCCCAGTGTGCGTTCCCCCCTCTCGCTGCCACTGGCTCTTTTTTTGTTTGCTTTACGGTATGGACGAATCAATTTCAGCCGAGGTTTTAATATCTGGAAGGACGCGGTCTTACTGGGAGCAAGAAAAAAATACGTGTGCACAAAATACAGAGGTTTTTCGCGGTCGTTTTTCCACGGGGGGGGGCGTTCGCTGGCCTTCACCACACTTGTAAACCGCCCCCGAGAAACAGGAAGCTCCCCAGCCTCACCTCCAGAGACCATGAGCATGCGCGGACGACCCAGCAGCGGCAGCGGCGCCGCCAACCCCCGGCTGTCCAACTCACTGCACCGCTGCGCCATCGCGCTGTGCTCGAACCAGGCCGTGGCCGAGGGCGTGTGTTCCATGCACCTGTCGCGCAACGGCCGCGTGAGCGGCGGCGGACAGGGCGCCGTCATGGACAGCCGCGTCATGGGCTCGCGCGGCCTGCCCCCGTCCTCTGGAGGCATTGACGACGCCATGGCCGACGACCGCTACTACCGCACCAGCGCGCACGCCGCCATGCAGCCGCGCGGCGCCCCCACCACCAAGAAGCACAAGTCGTCGCCCGCTGAGCCCGTGAACCGCTACGTGATGGACAACTCGGCGCCCAGCGGCGGCCTGACGCGCGAGAGCCTCAACGAAATGGTGAACCAGATGCAGTACTCCAAGAACAACAGCATGTCGGCCTACGAGAACGACCCGTACGTGTCGGCCCAGGCCTCAAGCTCCACTATCGGCTCGAACCGCTCCGAGTCGGACGGATCCGTGGACGAGACCAACCTGCGCCGCGAGCGCAACCGCATCGCCGCGCGCAAGAGTCGCCAGCGCAAGCTGGACCGCATCTCGAACCTCGAGGACGAGAAGATGCGCCTCGAGCAGCACCGCGACATGCTGGTGCAGGAAATCCGCAGTCTAGAGAAGAAGGACTCGGGCGTCGCCTCCAACGTGGTGCTGACCATCACGGACAAGGAGTACCAGCAGCTGCAGAACAAGCGCCTGCAGATCATCAAGCACGTCGAGGAGGCCTACAACTCCGGCGACATCCTGTCCACCGTCAAGTACTTCCGCGACGACTCGATCGTCAGCGGCCCGCAGAACTCGTCCGTGCACCTGCGCGGCAAGGACGCGCTTGTGCTCGACTACCTGTGCACGACGTACCTGTTCGGTGACGTCCGTCTGCACCACGCCAAGGTGGACTGCGGCGGCCCGCGCAGCCAGCATTTCCGCGTGCACTGGGCGCTGTCTGGCACGATAAAGAGCGCCGGCGTGAGCATGAACAAGGAGTTCCTGGAGCTCATCGAGAGTGTGAAGGGTCGCCGCGTGACCATTGAGGGCGTAAGCAACTTTTCCTTCAGCGGAGACAAGATCGTGTACGTGCATCGCACGGCCGACCAGGCCAAGTTCCTGTCTGCACTCGTCAACCTGAGCAAGCGGTAAGATGCGGGGAGACGATAGTCAGAGAGCACACTTGGAGGAGACGCCCCCCCCCCCTACCTAACCGACAAGCGGACAGGATGATGAATGCAAACTAGCTATATATGTGTATTTGCCAGCACAAGTTTGTTCGTGTTGTCGAGTCCGCTCAGCCGCCTCGTCCGTTTTGCCCTGGAACTAGTGGAGACGTTGTTCGTATTGCTATCTCTATTGAAGTGAGTGTTGGCCTTGACTGTACCTACAGCTCCTCCTCCACGGAGTCAGGGGTGCCCTCCTGGGCCTCACACCTCCTGGGCCTCACACGTGAATGCTTGGCGCTTAGGGAGGTCGTAGAGCTGGCGCAGGTAGTCGAACACCTCGGAGCAGTTCGTCTCCTGCAGCAAACAACATTGAAGGTGGTCAGATGATGATGGAGTGGTAGAAGTTGCAGAACATGACGAACCTGGTAGAGCTGACAGGACCCGAGCGCGAAGGGCTCCACGTGGCGGATAAACTCGCGCGTGCGGGCTATTGCACAAAGAAGGGATACATGTATACAGCACGGCAGCGTCAGGACACGTAACACCGCTCAGAAACACATGCAGAAACTGCGACGTACAAACGCCGGGGAACTCCTGGAAGAAGCGGTCGTTGAGAAGCCCCATGCGGTGGAAGTACACGAGCTTCCGGTGCCTGTGTCACGCCACGCCACAGTCAGTCTTGTAACCGGGTCGACGTGTACGCCTTAGCTTGACGCACCAGTGCAGCAGACGCTGCCAGTCGTAGTCGAACCGGCGGTCCCAGAGAACCTCGTCGTGTGCCCGGCATGCGATTTGCTCGGGGGTGACGTCCGCTGCCAGCGAGAACTCTTCCACGTCCACATCGTCGACAACGAGCACGGGGATCGTAAAGTCCTTTGGAAAGTGGTACCGCCCTGCCCGAAGAGAACGCATAACAAAGTATACAGACACGAATTAGCTGCGGCTGCGCGTCGCCGGGGAGGGCTGCAGGTGCCAGCCTCGACGAGGTTTGGCGGCAACGCACCGGAGCGAGTCCATCATCTGCGGCGTGGCGTACTCGGCGTAGAGCGTGTTGAAGAGCGAGGCCTCCGTCGTCATCTCGGTGAGCAGCACCATCTTGTAGTAGTACACCAGCGTGGCCAGCAGCATGGTGGCCGAGATCAGCAGCGACAGGTGCGAGCCCATGGTCGGCGGTGGTAGCTCAGCTCGGGGGGGGGGGGGCGCATGGGAGATGGTGGGATTTGTCTCGCGACCACTTTGACCACATTTGACCACATTCGACCACATTCGACCACATTTGACCACAATGTTGTCTCAATGGTATGTCTCGATCCTGGTGGAAAAACAGATGTGCTATGAAAGTTAGATTTTATTGCTATACGCTAAAGAACTCTGTTATCGTACGAGTATTCTTCTTCTTCGCTAGCAAACACGCAGGATTTTGAGACCCTTCACCGCACTTTAAGTGCTTCTGGCGGCAGCTCGAACACGAAGTCGCCTTGCTAGCTGGAGCGAGAGGTGGAGCAATGCTGTCAGAAATCTCGTTGCCGCTACTCGCTGGCTTGGGACAATTTTTTTCTGCTGTTCGACGTCGTTTAAGGCGGCAGCGTAGTTGATTATCCGTGAGGTTCGCGTCAGGGTAATATTTCTTCAGCTCCTGCTGCAGCAATATATATTTTCCACGAGTATACACCAGCGAATCAGACAGTTTACGCAACTCAGCCAAGTGCTCTGGTGCGATAGTAGATGGCCGAGGCCGTTTTGCTGGAACACTTGATTGTCCTGCATCTTCACCAATCCCAACAGTGTCACGACAAATAACCTGCAGTTGTAGTCTTGCTGGAGGTGTGTCGTCTGCATTTGCACTAGTTGTAGTGGTCGCAGCATCGATGTCATCGTTCGCTGCAGTTTCTTGATCTGTAAGCAGAGTACTTAATGGCTCGGCTCGTTTTTCTTCTTCATTAGGGGCTGGACAAGATAATGGAGCGTCTGTAGGGTTCATGATCATCGCTAGTCTCCTCTTCTTTCGGTTTTGGTCCGCCTTCAGCGCTTCCCAGCGCTTCTCCCGCACCGATTCATCAAGTTGACCAATTCCAGCGCAGACACAACTTGCAAAGTCGTAGATACGGTGGAATAATCGTTTACGAGCTGTGCCGGCCTTGAACTTCCGCAGAATCTTGAAGACATCGCGCATCAAATCAGCCTCGCAGTCTATCGGTGAACGCAAAGCTAGGGAAACAACTTCTTGAGGAGCAAAATGGAATATTTTTGCTTGTTTTTGAGCGGAGCTTGTACTTTCAGGATCAGCACCAAGTGATTTAATTTTTGAGACCATCGTAGCATAGCTCCGCTGTTGTAGCCGTATTTTAGGGTTCGTGTTGTTGCAAACAACAATATTGAACGTCATCGTTGTTATCATTTCACACGTGCACCATTCACGCTTACTAGCAGCCTGCTCGCTGCGCAGCTGCCTGAGCAGCTCGTGTTCCTCCGTAGAGAAGCCCTGGTCGCCTTCACACTCGGTACTTGCCAGTCGAATAGAGTTAAAAAAACTCGTCACGCTTCAGCTTGGCCGATTGGAGGGTAACGGCACTTTTTAACAGCAGTTCCGCTACTGTTGAGCGGTGTTGCCGGGAGCGATTAAGATTCCCTTCGAGACATGTTGTGTTCACTCTTGCACTTTGAAATACCTGTGCCCAGGAGTCAAAGTCAAAGTCCCGCTCGGTCTCCGTTCTATACTGCGGGGGTACAAACGGCGAAGAGAAAAGCTGCATCACATACTCCATCTGAGGCGAAGTAGGGACCATCGTTCCACAGAGTAATGCAGTATGGCTCGCCGAAATCAAATCAACGCCATTCATGGGCGGATTGCGCCCGAACTTAGCACCGATAGACAAATTATGCTTGACGATAAACCAATCTAAGATCCGCAAGCCAACATCAATCGATACATTTCTGGTAAGCAGTTTTTTTAAGGAAGAGTGAAAGCCCTCAAGTTGGCTAGTAGATACCACGCGAACTCGATGACCGCCTTCCTCGTAAGTGTTTGAGCCCACGTACAACTCGCCACGCTGAATCTGCTCCAAATTACTCTGACACGACCCTTTCCAATCTTTCAGGCTGCACGATACACTTGAGCGCAAAACACCGCTGACTACACTTTGAAATTGAAGAGCCATTTCAGCAGTAGGGCGCAATTCACGATCCACATTGTAGATCGCACGGGAGAGTTCCTTTGAAATTCGTTTGCTGGTGACGGGTGCCTTTATTTTTTCAGTGATGCGAGTTATCACGTGAAAGGGGTCCTGTTTTGTAACCACCTCGCTACCAAACACTTCTGTGACCATTTTCTTGACAGCCGACGCGTTATCCGACACAACTACATGGTCCAGGTCACCCCCAGAAGGCGCACGAAACTGCGACTTCACATGTTGAAGCAAGGCTCGTGTTTCTTCCCTGTTTTCAGACCTGGTCAGCCGCCGCCCAATAATCTGCCCAATTTCATTCTGGAACAGCAAAAGCATTTTCGCATCTTTGAGAGATTCACGTTGCCCCTTGGCCTTCCACAGCTTTAGCCGCTTGCAGAACTTGACAGAGTGATCCATTCTCATGACCCTCTTTACAACACAGTATTTCATCACTTTTTCACACAGCGACCCGTTAGCGTGTAGCCATGCCGTCGTAAGCGTGTGATTGTCAACAACTTTGTTTTGATCTGCATATTGATCCTCTGATATTGGAGTGGGGGCCAGATAGGTGAAGCAACGCTCGTGGTTTCGCTTGATACCACTGGAAAACAGACCCAAAAGCTTGTAGTAGCGCTGTTTGCGCCTACGCTCCATATTGGCCATGGTACGTTGCAACCCATTCTGCGCGGTAATACCGTCATGAACCATCTCCATGAGTGAGTTCGAGAACACTAGCTTTTGGCTCAGAACAAATGGAAAGTGAAAAATCATATCGGGCCATTGTGCAAAGTAATCCGAGCTCACAGTGGAAAAATATGATCCTGTTACAGCGCACCTATACTTCAAAAATACCAGGTCGCACTTGCACTCCACAGATTCCACCACACGACGGCAATAGTCTTTCACCTTCGGATTGCAGTTGCAGTCTCGGCTGATGCACGACGGCAGACCTTTGCCTCCTCGATACTCCGGGGTCCACACGAACAACGGACGTGAAAACAGCCGCGACAACTGCATGTCATCCACCTTTTCCTCAGGATAAACTAGACGGGGAGGGAATGAGCGCCGTCCAACCGCCTCGACCACTGCTGCCTTGTTATCATTGCGCGCTGCTGACAAGGCCATGCTTACTGCGAACTCCTCAGCTACAAGTTCTCGGTAAATAAAGGGAAAACGGCTGCGCCCCTCCGGCCTGTCGGCCCCCGAATCTCCCATAAACCGGGGGGGTTATAGCTTTTACTGGGGCTTGTCCCGCGACCGCACCCCACCACTTCTCACCGGATTTGACCTTTTTCACCACTTTTGTGTCCCGCTGCGGGACTCCCCCCTGTATTTGCCAGAAAACGACATCACCTGAAGAGCCAACTGTGCGTCTTCAGCGCTTCATCGCCACCAAGGCTGCATACTCCAGGCTCACGCGCGCACCCGCCATCGCTCCAACCGTGTCGAAGCAGAGATGTACCCACGATTCTCGCATCCAAGACAGGGCGAACGCGTCGTGGAGCGCGTCGATACAGCTGCTTCTGATAGCATTTGCGGAGCTAGCGTCTTACTGCAGACAGCAAGCTAGCTTCAACGAGCCCGCTCAGCCTCTCGAGCCGCTATCTCGAGCCGCTGTGCTATTGGCCTCAAGGCGTGTGGCGTCAAACAGATTGCGGCGACAGGATACACCAGGATACTCTCACGACCAGTGCAGTGGAGGACACACACCGAGCTCGAAGAACGTAGAGAGCGCAGACCGCGCTGTGACTTGGCTTACCGTGCACTAAAGGGTGAGTTTGACAGGTGAAATGTAAACGTGCATTATTACTACGCGAAGAACTGGTCTAAACTGTAGATGTCTGATGTCTGCGTATTGGCTCGCAGGCATTGGGGGTTTGCTACAAGATCGCCGCACCTCTTCTTCTTACGACGGCAGCTGGAGCAAGAAGTCTCCTTCCGCTTTCGTGATGGCAGCGCTGGTACTGGGTTTTCTGCGGTGGCCGTCGTGTTGAGTTTCTGCTCGGAGCACTGCTGGGTTTTAAACGACAGCGGAGAGCATTGATGGAGATCCGCGTGTCTGGGTCTGGATAGAGACTTGCATACTCACGAAAAATGCGATCCCATTTGCCGTTTTGATTTGGCAGCTCAGCTTGTAGCGTGCGAAGTTGATCGATGTGTTCCTGGGCTATGAAAGATGCTGCTCGGTGACGAGCAGTTGCCATGAAGTTGGTTGCTGCCTGTAGCGTGGCTTGGGTGGTGGCTCGACCCGAGGATCTTGAAGGAGTGACTGGGGGGTTACTGGAGTCAAAGCGTGCTGGGGATTTACGCGCTGATGGAGCGATGGAGCTTACATCAACAAGCTGGGCTTCACTCTGCACTGCCGGTCGTTCTGATTGAGCTGGTGGCGTTGCGCTTTGTGGGTGGTCTGCTACTTCTTCCACGCTGCTGTCGTCGCTGTCTGCACGCGTGAGGGGCTGCTCGGGTGCTTTCAGCAGCATTCCGGGAGGAATCTTGAGCTTAATTTTCAGACTGGCCCCGCGATTCGATCCCCGTTTCAAGCTCTCCCATCGTGCAAGCAGATTGGGCGGCGACTTGGGGAAAATGCCGCTGCAGATACAACTCGCAAAGTCGTACACTCGAAGAAATACTTGGCGTTTATTTCGAATACCGCTGGTCTGCCGGAGCGCAGTAAAGAGGTCAACCTGGAACGCTTGCTCGTTGCCCGTCATCTTGTCATCACGCGGCTCCGAGTAGGAAAATGTGAAAAGTCCGCGAACATCTGCAAGTGGGGGCGAGGATTTATCTGTCTCGTGTTTTGCGATAGTATCGATCTTGGAGGCAAGCGTGGCGTAGCTGCGCCGGCGAAGGTTGAGCAGCTTGTTGGTATTGGAAGATACCACGACGTTGTACATGATAGTGGTGACCAGCGCACATTCACCCCAGGTGCGACCAGCCTTTGCTTGCTCATTGCGAAGCTGTCTGAGTAATGCAAACTCCTGCGACGAGAACCCAGCTGCGGCTTCATAATCAATCTCCGAGAGACAGAGTGAATTGAAGAAAGCCGCCTTTGGTAGGCGGCTAGTAGCAGCAAACACGGCCTGCTTGGAGAGGAGTTCTTTGATGTTGGTGCTGTGCTGCTTCGAGTGGTGAAGACTTAATTCGAGCGCACTGGTATCGACACGCGCAGACTCAAAGAGCTGCCCCCACAGTTCAAACCCAAAATCGTGTTGCGTTGTGGACCGGTATTGAGGCGGTGAGAGCTGCGTCGACAAGAGCTTCGAGGCAAATTCAAGCTGCGCGGATTCGGGAATTGCACCACGGCAGAGGCTAGCGGCTTCAGATAGGGTTACGATATCTGCATGATCCAGCTGCGGATTTCGGCCGTATCGAGAGCCGACCTTCAAATTGTGCCGTACGATGAAGATATCAAGGATGCGGAGACCAATCTCGGCTGATACAGACCGCGCTAGTAGCTTCTTTAGCGCGGAATGAAACCCTTCAAGTTGACTCGTTGAGAGCACACGCACGCTCTTCCCACCACCTTCCTCGTACGTGTTAGCCTCCACGTACAAGTCACCCCGTTCAATCTGCTCAATATTGCTGCGCAAGCTCCCAGCCCAATCTGCGTCACTACAGTTCACATCACGAGAACCTACCGATGCCACGGCATCGCGAACCCGAGCAGCCATCTCCGCCGGCAGTCGCAGCTGTCCATCTACGTCGTACATCGCGTCATGTAGTCGCTTAGCCAACTGCTTCTTTGCTGTTTTTTCCTTCACCTTCTCCGTAAATCGTTGCACAACGTGGAATGGGTCCTGTCGAACACCAACGGAATCTCCAAACACGCTGCTTACCATGTTGCGGACTGCATTAGCATTATCGCTAATAACGAAACACTCAGAACCATTTTCAGCAGCGGAGACCGTCGGCTTCACAAATTCCAAAAGCTCCCGAGTTTCATCGTTATTCTCCGACCGTGTGAGACGCCGACCTACGCTTTGCCCGATCTCGTTTTGAAGCAGCAGAAGCATCTTGGCATCTACCATGCTCTCGCGTTTACTTCTCTGGCCCACATAAGAAACAACACTTCGGTTTTCTGGACATAACCTTTTACAAAAAAATCGTTTGGTGACTCGCAATACCTCAACCGAAAGCTGCGCATTTGCTCCGTTTCACGCTATGATTTACAAAAAATCTAGCAGAACTTTGATTGGGGATTAGACGACTTCGCTTGCACTAAGGAGAGTGATACCCCTTAATTCGGGTACCTCGCTCCCACCCAAAATAAAAGCTGACAACTTTGGATGCGGATTAGACAACTAAGGAGTAGTTGAGGCTCGCACTGCAAGTAGGCTGGTGTAACAGTAGAGAAGCAGCCCGTTGATTCCCCTGTGCACTGGTACTTGGTGTAGAGAAGATGGCACTTGGTGTCCACCTCCTCCACCACTCGTTGCTTGTACTCCTTTAAGCGCGGCGTACAGGAGCAGCCGGGCATGGCGCAGAACGGCTTCTTCGAAGCTTGTAGACACTCAGGAACCCACACGATGACTGGCCACGAACACAAGGCAGAGAGTAGGGGGGCGTCTCGCTGCTTCTCTGGATACTGCACCACAGGTGGGAAGCGCCTTGCCGCCATAGCCTCAACGTAAGGCGCCTGACTTCTTGCTGCGATAGCTGCTCCTCTGTGCTCAGGCGCGCTTCCATCTCGTACACTCAACGTAAACTGTATTGTGAAAACCGCTTCATTTGCCTATTTTGCTCGTAAATCGATTGATTAGCACTATGATTTAGCTCGATCGATTTGTAAACCTGCGATGCATATGCGAGTGGATGTGCAGATTAGGCGATCGTTTTGTGGAAGCCAAGTCGATATAGCCGCGCTTGGGGCAGAATGCCCACCTTTTACTGGGCAATCGAGCAGTCAAGTGATGCACGGCCCCGGCATATCCTATAAACCCAGCTCGGCACTCGTTGGTTTCGATGGCAGCATACAAAAGCCAAGTCAACTTGAGGTGTGGTCCACACGCATAATGATCTTGCGCCCGAATGGCGTCGCTGTGGGCTGCGTTCAGTTTCCAACACGCACAGCTTCACGACGACGGTGAGGCGGGCATGCGTATTGCCTGCGAACGGACAACGCCATGGGTACATGTACTGGTAGGTTCAGCGGTTGGCCGGGCCGATGAACTCTAGGCGGACATTGTCGCAGTGGCGGCGTTACGTTCGCCGAGCAGTCCACCAAGCACGCAGCGGCTTGGCGGGCTGTCAGCACGTTTCGTGCTCGTCACAGGGCGTACGTTTAACATGCCCGAGGAGCTCACTCAGTGCTACTGCGGCCGAGGCAAAACGAGGCACAGCAGCGCAGCGGACAAACGCCGAGCAAGATGCTCACCACAGCGGGGCCATCGCAATTTGGCGATGCGAGCGTGATCGCCTGAGTCATCACAGTTGGTGTGCCGAACACCGCGTTCCGGTCTTTCGAGCCTCCCTGCCAGTCGTTCTGAACCGTAGGCGAATCTTTTGCAGTCACCTAGCCCGGCCGTTGCTCCTGTCACATGAATCCAATAAATTGGGACGTAAACGACGTTAACTGAAAACCCATCATTCGGCGTACTCTGTATAATAGGTTCAAAAGTTGAGCTGTAGTTTTGATGTAGTTCTAGTACGAGTTTCGTAATTTTAACGCCAGATGCTAGTTATGACTAGCATACGTTTACACTTGCTATTGCAAAACAGCAAAATTCGCCAAAAACCTATCATACAGCATATACTATATGATAGGTAAAAATTAACGTCGTTTACGTCCCCATCACTAGAATCCATTGCGCTGCAGCGTAATTCGCGCGTCGCCGTTGCATGCCAACTTGGCATTGCCAAGCAGAGCTCGAATCTGCCGGCGTGCTCTAGCCAGCGGCACTAGCTTCACTCTGCGTCGAGCGTCTCCGACTGTATCCGACACAGATTCGCCGTCGCAGGAAGCAATCTGATTGATTGCTCATGCGCGGGCGGGCTCGAAGCAGCACCACTCGGGCTGGCCCGCCACCACGGCTGACACGTTCGCCAAGCTGGCATGCGCTTCATCATGGAGTGAAGTGTAGGGGCTCGACGCTAACGCCGCTGCAGCGGACAAGCCGCAAGCTGGTGACCGGCCAGCCGCGCCGGAAAATGCTCTGCTGCACGTTGCAGTTGCCGCAGGTTCAACTCGATTCTAAAATGGATAAAGTAGCATAAAAGGCCGCAACGTCTCTTTAGAGGTGCCCATTTTCAGCACTAAGTTAGAGACTTGTCGGACACAACCAGAATGTGCATGCAGAACTTACCAAGCCGCCCGTCGTGTAGCATGTCAACACAACTGATGACAAAGCAAGTTTTACAAACAGGTTGCATGACATGCTGGGAATGAAGGTAACAATAAGCGTCCCTACAGGACTGAAAAAGTCACGGTTTTTTATCTCGATTATTCTCTCGCTCGCACGAAAGCTTGTTTCCCAACTGGCATGTCCTGAATGTGCGCAAACTACGTGTCAAATAGACTTCCTGAATACCTACGGTCCGCATATCATTTCCTTCCAGCGAAAGGCTCGAGGGAGTCTCGAAGTGAAGTTATTTGTGAAAAGCCTGAAAGCTACCCATTCCTGCTGAAAGTACCCATTTTAAATTCGGCCAATGGTGTTGGCGCGATTAGCACACGCCGAAACCACCACCGCTCTATGACCACATAAGCGCTTTACCCCCACACAGCCGCCGCCTTCATGCACGCCGGTGGAGCCACCGCCTCGCAGCCCTCGATCTCGTCGCCCCCCAGTGTCAGTCCCGCCCTCGCGCCCGCCCCCGCCTCGATCGGCCGCAAGAACAGCACCGACGACCTGGCCGCCGAAGTCTCGGCGTCGCCCCCCGTGCACACGCCGTCGGACGCGCGCCTGCTGTACCGCGAGTGGCGCACGGGCTCGCACGTCGGCGCCGACCTCGCGCGCCTCGAGAGCCCCGACCCCAACAGCAGCAGCACGAGCCCCGGCGCGCCCATGAGCAGCGAGGACGTGCTCAGCCGCTCGCCCTTCGGCGTCTACGGCCGCTCGCCGTCGTCCCTGCCGCGCATCGCCGAGCGCCTGGAGAACGTCCCGCTGCGTGCCAACGTGCCGCCCGCCGCGCCCATCGTCCCGCAGGACGTGGACGCCCGCGCGCGCCTCCTGTCGCAGAAGATCGCCGCCATGGACGCGGCCCAGCCGCCGGCGCCCTTCGCCAAGGCGCAGTCCGGCTCGTACGGCTCCGCGGAGCCCAGCGAGCCGGCCACGGGCATCAAGAAGGCGCAGAGCTACCAGGCGCTGGCCGAGCTGGAGAAGAAGGGCTACTTCCCCGTCGCGCCCAAGCCCTCGGCGCTCGGCGTGCAGCGCGGCCTCAAGGACTCGGTGGTCAACGACATGTGCCGCGCCGTCGTCAAGCACATGGTGGGCGACGTGTACGTGTCCGCGTCCGGGTCGTACGGCCAGCGCAAGGTGCTCAACCACCTGTACGAGCCCGTGTTCGCCTCCGTGCAGGCCCACTTCCGCCGCCTCCCGGCCAGGTACGCGCTGTCGGTGAACCCGGACGACGTGCCGCTGCACATGCGCCTGCTGTCCAAGAACCAGCGCGACCCGACGGCCATCGCCGTCAACGCGCAGCTCAAGAAGGACGACAACGGAGAGATCGTGCCCAATGTGTGCGAGGTGGTGGTCGTGTCGCTGGACCGCGAGAACATCCTGGACGCCATCACGCGCGCACTGACGATGATGAAGGGCAACATCCTGGACGCCGACGTGATGACCACGGCGGACGGCACGCTGCTGGACCGCTTCGTGGTGAAGGGGTCGTTCATGAGCGACGAGCGGCAGGAGGAGCTGCGCTCGCTCATCGAGCAGAACCTGCGCAGGCTCAGCATGGACGAGGACACGAGGCCCAGTGCCAGCAGCTCGCAGGACTCGGGTAATGAAAATGTGAGCCTGGCCGAGAAGCTGGGCGTGCTGCAGATGGTGGACAAGAACGAGATCAAGGCAGAGTGGAAGCTGGACCTGAACGAGGTGCGTCTGGAGAAGGCAGTCGGCGCAGGACGTTCAGGTAGCACCTACAGCGCGTGGTGGAGGGGAACGCACGTGGCCGCCAAGGTGGTCGACTCGTCCACCAACACGGAGGCGGTCGGAGAGGAGCTGCTCAACGAGTTTCATCGCGAAGTGGCTGTTGTCAGCAAGCTGCGCCACCCCAATATCGTCCTGTTCCTCGGGGCAGCCATCAACCCACCTCGCTACTGCTTGGGTAAGTTCTCTGGGTGCTGTGCGGATTTTTTGGCAGTATTATTCTAACAGTTTTCTGTCTTTGTAGTGTTTGAATTTATGGAGAACGGCACGTTGACCGACCTCATCCGCGCACGTCGCGGCCCGATCGACTTCTTCCGTTTGGCGGCTGAAATGGCGATGGGAATGAACTATCTCCACCTGTGCTCCATTATGCACCGTGACCTCAAGTCCGGCAACGTGCTTATCGACTCGCACGGCACAGCCAAGATCTCCGACTTTGGACTGAGCTGTGTGCTTGAGATCGGAAGTTCGTCCGACTTGACTGCAGAAACAGGAACGTACAGGTGGATGGCGCCGGAAGTAATCCGCCACGAACCGTATTCGAACAAGGCGGACGTCTACAGCTTCGGTATCGTGCTGTGGGAGCTGCTAGCAAGAGACCAGCCCTTCCGCGGACTGACTCCGATTCAAGGTGAGCAAACGAGTCCCTGCAACCCGTACTTTGGTGCTGATCAGGTTTTCTAATGTGTTGTGCTTTTGTTTTTGCAGCTGCCTTCGCTGTTGCACGCCAGCAAATGCGTCCGGCGCTTCCGCGCCAGACCCCACTCAAGATAGGCGAACTCATTGAGCACTGCTGGCATCACGACCCAGCGCGCCGACCCGACTTCGGAGCCATTCTAGAGGCTCTGCCGTTGGTGAAAAAGTCGCTGAAGAAGCGCGACTTCAAGAATATGGGCATTCTGTACGTGGCCCCAGCTTAGGATAGACAGACCTCCGCAGCGCATTCTAGACGGAGCAAGCACCGCTCTCCTCGTAGTTTTCTTATCACACTAATGGTAAACTAGAAAGTATTAGCACTCAAAGCCCGAGTGTCAAGATAAGCTTACCGTATCGCTATTTGTGTGCTTCAGACGCCCGACGTCCGTTTCGAGCTCGAGCTGTGCGACCGCAGTTTGTCTGCGCATAGCGCATTCGTTCGGAGGTGCAATGGGTTGCTGCGCGAAGTGTTGCGCGTGCGCCATCTTGACGCAACTCGCCGTCTTGCTCTTGATCATTCCTGTGGCGTATTTCTCCTACGACTACTACCTCAAACCTTGGGCCGAGGACCACTACGATGAAGCTGTGGCCGCCGCGCAAACGGTGGCTTCTCGCGCTGCCAGTGCCGCTGGGGACGTCGACACGTCTGGGATCTCGTGCGGCGATTGCTTGGGCGTGAACCTGGAATACCCCATATCGGGGCTCAACACGGACTACTCGTCCTTCCAAATCTCGGTAATGAATGACGCTGGGAATTATTTGACGGCAATCACATCTTCAGGCGTGGCGATAGCGGGGGTTGCAGCGATCGGTACTACGATGGTAGGAGCGCTAGCGTCTGCAAGTGCCATTCCGTCGGCGAACGGAGGTCTTTTTGAGCTCTTGCACTTGATCGCCCAGGGGCAATTCATCACGCTTCTTGGCTCGCTTAACCTGGAGGGCGTTCCTGTGTTCTTCGTCGAGTTCTGTGCGAAGTTTAGCTGGACAAACCTTCAGATTTTCCCTTCAAGCTCGTTGGCGGAGTCCTCGAGCCGCGCAACAATGAGGCAGCGCCTGCTGTCAAGCGGTGGGACGGACTCGAGTTTGGGCGGTGTGAGTCGATACGCCAACACGCTTGGCGTGAACCCGGACTACCTGTTCTACTACACATTACTGGCCTTGCTGGTGGTGTGCGGGCTGCTGATAGCGCTCTATTTTGCAGCTCGGTTGGCACTGCGAGTGTTCAAGAAGGAGAGCACCCCGCTGGCTCAAATGCTGGACGACCGCACCGTGTGGGTGAGCATCCAGTTGCTGCTGCTGCTCCAGTACTCGTTGGCCATGACGGCGTGCTTTCAGATCTCGTACTCGGTTCGGGACAAGCGGGCCACCGGGGGCTTGATCTTGGCTCTTGTCGTGCTCGCCACCTCCTGCTTCGGGTTGGCAGCGTTCGGCGTGTTCGTACTCACTCGCTACGTGAACGAGCTGGCCGATCACGGGACGGAAGAGCACGAGAAGAAGCCGTTCAACCACCGCTACGGCTCCTTCTACCAGGACTTCACCACGGAGAACCGCTACTTCTTCGTGGCCAAAATGGCGCTGGACGTCGCCTCCGGAGCGGTGGTCGGCGCGGGGAGCGACCCGATGGTGCAGCTCGGTCTGCTCGTGGCTTTCAACGCCGTGTTCATCGTCGCTACAGTCGTGCGACGCCCTTACTTGCTTCGCGTGTTCTACGTGATCGGGCTGCTAACCGCGTACTTGCGCGTCGTAATGCTTTTGCTCTCGCTCGTGCTCGTCTCGTCCGACTTGGTGCCGCAGCGGGTGCGCGATTTGATCTCCCAGATCATCATCTGCGTGAACGCTCTCGTGTTGCTCTGTCTGTTCGCGCGCGTGGGCTACGTGGCGGTGAAGGCGCTGACCAAGTGGCTCCAGAGCAGGAAGGAGGCGCGCCCCACCAGCAACGAGAGCGTCAACTCGGAAGACCTGCTCACCGTTGAAGGTGGCGTCGCCGCCCGCGTCTCCTCTCTACGGCGCCAGCCGCAATCCCCACCCGCAGACGACACTCCGCCTAGCGCGCAGGCTTACCACCAAACAACCGACACTTTCGCCTCGAGCTACTGGGACCGCGCGAGACGCAGCGACGCGCGAATCGTATAAGCTGAGCTGCGCGCTCGGGAACAAAGTGGATAGGACAAAGGACGAAGGATATGAATACCTGTACCGCAGCCATCTTCTTCGCTCATCAGACATCTCGATTGCTGAGTAAGAATGAGCTAAAGCTAAAGCAAAAGACGAGGGGAGGGGTGCAGGGGCAGTATAATGTAAAGTAAAGCGCGCTCCATGTCTACAGTTGAAGCGGTGGGAAACATTTGAACTCGTAGGATAGTGGAGACCTTGGTGCTGCTGCAAAAGACGGCAAGAATTCAAGAATTCAAGAATTCAAGTCGCGGTCTGCAGCGTGAGCGTGGTCAAAGTTACAACGTGAAGAATGGCTGCCCTCTTTCTGACAGGTATCATTGGGGATTTGAGTGTTAGTACAGGCGTCCCCGGGCTAGTCCCAGTTGTATATTTTAATGTACCTCGCACAGGAAGTAATTTACTGAATAATTTACTGCGTCAGCACGGGGTCTTCAGATTATTTATTTCTTCTCTCCTTGGTATACAAACAAATACGTATTTCGTTAACTTGAGAAAATAGATATATATCGTATTTTCGGCATGCCTGGAAGTGGGTCGTGAAGGGCACCCCTCACGCTGCACTTGCCCCCATCGTCCGGCCACGCGACCTCGTTTTCATTGAGGCCACGGGGATTCTGACTCGCGAAGACAGCAACGAACGCATTGGATATCACCTGATGCACTCGGTTAACATCCCTGGCTACGGTCCTCTGGACGACAAGAAAATTGCGCGCGCTCAAATTTCGTCCTGCATTCTGTACAGTGAGACCCCGGAGTCTCCGGGCGGCGTGGACGTCTTCATGAAGGCTCGGTTCGACCCCAACGGCAACGTCTCCGAGAGCGTCGCAACGCACTCGGTAGCCCTCACGCTCATGTACGGCGCCAAAGCCAGCGTGTGTGCGCAGAACAAGAAGCTGTCGTGGCTCATCCGCTCAAGTCCAGACTCCTCAGCCCGCCAACGACCTGCAAGATCGATTAGTATGACCCGACAACGAAGCTGCCCCATTTGCGCCAAGAATTTCAACATGTTCAGCGGTACCGCCGCGTGCGAAATGTGCTCGACCGTCGTTTGCCATGCGTGCTGCGCCAAGAAAAAGTTGGGGTTCGCCAAGACCGGCAGCAAGAAGATAATCCTGCACCCAGTCGCCTTTTGTACGAGCTGCCTCCCTCACGCTCGCCGGTTAGATGACTTTGATGCCGCCCGACAAGAAGTGCTGGCGGGCTTTGGCGTCGATGCAACGTCTGCCGCGACAAGCAGGTCAACTCCCAGCGTACACAACTGTCGGCGGCGCGACCTCCAGAAGATGAAGACGCCACCACCACCACCTCCTCCTTCAATATCCAAGGCCGAAGCGCCAAAGGTTTCAAAGAGGCCCCAGAGTGAACGCATGATGACATGAACAATCGCCACCCCACCACGCCCCCGCCAGCGCGTCAATACATGGGGGGTCGGTGACGTGGAGTCCCCATCAGCTACCCGTCGCTGGGATGAACTCGAGCGCCAGGTGGCAGCATCCGGACTGGTTGAACCGATCGACGAGATGGAGGAAATTGGCGAGATCAAGATCCACGAGAGCTCGCTTATCAAAGTTGTGGACCACTGCGTCTCCCCCAAGCGAGAGACTGGGGCCCAAGAGGACTTCATGGCGCGGATCATTGCCATGCGCAACGCGGCCGAGGACGCGTACATGACCACGCGCAAGACGGCCCAGGCGCAGTTCGAGCAGCTCACGAAGCCCCACAACAACCGCAGCGTCCGTTTCAGCCTCGACCCAGAAGCTCACGCCGTCCGGTAACGCGCAACGCGTGATGAAAGGCGTGCGGCGCGTCAAACATTGCAGCGATTGTCCAGTCGTAGAGACCCGCTGCTGAGTTATTGCGCGTCGACTACGACGGGGTCAGCATTAGTCTACCGGAGTTGTAGAAGAATGGAGCAGCTAATTGAAACGATCGAAAGCCCAGACGTGCGTAACGATCCTGAGAATGAAACTAGACGGGATCAGCTAAGACGGACTGATAAGCGTCTGAACGCTGTGCGCCGGCCCCATTACGACTGCTGGAAAGACGAACCTTGCGTGGGAGCGTTGCACCAGCACACCATGGGCAGACAGCGGCTGGCGGCGCTGCGCTGGGTTCGGCGGGCGGTTGCAGCGCTCAAAAACGAATTCACCCTTTGCTCCGCAAGGGTACTTAAACCAGCCACGACTCCGCCCCACACACCATGAGCTGGCTACAGACCCACGAAGTCGCCGTCCCGTTCTACGAAGTCCGCGCAGGCAAGCAAGTTTTCGCCATCCAGCTGCACGAGCGCGCGCTCCGACAAGAGGAACTGGCGCGCAACTGGTCCAGCATCACGAGCACCAGCTCCCAGTTCTTGCTCGAAGAAGAAGACGACGATGAGAACAACAGCATGACCGGCAACACGTCCGGGGTCCGCGTGTCTGCCATGCGCTCCTACTCGCAGTTCCGCAAGCTCTGGAAGGACTTGATTCGAGCTACCAAGACCCCGTCGACTGCGTTGCTGTCACGCGCCCACAGCTCCGAGACCATTCACTCGGGGGCACCTTCGTCGAACCGCTCGCTGGCAAACTCTTTCCACTCGGTGTCAAGCTCAAACAGCGAAATTTCGTCCTGCCGCTGCCGCAACTGGAACTGCACGTTCCGCAGCTTCCACTACTTCCTCCGCAATTACCCCTTCCCGTCCAAATTCCTCATCAAGCGCAACACGCCCGCCGTGCTGGAGAGCCGCCGTCGGGGGCTGGAACTCTTCATCAGTACTGTGAGAGGCCTCTTCGACACCTTCCCTCGCCCATTCCTCCAAAGCATTGACTCGTTGGAGAAGTGCCAAGTACTCATAACCCTGAACGTGTTCTTTGGCTTCGAAGAAAATTATCAACTGGCGACGCGGTCGACTCTGCCCGCGATTCCGAAAGCTTCAGGTAGCAGCCGATGCAGCAGCTCAGACAGCGTTGCGAGCGAGAGCACGACCTCGTTCTCCAGCAGCAGCCAAAGCGTCATGAGCAGCAGCAGCACATGGAACACTGATAGGGAGCGCAGGATGCGATCCCCTTCTGAAGAGAGCTCTTTGTATGAAGCTGGAGCCGAGTATTATCTCCGAGCAGACGACTCAAAGGCGAGCAGCCACAAGTGCGAAGACTCCGAGTTCGAGCTTCGTGAGCTGCAGGTCCTCCCAGCGTTTACCGACAAATCAATCGGCAAGCATGGACACCGTGCGAGTATGAAGCAGGCGTCTGCGAAGTGCATGGCACATCGGATATCCGCTGGTTCGTCGTCTAAAAAGCCGTCGAAGCTGCAAGCCACCGGTCGCAGATCTCGCTACTATCGCGGAATTGACATCCGTCGTCACACTGCTTTCCTGGCCCGCAACCCTACCATGACAACCAAGAGCAGCTCGGCTTCCTCGAATACCAAGGCCCCGCAAACATTGTTGCCGGGGCTCCCCAAGCTGCACTTACCTAGCAGCGAGGTATCTTCGATGCGTTCGTTCCTCGAGGAGTTCAGAGACCACCTTCTGCTGGACTCGAAGGCCCTCGGAAGCTCTTCAGCTCCGCTTGAAGGGTGGAATGAGGACCGTCAATGGGAGCTGGCACTCTACGTGGCTAGCCAAATCGGCCATGCATACGCAGTTGAGTCCATCTTGTACCGAGGTACCAACCCGAATGCGGTGATGGAGGATGGACTGACAAGCCTTCATGCTGCGTGTCGCTATGGACACCAGAGCATTGTGGCGATGCTGCTGACTCACGGAGCCGACACGAATGTCACGGACGCGGGCGGCGTGTCGCCCCTGCTTTCGGCCGTTCAACTGGGAGACCTTGAAGTGGTGGAGATGCTCATCGAGTATGGCGCGAACGTGAACCTGTGCAACGCCGATAGTGTATCAGCTGTGCACGTGGCGGTTGCATGCCAAGCGATGCCTGTGCTCCAGTTGCTACTCGAGTACGACGCCTTCGTGAACACCAAGAACGCGTTCAATGGCAAGACTCCACTTCACCTAGCGGCTCAGTCTGGGAGCGTACCAATGTGTAAACTGCTTCTGGACTACGGAGGCAGCATCCACCACAAGACGACCCGCGGACTCGATGTGGTGGCATTGGCCAGGTCACACGGTCACGAGACCGTTGCGAGATTCTGTCAGAACTTTGGCGACAACCAGAAGATCGCACAGCGTGAATCGGCGAAGATGACCCAAACTGCTGCGGGTGCATCGACATCGGAGTCACATGAAGTGAGAATCGTCTCTGAAGACGGATACGCATACGCTGTACTGTAAGAAGGCAGGCCCAAGGGAAAGGCTGGCCACAGATCAAGTATTCAGGAGGTAGTTTACACTAGGGTAGCTGTAGATTTTGCCCGCAACAAAAGAAATGTACATTCAGACTAATGCCTGTAACCTCGCGAAGCTTCATCTCGATCAGCATCCGTTTCCAAATTTGCTATTGTTTGTTCTACTCTAATTTTCCGGCCCGGCGAATCGCCAAAGCACTTGGGTTGACTATGGTCGCCCGGCTATGCCCCCTTGACACCTACTAAGTACGGATTGGGCTTGACATGCGGTCACAGAACCATATGTTTGTTGGCCAGCGATTCGGCAAATGACTTGATGTTTGTATAGGTCGGTTGGACAGGTGCCCCAAAACCGACCCGATTCGGCAAATTTGGCCGGAATTCACAATAAATAAAACGGCAACACTCACCATTTTCCGTTACCACGAGTCGTTAGCTAGAACCTCCACGAAACACAGCAAGCGATGGATCGGAGACGAAGCGCGGCAGCTAATGGAGCTGGTGCAACCGCATCCATCAACAACAGCGAGTGCTGGGATTCCATGTCGTATCTCGAGAGCGCCTTCCACCATGGCTTCATGCGGCTGCGCCTCAAAACAGGCGACTTCGTGTACCACGAAGACCCGCGACTCACTCGAGAGCTTGACGAATTCTGTGACGTTGACGGGATGCATACCCCCAAGGGTCCTGTGATTCTGCTGGGCGAGAGTGGAATGGGCAAAAGTGCCTTCCTCGCGAATTGGGTCGTGCGGCGGAAGAAAATGTTCCAGAACTGGCAGTCCTCGTACCCCGAGTTCATCTTTGCGCACGTCGTAGGGTGTTCACGACAGTCCTGCTCTGTATCAAATCTGCTCGAGCGCATTCTGCGAGAGATCAAGGAGTACTTTGAACTCACCAAAGAGATCCCTGACGTGGAAGAAAGACTAAGCTGGCAGTTCCCTCGGTTCTTGGAGTCCGCCTCGAAAAAAGGCCGCGTCATTATTGTGGTCGATGGGCTGCACCGACTGCATACCAACAACGGTGAGAGCATCTTGAAGTGGGTCCCGCTATCCTTTCCGCCCAATGTTCGCATTATTTTCTCAGGGACGCTCAACTACCCCACGGCCAAGTTATCCCAGGTGTTATCTACTAACAATGGGGCGGGTTCGCCTGCTTATACGATACTGCGAGGCGATAAAGGAGGACGCGATGAGGTCGGGGTCGGAGGTGACTACTACGAGAAGACGAGTCTCAGTGCCCAAATGATCGAGAGGATCAAAGTGGAGGCCGGCCGTCGCAACTGGAAGCTCATACACGTCCTCCCACTCGCCGAAGAAAACCGGAGGGGCATCGTCAAGAAATTCATCTCCAAGAATTCCGACAGCAGCGACCAGGATGAAGACGGATCTCCAAGAAGAACGGGGCTGCAACTCTTTGAAATCCAACAGAATGCCATCGTCGGCGTGCCGATGAGCGCCAGCCCCCACTTTCTCAAGAACTTCCTTGTGTGCTTGTTCTGGGCGGTGAAGGAGGGATTCAACATCCACGCCGTATTTGAAAGCTGGCTGGGCGCTGACAGTGTGGGTCAGCTGCTGGAATCGGTACTCCGTAGCATGGAGGCTGGATACACGCCTGACCAACTCTCGACAGATGATGCCATGCAGTTCTTGTTGGAGTACGGAGAAGACGCCAGTCATAATCCTTCTGGGGCCACAGCTTCCATCGCGAGCTCAGCTTCAATCCGAAAAACGTCGGGCGCAGACCCCCAGTTGCCGCAGTTTTCTGGGCGTCGGTTCTCCCTCCACCAGAGCGATACTCGAGCAAAAATTGAGATGGCACGAGCTGCTGCTGAGGCTGCAGTTCGTGAAACCAACGATTCTCAGCGCCCTCTTGACTTTCTCCCACGTGAAGATGACGACAACACCTCGAATCCAGGGTGGAATGAGATCAAACGCGTGAAAAGTGTGCACGAGACCAAAGAGATGTTCGTGAACATGACACGCGCGGAGGGATCTCGAGCACAATTAACGGTGGAAGGTGGCTCCGCTTCGACATCGATGGACTCGAAGAGCCCGTCCGCAACAGGCTCCATGCTGGAAGCCGTACGACACAAGCTCAAACGTTTTTCCACCGAGCCCAGAGGGAGCAAGAATGGATCCCTCAACAAGCTTGGCAACAGGCCAGACTATCTCACGGGTGGACGCGTTGTGGTGCCACTGGGGGAGCTTCTTGGTCGAGCATTGTGCCTTCTCTACGTCAGTCGTCACGGATTGCTGCTGAATGAACTGCGATTTATTCTCAATGCTGTGGTGACTGAGGCACGTGGTATTCACCGCCGTCGGGATAACTCTGACGATGAAAATTCGTCATTCGACAGTAAAGGAAGCATGGGACACCTGACAGCATTTTCTGACGACGAGTGGCAAGCGCTCTTACGTGCGCTACGCACTTTGAGTGTGCTCTTCGTCCAGGAGGTTGTGGTATTACCAATGTGTAAAGATATACTGCGCGACGTCATTTGGTGGCGCTACATCGGCAGCGAGCGCGCGGAGCAGCAGTACCATCAGTGGCTCATTCGCTTCTTTCGTATCCACCCAACCACTTTCCGTCGGGTCGAGGAACTGCCATGGCATCTCAAGCGTTGTTACCAGTGGGACGCTTTGCGTCAAGTTCTTGTGAACCTGCCCATGTTTCAGCTTCTGTACACCGCCAACTACAAATCCGAGCTTTTCGGGTACTGGAAGGTTCTCACCGATGGTCCACTGCTCAACTATGGCGCTGCAACGAGCCCGTCCGACCCACCGGTCTACGTGATGACCTTCGATATTGTCAAGGAGTATGGCAAGAGCATTGACGACTGGTATCACAGCGCCCGCCCCAGCACCAAGAACTTTACTGCGATTGTGCAACTCGTCACTCGCTTCATGTATGAATTCTGTCTGTCGTATCAACGCCCGTTGCCCCAGTTTGTACATGCACCGTTCGACCTAAAGAGGCTTTACTTGGATGGGTTCCTGTTTGTCGAGAATTTACCACACGTCCAGACAGTCGGCAATTCAGCTGTAGGCGCCACCTCTGGAGCCACGCTGTCTTCAGTGTCATCAATTGGTTCACCCGGTTTAGGTGGCTTATCCACCATGGAAAGCACATTATCGACTGCGTCTTCTGCTCTGCTAGCAGCACTAGACAATTTCCCACCGGCATCGAATGCCCCGAGCATCGCGACGTTGAGCTCCACTATCAAGGACAAGGAAGCGCTCAAAAACTGCTTCTTCTTCTACCAGCGATGGGTCTGGATCCAGTTTCCGTGGCTTGCACTTGGCCGGGATATTGTTGTCCGTGATCCAGTCGTGCAGAATCCTATTCTCGAGAAGGCGAATGGTTCCAATGTTGGTAGCAACAACAACAGTTCGGGGTCGATCCCAGCAATGCTGCATACACCATCATCAAGCTCACTGCTTCCATTGGGCTCATCTCGTGGTAGACCTGGAGACGGAATTGACGAAGAAGTTAGACGACATGATGCTGGCGACTCCAAAACAGCGCTGACGCCTGCTTCATCACAAGCTCGCTCTGGGCTGTTCGATGCACGGTTTTGGGATGTCAAGAAGAGTATGTTTGACCCCACCACGCGTCGGCCTCGAGGCGCAATGACTTCTTCACAGCTGGCTGCAGTGAAGAACGCAAGTGTGTTGATGACATCGGTCCCGACCTCGCTCGTGAACCAGACCGTGGATGTGATATCCCCCGAACATCTCTTTCGGAAAAAGACCGCATACACAACAGTGAAAGGTGTGCTGACATCATCTGTACGCCGCCTCCCCACTGCAGCTCTGAAGCCATCAGCGTCGTTACCCTCGCTGCAAGAGCAACGAACACAAACCCAAAATCCGACAACAACCGCTGGCAACCGAAAGGAGTCTAAAAAGCCGGACGTGGCCTCCAAGGACTCGATATCAGCAGCACCTTCCCCCATTTCCCTCGCTAATGGAGCTTCAGCGAAAGCGGGGCTTCCCTCCAAGGAGCTGGAGCTCGATAGTATTGCCAGCACGGAAGACTTGGTGACCATCGCGACATCCTTCGGGTTACCCGCCCACTTCCAGGACTACCCTCAGTCTGACTGGGATCTAAAGCAGTCGTACAACCATCGAGTAGTGCTAAAACTCCAAACTCTGTACGACACCGTGAAGACTGAAGTGGCTCAAAAGCAAAAGTACCTTCAGGATGTGAAGCGCAAGATTCGTGAGACTACACGGCGGTACGAAGTGACGATGCGTGAGTGCGATATGGCAAAGCACGCCGCGGAGGAAATGAGCTCTCGCCTAGCAAAGCTTGAGCAGGTGACGAGAAACATCGACTACCAGGAAAAGACCCATCGCAAGCTCATCCGTGGATGTGAGCTGTTCCCAGCCTGCGCTCCAGCACACTTTGAAGCCAACAAGAAGGAGCTGCGTCTGTTGCAGATGAAGCTCAAAGATCTCCAGGCTGAGAAGAAGGTTCTCCTCATGAAGAAGGCCCATCTGCAGAATGAGGAGCTCCCTGTCGTGCGAAAGGCAGTTGAGAAGAGCAAACGCTTGTTGTCTGCTGTCGTTGACAAGCTCGAACGATCCCGCGAGAAAGTAGCCCACGATCAGGCTTCGTCCGACAAGTTGTATCAACGCCGACTGGAGATGATTGAAAGCGTACGGACGGCCAACGGGAAATCGTCCAGCTCGACTGTCGAAGAAGAGGCTCGGAAGCAAGCCCGACAAACGTTTAGTGCGACCACGCGTTCGTTAGCGGCCAAAGTCGCTCTGCAGCAGTGCGAATCCATGTGTGAAAAAATCCAAAAGGCCACCGGTTTCTCCAAGATGGAGCTCATTCTCCAGAAATTCACACGGCGCGAGGAGCTTAACGCGAGCTTCGAGGAGCAGGCCAAACTGTACGAAGCGCGACTGAAGCAGATCAAACTCAACCAAGCCGAGCTTGAGGAGCAGCTCCACTCACTGGAAATCTCTCAGGCGACAGCTTCAACAGAAGATCCTCGGCTACTGGAGCAGAAGCTGCGGGCGGCTGAAGTGGAGCTCGCACGCGCAGAGTATACCCAGGCGAGTCTCCTGACGAGCTCAAAGGAAGTGATTGCAGGTGCCGCGCGAATCGTGAAGCTCATGGGCATTACCAACTGCTCGGACCCGTACCAAAACGCCATCCCTGCTGCTCGTCTCTGGCCACCGCCCGTGGGCTACGAAGGGGAAAACAGCCTCACGTCCGAGTTCGAAACCCTCGAGCCACCGGCAATCACAGCGCTACTGCAGCTGTGCCAAGACCGAGCGACACTCATGATCGATGCAGTACGTCCATTCATTGTTGCTGGCTGCATCTTGCTTGTTCTTGCCCACTCTTGCGACTCTGGCGCTAACTTTTCTGGTACTTTGTCCCTGTTCTCTGTAGACTGAGGGGGCTAGGAGCGACCCGGACATTAATTTCTCCCTGGTACGACTGGTTCTTCTCCTCTTTAAGTCTTGTCCTGAAACTTGTCTTGGCTGACCCTGGATTGTTATCCCCGCAGATTGCAGACTCGCCGTCTCGAACCCGACGTCGGGCGACACGCGGAGGGGACGAGAAGGCGACGGCGCGCTCGAGTCGCTACCGACGGACGCAGCAGCTCAGCAGCGTCGTGGAGAAGGCCAAAGACAAAGACAAGGAGAAGGACCGCGTGGGCTTCGACCGCGGCGCCGTGCCGCCTCTGGCCGTCGCCATCAGCGCCGTCCTCGCCACGCAGTCGCTGGCGCAGCTGCCCACGAATGGCTCACTGGGACCGGAGGACGGCGAGCAGGAGCCAGGCGTGGAGACGGAGGTGCTGACACGGGAGGTCATCAAGGCCTCGAGCAGGACCAAACTGGCGCAGCGGAAGCGCGGCAGCGGCAACGCCGGAGCAGCAGCGATCGACCATCTTGACCATGACGGATGACGCAAATTAGGACAAGACTTCAAGTTGTAAAGTGAATTTTCATTGGCTGGCGTTAGTGTTACGGTCTCTAGTCTCTAGTCTCTAGTTTTTGTTTTGGGCGATGCGGGGCGAGGGCCAGCGCTTGTCGAAGCACCTGACGGCGGCGTTCGCGGAGATCGACCGGCTGCGGGAAATCTATAGGGATGCCATCGACAAGCTGGAGACGAACACGCTGGCGAATCTGTCGCCGCAGTCGGCTGCCAAGTGGTTCGAGATGGTGCGTCCAGTAGCTAGGAACAAGGGGTCTAGAGACTCTGGCCTTACTGATTGGGTGTTGCATGGCTGCAGTATCTCCGTATCGTGGATCTAGGCGTGCAGATCCGCCGTGGGGAGATCCGACACCGAACGACGCAGAGGTTCAAGCATCCGTGCATGCACAAGACGGGCACCAAAGGCGCAGTGCACTCGGGTGCGTTGGCGGGAACACCCAGATTGCGTGCTTGAAAGTAAATGTATGACCACTGTCTTGTGCTATTGCCTCTGTGAGCAGGGCTGAGCATTGACGACTGCAACTCGATATTGCAGTTGATGACAGAGCGCAGCCTGGTGAAGGAGAGCCGTGTGGATAGGTGGTGCACCCAAATCGACGGGTTGGATCGCGATACAATTGGCGATCTCGACAAGAAGCTAACAAGCTGCCTTCGGACTTTTATCAACCGAAGGAGCAGATTCTACAACCGACTTGAGGTCAATGGGGTAGATCCGCACCAGGAGATGCTCGTATTGGGAGGCCCAGGCGCTGCCGCTCCGATTTTGTGGAAAGTCAAACGGACGTGTTTCGGTCCGAAAGAATGCCCATGTGGGGAAGATGCAACGCCTTGGGAAAGCTTTTCTCTCGAGGCGGGGGATCCTAACGCACAGAATGCGTCTGTGGGTCGTGTCACGGAATCTGTTCAAGCCGATGACGTGGGTATTACGGCTATCAAGCGCCACATGGGCTTCCAAGAACTATCGAGGGAGGAGGAGAACAATGACGCAGCGGCGCTTGCGCGCGACGCGGCTGAACTAGCTCGCCGGCGAAATCCTCGAATTCATAATAACTATGTTGCAAGTGTTTTACGCGTGCCACCGTCTGCAAAAAGTATCTACCTGAAGAAGGTACGTTTCAAAGTAGCTGGTACACAGCTGTCTGCGTTTTCACAGGAGCTTGCGACTGTACTGTACTTACGTTTTGGTCATTCCGCTATCTTTTGACGAATGCAGTGCGGTGAGAACGGGTCAAAACCGAATCCACAAATCAATGCCGTACTGGTGGTGAAAAATGGAGCACACCTGCTTGATCTCAGTAGTGTCGGTTTTCACTCGGCGGATGATCTCCAGGACTTGGTGGACGTCTTCTCGACGCCAGGACTACCTCCGGTGAAAGAGCTTGATATCTCGAATGGTTTCTTCAATGTTACAGCGTTCAAGGTACTGTGCCAATTGCTGCGTGTACCGCAGCTGCGTGGAGGCGTCGAACGACTCGGTCTTCGTGGGATTGCAGTCCCCCAGCGAGCCGACTTTTCTACCATCATGAGGCGTTTGATTGGCGAGAGTAACCCTGTGGCGGGATCCCTATCAGCTCTTGGCAGCTTAAAGGCGCTGGATCTCTCGTTTAACACTCTGCAGTATGAAGACGCAGCTCTGCTGAAGCCCCTTCTGGCTAGCCTTCCACGTCTCGAAAGCCTCTCTTTGGAGTCCTGCTTTCCAGAACCAGTGCCAACGTCGATCCCGTCATCCTTGTCTGGAGACCAAAATACGATCGAGGAGAATATCCGTGCTGCCCTCGCGGATGGTAGCAATCGACTGGAGAGCATCAACTTCGGCTCCAACTATGTCGCCATTGAGTCGCGCTGGCTGGATAGCCTATTCACTCCCGGGAGTACTCTGCAAAAGATTGACCTCAGCGGTGTAAGAAGTTCCTCGGCAGGCGTCGTTAACGGAACCGAGACGATGGAAGTGGATTGGCAAGCCGGTGAACCATGGGACCTACAGCAAGTGGAAACACTGACGTGGTCCTCCAACAGCAACCTGTTTTCAGATAAGTTGCTGGACACTCTATCTGCCGAATTACAAAGTGGATTTGCACAATTGAAGCATCTTGACGTGGCCATCACAGTGCAAGGCAATGGTAACCAAACCGACAAGAAAATTGCAGACACAGTTAGTCGCATTGCTGACTACGCGGCACATCGATCATGTCGTATCGCCTACTATAGTCGCGATGGAATGACTTCGCACAGCGTGAGCGCATCTGTGGGGAGGCTTCTGGAGGACGGACTGCGTGAGTGCGAGGTGTTATCCTTGCGCATGCCGCAACTTTACCTCTCGCGTAGTGGCATTTGTGAGTTGTTGAGTGGCGCTTCCGTTCCCAAGATGAAACGAATGACTATCGCCATTGGCATCTCTCCACTGGGCCAAGCTGAGCAAATAATCGGATTTCAGCAGATGCAAGCAATGAAAGAGCTGACAATAGAGCTCCATGCTCCTACCGAAGAACAAAATAATGCCTGGTCTGCTGCGTGCGATGCAGCTCTTGCGCTTGCACGAAAGATGGAGGCATCTTGGGTGGCGCTGAGCTCATCACAAGGCGGAGAAAAGAAACGCTTTGGGGGTGTTATCGGCAAACTCAATCGTTCTTTTGTGTTATCGGAGCAACAGAAGATGAATACGCGGGTTTACCGGTGCCGCTTTTTAGTCTCTTCAACGCCATAGTAACCAAAATATGACTGATCATATCCACTAGGATTCTGTCGTCGAAGCGAATTGCATACGAGTTGCCTCGAGGCTGTGCATCTCGCGCAAGAGTGCCTTGGCTTCCTCCTTTTCCGGCCCCTGCATGTCCAGTAACCGGTTGCAGAAGATTGTGGCCTCGGTCAAGCGACCTAGCTGCTTGTAATAGTTGGCGAGGAACAAAATTGCTGCGAGCGCTTGTGGGGTATCGACACGGATATTTCCACCACTGCCACCAGGAAGCACGAGCACCTCTCTTTCGTCCTCGCTATTCCGCCCAGATACGGAGCTCTTGGCGCCGTCTTGATCGCGCAAAAGTGATGCTGTGACACTTCGAAGACCGAGGTGCATCTGGTAGAACTTGGCGGCTTCATGTTGCTGTCCTCGTGAGGCATAGAGTCGCCCTAGATGGTAGGAAGCGATACCCTCACGATCTTGATTGTTTACTGCGCGGTGGAAGCACGCGAGAGCTTCGTCGACCTTATTCAGCTTCTCATAGCACCCACCTAGGGCACACCACATGCGCGCGTCGTACGGGCGGATCACCACCGATTTACGGTAGTAGTAGATACTGTAGAGGAACATGTTGAGAATCTCGTACGCTTGCCCAAGACCATACCAAGCTCGATAGTCCCGCACGTTGAGGTCGACTGCATGGCGATAGGCTTCGATAGCTGCACTGGTGTTCTTCATTTCGATATACTCGTGGCCAATGAGTGTCCATGCCGACAGAAAGTTGGGATCCAGCTTCAAAGCACGATGAAAGTAGATAATGGCGCGGTCATGCTTGTTCTTGATCGAGTAATAGTTGCCAATGATGCAGCACGTCTCCGGTCGGTACTTTTCCACTTTGAGTGCTCGGTGCGCCAATCGACTAAGCTCTGTTTTGTCCTCCTTCACATAAAGCACGTTCGAATAAACGTCCATGTTCTCCATCCGATGCGGATCTTGGGCAGCAAGCCGCTCGAATTGCTCCTGCGACTGATCAAAGTCCCGAATGTGGTAGCTAGTCAGTGCCTGCTGCGCCAACAGATAGGTACTCTGTGGGAATTGCTCTTCCAAACTTGTCAGAAGAGCCCGCGCAACATCATTCTGCTGCTGGTCCAGTAGCACATGAGCTTGGAAGAGTTGGAACATCCAGGGGCAACTGGTCGCCAAGATCACTTCTTCCTCCTACAGCAGCACGACAAGTTAAGAGTTTGCAAGATACCGTGAACGTGAGCGAGCATACTATGACGTACATTGGATGTGAAAGGTGAGTGGGCTGCTAGCTCCATCCAAGCTGACCAATTCCACGGGTAACGTCGAATAGATTCAACCAGGATAAACCGCGTAGTCACGTCAAACGTTAGCGTGGGTGCTGCGCCAGTCTCACTCTTACTGCGTCCCTGGTTGCTGCTACCATTATCAGGGGCATGGAGTTGCTGACGCCGCCGTTCCTCAGCAAAATCTGCTCGGTGGCGAGTCTTCATACTAACTGGGGTGGACGATTGGACTTGGGTACTGCCAGTGCTAGTGCTGTAGCCCAGTCGCTTGAGAACAACAGCGTAGAGATAGAGACCGAAGCCGTCCAGCGAGTTGTGCTGGTAGGCAGCGCTTAGCGACAGATACAGCTCCTTGAGGTGAGGATTTGTGCCTTGGCGATGCAAGTTGCGGTCCACCTCTGTTTCAACATTCAGCAACGAGATAGTCACGCCACTTAGTCATCGTGACTGCAGCTCAAATACAACAAGTAAGCCCACCAACGGACCTTTGGTGCTGCCTGTCACGTTCATCTCCAGATCCATTTCCTCCTTTGCCTTCTCACCCGCCTGCTCCAGTCATTAAAATGAACGATAACGGTTAGCAGGCAGCCCTATCATCCATCACCAGCTATAGATTGGTTTTTTACCAGATACAGGGCGTAGTACTTGAGGAAGCGCGTCTTCTGCGTGGGGATACGGCACACATCCTCACCCTCCGGGCCAAGCGAAAAGGACCCGTCTCCCTGTGCCAGCATGTGGTGAGCGCGGAGGTACTCGCCCACGTCGAAACAGGCCTTGGCCGCCTCGAAGCGATCGGCTTCCGCCCAGTCCTCCAGCTCGTCCTCCGCTTCGTCGCATCTCCTCGGCTCCAGCGACGAGCGGCGATGTGCGGCGTCGCCCATGCCAAGCAGCAGCTCTGCCGCGAACTGCGTGGCTTGCTTCAGTCCGCGGACGCGCAGGTCGCGCACAGCCGAGCGCAGTTGCGCCGCCACCACGGCCGGCTCCATCTCCGCCATTTTTGTTGGAGTATCCTGTGACTCACAAAAAGTTGTGCAAATGTCACTATCACGAGGTAAAGTAGTGACCATCTTCAACGTCCACGGATGTCCATTTCGATCTTCTATTTGTCCTCCACTGTGTCTATCTGTCCTCTTCTATTCATTCATGCGATTCGCCCAGTACTCGTCGAGCAAACTCTTGCGGAGTTAGCTCTGCCGGGACCGATCCTTGCGCGAAGCTGGCGTTGCCACCTCCGCGGCCGCCCAGGGGCTTCACCACCTGCTGCAACAGCTTGCCAGCGTGGACTTTCGCGTCGGCGTTGGCAATGGAAGCCACTTGCGGTCCCAGCATTACCAGCAGCACGCTATCTGACGCGCTTTGCCCCGCCAGGAACTCGGCACGGCGCTTAACCACCTTGGAGAACTCGCCGCCACCAGGCAGATCCAGCGCGTGCAACTCAACCAGAGGAACGCTGACGGCTCCATCGATGCGTCCCGATGCCAGCGGCGTTGATGGGAGCGTGGCAAGCACATCGCCAAGAGCTTGGGCCCGACTTTCCAGCTGCTTCATCTGCTTCTGCATTTTCGTGACCCGCTCCACGACCTTGGCAGGCGTCGTGGACAGCTGATCAGCCACCTCGCTCAACGTCTGCGCCTTGGCTTGCAGATAGCGAGCGCCGGCCTGCCCTGCGACGGCTTCAATGCGTCGCGTGCCAGCAGCCACCGATCCTTCACTGACCAACGCGAACGGGAAGACCTCGCGCGCGTTATTCACGTGGGTGCCACCGCAGAATTCACTGGATACAGGTGCTTCACCTTCAGCAGCATTGCTACCGCCAACCCGAACAACCCGGACAACATCGCCGTACTTGTCTCCAAAGTTGCAAATGGCGCCGCTGCGCTCGGCTTCTTCTCGAGGCAGCTGAACGGTTGTCACATCCAGCTCCGCCGCTGCAAATTCATTCACTCGCGCTTCCACTCGAGCCATTTCGTCCGTGGATAGTGCTCCGAAGTGCGCAAAGTCGAAGCGGAGTCGGTCGTTTGTGACCTGTGAGCCAGCCTGCGTCACGTGCTCACCCAATTCAGCCTTTAGCGCACGCTGCAGCAAATGCGTAGCTGTGTGGTGTACGGCACAACCAGCGCGGAACTTATGGTCCACTACTGCCTGCACGGTAGGCGCTTGGCCATCAGCAGGGAATAGCAGAGCCGAAATCTCAGCGTACGTCATACCCTTGGGCGGTGTGCACTTCAACGCAATAGCGTCATCGTTGGCCTTGATCGTGTTCTCAACAGTGATCACAATGCGCTGCGAGTCGTCCGCCGAGACAACAAGATGCCCACGATCTCCCACTTGGCCTCCTCCCTCAGGGTAAAATGGGCAGCGATCGAGGACGACGCTGAACTCGTCTGAAGCCCCCTTCTTCTTGTTCGGAAGCGACCAGCTGTCCAGGGCGCGCGAGTCAGGGACGTCGAGCTGATCATACCCTACGAATTCGCTTACGAGTGCAGCGGCCGAAGCAGATGGGGATGACTCCGCGAGTTGTGAGCGCTGAGTGTGATGGCCAGCGAAGGCACTGCGGTCGGTCGTCTGCTGCTTGTGCTCTTTCATGCACGCATCGTAGCCCTCAACATCAACCGATAGACCCTTTTCTTCCGCCAGCACCTGAGTGATATCAAGCGGAATGCCGTACGTGTCGTATAGCCTGAAGGCATCTGTACCGGACAGAACTGTTTGGGCCAGTTGTGCCTTAGAGAACGCTTTCTCAATAGCACCGCGGCCATTGCGTAGCATTTCCTCAAAAGCCCTCTCTTCGTTCGAAACAATCGCGCGCATCTGCTGGAAACCTGCAGCTTCACTCCATCCTGGAACAGCGATAGAAGCCAATATTCCATCGGCGCCGCCCTGAACACCGAGCTGCTGAGCGTGCCGGATGGCTCGCCGGATAATGCGGCGCAAAACGTAGCCACGGCCCACATTGGACGGGAAGACGCCGTCGTTCAGCAATGCGTAGGTCGCGCGGAGATGGTCACTGATGATCCGTAGAGTCTGAATCTCCTTTCCTGTCCCGAAACGATCCTGGCTTGGGTCAAGCTCTTCTTCAAGCGCACTTGAGAACGACTGCCTGGAGGTTCCCGAGCGACTAGCATCCAGCACTGAGGCCACCTCGTGCAGCAGTGGCACGAAGACATCGGTATGGTAGTTGGATGGAACACCTTGGAGAACTGAAGCGACACGCTCGAGGCCCATACCCGTATCCACGGAACAGCTTGGTAACGCGTGAAGCTCGTTTTCTCCTTCGTTGCGGAAGAACTGCATGAAGACGAGGTTCCACAGCTCCAAAAAGCGTTCGTCCGGGTCAGCGATGTGGTCACCCAGGTCCCAGAACACCTCGGAGCATGGACCGCACGGACCGGAGTCGCCCATCGCCCAGAAATTCTCCTTCTCGTCTAGCCGCAGGATTTTGTGGTCGGGCAGCCCAGCGATCTTCTTCCACAGCTGACGAGCCTCCTCGTCGCTCTCGAGTACCGTCACGTGCAGCCTCTCGACGGGTAGACCCAGCTCCTGTGTGAGGAAGCGCCAGCACATGGTGATCGCCTGCTCCTTGAAGTAGTCGCCGAAGCTGAAGTTGCCCAGCATCTCGAACATGGTGTGGTGGCGGCGCGTGAGCCCGACTTGGTCCAGGTCGTTGTGCTTGCCTCCTGCTCGCACGCAACGCTGCGCCGACGTGGCTCTCGAGTATCCGCGCGCCTCCGCCCCACCGTCCAATCCAAGGAAGGCCTGCTTAAACGGCACCATGCCAGCGTTCACGAAGAGCAGCGATGTGTCGCCCCCAGGCGGTACCAGCGACGCGCTGGGCACCACGCGGTGGTCCTGGGACTCGAAGAACTGCAGGAAGCGACTGCGCAGCTCAGCGGACGGCAGCGAGTGCAGACCACGGGCCGCGTGGTTGCCACCAACGCCCGGAAGCCGAGCGCATCTGCGTAGACGCAGCATCGCCAAGAGCCGAGATGCGGTCGGTCACTGCCCCACGATTTGTGACGCACAAAATGGCTCGGATTGGTCGTGGAACTACCTTGTCGAATGAGAAGTCAGTTTAATAGTTCCGTGTCATCATGCTTTTCTCGCACCAGAATCCTGTTCCCACGCCGAGCGAGGGACGATGGACGCGGCGCAAGATGCGCGGCAGTCGCTGGGCGGCGGCCGAGACATGGAGGAGGAGATGCAGCACGTGCTGCAGTTCCTGGACACGTCGCTGATCACGCCGCCGTCGGGCAGTGACCTGGTGACGCAGCAGTCCCAGATCCAGCGGACGACTCAGCCGCAGCTGCAGCATCAACAGCAACAGCAACAGCCTACGCCGGAGCAGTTGCGTGAGATGGCGACGCTGCAGGAGAACGAGGTCGCAGGGGGATACAACGAGCTGGGCGAGGTCATCGACCTGCTGGGATCGCTCGACGCCAACGACACGGACCCGGCACTGCTGCAGCAACAGCAAGCGTACAACGTAGCCGGGCTCAATGCGACGGACCTCTCGCGAACGGGCACATCCGCGGATGGCGCTTCGCAACGAGTGCAATTGCCCCGGTCGACCTCCGCGAGCAGCAACCACAGTGGAGTGGACAATATTTCGCCTGTGGGTCTGCTCAACGGACCCTCCATGTCGCCGGCTACGATCAACTGGCTGCAGACACTGGTGCCCTCCACATCCACCGAGAGTCTCACGGGGCTGATTTCTCCTGCTACGCTTTACAGCGCTGGGGGAGGATCCGCTACTGGAGTTGGAGCGGATGGGGCGAAATCTGGCGGTCTACCTCGGTACGCATATGTTCGTCTTCTGCTGTAACTGAGGGTGGAATCTCGCACTAACGACTGCTTACGCTTACAGGACGCCGTCTTGTGAGATAATCGACTGGAAGGCCTACAACGAGTCTTGCGGTGATAAAACGCAGAAGGAACCAGCCAAATGGCGTGTCATCCCCCAACACGGACCGCACGCTGAGCCGGCGGTGAGCTCCAATAGTAGCAATTCGACGGGTAGCAAGCTTCCACCAAGTGCTGGGGCGCCGGCAAGTGCTGCAGGTCCTACCGAGTTGAGTGCACAACACCAAATGCATCTTGCTGCTCGAAGGGTGGCGGATGAGAAAAACAAGCGAAAAGCGCTCGTGTCTCCGGAGTATGTCCAATATGGTAACACCGTAGCGTCGACACCTTCGCAAATGCCTAGTGACGCAGCCGGTGGAGTCAAAGTGGAGCTAGGTGCATTGCAGTACGCCACGAAGGTCCCAGAACCCACAGGACGCCGTCCATTCAAGAAGTCACTGCACCAGACGACCATACACGCTGCTGAAGCAATTTTACCGGAGCCACAGCCACCACAACAGCAGCCGCCGGTCTCATCGACTCCTTCAGTGGAGGGGAAAGATGAAAGCGTGCGCTGTAAATGCACAGGGAAGTGCCGTAATGCGCGCTGTGCGTGCGTGAAGGCAGGGCTGGTGTGTGGAGCCCAGTGCAAATGCGTCAGCTGTGCAAACCCCTTCGTTCCGATGGCGAGCGAGGGCATCGATATCCAGCTGATGGTGAGGGATGTGTGCTTGATGCAATATCTTTCCAAGATCAAGGACATGCAGGAGCTGCTGGACTCAACTGTCAGCTATGAATGCTGTGAAGGGGGCGGGGGTGTCGTGCAAGTGAAGCATACAGTGGAAAACGGGTTCGCGTGTCCACATTGTGGTGCGCACTTCACATACTCGTGGTGCAACAATCGCCTATGCCCAGATGCCAAGAAGCCTCGACGACATTGCGCCAAGTGTCGTCGATGTGGCGACCATCGCAACCAGCACTGTGACCTCTGCAACCATTGTTACTTCGCAGGCGTGGCTAACAGCTTTCGCTGTAGCTGTCAGACCTCAGGTAGTGCCACTGGCGCCAAGACACGGGCAGTTGTCCCTAACCGAGACATAGAATCTACTGCGAAGAATGATGAAGGAGACAAGCAAAGTGGAGGGCAGATGTTCGGGGCTATCAATCCTGCGGTTGAAGGTGCTGCGCGCGATGAAAACTCTGACAGCTCGAAGCCCGGTGGTGAAGAGGAAGCTGATGACTCATGCAAAATGCAGTAGCTTAAAGTTTTTAATACACCAGCTATTGCGCACCCCCAAAAACTTTAAATCCATACAAAACCGTTCTTTTTAATTGAAAACTCCACCGATTTTCCGGATTCGATTTTTTAAACTTTTTTATGGTTGACAAGCCCTGCATCAAACTTGGGTAATGCCGCTGTATGAAGCGCTAAATGTAGATCTCGAGCTATCCCGTTGACGTTGCTGGGTACCTCTGCGATGTTTCTTACCGTTAGAGCATCTCCAACGGTAGTGCAATATACACAAAAATGACCGAAAATGCGCAAGTGCAAAAAAATCGATCTCCAACGGTGTAGTGATAGGGGCACAGAAGTAACAGTGAAGTAACATTTGAAAAGTGATTGTGCACTAGGGAAGCCTCGTAGGGAATAAAGCCCGGTTTTCCCCTACGAATCGGCCCGTAATGCACACGTATAGGCACTAGTTAGGTATACAGCAGAATTTCTTCCTTGGTAAGGCGCTTGCAACACTCACGGTTGCTATAGTCTCAAGACAAAGTGGCAGTGTACTCCAAACCCATATTTGCAAGCAGGAGGAGGTCTCATCGTCGTGCAGGTCATCAAGCAGGTTCTCGCAATAGTAGGATGACACCTCTACTATGAGGTAAAGGCAGCTGCATTGACTGTTCTGGGGCAACTCCTCCGCTTTCACTATGCATTTCTGCAATACCGTTGGGGAAGCGAAAACAAATGCAAGCTATTTCATGCATGTTCGTCCTGTTTTTACGTAGTTCACTTCGCCTTATCATTTTTGCACTATGCACTACCGTTGGAGATGCTCTTATTTATGCAACATATATTTTATCGGCTCTTATTACCGTGCCCCGTTTTATTAGTGAACGGGAAGCTTCATGGCACGTTTTATCGTACCGTTTGAAGGTGCAACGCTCCTGTAATAGAGTCCCATGTGTGTGCCACTTGTATTTGCTATGTGTACCACATGTTTTTGCTGGTGGTTTTGGCGAGCATGTACGTACCGTTCCTCTCAAATTTGTATAATGATGTAGGCAGTGCAAAGTTAAGGAATTACTGATATTGGGTTAACTTAGTTACCCTTTTGAGGCATGTACTGCATAAAGGTGTTGGAGTGCGAGTGCCAGCGGCGCGAGTAGGAAATAAAATAAACTTGTTGATCTCTTACTGCTTCCAGCGCCCCTGGAACTTGCCGCTCTCTCTTCGACGCTGCGAATTTGACACTGAGGCTAGAACTAAAGCTACGACTACCGCGGTCTCGTACTGTCAGCTTTCCCTGGATCTTCTTCGAGTCGTTCTCGGTGTTTGCACGTAGTCTCTTGGTCTCCATCACTCACAAGCTGCAGCCACCACCGCGTGCTGCAACTTAACACGCCTCCCTCCGAGTACTCAGCTTACGAGCCTCGGAACTAGCCCGCACCCACGTTCTTGCTCTTCGGCTGCTTGTCGCGCCGCTGCCCATCGCCGTACATCTTGCGCTGCTTCTCGCGCGGCGTAGGTTCGGACTCGGGGTGCATGCCGACTAGTTGCTTCATCTTGGTGAGCCGCGGGTATCCGAGCGGCTTCGTGAACAAACCAGCGGGATTGACATCGCCGTCGACTTTCCATATTCTCACTGTCTTCTGCGCGACTTGTTCGCGGACGTAGTGGAACCTCAACTCGATGTGTCTGGCCTTCCTGCTGTAGGTAGGATTCGATGCCAATGTAATCGCCGCTTGATTGTCCACTCCGAACGTGAAGTCGATTCTCGTTTTCGGCAGGACTTCCGTCAGCACGTTAGCCAAAGCACGTCCCTCCATGCACGCCTCGCACGATGCTACGTACTCCGCTTCCGCCGTGCTTAGCGCCACCATCGTCTGCCTTCACGCTGCCCAGGCAACAGGTTCGCCAGCCACCAACATGGTGTAGCCCGTGACGCTGTTGCGGGTCTCAGGGCAGTTTCCCCAGTCAGAGTCGCAATACTCCTCAATCTTGATAGCATCCAGCCTCGACGTACTCCTAGCTTTCGGCCCTCTTGAAGAAGATACCGTGATCGGCTGTAGCTACTAAATAGCGAAGCACACGCTTGAGTGCACCACCATGTTGAACTGTTGGATTCTCCACAAACCGACTCAAGTATCCCACCGGAAAGGCCAGGTCGGGCCTAGTACCCGTTGCCATGTACATCGGTGAGCCAATTGCAGCACGGTAGTCAATACCTGGCTCCTTATCCACGTCAACAACCGCACGCAACTTGATCGTCGGGTCTAGCGGGGACCTGCAGCCTCTCGCACCTTCAAAATTAAATCTGCGGAGCACATCCTTGGCGTACTTGGTTTGGTGCAGGAAGGCACCTTCCTCCGTGAGGTCGACCTGCACTCCGAGGTAGCTGTGCAGTCTGCCTTGGTCCTTAATGCCATACTTTGTGTTCAGTTCCGCAAATAATAACACCTTCCATGCCTCGTTGTTCGTGCCACAGATGAGGTCGTCCACGCACACAAGTAAGAGCGCGAGCACGCCCCCTTTGCTGCAGACATACAGGCAAGGTTCGGAGACGCAGCGACTCTTCCCATGCTCTTCCAACCACGAGTTCAGCTCATCATACCATTCGCGACCACTCTGGTGAATCCCGTAAAGCGCGTGTTTCACTTTGTACACCCTTCCCTTCTTAAGTGGGAACCCTGGAATGCGCCGAATGTAGTGGATGATCTTCGGGCCGCGTTCAGGAACGCCGTGTGAGGCGAGGCCGATGAAACCTTTGTCGCCCAGGGGGGGTTCGTATAGCGCAGCCCAAGACTGTTCCCTAGGGTGCAGACCCAGAGAATCGACTTGAGAGTCAACAGCAAGAAGATAGACCCAGAGATTCGCCGCAAAGCTTTAAACCCTGAAAAGCACACTCCTTGGTTGGCGTGGGTACCTTGTGTAATCCCTGTCGGCTCGTTTGTCTTGGACGGAACGGCACTCCACCGGTTGTAAAAGTAGCCTCGAAGAAGTGCGGGAGTGCACGTCTACTTCAGAACGCACCTCCACACCAAAGGCAAACCCAGAGAATCAGATCCCCCGAAACCCAGAATATCACGAATTCAGGGTCCAGGATTTCAGTCAACTCCGGGACTTGGACTCAGAAGAAACCTTACCCAAATGCCCTCCTAGCTCGATAAAAACCAACAAATACAGAGTATACAAACACTACAACTAATATTCTTTTGGACCCTTGGACGGTGGGTCACACACACACTAGGCTCACTCGAGTCTGAAATTCAGGGGCCTAGCTCCCCTGAGACTCACACAAACGCGCACCACCTCCAATAAAGGAGGAAAAATACAATCACTATCAGTTACTTTCCCTTCACACAATCAGTCAATACAAAATCCTGGAGGCGACTACCTAGCACCCCAGAATACCCTCTGGAATAATATGAAATGGGCTACCACGAGCACAGCAAGTGACCCAACTAGGATATGGAATAGATGGATCACTCCAGGAAGCTCAAGGCCGTCGCTGGTCCCCACCTAACTGGACTTGAGTTGATGGAGTCCACATAGACGGCTGTCCTTCGCCGTTGATGTGCCCTTAGCGTCCCGCGGTCGTAGTCTCGGGTCCTCCGGATTTCCGTCGGCAGGCTTGGCCGAAGTCACTTGCGCAGTACAGGGAAACTTGAACTCTGTTTGTCTTTTATCAGCTACTTCTCTCTCTCTCTCTCTCTCTCTCTCTCTCTCTTACTTCTTCGGGCAAATATATTCTGTTCACTATGCTTGGGGTCAAATGTCTTGTCTTGAGTATACCTTGGGTTCAGCGGTCCAAACTTGCGATCGGCTTGCGAATCCGTTGTCGCACGGCGTCGAAAGTGCCAATTATGGGTCCTTAGACTTGGTTTAGTATGGTGCAGGACTCCCTCTCGACTCCTCGAAAGTATCCAGTGTAACGGGGTTACACGCACAAGTGGCTACAGTCACTTGTTACTCTAACAGATGCGATGTCTGTTAGAGGTTTGAAAGACTTTCTCGACCTTGGTGTAGACACACCAAAGGCTACATACATTTAGGATCACCACGACGGGTGGTCCATACACATTTAGGATTCCTATTGGCTGAAAGCAGCATCTTTTAGCCAATGAGTGACTTGCATGTTAGCAGAATCCTGCCAACCAGCCGTTGGCAGATTCCTAGTTTAGAATATTACATTTAGAGGAAGTCAGAAACATAAAACAAAAATAACAGTTCTCATCTTTTACCAAAACCCGCTACTTGGAGTCTTTATCTTGTTTAAAGTATATTCGTGGGTCTCGAGTATACTTAACTCAAGTAAATGAAACCTATGCTTCCTCATACACGTGCGCATACGTGTAAGTCGTAGTAGTGAGCCAAGGTAGGCCCATTACATCCAGTCTGCGCATCCACAACGGTTCTTCAAGGTCACGCATCACTTTGATTGCAGACTGACTTCGAACTGACTCGAATCCCTGAGAATCAGATGACACTCAGGGTCATCTTCTGAAATCCTGGGAATTCTGAGGAATCTTGGGGAACTGTGGGGATTCTTGGGTGTTGGCTTGGGAAACACTTTTAAGTGTTTACCCAAGGACCCAAGGACTTAAAAGTCCAGTATAGAGAGTCTGGATTTATGGTCCAAACCCAGAGAATCATCTTTGGAACTCTGGGTCACCTGCACTCAGGGAGGTGAACTCTGGGTCATCGTGCGGCACTCTGGGTTTCCGTGCGGCACTCTGGGTAACAAGTCTGCTGCATTGCAAGCTCGTGTGTATCTCCACAAAGCCACACTTTTAGCGGGGTTAGCGGCCTCTTGCGCATGATCTTGGTGGTAGTGGGTTGATTCTCAGGGTAATTTGATCCTCTGGGGCACTCTGAGCCACAGCAAGATGAGGTGTACTCTGGGATACATTCGCCAGAGACACTTTCCGCCCGACTTTAGGCACTCATCGTAAGGGAAAGTCCGCGGCTGGACTGAGTGTTTTCTGAAATCCTGGGCGTGCACTCCCAGGATTCACACTTCCAGCCAATTGGGCCCATCTGCGGTCAGGCGCTGGATTCATCCCGAGAAATCTTTTCTCTCTCACAGTCGCCATCCATGTAACACGGGTACAGCCGCGCCGTATCCATTTCATCCGCCACTTGTCGTCCAATACAAGCTCCAATTCATTTCTAGAATGGCATGTCGTCGGCGAAAAACTGAGAACCGCCTCGTTGTCACGTGTCCACATCACACTGGATCGGATCCAGTCCAAGTAAAATGCAGAGGGCCACGAAGAGCCTGAACGATGCCATCCTGGCAACAGGGGAGAATATCTCCATCGAGAAGAAGTCCACCTCGGGCTCTTGCTTGTCGCCTCGGGCGCAGAGGCGAGGGCGGAACCGAATCACGTTGCCCTCGTTGTCCGTTTTGAACTGGAACCTCCACATTGTTTCTAGCGCCCGTTTTCGAACTGGCATTTCATCTTCCGGCACGAGCTCCAACACGTCCTTTGCCTGCATAGCAGCCATCTCCTTCTCCATTCCGGCCCACCACTCTTTGCGCTGAGGTGACCGCATTGCTTGGTTAACGCCCCGTGGCAGTCGGACTTCAGACTCGTGCCACAGCCGCTGCTGTGGGGGTTCCTGTTTCATCGCCACGAACGCAATGGCAGCGTACACAGTAAACTCCCGCATTAAATCTTCGTCATCTCCATTCTCAGCATCGCCATCAGCTACGCACACGAGACCAGTGCGAGTCCGTTTCGGCTGGGCTTCTCCCCTGATCACCGATGATTCGTCGTCGCGAGGACACCGCTGTCCTGTGATCTGTGGCGGGTCCACCGGAAACTAGCATCACTTTCGGGTCCTTCCTCGTCACTCGAATTCTGGGCTTCCAGGTCTTCAGACGGCAAATCATCTTGCTCGCCGCGTGCTCGGCCATCTTCAAAGTCATCCCCAATCACTGATTCGCTTTGCTCATCGTCATGTTCATACTCCGGCTCGTGCTTTGCGGGTCTCATCCACCGCACGATCGTTCCCATTGCTACTCTGCAGGCCCTCTTCGGCGACAGGTACTTCTTCAACGTCATGGCTATCGTCTGCGTCACCACTTGCACTCTCAGCAGGGGGACCAAGGTTAGCATTGCGGCTGCGACCGTCATCCTCTCGGCTGAAGGGCGGCTCAATTCTCGAGAACACAATGCCGTCGTTGAATTGAGGCGGCTCTCGGTCCATCCAGCTTGCATGCGGGTATTCCAAGATGCGTCGGAGCTCGACCTCGACGGGCTCCTCTCCGGCTTCCGGCCCATCATCGTCAGTAGCACAGCGGTCATCACCTCGCCCCCCTACGGCCGGAAGGTCGTAATCTCTACACCCCGCACTAGTCAGGTCAGGGTACTGCTTGACAGCCCAGTCACATACAGATTCATCAAACACGGGCCCTTTTCGGTCCTTGTACAGCACCTGCTCATTCACCGTCACTTGACCACCAAACGCCACAGTCCCAGCAGTGGGGAAGTACACCTTACACCTCCAGGTAGCCAAGGATGAATCCAACCCGGCTGTTGTCCGCGAATTTGTGTCGTGCAGGACCGACCTTCGTGTGCACGTAGGCGCGTGCGCCAAAATTTCTCACGTGGTGGATGTCGGGCTTCCTGCCCCACATGGCTTGGTACGGCGTGCGATCGATTGGGCTTGAGTATGACCGGTTCTTCAAGTACGCTGCATAGTGGAGGGCGTCCACCCAGAAGGAAGTCGGTAGCCCGGACTCCTTCATCATGGACTTCATCACGCCGGTCAGCGTCTGGTGTGTCCGCTTGACCATGTTCAGCCTGGACGAGTTCTTCGGCGTCGCCGTGTGAGTGATTCCATTGGCCTGGTACCACGCCGCTATTTCGTTGTTGACAAACTCTCATCCACCATCTGTGAACATCGTCTTCACCTTACAGCCGGTACACTACCGCTCTGCCCAAACGATGTTCCGCTTGATCAGCGGGTTCACGTCGTCTTTGTGCTTCGTCTTCACAGGATACACCGTGACGAATCTCGTGTAGGTGTCCATGACGACTAACACCGCACTAAACCTCGTGCAGTAATTTTTTAGGCGGGAACAGCAGGCCTGCGAAGACGAGCTGGTTCCTCTCAGTCACGCCGCGGTCCAGCACCTTCTGTGGGGTCTTCGCGCGTTGCTTGCCTAGTTGCCACGCCTCACAGGTGGCGAACTGCCGCTTACGCAGCATCATACCGTCCACCAAGTCATTGTCGACCATCTTCCTTACATGCTGGTGGCACAGATGCCCCAATCGTTCATGCCAGCATTGTAGATCTGCGACGCCATCGCGCAGCGCGTAGTTGACCATCGCTTCAGGGACCAGCGGGTTCCGCTCACCAGGCAGGAACTCGTTGTGGGTCGTGAACATCCACAGACCACATGGACTCAGAGGTGCTTGTAGTGCCGTGGCTAGGTTCTTGCTCAGCGTATACAGTCCCTTGGTGTCACCGTGCTGCTTTGCTGTGCTTGTAGACGCATGGCACCGCATCCCCGCAGCGCCTCCATCGTCCCTTGTGGAACCCTCAGCCCTTGCTGAAGGACCACTTTGCTTTCCAGATTGCGTGGCGGCGCCACCAGCGCCACCACTTCGAGCCGCAACCTGCTGGTCTACGGAGGCATTTGCGTGACCAGTATACGACAGGTGAGCTTGCCCGCCTCCACTACTTCCTTCATTTGGGCAGTCTCGTCGTGCGTGTCCAGACTTGTGGCAGCCAAAGCACTTTCCGGTCCTCCTGTTTTCGTCACGCTGGCGCTGAGACTCCTCCCGCTGGGTGTTTCCAGGCCCTTTGGGGCCTCCGTTGCCACCACCACCACCGGTCCTCGGCTGGTTCTGCTGGGCCGGGTTTGGCGAGCGGTCGTTGCTGCCAAAGGCGCGCGACAGGAGCAGATCTGCCTTGTTGGCCTTGTCATACGTGATCGCCATCTCGTCCATCTTCTCAGGCATATCAACGCAGGCGAGCCCGGACTCCACGAGCCCACGCAGACGATCAAACCTATCCCTTGCAGGAAGAGACGACACTGGCATCCCGCTAAAGACTGTGTCATCGAGTGCCATTCCAACGGCATGAAGCCGTGTCCGCAGTCGGATCATGGAGTTGAGTTGCCCCTCAATGTCACTGTTGGACTTGCATCGTGCCGCCTCCAGTTCGGCGTACAGTCGTCGCTTGGTTAGAGCTCGGGTCTGGCCATTTACGGCGCCATCAAACCGGTTGCACAGGAACGCCCACATCGAAGTCCCGTCAGTGTGTTGCATCAACCGCTGACCAAAGTCCGTGTTGACAGACGCGAAGATCACACGTTGGATAGTTCTCTGGTTATCCTCCCACGCAGCCACCTGCCGCAGGGACCAGTTCGGGCCGCGCACCAGCGCCCCGGTTGCAACGCGGAACACGTCTTCCTTGTGAAACGCGAGCTCCAGGGGCCTTTGGTAGTACGGCCAGTTCTGACCGCTCCATCGGACAGGAGGTCCAGTCTTCTCCGAGACCTCCACCTCCCACGATGACTTGTTTGGGCTCATAACCCTGTTGGAGTGCGAGTGCTAGCGGTGCGAGTAGGAAATAAAATAAACTTGTTGATCCCTTACTGCTTCCAGCGCCCCTGGAACGTGCCGCTCTCTCTTCGACGCTGCGAATTTGACACTGAGGCTAGAACTAAAGCTACGACTACCGCGGTCTCGTACTGTCAGCTTTCCCTGGATCTTCTTCGAGTCGTTCTCGGTCTTTGCTCGTAGTCTCTTGGTCTCCATCACTCACAAGCTGCAGCCACCACCGCGTGCTGCAACTTAACAAAAGGCTGTGTCGACATTTGTTGTAATGATCGGTTAGGCGTATACAGCGGGATTCACGGGCCACCTCCAGAAATTTCACTTTTGATCCACCTCGGAGCCCCCACGTGCCAGAAAACGCTTTACCATTGGCATCAAAGACAATCCTATCGACACATAATGCTCTACACCATATACCAAAGAAATTCAGACTTTATGAAGTACGTCTCCTCCAACTGTGGAAGCCTATTATAGTTTCCAATTCCATTAGTCGAGAGGTTGTCGCTGTGGCCCCAATTTCTTGATGTGTTAACTGCATGGGCGCCTCCAGAGGCGGCTGAAACGTTTCGCACTAGCGTCGGTAAAGCTGCACACGCTGTCACGTTAAAATGTGCTGCGAAGGGTATGCACGAGCTCTGTTAGTTTTGCAACCGGGTTTTAAATAATTATTTCTCTTGATCCTAATAAAAATGTTCTCGTGTGTGCTGGGGTTGCTCGCCCAGACCCCCGTGCTATAAAACCTTGCGGCTGACGTGGCCGTTCAAGAAAATGCTTGACGTAAGGCTCATCACATCAAGTTTTGACTTATTTTGTAGCAATTTGTGTAATTATAAAAAGTGAATCACAGAAATAGCCACGAGGGGAGGCAGTAACATGTCAGAAATGTTAGTACCCCATAGGGTTAATGGACCACTTAAGGGTAGCAATTGGCCAGTCCGTACAGTCCGTAATTAAGTATTGAACGCTGCAATCCACCTTGAAGCGAGGGGTGCTTTTTTTAAGCCACCCCTGGATTTCGAATATATATGTTAGTGGTGGATAGATCCTGCCAAATTAGCTACTTTTTGGCACCTTTCTAATTAAACCCAAGAAGTAATTCTATCGGATAGACTAGAGTTATTAGTATGGGGGTATTGGTATCAACCGAGGAACTAACGCTCCACGAAAATCTGTTATGGTTTTGCCTACGATCAGGCTAGATTATAAACCCGATGTTATGGTTTCCTAATGGTCCATGTTTAGCAAGGAGGATATTGGCGAAGCATGACGTTATAGATGTTGACGCAACCGTTTGGCCTACAAAAATATTGGTACCATCCACCCCTTTTAAATTTGATCCAGTCAAATTAGTACAGCAGGGAGGGATTTTTTTAGGATCACTCAAGTTCTGGAGCTGAAAGTATTAAACGGGCCGATCCCGTCCCAATTCGATCGCTCATCAAACACTGTAGAGCCTGTCATGCCGATTATCTTATATGTAGGAATCTTTAGGAATGTTTCTTTAGGCTAATGGTTTCTGTGAGGTTAATGTACCTATCGATAGAATCTTATTGCTGTTAGATAGCCTCAGTTTGAAGCGGAAACATGTAGTAATCTGTCGAGGTGTCGAGATACAAAGGGGTCAATCCAGGAAATTCTTCTACTGCAGTCCTGAGTATTAACATTCTTGACACACTCTAAATCGTAGGCAGCGGAAAGCAAGGCTAGAGGAACTTCAACTTGCTGTCGTTTTGTCGTTGCCTGAACTGCTTGGCACTGGATTCGCCATGGAGACTACCGCGCGGTCGTGCTTTGGGTTTGCTGCAGCTACGCGACCCCTCGATCGCTATTGGCATGTAAATAGTGTCTATTGTATAGCACTAGGAGCGGCGTTTTTAAGTTTACGAAAATGATGTTCGAGGCTGTAGTTTTTCCAGCTTTGGACTGTTAGTTACTATTGTAAAATTGCTTACATATTTTTTTTACAACTTTCAATTCGATTGAAATACATCGGCAGCTTCGCAGCGTTGTAGCGTCCGCCCAACAAGCTTAATGTGCGGTGATGGTGCAGTCGTCGGCACGAGCTGTCCAGGACAACCAGTCAGTCACCCATTTACATTGAGCGCGTGGACTTTGGGCCAGCGGGCCACACCCGCACGTACCCGGCGATCCATTTCGGGTTCCCAGATTTCCCCCTGCTGTTTTGCTGTAATGTGCTATTAGCGTCATCTACACTGTAATTTTACGTCAAGTCGTTGATGATTATACGTTTGTTGCAATTGGGACTTACGTAGTTTTAGGCATCTGCCAAAATTCACTACACTGTGGGCTTCAGTCATACACCTTGATGGAAATGGTAAAATAATAACTTACTAAGACATGTCGACCTCGAGTTCAAATGGCAAAATATGTGATATCTGTTTGAAATATTTAGGTTTTTAAATATGTGCAGGGTGAGGGTCACTACACGGGTATTCCCTGGCCGATAAGCAATTGATCGCGTGTTCAATATGGACGTCGTCAGTGAGATTTTTACGTTAGTAGTATAATCTGAAATCCGTATTTTCATTTAGATTTAGATTTTAAAACAAGAACAGTCAACAGATCACGAATTTGGCAAACTCCCCCCCGAGAGAAGCGAGGCTGGCGGCCCCACGGGCTCGGCTTAAACCTGTATAAAGAGAGGCTCCGCTAGACTTGTTTATGCAACATATATTATTGTGCTATGCAATCGTTTTGTCTTTTTGCCTTATAATCATGCTCTAATTGCCTAACACGCAGTGCCTGTAATAACGCGCCGTTTTTGGCCCCTTTTTACGGAATTTGAAAACGCAACTTAATCCGGTAGTTTACTAGCCCTCAATCGTGCTATTTGATGTTAGACGTTGCTACTGTAAAACCTCTAATTGTGCCCCACCCTCATTTAGTACCCCACCTGTCATTTTTAATCACCTTGGGTGGGGACTTGCAACAGTACCCCACCCTCTAATAGTACCCCACTTTCCAATAGAAAATATAGTACCCCGCCAACCTTAGTACCCCCTCTCCTTAGAACATGGAACTTATTGTCAACGTGAAGTTTTCTTGTAGCAGGTCTGGCATAGGATGAGCTGTACGCATTGATTGCTGAAGATACTATCCTTTTAATGACCGTCATTGATTGCACTCATCTAGAACGAGTTATACCACAGAGTTCCTGAACACTTTATTGTATATAACTTGAGACTAGCCGATTTGCATCTAGATCAAGGGTGAAAAATGATTACGAAAGGAGTTTGAACTGGATATCTTAGCCGCAATGTCTTAATCGAGGATTTCAAGGCTGGGGTATTTGATCGGCGTTCCGTAATGCTTTGCTAGTGCCCCCACCCTCTAATAGTGCCCCACCCCCTTGCGTGGGTGGGGCACTAACTTAGTACCCCAGGGGCACAATTAGAGGTTTTACAGTATTATAACAAATTGATCCCATCGGGCGCGTTTGTATTGCTGGCTTAGCTGTTGAGAACGAGCTCGCCGAAAAAGACGTCTCTGGGAGACGACGCCGTGCGCGGTAACGTCAAGCACATATATCGCAATCAACCGTTTACACATGTAACATAAAACACGTTTTTAGTGCATAAAGCCGTATAATCGGTGCATAAAATAAACTATAACACCAGGATTTGGGGGCAACGTGCCACCTCGGCACTTACAGCAGCATTGTAGCTCTGCCTTACGGCCTTTGACGCCGAAACTTTTCAAACTTCTAATGGGACCTATGTGAACACTTGCGCCAAATTTGAGAGTGATAGCATTACTCCATCAAGACCCCCTCCGTAGTGACCATGTGGTCTACTAGGGCATTACGTGTTAAGTACGAGACTGAGTTAAATCTGAAGCTCTTCATAAAAAATGCACCTCGATCAAGTTGTACCTCGGTTTGTATAGAGCACCACGCAGATTAGTTTTATAGCCGCCCGATTTGTTGGTAGATAACCGCAATTCGGCTCGTTGTTCTCTGAAATTTATTTTCAGAGCTAAGGGACGATCGGATTCCCGGTCTGAATTTGAGTTTCCTCCATTTCCCGCCATACTCGGTTTACTGCATGCAATCAGAACAAACAGCGTTTGCTAGAATTCCAGGCTTAAACGTGTAACTACATAACCTGCATATTGGTATAGCCTATATATATATGGATATATTCCGTGGATGTTACCTGTGGCGTCGTCCCAGCAACACGCAAATAGATTACAACAGTACCGTGCGTAAGATTATAAGTTTGATGTAGCGCGAAGGGTACTAGGAAGCACTGGCGTTTACCCACAGGCACTTCATGTTCAAGTCCGTTCTTGTCCGCGGCCACAAAGCTGGCCACTCTCTCCTTCCTCAGCGTTAGAGTCTGCACCATAGTCACCACTGGCGTTGTAGTTATATGGGTTTCCTCCTAATGCGACCTGGTCGTAGTATATGAATCAAAAGACTCGCACAACTCCTGCATTCGAGGCTTCAACATAGACGACCGCTTTACCGTCGTGTGCAACACCATTCATGAGCTTAGTAGCTGAATGCTGATGCATCGGATCCCTCGTTCCTTCGCTACCAGCACTATATCCGCTCACGCCACGCCATTCAAGGCGAATCTCATGCCGTGTGCATGGTGCTCTCAGCGTTCCCACCAACTTCAGCGTCGGTACCGATTTCATCAACTAAGCTACCCCACAACACTGACGTTGTTTTGAACTCTAATAAGCTATGACCTGGGACCAACCGCTACAACGTTCTCCTTCACCGGTCATTCTTGTATCTTAAAAATATTTCTCCAAAAAACCGAAGGTATGATCCACAACTGGTAGTTGCACGCAGATCTCATGCAAAGTTTGTATTGATTATTTTTTGTATAACCATGCCGGTTCATATCTAAAATCTACACTTTTGATGCGAACTACCGGGAAGATGCTGCGGCTGCTTCGCAGCCGCAGGAGTTGCCAGTGGTTAGAAACACAACTAATAAAAT